GCTGGAATTTGATTATCAACGAGCCGTTTTTTCTTTTTTCTCGAGCCGAGTAGTGTGAAGTTGACTTTTGTTGCGCGAAAAATGACGTTCTGTACATACCGCTTCCGTCTATTTTTGAGTTCTGACCTTCTCAATCACTTTTCGAGTGGAAATGATTGGGGATTGGGACAAAATAAATAGAAACCTTCTTCGTTCCGCGCCAAACCCCGCTCTCAAACCGCGGCGGTCTCCTCTTTCGCCACAATTTAATGTTGACTTTTCAATTTACTATCCGTTTTCAATCCGCCCTCCCCCTTTTTATCCGAGCACTTCTCAATTTCATGGACAGCACCCCTATGAACCATCGAGCTTGTGACTCATCCCCCAAAGTGACTAGACTAGACTAAAATGTGGCAATGTTAAGAAAAACACGAAGTCGCCGCATTTTTTGACAGGTTTGGAGAGTTCTTCAAGAGGGGGGTGGCTCATTTGCTTGTTTGTGGCGGAATTATTCAGTTTTGCCCCAAAATTTTCAGATTTTCATGAAAACATCGTAAAAAAGAAGGTTGCTGGAAAGTGAGCCAAAATTTTTCAGGTCCGGCCCTGCCTTTGACACGTCTGAAAATGTTCGCTGTTTCTCGCGAACGTTTCTGGACATTGACTTTCATCTGTCTAAAAATACTGCTAGACACCCTTAGAGTGTGCAAAAATACTTACTTTCCCGCCAGTTCGGTCAGAATTTTCCACGAACCCCCAATGCACTGAATCCCTCCGGAACATCATCCTATTTTTCCAATTACTGACGTAATTCTCAATCCCTCCCCACCCAGAACCCCTCGATCCCATTTCATTTCAAGAGACCCGCAGTCTTTTTTCGAATACGAAGTGACTCATCCTTTCCAACGAACTAGGTGGCCGTGACTTGAAAGAAGAAGCAGAAAAAACAATACAGTGACCTTACCCGACTGCCGCCAACGCCTCGGCCACCGATTCTCAGAATTGACATCTTACTTCTTATTTCCTTGTCTGTTTTTGTTCTCACCCATAGTGAAGAAGTCAGAACGAAAATTGAATTATCTATGGGCGGGCTACTGTAGAAGGAAGCTGCTGTTTGTGTATTGTATTATAGCGTTTGCTCTTCAAATCAAAATGAAATGATGATCGACCAAAAGAGAGAGAGAGAGAAGAAGAAGAAAGAGCCAATACACCAAAGATTCCGGATGGACGGTGGTTCATTGAGATTGTGTACTAAATAGCGTGAGAAATAGATCCGGAAAAGCGGGGGAAAACCTTTTGACTACTCCCTACTATAGCTGGTTATTTCGAGAAGGGGGTCCCTTTTCTCTCTCTCTCTCTCTCTCTCTCTCTCTCTCTCTCTCTCTCTCTCTCTCTCTTTCCCTCTTTATTTGTTTCCCACACCAATACTGCGGACGTTGGGATCGGGACACCAACCACTCCTATCATGATGACGTTTTATCCGGGTCACACACACGAGTGGGCGGAAACATTTTCGGCTGAAAGTGTAACTGTTGTTTCCTTTTTCTTCCCAGTCCTATTCTTTTCCTTTTCTTCCTTTCTTTCTTCTTTTCAACCCCACTCCTCCTCCCTCATTTTCAAGTGTTTATAGTCCCTGCATAACCTGTAATTACACACACACACGTACATAGCGTGACACTTTTCACGTGATAGAACTTGAGAAATGTATAAGTAAGCTGAGAAGACGTATTTTTGCCAGAGAGAAATCTAAAGCCAATGAACCTTCTCTCTAAGGGCTATTTATCAAAACGCCTAGTGCTAACTAGCTTGTTTTTGTTGTCACAACATGGATGTTGTGATTTTCTACATTTTGGTGTTATTTTTTGAATAACAAATGACATGAAGTTTGATAAACTTGATAGAATCCCATCTGTTGTCAGTTCTGGTGGTGCTGAATATTTTCGTTACTTTTTGTGATTTATCCTTTACAAATGAGTTTTTCCGGCTTATAATTGCTGAATTCAGAAGGAAATTGAAAATTCCAAGTTATAAAACTGAAAACTTTTGTTTTTCCAAAATTGTTCAACCGGAGCGGAAAAATTGCTCATCTGGCCGGTCTGCCTCGGATCGGGCCAAGTCTACCCATAATAAATCACATGGTTAAACGCTACAGTAATCCTGCCATGTTGTCACCCGCAAAAACCTAGTAAACATTCCAAAAATCTCAAGTTTTCCCCCCTTCTACCAAACAATCTTTGGACTCTTTCGCAGTTTTTCGAGTATCTTCGCCCATAACCTGACGTAAACGTGAATCAGTCAACAAGAAGATGAAGAAGAAGAAGAAGAAGAAGAAGAAGAAGAAGAAGCATCTTTGAAAGATTCTAGCTAATGAACTGTGCTCTCTTATCACAGACACTTGTGCATTATGCGGTGTCATGCCCTCCGCTTTTTATGTGAATGTATGTATGTATGTATGTGTCTGCAAACCGTGTTGAAAGTGGAGTCAAGTTGTGTTTTACCCACCACCACCACCACTCCAGCCGCGTTTTTTGTGACGTGTTTGTTTATTTTTGTCCTCCTTCCATCTCTCAGTATTGTCCGAGAAGAACACCGGGAAGGATTCAAACAAGATCCTAGGCTAGGGGGAGGTACATAAATCCTACCCAAATCCTTCAATGCTTTTTCGTTTTTGCTTTTTTTGCAAGCCGCCCCTCCCCCGTTGCTAACTCAAACCACCAATGCAGCATTGAAAAAAATCAAGGCCCACCATCGTCATGATGATGGAGATGGCACATGACAGAACATATGGCGAGGTCCTGTGTGCCTAGGCTACTCTTCTAATTAAAAAAGGCAAAAAGTCGGGTGGGGAATGTTGGCTGCTACCACAATAAGTGAAGCTCCATGATTTTCCAAGGCCCATACTACCATATTCTTTTGACGTGTGGTGTGCGTGGTGCAACATCACAATGCAAACATTGCTTCCTCGTTTCCTTCTCTCTCTCTCTCTCTCTTCCCCCTCTCTCTTTCTCCTTCTTGTATCCTTATATTACCCTGGAATGGCTTTTTGCTACACCAGAAGACAAGAAATCTTGACCTTTCATTTCATTTTTCCATCCATTTCCATCCATTTCATCACTTTTTCATTTCGTTTCATTACACCTAATGAACTTTTCCCCTTACCCATCTATTTGATTAGAAATCTCTTTTACCGTAGTCCTGAGGAATAAAAAATGAGCTCCGAAAGAAGAAAAATGATTGCGTCACAAAAACGTATCATATTGTTGCAAAAAAGGCGCTATTGTAGTTTATGGCGTCCGGATCCTAAAAATAAATAATCATTTTCTGGCTTCTTTTCTTTGAAGACTAGAAAAAGATCTCTATCATCTTATCTTAATATGTTTAATCCAATTTTCAAAGCTCTCCCTCTCTCCCTCCGCCCGCATTCACATTCCCGCAAAATGATGGGGGTTGATGAAAACGACATCGTAAACCGACCGCTGTCCTCTGTTTTACGAAAATTACGAACAATACTTCGGTTTTTTGTGCCCTCCCTCCTGGCCGAGAACCGGTGTAACATGAGAATTGCACAAATTCCTCTTTGTGACCGGAAGCCCGACCGAAAGAGGACCCCGGGCAGGCCGGTCCGGTCACTTCTTTCATTTCCATATTAAATACCCGGAAAGCTGACATCTAATGGTCATAGGGACTCTTTTCTGTTGTTGTTATGTTCCGTGTCGCGCCCATCTTATTTTGTCTTCTTCATCTTCTTCTTCTTCTTCTTTTTGTCTAATGCTCAATGACCAGAGAGAATACCATCATATCTCCTCAAATATTTCAAATATTTTCCTTTTCTCTTCCTTCTTTCAAGTGAAATCACTAAGCCGATACGATACAATAAGTGAGCCTCGGTCCTATTCAGATTTCTATGCAAAATTGTATGTTTGTATGTATGTACATTCCTACAAAAATCAGTTGAAAATGTAGTTGGCAAGCCACTTCTATTTTCGGTTAAAAACTCTTTTGGGCGTAGGAAGAGAAGTGAGAAGTGGTGTCGTATAGATGCCAAGCACCTCTTGTCCGAGGCCCCCAGCATGCCAAGGTGTGGGAAAATCCACGTGAGACCCGGGTAAGTGCTTTTACAGCGAAACCACACTTCCCTCAGAAATGGTCAGTTTTTCGAGGATACCAATGACCAGCAAGATTCAAAGTTCATGTTCCAGTCAAACTCCCTAGAGAGGGGGGCCTTACGCCATCAGTGTCTGAGTTATGACTATACTTCTCATCGTACACGTCGTTAATCCTCCCCCTTATCCCTTTATTCTCTTATAAAAACCTGCGAATAAACTAGTAAAGTATAAAACATCAAGTATGTACTAGTCTATTTACGTTCAAAAAGTGATTGTGATGTGTGTGGACCTTCAGTTTGGGAGGGGGAATGAGAAAAGATGATGCACTTGTGGAACGATATCATATTTCGTGACGCCCCTCCCGAAAAAAACCAACTCTCACACCTCGCATCGTTTATTCTTATTCCTTTTCGTTTTTCACGCCTTCTCTCCTCCCACTTGATATCATTTTTCACATTTTCATAAAAGAGACGGCTAAAAAAAGTGGGGGCACCTCATTTTCTGCTCTGGTAGTTCTGATTTCGTCCCCTCTTTCCCGATGTTGATTCATCAGTTATTCTGCATTCAATTTCTGCATTGCATCTTTCTTGTTCCTTGAAATACTCTTCTGTTATGACGTTCCGTTGCGCGCTTCGTTTCTTCGTTTACTCACTCCTGTTCATTTCTTCTGTTCTAAGAGTTATCTCTAAAATATGCATATTGTAGGCGGTGCCCCTCGTGAAGGACACGTCTCGAAGTTGAGAAGGAGCTCGAGAGAAAGAAAGCGAGCCCCCTGCCCACCAACTTTGGAGCCTCACCACAACCTGCTGCTGGGAGAGTGACACGCCCACTTCTCGCCCCGGCGCTGCCTCACAACGAATTCATTCTTTCATTCCGACGACCCATTCCCGTCTCAATTCCTCTTTACTCAACCCAACAATGTCGACACTCATCACTGCCCCTAACCTCACGGGCTTTACCACTACAGTCGACCCGGCGATCAGTCAGCCCATGGAAATTCAGTTCGAGATCATGTTTGTCATGGTATTGTATGCCTGTCTGGCGTGCACCGGGTTTGCTGGCAACTTCTGGGTGCTTATGAAGGTTACACAACAGCTCTCCGGATGCTCTTCCAATCGGACGAGACCCTACAAGTCTGTGGTGCAATCCTCCGCCTACATCTACCTGATCCTACTCTCCGTCGTCGATCTATTCTCGCTTCTACCAGTCCCCATGATTGTCACGGACATTTATGAGAATCACTTTCCGTTCGGTGTGGTTGCTTGTAAACTGACCTATTTCTGTGAGGCCATGAACAAGTCGCTGAGTCCAATGGTCCTCACAGCGCTCTCTGTGGATCGTTACATTGCCGTCTGTCATCCGACGTTACACTGGCTACGACAAACCAAGTTCTCGCTTTCGGTCATCGCTTGCTGCTTCTCGGTCTCGCTGATTTTCATCATTCCCGTAACACAAACGGCGGTGACGCAAGTGATGAGAAACGAACGCAACGAGGAAATTATGAAGTGCGCGTTCGACAACCAGGGGGCCAATACCTATCTGTTCGAGGTAGCGCACACCATCGTCTGCTACCTGGTCCCCTTGTTTATCATCTGCGCCGTGTACCTGGCTATCCTGCACAAGCTGTTCATCCACACACGATTTTCAACTGTCGGCAAGAAAACTTCCATCTCTCTATCGCGAGTGGTCAAATGCAGTGTGATGGTGGTGGCGTTCTACTTCATTTGCTGGACGCCATACTGGACCATGAGGATCTACGGACTCATTTCCAGTACCATTGAGGCTGACGAAGGTGAGCAACAGAGTTTGACTATGAGTTTACAAATTAGCTTAATGCTTCACTTCCCCTCCCTTTTTTGATTTTCTTAAAAATTTCCGTCAATAACTGACTGACTGGTGCAAGGGTCTTTTTTCCCGTCACTCTGCTATGTTATTGCGTTCCTTTCATGTGAATAGAAATGAAAATGATGGGAAAGAAAAGGGGAAAAAGAAAAAAAAACACCCACCTTTTACGCGTTCGGAATTTCAACTAGTTTTGATTAGTTTGGGGGACATTCTCGAATTCAGAATTTGGAACTTCACATAAAAAATTCACATGCTTTTCAGGCGATTCGTCAAGCTATCTGGAACCGGAAATCACTGTTGAAGAGATTGTGGAGACGGTCACCAAAGCCGCTAGCAACTCCACCGAGTCCACGTTCTTCTTCGGGTTAATCCCCGAAAAACGGAGAAACAACATCGAGATTGCGTTAATGTACATCCTTCACTCGCTCACTTACACCCAGTCCGCCTTCAACTGGCTCTTCTATTCCTTTCTCAACCGTAACCTACGCGGAAACGCAAGCCGAGGAAATGGAACACGGTCGGGAGTTAACACGTCGGTCTTCGACAATGGAGCCGCTACAAGCACTGTCAACACGTCGCTAACACCGATCTGGAAGAACATTCAACAAATGGGAAGTCATATTAAGACTGCTGGACTTGACACTCGCTCGGCGCTCATGAAGAAGTCGCCGTTTAAGGGGAAATCCAAAATTCAGTCGAGGTGAGTCATTGTGACCAGAAAAACAGCCCATATTCCTCTCCCTCTCCCAATAAAAAAGCAAAGGAGTAAATTCCAGAAGCGCCGCGTACCTCGACTGTTCTTCCGGCCACCACATGCTCCGTCCGTCCTCCGAAAACACCTTGAGCTCCTCGCTTCTTGACATCCCAAGAAGACCATCGTTGGTGCCACGTCAGGAGCCGTCTTTGGTTGGAAAAGCGCTCTCCTTTACTAACATCCCACAACCCCAATATCAACGAATTGACCAGAAGGAAGAGTCGTCTCACGGAGCAGTCTCCGAGAGCTCTTCTGTCGAATGGCTGTAGATACTGTACCTTTTCATTCCTATGTACTTCTTCTTTTTCTCCTTCTTCTCTCTCCTTCTTTTATATCATTTTTCACTCCTTTCCGTCCATCCCAGTTTGTGTGTTAACATATCCGGTGCACCATTTTCTAACGATCCCCGCCACGTCACCTCCGACACGATCAAATCAAACTATGACTATCATATCACACAATAGCTGTTGTTTTGGATTCTGATAACTTCCGGGTCCATCTCATACCGTTTCAACCACGCCCCGAACCCCCCGTTTCTGTATTTATGATGTGAGCTTGCCAAAACCGACTCCCCAATTTTTTCGTCACAAAAACAGTGACTATGATTACTATTGTTATTATTATTGATGATGCCAACTTTTATTATTGTATAAGTGTGGATCTCATTTCATTGTCAATAAATAAAAATAATACTGCTATCCGCGAGTGAAGCTGCTGACCACCAATAATGTTTTCTGAAATTTTATCCGAAAAAACAAGAGTGGTGGAAACTGGACCACCACCTAATTGGCAGACCAACAATATCGAATTTCAGTTTATACTGCTTCTGAAGCGCGTGCTCTCCTGCATAATAAATTTTCTGAGGAAAAGGGTATCAAACAACTTTTTCGCTTTGATTTGCAGAACCGAGGAAAAAGGCGTGGGCGTTTTGTACGAAACCATTCTTAATTAAACTACCCGTGTGCGCAGAATCCGGCAAAACTGCATCAAATCTCTTCAATTTCATTTTTCATTAAATTCAGATGAAGTTTTCATTAGATTAACGGCACAAACAACCCGGAAATCTTTGGTCATTGTCAACCAAAAGTTTTGCATTTTTCTCACACGTCATCACCATCGGTTTGATTAGTTTTTCAATGAATCAGCATGAAAATGAAGAGAGGAACGTCAACACAACACATTTTCAGATGAAGAGCAACGTTTTTTTTTCGGGGTCTTGGTCATCTTACTTGTTAGCTTGTCATTGTCTGTTCTGATCAGTCTGATGCGTGGCATCTCAAAACTCACGTTCAACGAGACTTCAGAAGGTGTGTTTGCGCATTCCGGCAGGCCGACAGAACTACTCCGAAAGGCGCAAATGGTTACCACCTGATAAAACACAGTTCGTAGAAGGCAGGCTATAGAGTCGGGCGGCTGTCAGGTTTTTTGAGGCGGCGGCCGACGGAGGTATTCCGAACTGCCCAATTGAATGAAACCTAATGAAACACAAGTAGATGAGAATATTGGCAGTCTCAAGTGGACTTGGATGGTCAAAAGTGAAGAATTAGGGAAAGAGGACGATGAAAGATGAATGTTGGCTTTCTCGAGAACGTGAAGAGCAAGACCGGGTCTGTGTGTATGTGTGTGTGCAAAATTTCCATAATTTGTGCGGACTGTTCAAGAAGACATCCTTCACACCACACCCCAACTCTCTTCAAGCACACTCCTTCTGCAGGGAAATTAATGCAATGCAATTTGCTGACAATTTCGAAAATACTATTTTATCGGAAGACTTGTTGCATCAGCCGAATGGTGTGATAAGCCTTCACCGAGAGCAGCCCGCGTCCAAACCAAAATGCGTATAAATGAATTAGATAAGAAACGAGAAAGCAAATTGGAGTTTCATTCTACGCTACGTCATGTCTCTGACAGGTTTTGACGTTACCATAGTGGTAACACTCGTTTTTGGGTATATCGCGTATAAAAGTACGTCCATCTCTACTTTTGTCTTGAAATAACAACTGTTTAGCATATGACTGGGCGATTCGTCAAGTTGTCAGTAACACCCAGAAGAAAACGGTAGCGATTTCGGGATGCGATACCGGATTCGGAAGACTTTTGGCCGTCAAACTGAACGGTTTGGGAGTTCCGGTGATTGCAGGAGTACTGAGAAAAGAGGTAAGATCAGATGGGGTAATGAAAATCAGCTTCATGCGTTTCAGAGTGGTGAAAGTCTTAAAAAAGAAGTGAGAAACCCGAACCTTTTGACTTTTGGGACACTGAACGTGGGCAATGATGACAGTGTCAAAGAGTTCGCTCAGCTTGTGGGGAACACAGTCAAGGACCACGGACTCTGGGGAGTGGTGGCTAATGCCGGAATTCTGGGAAACTCTGGTCCGGATGATTGGCTCAATGCTCAGGATTATATCAACGTAAGGCTCAATTTTGCTTTGAAAAACGTTTTTTTCAACTCGCTCTTTCAGACCATGCAAATAAACACTTTCGGAGTGATGAGATTCATTCAAGCGTTGAAGAAGTTCGTGAAAGTTCAACAAGGAAGGTATTTGGTTGTTGTCTGAAGTTCAGAAGTTGATTTCCGATCTTTTCAGAGTTGTTATCATCTCTTCCATTTCTGGCCGAACTCCAAGACCAACGGTTGGCCCTTATTGCGTGTCCAAACATGCCGTCGAAGCATACGCCGATGTTATTAGGTATTTCACTGTGCTCCGCACTGCTTTTCTTATCACCTTAATGTACAGACACGAATTGATCGATTTCAATGTATCGGTTCACCTGTTGGAGCCTGGATTCTTCACCACGAACATTACACAGACAGCCACAAATGACTTGGACGCTGTGTGGGAGAGACTTGATACTGAGACAAAGAAGGAGTATGGAAAAGAGTTCTTTGATGAATGTTAGTTGGAAAAACATGTCTGGAAAGCTTGTGACGTTGTTTTTTTTCAGACAAGGACTCTCGCTTCTCCCGTCTGTCCCATTGCGCCGACGACTTGAACCCGGTTATCGAGGCTTACACCCACGCACTCCTTGCAAAGTACCCAAAAACCAGATACTGGGTCGGCTGGGACACCATCTTGTTCTACATCCCACTTGCTACTCTCCCAACATTTGCCCAGGACTGGTTCATCCGATTCCAACGCCGCAATCGTCCAGTCCCTGCAGCCATGAAGAAACATTAAATGATTAAATGATTTTGCTTCTATATCTTCTAATAAACCAATCATTTCCATAATAAAACTGTGGAACGTGCAATTGACAAAAGTATTTTGGGTCCAAGTTTCAGACCGATCCGATTATTTACTCAGGAGATACGTGGATCAGACGAGCCTGGACCCGCCATTTATTCAGCCCTGCTTACAATTATCTATAGCTAAAAATCGGCTGGTTGTCTGCCTCTTCATGGTTATCTCAGTACCTGCAAAAAACAAAAAAACGGTCAATTGGAAAAGGTAATTTTAAATTCAATTTGTGTCACCGAGAGCAAGTAATCACCGCTTTCATATTTTAACAAACACTATGGCGAAAGTAGAACCGAACAAATGAGCATAAAAAGTTATTGCATGTAAAATATTTGCTGAAACAGTGGGTGTTTAGTTGATGATCGGTGCAACGACGGTGTTTGCCATTCCACAGCTGTTCACACCACGAGCCAGGCGGAAGTAACTGTAATTTCGGACTTGAAGTCAATCCTCAACACATCTACGTGAACTCACCCGCTTGTGCCCCAAGTGCTACCCCAGGAGTTCTTCACAATCCAATAGGCGCTTGTGCCTTCGCCTCCGTACCCGACAATAGTCAGAGCGTGGGCTCCCATCGTTTTTTCAGCGCAATCCTCAACAGTCGGCGCAAAAACTCCACCTCGGTAGCTGTACATAGCTTTCACAACGTTCATACCTTGAAAAAATGATGAGTCGTGCAGAAAACAATGTGAATTGTTACCAAAAGTAACAGGTCCCTTGGTTCCGACCCAATCGGCAATGTCCTCCTCATTTGTAGAGAGCATTCGGTAGTCATCGATGAAAACACGAGTATCATTAGTTCTCAAGGAGCAGGTTTCATGCTTCATTGCAGAATACGGATACTGCTGATCGGTTTCCAGACCGTTCTCCTTCACAAATCTGAAAAATATTGTTTACGTTGTTTATGCTTGTCGGAAATCAATGCGGGTTCAAAAATTTTGTATTTTTCCCTTTCATGCTTATTTTGGGTTTTGATTCACAGCTCAAACTACACCGTAATTACCTCATCGCATACGGCCGATATCCTCCACTACAACCATTATTCCTATCGTCACAATCCACCATCTCCTGCTCAGACAGAGACACCAATTTGCCCTTCTTGATGGCGTGTTGCGCCTCGACTGCCGCCACTGTCGCAAAAGCCCAGCACGAACCGCACTGTCCCTGGTTCTTGACCGCAGTCAGCTTGTTTTCAGTCCTCCAATCGATCGAGGCAGGGCGCTTCACTCCATCCTCTAAAACGTTCTCGTCGTATCTGACGGCGAGTCCCTCGAATTGCACCTCTGTTTCGTCAATAATCATCAGCTTCAGTTCTTCGTCGGTCCAATCGGAAAACTCGTTCACATCCAGATCCAGCCCCAAATGTTTCTTCTCTTCGGCTTCAAACTCTCGAACATTTTGAACGAACACTTTGAATCGGAACTCAAATTCTTCGAGTGACGGGTATCTTCTGTCGTATTGCAGAATGAAATCGTTGAACATTTGCTCGTCTCGCATAGTCTGCATTGATCTGTTGAATCTTTGGTAGGTACAGACAACGAGCAGAGTTATCATTGCGACTAGAATCAGTCCGGATGCCAGCTTGACGAGGCAAACGGGAGGTTTCCAAATGTTGTAGCCAATCGGAGCTTTTCGATTTCTGAAATAAACGTATCATGAAATATCTTTCAACCCAATCCTTCCTAATCTTACGTCGGAATCATTTCAGGCATCCGAACCCGATGATAATCTTTGCACGGAACCTTCTCATCGTTAAAGACTATAGCGCTGACCATTTCGAATAAAAAATGTTTGAAGGGACGAGGAAATTAGAAAAGACGAAAAGTGGCCAGTTTTGACGGTTATCAGCACCTTTCTAGTTCATATTGCCTCTTATCAGTGCTATGATTATTGATCCGACTTGAACACACACTATGCATGGAAATTGGCGGTTGTTTGAAGCCTTGATGATTAGATATAGTAAGGAAAAAGACGGATTGAAATAGAAACCATAGTATGGCATTTGAACATTTACCTAAATGTATTCAAACGTGTCTTTCCCTCATTGAAGATGAAAACGCCATCCTACTAATCTCAAAACGGACGTTGCTTATTTCAAAAGCTCAAATCGAAGCTTTTAACACGGGCAATCACCTTTCTACTCTCGACGAACGAAATGTCAAAGTTTGAGGAGAGAAAATTGGGAGAAAAACAATGTTTCATAAATTGTTCAATTACCCACGTTTTGAGAGCTTCTACTACACACACTCCGAACCGCCGCATCCAATTCAGGGCTATCACTTGTTACGTAGTTTGTGTATTTCACAGCCATGAAATGATAGTAAATTTATTGATAATCAGAATGAAATGCAACTGTTTCGATATTTACAAAAACAGGAGACCGTCTCGACGTGGAGGTCTACTTTCTGCGGCAGCACTGTCCATTTCCACACGGCGAGTAGTTAGACTGGCAGGAGCATTGGTTGGAAGAGCTCGAGCTCTGTTGGCAAGCAGTGGTAGCCGGTTGAGCAGCTTGGCAGGAGCTAGAGCATGAGGACTGGCAGGCGGACTGGCACTGAGAAGCTGGCTGTTGTTGCTGAACGCATTGTTGCTGGCAGGACTGTTCGCATTGTGGGGCACATTGAGAGGACTGGGCAACCGAGGATTGGAGCACGATCTGGACAACTTGCTGTTGAGCTGGAGCACTGGTCGTAGATGGGTATGGGTTGTACATTGGGGCTTGTGTCTGCTGGGAGGTGCAAGAGTTGTCACAGGCTGGCTGGCAAACTGGGGCACATTGTCCGTTGTTGTCGTTGTACGGATTGTACATTTGAGTGTTCGAGTTGGTGTTCTGATTGTTGCTAACGACTTGTTGGGTAGCTTGGGCGGTTTGCTGGCAAATGTTGGAGCACTGAGTGTTGCAGGAGTCGCAAGCTGGCTGCTGCTGTTGGGCGCACGTGGATTGGCACTGTTGTTGGCAAGCTGGTTGGCATTGAGCCTGGACTTGCTGGATTTCGAGCTGGATTTGGATGAGTTGAGGAGCGGAAGTGGTGGTGGATGGGGAATCACAGGCGACATTGCATTGCTGCTGACATTGTGGTTGGCACTGGGACACTGGCTGCTGCTGCTGGACACAAGCGGATTGACACTGCTGTTGGCAGACTGGCTGACATTGGACAACTGGAGCGGGAGTGGTGGTAGTAGTGATGGTTGGATTGTAAGTTGGAGTGCATTGGGATTGGCATTGCTGCTGGCAGACTGGTTGACATTCGGAGACTGATGGGCTGGATTGGCACTGCTGGGTGCAGCTCTGCTGGCAGGCCGGGGCACATTGCGAGGATTGAACCTGAAAATGTTAGGAATTAGGAAAGAATAATTAAAGGCAACGCAACCTGAACAGTTTGAGTCTGTTGTGGTTGAGCACAAGAGCAAGATGGGGATTGTTGTTGAACCGGAGCAGATTGGCACGAGCAAGATTGCGTTTGTTGGACCTGTTGACATGAACACTGGCTCTGTTGGGGCTGAGCACACCCGCATTGTCTCTTCTCACGAAGCACACTGCCCTGAAAAAAAGATAATTCAAAGTGAACTGAAAAGAACTAGAAACTTACAGAAACGACGAGGGCACAGGCAAAGAAGGCAATGGCGAGAGTGGTGAAACGCATATCCGTTATTGACAAGAATCGAGAAATCGGATGCATTTTTGAGCCTTTTCCGAGCTTATATTCCCATTTTTAAAGCCCCTCCCTCCTTCTCGTTTTCAATCGTTCATTTCTTAAGTTTCGTAATATCTGGATCAGTTCGCACACACCTTGACTGATAATTATTCATCATATGAAACCTGTATGATATTTGTACAGAGACACGTTGCGTTTATTTAAGTGCTCCAGACGTTTTTTGAGTATTACTTTATCACCTATCATTTGCTAAACTCGAGCTCCAGCTGGAGCCCGAACACTTTTTCACGCGTCGCGTATGATAAACTGTTTGCTCGGCATGCGAGAGACGAGAAAAAAGCAGACGAGAGAAAGAAGCGCTAATTAAATTGAGAGAGCAAAGATTGCGTAGGTTTCTATTGAAAAGAAGTGGAGGTACGAATGGGTATATAAGCTCGGAAAAGGCTCAAAAATGCATCCGATTTCTCGATTCTTCTCAATAACGGATATGCGTTTCACCACTCTCGCCATTGCCTTCTTTGCCTGTGCCCTCGTCGTTTCTGTAAGTTTCTAGCTCTTTCAGTTCACTTTGAATTATCTTTTTTTCAGGGCAGTGTGCTTCGTGAGAAGAGACAATGCGGGTGTGCTCAGCCCCAACAGAGCCAGTGTTCATGTCAACAGGTCCAACAATCGCAATCTTGCTCGTGCCAATCTGCTCCGGTTCAACAACAATCCTCATCTTGCTCTTGTGCTCAACCACAACAGACTCAAACTGTTCAGGTTGCGTTGCCTTTAATTATTCTTTCCTAATTCCTAACATTTTCAGGTTCAATCCTCGCAATGTGCCCCGGCCTGCCAGCAGAGCTGCACCCAGCAGTGCCAATCCAGCCCATCAGTCTCCGAATGTCAACCAGTCTGCCAGCAGCAATGCCAATCCCAATGCACTCCAACTTACAATCCAACCACCACTACTACCACCACTCCCGCTCCAGTTGTCCAATGTCAGCCAGTCTGCCAACAGCAGTGTCAATCCGCTTGTGTCCAGCAGCAGCAGCCAGTGTCCCAGTGCCAACCACAATGTCAGCAGCAATGCAATGTTGCCTGTGATTCCTCATCCACCACCACTTCCGCTCCTCAACTCATCCAAATCCAGCTCGAAATCCAGCAAGTCCAGGCTCAATGTCAACCAGCTTGCCAACAACAGTGCCAATCCACGTGCGCCCAACAGCAGCAGCCAGCTTGCGACTCCTGCAACACCCAGTGCTCCAACATTTGCCAGCAAACCGCCCAAGCTACCCAACAAGTCGTCAGCAACAATCAGAACACCAACTCGAACACTCAAATGTACAATCCGTACAACGACAACAACGGACAATGTGCCCCAGTTTGCCAGCCAGCCTGTGACAACTCTTGCACCTCCCAGCAGACACAGGCCCCAATGTACAACCCATACCCATCTACGACCAGTGCTCCAGCTCAACAGCAAGTTGTCCAGATCGTGCTCCAATCCTCGGTTGCCCAGTCCTCTCAATGTGCCCCACAATGCGAACAGTCCTGCCAGCAACAATGCGTTCAGCAACAACAGCCAGCTTCTCAGTGCCAGTCCGCCTGCCAGTCCTCATGCTCTAGCTCCTGCCAAGCTGCTCAACCGGCTACCACTGCTTGCCAACAGAGCTCGAGCTCTTCCAAGGAATGCTCCTGCCAGTCTAACTATTCGCCATGTGGAAATGGACAGTGCTGCCGCAGAAAGTAGACCTCCACGTTGAGACGGACTCCTGTTTTTGTAAATATCGAAACAGTTGCATTTCATTCTGATTATCAATAAATTTACTTTCATTTCCTGGTTTTGAAATACACAAACTACAAAAAAGTGATAGACCGTGCAATTATGTTTTCACGCGTTTCCGAATGTGCATTAGTCTTTTCAAATACTCGGAAAGGTCGCATGAAACCAAAGATTTTTGCTAAACTTCCAAAACTCTATAAAGAGAAAGAGGAAGTGAATTGAGAAGAATAAAAACCATTTGTGCCTGATAAAAACTTTTTAGACAACTACGTACTAACTCTGCGAACAGACTTCGTCAACTTCGAAAGGTATGATCAGTCTGAGAAATACTTCCCAATATTTGTGTCTAAAGATCGTTTTTTTACTCATACTACTTGAAGATGGAGGCACGGAACTGCTCGTTGCCTGCCCCAAAAGTTTTCTCGTGAGTTTTACACTTAAATGTTGACACATCTTCTCTAAAATTTCAGAGATATAATGCACTATTCTCACATAATCAGTTATCCAGTCTATGCTATTACTCTGATGGTTTTATTTCGTGATACTTCAAAAGTGTTTCAAACATACAAATACTACATTATAGCTCATCTTTTCATGTACGTCACGGCTAAATTCACTGAAAAGTTAAAACTTGCAGAAACATAATATCAGAAACGTACGTCTCCTTTCTCATGCTTCCTATGACCTACCTTCCTCTACCATTATTCCGCACTACTGGATTGTTGTCACAATTAGGCTTCAGCGGATTGTGCCAGTTTTACATTCTCGCTGAATTTGTGAGTGTGAATAAACAAGCACAGTTGGCCAAATCCGGGCTAACAAGCCGGCCTCTCCGGATTTTTAAGCAGAATTGGGCTTATCTAGAACTTTTCTGAATTAGGAAGCTGAGAATTTTAATTTAAGCAAAGAAATATGTGCGCTTTCGAAAAAAATTCCGGTCAAGACTTGGGCCAAACCGAGATGAATGAGTTCTTCGACCTCCCGTTGCAACTATGAGCCTATGAGTTTATTTCGATAATTCAGGCGTCTCTCACAGTTGGATCTATCCTCGAAATGTTCTATTTCCGTTTCAAAATCTGCATTGTTCACTATCAAACTCATAAAATTGCCATATTATTCAAGTATCAGCTCTATACATTCAGACTTTTGTGTGTTCTGGGCCCGTTAGTGGGCGCTGTTACTTTTAATCGAAGTGTGGTAGTTCAGCAGGAAGAAACTTTGAGAATATGGATGGTAGGTCAATTACAAGGAAATTTTTTGGTTGTACGAGATTAAAAAGAGTTTCCAGAAATACCCATCATTCCCACCGGAAATCACTTGTTACTCTGTCATAGTCGGCGTTCTTGGATACAGTGTTTTTTATATTGTCGTCTCATTTTATTGTGTTCAAGTTTTGATATCAATCACAGGATCGGCTGGACCATTGATTTTTATTACATCCTTCATGAGTCGAGGGTTCGCATTATCTCGAGAAACTGAAAAGTTTCAGAGAATGCTAATTGTCAGTCTATTTATTCAAGTAATCTGAATGAAAATCTGGAAAGCACTCGTGAAACTATCGTTTTCAGGGTGCAATTCACGGTGTTATGATCATTGTCCCCACATTCTTCCAAGTCTACGCCCTGTTTTTTGATTTGAATAGTGATGGTAACACTTCTATCGTTCTCCGAGCAAACTGCGTACATATTTCTTTCAGATTTTGCCTCGATTTTATTAATCTGCGTGGCATACCATGGATTTTTCTCTACATGTGCTATGATAATTTTCACCAAGCCAATACGTGACAAGATCCTGTTTTGCTGCAAAGAACGAACAAGAACCGAGCCGGGCAACCTTTCAATTCTTGTTTCTTCCGGCATCGACAATATTTTGCCTCCGCCCCAATAAGTTTAGTGTAGTCGAAGGAAAGCTTGACCACATAACATTTTGATGGAAATTTGATTTTCTGAATTAAATTTTGCAACCAGGAAGAAATCGGATTTTGACTGAATATAAACACATTTCCGGGGGGGGGGGGGGGGGGGGAGGTCAAAACTTTGAACAGTCTCAAGAGTACAGTGAAAAGCAGCATGTGATAATCCAACAAGTCGTCAGCAACAATCAGAACACCAACCCGAACACTCAAATGTCCTCTCCATGTGCCCCACAATGAATACAGTCTTGTCAGCAACAACAGCCGGCTGCTCAGTGCCTTCTATTCCTCGTGCTCCAGCTCCATTTCTCAGTTCTGTGTTACACCCACTATAAAGAACAATTCAGAGTGTGCAATTATGATCTCACGCTTCTCAGAATTCGCTTTGCTCTTTTTGAAATTCTGGAAAGGTCACAAAAAGCCGAATATTCCAGCTAAACTTACACAACTCATTAAATAGAGACTGTAAAAGTTGAGTCCTGTACAATTGGAAATCATTACCGCTCATCAATAAACTTTCAACAACAATTGTATTACTCAATAAAACACAAAAAGGGGGCGCCTAGTTTGACTTGCATGCTACACTTCTACTATCTATTACTTACATTTCTTTCGACAGTGTTCGACGATTTTGGCGATGCATACAAAGTATAAGATAGTATAGCAGTATTATGAGACTTGAGAGCGACGGATTGTTGAGAGAAACGGAGTGTGGCGACGGTCGAATCTCCAACGGGAACTGAAAGGAAGAAATTATGAGGACATGCCGAATCGAACCCGACCCCACTAGTAGCATGCAAGTCAAGCGCGTAAACAGTTAGGCTATAGGCACCCCATATGTACGATGGCCGAATGACGCTTATGAATAAGCGGAAGGAGAGTTGCGAGCGGTAGGGGAACGGCGTCTCTTTCCACTGTATGCACAGGGCCGATGACAGCGAAGGGGGAGGGGGTGTTGCTTTATGGTGCGGAGAATTAGCAGATTTTGACGAATCTGAAATAACTAATACGAATAAATAATTCAATTTTTTGAGTTGTATGTGTGCGCATGTGTATTAGACTTTTCTGTATGAAAACCAGTATAGTCGCAATGATTTGTGATCATCAATCCGACCGATTCCATTAAAAAATTTTTGTTCGATTGGAAGAATTCGGAACAGCACACTATTAGTTTTATCATGACTCACAAATGCACAAATGTTTCAGATGCAAGTTTTCAGACGTAGCAGGTGATAAAATCAACAAAAATTCAAAACGCATGAGACGTAAAGTGTTTGCGGAAATAATAAATTCGACATCTGATAACGGTACAGAGCTAAAGGAATGAACAAATACAGTAAGAATCGGCGGGGTTGTAGAGGGAAGGGTACAAAATACAAGCTTTGATACAAGACAATTCATACATATTATTTGGAAGAAATCTATTGCTTAGGCATGGGTTAAGCGTAAAACATATAGAATCCACAGCTCAATGTCGTTTATCGAGTTAGACAAATTGAAAAGTTCACTGTTGAGCAGGTGAACGTTTGTATCTTCGCGGACAGTAGTTGTTTGCACTCCGGCAGCCTGAAAAGCAATAGTTATGTACATATTGAATGAATGGTGCTAACCTTCAAAGCGTGGACGAAGTTCTCTTCTACTGCGTCGATAACATTAGAATCGCACGTGATCAGCATTGTCGGTGGAAGGCCCGATAGTTCGTTTCTGATCAACGCTGATAAATCTGAAGGCCATCGCTCGCGGATTTTGTGACTCTCGTAGTGATTGGACGATTTATTGTGGGACATTACCTGGAAAACAGAAGGCATTTAAGAAACCGAACACTTTTTGGTCAGGCTACTTCCTGCGTGTGTCCGTTCGATGTAACAATCGGAACCAAGTACGTCTTCTCGTCCATGTCAATCCCAGAATACAGCATGTACTCATAAGCAACAGACTTCGCATCCACAAGTACTTTTTCGTTGAGGCGCGAGTGGAAAAACCGGTAAACGACGGATTGCACGTCGAACATTTGAAGAAGCGGATGGATCAGCACTTGTCCGGCCAGCTTCGGGAGTGTGTTGCGGGCGGCACGACGTTGGGCAATGACGGTGGCAAAGTTTGCTCCGACAGAATCTCCCATCAACACAACTTTTGACGGGTCAATTCCATACTGATCATTTCCGTGCTGGAAGAAGTGATTGATGACGGCCTCGCACTCCAGAATGCCATGAGGAGAGATAGTTTCCGGAGAGAAACTGTAATCGATTGAAATGAAGAGTGTCCTCATCTCGTAGGCCATCCTCTTTATCACTGAATCGTCCATGTCGACATTTCCATGTGCAAATCCTCCTCCGTGGATGAAAATGACGGCTCCGTCCGTGAATGTCTCGCTGTTGGTTGGCATGTAAACCTTAACGGGAGTACCATTCCAGTTCTGACATTCCACGTGGATCCAGTTTTCTGTGCTGATGAAGTATTCCAGACTCGTTGAGAGCTTGTTCATGGCTCCGCAAGTCCAGTGCATCAGTCTACTAGCCATCGAGACAAGACGATTCTGAAAATTTAAATTGAGAATTATACTATGGACATTGAAAACAATAAGAAAATTGTCAACGTACCGGGAAGAGGTTGGCAGCAGTGAGGGCGGGTTTGAGAACCCTCCTCAGATTTCGGTTCCATTCTGTGACAGTGAATCCGACCGACTGCGGATGATAAAAGGAACATACTGCTCTGAAAAGGGCCAGGCTAGTTCCTCCGACGAGAATCCACTTGACGCGTTTGAGACCACTTTCTGCGTGGGGCATCATTTTTTCCGAGCCTGAAATAGAGAAAGTGGAACATCTCAAAAAAATATGAAAAATTATGAATAGACGAAAAAAAAACCGATAGTTCACAGCGGAGAAGGGTAAGATGGCCGTGAGTCGTTGAACAGATGTGGTTGATGAAATAAATCAATACGCTGGAAATGTCACTGAATACGTACTGCCGGAGTGTCGTTCTGTCGTGGAGGACGAGAGAGTGTGTGAGGTGAAAACTAGAAGAACATAGCCCTTACAAGGAAAGTACCCGATTTGCCGAGCGAGGTTTGACTCGGGACTAGCGGGGATTGAGAGGTCACATGAAGGTCATTTTAGAATTTAACAAAGAAAAACTTACACTTGGCAGCAACAGCATTAGCGTGAAATCCAGAAAAAATGTGGAGGGAATATCTTTCTACCTTTGAAAAAGTTGTACGACTTGACTGAAGTGTACACCTTATACCAAGAGTCGAAAAATGTTTCCACTTCCATGTGGAGTTTATAGGCCATAAAAGACGGTCTCTTAAGATAATCCTTTTCAGTAAACTCTTCCGAGCCTTTTTCAGGGCTCTCGCAGACCTTACCAGATAAGCTAATCCTTTTATCTTATCTGTCTTATCAATTCTAATATTTTATCTTGTCTGTCTTATCAATTCTAATCTTTTATCTTATCAATTCTAATCAAATCAGTGAGAAAGGGTCAATCCAATGAAAATGAGAATAGTTAAACGTGGGAATGGGCACGAGAAAAGTATAGTCTACTCTATCGATAGTGCTCCGCGACACAGCCATAGGAAAGAAACCAAATTTGAAACAAACATCGTGATTTTGAACAATCGGGAAAGGAAGATATGCCACCAGGCGCTGCTTCTTCGCATTCTAGACTTACGAGAGAGAGAGAGAGAGAGAGAGAGAGAGAGAGAGAGAGACATTATGACGTGGCAAAGTTGAAATGTTGGTTTTTTTTCGTATTTCAGCCTGAACTCTCTCAAACGAAAAACGCTTTTTGATATCTCTATCCATTCACGAGTTATGGTGGTTATTTGCAGTTACAATCAAAATGGAACAATAGTTGAAGAATATTAGTAAGCTCTCAACCATCTCTCTCTTCCTCCCTCCGAAATTATTGCTATGCAAGAAGTCAAACTCTCAACCATCTCTCTGGTTGGAAATGGTGGAACAAAAATAGAGAAAAATACAAGGACAGCTCGTGAAGACAAGCACATGACAACGGAAATCTGCTTCATTTAAACGAGAATACCAGTGTTGAAAAAGAGCAACTCGTGCATGTTCACTCGTTTTTTGGAAACATTTGGGAACGTGTAATTTCAGAACATTCCAACCGTAACATGGATTTCAAAGGGACAGAGTGCGAATAAATTTGAAAGTAGAAAGAACAAGAGGTAAAAGAGTACAGCAAAACGGATTATTGGAAGCGCTCCTGTTTGACTTCCATCAGTTGTTCGACGACATTTTCGGTCGCATTCGTTTGTTCTGTTTTTATGATGACACCCTGGTCAAGACGACAACCAACTTTCGGTTTGACTTCGTCCTTTCCTGAGATTGACGCGCGTGGGGCATTCGACGAACCACGAGAAGGAGTGCAGAACAGCGATTCGAACGTTTCGAATGGGAGGGAAGACTGAAAAATATTGATTTCTCGATGATTTTTGTGTTTCCTATTCACGGGCTGAGCCGGGCCAGGCTAAAAAATGAAAACAGTGTAATCACATAGAAATATGTTGTAAGACCCGATTCTCCGATTGAAAAAAACCGACTCACTTTGAGTACATCTATGTTCTTCTCTCTATCATTGCCCTGGAGTAGTGGCTGCAGAAGCGATCGATCCAAAGCGCTTACGAACTGTTTGATAGATCCCTTGAAGTAGGTCTCGATATAGCTCCGCCGGGGAACCACCGAAGTCTTGTGTCCAGCAGAATTGCAAGCAGCCTGAAATCAATGTACATTCATATTCAAAAGACAAAAATTGCTGGCAGCTTACCTTCAAAGCTCGCAACGCCTCGTATCCAGGTTGAAAGCTAGAATCGCATCTGAAGGCAACGTTTTGTATTTCCGCTTGTAAACTGAGTGTCAATTTCAACTGAAAAATGATGGAATGTAAGTAAAAACCTTTAGAAATAAGGCTAACCAAGAGAAAAATGTGCGACATGCACATCAGATACGGTCCTTCTCCCATCACGATTTCCTTTCCTTTCTTCATGCTGACTTGTCCGTAATACACTGTCGGCACAAGTATTTTAAAGACGTTTTCAATGTTCGAGATCTCGGTCATCTGGCCAGGCGTTGTCTTTTTATGACAAATAAAGCACGGCCGGTAATTGATGACGTTGCTTTGATTCTGTAAACGACGTTTTAATTTGATTTCCATAATTTCACAGGAGCGTTTTTGTCTATATATTTTCGGTTTTTGTTCAACAGTTAAATATCTCACCTGGGCTGAGTTTGTTACGGGCATTGGTGGTTCGACTTTCACATCGTATGATAGGTTGAGTTTTTCCCAGAACGTCAGATGAATTGAGAAGCTGTCCAGAAACAGTTTGAAATAGTTGTTTTTGAAGTGTTGAAGTAGCGGTAGTTGTATTACTGCGGAAGTATTTCTTCGATTTCGCAAGTGCTGAAACAAATTTCATCAGAATTGGTTTTAAAAAAACAGGACTGAAGAAGTGTTTTTGGTATTATTTTGACCGAACCAAACTGTAAACTCTATTCAAGATGAGCAGATCTATAATGAATATGGTGGCGCTTTTACAAAAATAAACTATGATGATGGAATGATAGCTCTCTCATCTCCTTGGCTCTGTGCCGATCCACCAAAGTTCCACAGTCTCCTTCGGAAAACCCGCAATAGAAATCTCACCGTGAGCTGCCGGAGAATGTTGTAGCCAGGCGGCGAGTCTCCCGTGCTGATGTCGTACGCATTGATCATGCTTTGCAGTCTGATGATTTTCTCGTACTGAAAGTAAATGTACAAGTTGTCAGTTCACAAATTATGATCCTACCACTGGGACAATGTGTACTTTGCACATTCGAAAGCAGCGCATCTCCAGGATCCTTCTTTTTGCCTCTCCTAACGTTTTATCTCCAAAATATACGTGTGGGACGAGCACTTTGAATGCATCGATGACGTTTCGGAGGAACACCTCGCTACCGACCTTTTTGGCACAGATCAGACAACCGTCCCGTCTGGAATTGACGGCAAGCAGCAAAAGCGCATCGTCGTTGTCTTTCTGAAAAAAAATGTAAGTAATAAGACAGTAAAGTGCGGTTAAGTTGTTGTCCGGTTATGTTGATTTTTCCGATGCAAAAGAGAAAACTTAGTTTTTATCAGCCAAAAGACTTACCAGTTTTTCCACTGTTGGCACTTTAGACAGCGGGTTCAAATGATGACACAAATCTCGAAAACAGTCCAATTGGATCGTTTGTAGTGGAAGATTCGATTCTTGGAGAAGTTTTAACACAATTTCTGTTGTTTTCTTGTGGAACTCGGTTTCTTGTTGAGTGGGCGGTTCCATTATGAACTGAAAACAAAAAAGTCGAGTATTTTGTGTTGAAAAGGGACGAAAATGTTGCGATTAGGCTTACAGAGCGAAGAAAAAAGACAAAAATCAACTGGGTAATGCTTAGCGCACCGGAGAAACAGTGTGATAAGGGTGGAGGGTGGCAGGCGGAAAAACCGAGAGGTTGCAGCGTGTGTTGCAGGGAAAATATCGATCGGCTGCGAAAGGAGGGAAAATTAAACAAAGCACGGAAAAAAAGAGGTTTTCACGTGAAAATGTAGCATTCGTCACTGTGAAATGGGGAGCACAGATGGGATGAATCTATTCCACGCGGATTTTGACGAATTCTTTGAAATACTTACTCGTTTCTGATTGAATGAAAGCCAAGAAGTTTATCGGAAAGCGTGGAAAATCCCCTTCCGAGCGATGTCGAATATGTTTTGCTGTAAATATTCATTCTTAAATCTTTCAAATTTTCAAAGCCATTATGGTCAAGGTAAATCTTCATTCGTAGAAAACGTTTTGCTCTACTACATCATCTTTTCTTATCTCTCCTACTTTTCTAACTGATTTCTCTTCCACTTATCTGAAAAGACATGCGAGCGGAGCGAGAAAGTTTGAAACCCGGCGTTAGCCGGAGAGAGAGCGATCGGTAAGTAATTCCAGGTCCCGAACTGGTATCGATGACGGATTGAAAGATGAGGGAAGAGTGATGGAAGATGTTCATATTGTTGACAAAGACTGCGAACTATACAGAAAGAGGGAGGATGTGGAGTAAGTCGTTAAGGTAAACCAAGAAAAGAAAGTGGTCAGTGACGGACCTCTAAGGTACTCCAGTTGGAATTCGAGTTCTGGAGGTTTTTTTTTGATGGAGAATGATCAGTGAGAGAGGAAATTGTTGAACCAACCGCAAAAAGGGGAAGGAAAAAAGATATAATAGTTTGTTGGTGAGAAAGCTTTGATTTACTTTGACAAAGACGTTCATGAAGTCAAGGTAGATCATGTCTAGGGATTTGTGGGAAGAGAGGACGTGTCTATTGCTTGAAATGAAATCGAGAAGAGAGAAAGTGCAAGAGCGAGATGAAAGAAAGCCATGATGGTTAGGGTGGAATCTTCAAAAGAAATCGGTAATCAGGAGTCTGCTTAAGGGGGCGGGGCTTTTTTTCCCTGTCAGTTTTTAGAAAAATGTAATTTTTCAAACAAGTTCATTTCATACACGGTTAATCCTGAATCCTTAAATTTCATGCAATATAATAGCATTCTTACAATCGAACAGTTAGTAAGAGCCGTTCGGCTCTGTGACCTTGGAATTCTAGGAGATGAGAACAAAATTAAAGACAATGAACATTCGAAAGTTTAAAACAGCGATTAGCAGTGAATAAACGGTGTCTATTTCCAGAAGGATTTAGGGACACCTGCAGTATCTGCTTCATCCACAAAAAGCCCTTTCGTACGGCACAGCATCATTTTCACGTTAATACTAAAATTTTTCAGTATGACCGAAAAATCGAAAAAATTATTTAAAGTTTGAAAAAAAATTGTTTTTTCTACCTGAAGGAGGGGAGCTAGAATTTTGATGTCAACGTAAAACATGCTCAAAAAGATGCGAGGAATCGAATGGGGTTAAGTTTGAGTCGATAATATTTTTCTGAATTTTTTTTAGCGTTCGGGGGGGACCGCAACATCTGGAAGACCTCTCCGACACTCTCCCTCTCGCCTTTTTGACGGAAGCTGGCCGCTCCGATGGCGGTAAATCTATCAGAAGTGTGCGGCCGTACAGTCTCCCTGCGAGTGTTTATAAGACGAATAAACAGTATGCCGGACGATGCCGGGTATGCCGGACGATGCCGGGAAAGCATAAAAAAGAGCGGTGTGACAGCGCGAACGATGTTTTTATTTTTTATGAACGATGTTTTTATTTTGCCAGACGATGCCAGAGAAAGCGTTCACTAAAGAGGGACGTGACAATATTGTTCCGTATCAGCGGAACGGAGAGGGAAAATAAGAAAACTTCTCCACTGTGTAAGGATCATTCAGAGGATTGATCGGAAAACAAGAAAAAGACAGTTTCACCGCCATTGGAACGGTCAGCTTTTGACTAGAAAGCGAGAGGGAAAGTGGCTTCGTTTGGTTATAACTCTCCTCGGATGGTCCACCCACTTTTCTGACTTATACCAAGTGATAGTGATCATGTCATCGAGTTGCTCAAGTGATTGAACGTCTGAATCAATGGATCAGAAACCTCCGAGCATCCACAGTCCCTCTTTCTACTTCTTTGCGTCAGAAGAGCAGCGGGAGAGATGAAAGTGTTGCGTAGGAAGGGAAAGTAGAAAAAATCATTTGAAAACTACTTCATTTGGTCAGTGGCACAGGCTCCCAATACAATAACACGTTGCGCAATCTCTTTTGACGACGCGACACCACAGCGTTTTTTTCTGTCACAGACCCTACTCTCCATCATTTATTTCAATTGGGTTTAGACGTGACAGGAAGCGGGGTGATACAGTTCTTTATTTTGTTTTCCTCAAGCGCACTAGTCATTTTCATCTTCACTTTGCTTTTCAATTTGATTTCTGGTTTCGGCATTACCGGACAAAGTTAGCGAAAAGAGAAGGAGGGAGCATCGCACTCGGATCTTGTCACATCCCTCTTCTTTACGCGTTCTTCCGGCATCGTCTGGCAAAATGTTTATTCGTCTTATAAACACTCGCAGGGAGACTGTACGGTCGCACACTTCTGATAGATTTACCGCCATCGGAGCGGTCAACTTTCGACTAGAAAACGGGAGGGAGGGTGGCGGAGAGGTCACACAGATGGTCGAGTTGGTGGCACATGATTCGCGCACTTCCCTCCGGACAGCTGACTGTTTTCCGACTTGCTCTTTTCGGTTTCGTTTCGTTTGTACCGATATAATATTTTTCAGATAGTCAAAATGATAAATTACGATAGATATTTTGAATTAATATTCAAAATCCCCGAATTTCTCTCCAAGCCGGAAGGCGAGTTTTTCGGACCGATGGAGCGGCACTTTGGAATCAATTGGTATGTCTATCGTTACTAACCACCATTTTTAGACCCCTTAGTGAAGTCATAAATTGAAAAAAAATTGAATTTTGTTTAGCCGTGTGTCCCTTAACCGCTCAAGTGAAGAAATCGACGTGAACATTGTTATGGACAACCCGGAGCCGTGGAAAATTGTGCTCCAATTCACTCCCTGCGTTCTGAAAGACGACGGAACGTATCACGTCTTTGCGTTTAGCACGGTCTGCTTCCACCCGCATGAGCAGGGAGAGCGGGAGCTCAGAAGGTTCGACACGTACAGCTCCTTTTCGCGCAACGGACCATTCACGGCCAGTGGAACGCTGACCGTTTGCATCGCCGTCGAAATTCTTTATATTGTGAAGATGGACCGGATCAGGCTTAGGACATTTGATGATCCAAACGTAGGAGACTTCAAAATAGTTGTGGGCACCAAGAAAAAGTGTTTTCTCCTGCCCAAGATGGTTAGCGAATTACCACTTCCCGAAAATGTTCCAAACCTTTTTTTTCAGTTTTTGGCCATGCAGTGTGCCTACTTCAAAGGCATGTTTGAAGCTTCCTGGAATGAGACAGAGGAAATGTCGGTTGTGTTTGAGAAATACGATGAAGATGCCTTCCATGAGTTCATGGAAGTTCTAATCGGAGAGCCAGTAGTCAATGGTTAGTTATCTACACGATTTGAATGCGTAACTTTGAACAAACGTTTTTTAGATGTGAATGTCACCCATATTCTAAATTTTGGTGACTACTTTGGTGCAGATACGGCAGTCAGAAGCTGTCAAAAGTTCCTCGTCGAAAACTCCGAAAGTGTTGGCCTCCAAGAATGTCTCCGCCTCGCCCTCCGTTTCCCGAACCTCACAGATCTAATGGTAAGCCACAAAGACTGTAAAAGAAATTGTAAATATCAATAATTGCAGAATAAATGTATGGACGACCTGAAAGTCAGTCGACTTTTGCCACGACGATTTGTGAGCAACAACCCACAAATGACTGCGGCCGAGTTCTACCAGCACATCTTACGTTATCAACGACAACGACGTGGCGGGCGCCACTAGATTTTCATGATTATCCCCATCAGATTCATTCGTTTTCATTCTCTGTACTTTCATTGTCTTGCTCCCTCATCTCATTACCAATTTTATCATGTATATATTCTACTGACAATGTTGTTAAACTTGCTGCCACTCACTTATATTTCCCTCCCCCCACTGACTTTTCATTGATTTCTTTCCTAAATTTTTTTGTTGAACTCATAATTTGAATTTGCAAACCATGTTTTGCTGATGTTGTTTGCTCGCAACTCACATTCACTCCAATTGTTCTCAGGTGTTTGTTTTTAATGTCATTCCCATTTGTTCTCATAGACTGTAAAGTTTAGCCAAAGACTCGTTCAATTCCTACGTATATGTACTAATACACGACCCGGGTCGCTTAGACGTAGTTTCATCACGTTGGCTACCCGTTGATGACATTATGGACGTCAAAGCCTGAACAGGAACAATGCGATTTTGTCATTGTACGTGGTGCTACTGATGCAGATTTTTTTTTTCCACTGTTTTCTTTGAGGTACCTTCTAGAGTACGCTCTGAGTTATGCAGAACCTTGTCGCAATCTTGGACGCCATTACGAATTTGTTTAAGAATGAGGAGCACTGAAATTGATTTGAAATATTCGATTCACAGTCGAAAAACTTACTGTCGCTACACAATTTGACGGTTCTATCGAAATTGTTCTGCCCTTGATGCAGATTCATAACGGGTTGAACAGGCAATATCGGCTTGACTGTTACATTTTTGGTTGGCAAATGCTTTTCAGCAGGTTTTTAAAAAACTATCGATGACATTATGAGCTGAAAGGCCTGAAAAGAACAGTGAAAATTCAGAAAAAAAACGAACCTAGAGCTTTTGCAAAGCTCTCATGATTTCAGTGAAACTAGCAGTTTTTCAAAAAAATGGATATCTCCATTCGATTCAGAATGCAAAAATACCCCTGGGCGTCTTCCTTCGAGCCCTCCGGAAGCCGTGAGCTGCGCGCAATGCGGAGCGGCGCCGCTCCCCCGCGCCCCGGGTTTATAGGGGCCCCGCGCCCCGAGTGCTCGCGGGGCGCCCATAGCTAAGTGGCTAAGAGATTAGACTGCCATGCGACAGGGGTCAGGTTCGAACCCACGTGCCCCAAAAGTCTTTGGAATAACTTATCTGACTTTCAGGGATGCTGAATGAAGAAAAACCGAGCCGCACTGGATCCCCCCCTCCCCCGAACAAATAATATACAAGAGGTGAGTAGAAACCAGCAGAATAGCAAGCCGTGAGCTGCGCGCAATGCGGAGCGGCGCCGCTCCCTCCCGCCCCGGGTTTATAGGGGCCCCGCGCCCCGAGTGCTCGCGGGGCGCCCATAGCTAAGTGGCTAAGAGATTAGACTGCCATGCGACAGGGGTCAGGTTCGAACCCACGTGCCCCAAAAAGTCTTTGGAATAACTTATCTGACTTTCAGGGATGCTGAATGAAGAAAAACCGAGCCGCACTGGATCCCCCCTCCCCCGAGCAAATAATATACAAGAGGTGAGTAGGAATCAGTAGAATAGCATGACCCCTGTAGCAAATAAGTCAAATGGGCGCCCCTTTTTTTGTCATTGTATGTGATGCTATTATAGCAGATTCACTAGTTCCCACAGAAATCGAACGGAAAGAATTTAAGAAGAGCGCTAGCCACCCTCCGGAAGCCGTGAGCTGCGCGCAATGCGGAGCGGCGCCGCTCCCCCGCGCCCCGGGTTTATAGGGGCCCCGCGCCCCGAGTGCTCGCGGGGCGCCCATAGCTAAGTGGCTAAGAGATTAGACTGCCATGCGACAGGGGTCAGGTTCGAACCCACGTGCCCCCAAAAAGTCTTTGGAATAACTTATCTGACTTTCAGGGATGCTGAATGAAGAAAAAAACCGAGCCGCACTGGATCCCCCTCCCCCGAACAAATAATATACAAGAGGTGAGTAGGAATCAGCAGAATAGCATGACCCCTGTAGCAAATAAGTCAAATGGGCGCCCCTTTTTTTGTCATTGTATGTGATGCTATTATAGCAGATTCACTAGTTCCCACAGAAATCGAACGGAAAGAATTTAAGAAGAGCGCTAGCCACCCTCCGGAAGCCGTGAGCTGCGCGCAATGCGGAGCGGCGCCGCTCCCTCCCGCCCCGGGTTTATAGGGGCCCCGCGCCCCGAGTGCTCGCGGGGCGCCCATAGCTAAGTGGCTAAGAGATTAGACTGCCATGCGACAGGGGTCAGGTTCGAACCCACGTGCCCCAAAAGTCTTTGGAATAACTTATCTGACTTTCAGGGATGCTGAATGAAGAAAAAAACCGAGCCGCACTGGATCCCCCTCCCCCGAACAAATAATATACAAGAGGTGAGTAGGAATCAGCAGAATAGCATGACCCCTGTAGCAAATAAGTCAAATGGGCGCCCCTTTTTGTCATTGTATGTGATGCTATTATAGCAGATTCACTAGTTCCCACAGAAATCGAACGGAAAGAATTTAAGAAGAGCGCTAGCCACCCTCCGGAAGCCGTGAGCTGCGCGCAATGCGGAGCGGCGCCGCTCCCCCGCGCCCCGGGTTTATAGGGGCCCCGCGCCCCGAGTGCTCGCGGGGCGCCCATAGCTAAGTGGCTAAGAGATTAGACTGCCATGCGACAGGGGTCAGGTTCGAACCCACGTGCCCCAAAAGTCTTTGGAATAACTTATCTGACTTTCAGGGATGCTGAATGAAGAAAAACCGAGCCGCACAGGATCCCCTCCCCCGAACAAATAATATACAAGAGGTGAGTAGGAATCAGCAGAATAGCATGACCCCTGTAGCAAATAAGTCAAATGGACGCCCCTTTTTTTGTCATTGTATGTGATGCTATTATAGCAGATTCACTAGTTCCCACAGAAATCGAACAGAAAGAATTTAAGAAGAGCGCTAGCCACCCTCCGGAAGCCGTGAGCTGCGCGCAATGCGGAGCGGCGCCGCTCCCCCGCGCCCCGGGTTTATAGGGGCCCCGCGCCCCGAGTGCTCGCGGGGCGCCCATAGCTAAGTGGCTAAGAGATTAGACTGCCATGCGACAGGGGTCAGGTTCGAACCCACGTGCCCCCAAAAAGTCTTTGGAATAACTTATCTGACTTTCAGGGATGCTGAATGAAGAAAAACCGAGCCGCACTGGATCCCCCTCCCCCGAACAAATAATATACAAGAGGTGAGTAGGAATCAGCAGAATAGCATGACCCCTGTAGCAAATAAGTCAAATGGGCGCCCCTTTTTTTGTCATTGTATGTGATGCTATTATAGCAGATTCACTAGTTCCCACAGAAATCGAACGGAAAGAATTTAAGAAGAGCGCTAGCCACCCTCCGGAAGCCGTGAGCTGCGCGCAATGCGGAGCGGCGCCGCTCCCCCGCGCCCCGGGTTTATAGGGGCCCCGCGCCCCGAGTGCTCGCGGGGCGCCCATAGCTAAGTGGCTAAGAGATTAGACTGCCATGCGACAGGGGTCAGGTTCGAACCCACGTGCCCCAAAAGTCTTTGGAATAACTTATCTGACTTTCAGGGATGCTGAATGAAGAAAAAAAAAACCGAGCCGCACTGGATCCCCCCTCCCCCCGAACAAATAATATACAAGAGGTGAGTAGGAATCAGCAGAATAGCATGACCCCTGTAGCAAATAAGTCAAATGGGCGCCCCTTTTTGTCATTGTATGTGATGCTATTATAGCAGATTCACTAGTTCCCACAGAAATCGAACGGAAAGAATTTAAGAAGAGCGCTAGCCACCCTCCGGAAGCCGTGAGCTGCGCGCAATGCGGAGCGGCGCCGCTCCCCCGCGCCCCGGGTTTATAGGGGCCCCGCGCCCCGAGTGCTCGCAGGGGCGCCCATAGCTAAGTGGCTAAGAGATTAGACTGCCATGCGACAGGGGTCAGGTTCGAACCCACGTGCCCCAAAAAGTCTTTGGAATAACTTATCTGACTTTCAGGGATGCTGAATGAAGAAAAACCGAGCCGCACTGGATCCCCCCCTCCCCCGAACAAATAATATACAAGAGGTGAGTAGGAATCAGCAGAATAGCATGACCCCTGTAGCAAATAAGTCAAATGGGCGCCCCTTTTTGTCATTGTATGTGATGCTATTATAGCAGATTCACTAGTTCCCACAGAAATCGAACGGAAAGAATTTAAGAAGAGCGCTAGCCACCCTCCGGAAGCCGTGAGCTGCGCGCAATGCGGAGCGGCGCCGCTCCCCCGCGCCCCGGGTTTATAGGGGCCCCGCGCCCCGAGTGCTCGCGGGGCGCCCATAGCTAAGTGGCTAAGAGATTAGACTGCCATGCGACAGGGGTCAGGTTCGAACCCACGTGCCCCAAAAGTCTTTGGAATAACTTATCTGACTTTCAGGGATGCTGAATGAAGAAAAAAAAACCGAGCCGCACTGGATCCCCCCCCCCTCCCCCCGAACAAATAATATACAAGAGGTGAGTAGGAATCAGCAGAATAGCATGACCCCTGTAGCAAATAAGTCAAATGGGCGCCCCTTTTTGTCATTGTATGTGATGCTATTATAGCAGATTCACTAGTTCCCACAGAAATCGAACGGAAAGAATTTAAGAAGAGCGCTAGCCACCCTCCGGAAGATGTGAGCTGCGCGCAATGCGGAGCGGCGCCGCTCCCCCGCGCCCCGGGTTTATAGGGGCCCCGCGCCCCGAGTGCTCGCGGGGCGCCCATAGCTAAGTGGCTAAGAGATTAGACTGCCATGCGACAGGGGTCAGGTTCGAACCCACGTGCCCCAAAAGTCTTTGGAATAACTTATCTGACTTTCAGGGATGCTGAATGAAGAAAAACCGAGCCGCACTGGATCCCCTCCCCCGAACAAATAATATACAAGAGGTGAGTAGGAATCAGCAGAATAGCATGACCCCTGTAGCAAATAAGTCAAATGGGCGCCCCTTTTTTTGTCATTGTATGTGATGCTATTATAGCAGATTCACTAGTTCCCACAGAAATCGAACAGAAAGAATTTAAGAAGAGCGCTAGCCACCCTCCGGAAGCCGTGAGCTGCGCGCAATGCGGAGCGGCGCCGCTCCCCCGCGCCCCTGGGTTTATAGGGGCCCCGCGCCCCCGAGTGCTCGCAGGGGCGCCCATAGCTAAGTGGCTAAGAGATTAGACTGCCATGCGACAGGGGTCAGGTTCGAACCCACGTGCCCCCAAAAAGTCTTTGGAATAACTTATCTGACTTTCAGGGATGCTGAATGAAGAAAAAAAACCGAGCCGCACTGGATCCCCCTCCCCCGAACAAATAATATACAAGAGGTGAGTAGGAATCAGCAGAATAGCATGACCCCTGTAGCAAATAAGTCAAATGGGCGCCCCTTTTTTTGTCATTGTATGTGATGCTATTATAGCAGATTCACTAGTTCCCACAGAAATCGAACGGAAAGAATTTAAGAAGAGCGCTAGCCACCCTCCGGAAGCCGTGAGCTGCGCGCAATGCGGAGCGGCGCCGCTCCCCCGCGCCCCGGGTTTATAGGGGCCCCGCGCCCCGAGTGCTCGCAGGGGCGCCCATAGCTAAGTGGCTAAGAGATTAGACTGCCATGCGACAGGGGTCAGGTTCGAACCCACGTGCCCCAAAAAGTCTTTGGAATAACTTATCTGACTTTCAGGGATGCTGAATGAAGAAAAAAACCGAGCCGCACTGGATCCCCCTCCCCCGAACAAATAATATACAAGAGGTGAGTAGGAATCAGCAGAATAGCATGACCCCTGTAGCAAATAAGTCAAATGGGCGCCCCTTTTTGTCATTGTATGTGATGCTATTATAGCAGATTCACTAGTTCCCACAGAAATCGAACGGAAAGAATTTAAGAAGAGCGCTAGCCACCCTCCGGAAGCCGTGAGCTGCGCGCAATGCGGAGCGGCGCCGCTCCCCCGCGCCCCGGGTTTATAGGGGCCCCGCGCCCCGGGTGCTGGCGGGGCGCCCATAGCTAAGTGGCTAAGAGATTAGACTGCCATGCGACAGGGGTCAGGTTCGAACCCACGTGCCCCAAAAGTCTTTGGAATAACTTATCTGAATTTCAGGTTCGAACCCACGTGCCCCAAAAGTCTTTGGAATAACTTATCTGACTTTCAGGGATGCTGAATGAAGAAAAAAACCGAGCCGCACTGGATCCCCCCGAGAAAAATAATATACAAGAGGTGAGTAGGAATCAGCAGAATAGCATGACCCCTGTAGCAAATAAGTCAAATGGGCGCCCCTTTTTTTGTCATTGTATGTGATGCTATTATAGCAGATTCACTAGTTCCCACAGAAATCGAACAGAAAGAATTTAAGAAGAGCGCTAGCCACCCTCCGGAAGCCGTGAGCTGCGCGCAATGCGGAGCGGCGCCGCTCCCCCGCGCCCCCGGGTTTATAGGGGCCCCGCGCCCCGAGTGCTCGCGGGGCGCCCATTTCTAAGTAGCTAAGAGATTAGACTGCCATGCGACAGGGGTCAGGTTCGAACCCACGTGCCCCAAAAAGTCTTTGGAATAACTTATCTGACTTTCAGGGATGCTGAATGAAGAAAAAAACCGAGCCGCACTGGATCCCCCGAGAAAATAATATACAAGAGGTGAGTAGGAATCAGCAGAATAGCATGACCCCTGTAGCAAATAAGTCAAATGGGCGCCCCTTTTTGTCATTGTATGTGATGCTATTATAGCAGATTCACTAGTTCCCACAGAAATCGAACAGAAAGAATTTAAGAAGAGCGCTAGCCACCCTCCGGAAGATGTGAGCTGCGCGCAATGCGGAGCGGCGCCGCTCCCCCGCGCCCCGGGTTTATAGGGGCCCCGCGCCCCGAGTGCTCGCGGGGCGCCCATAGCTAAGTGGCTAAGAGATTAGACTGCCATGCGACAGGGGTCAGGTTCGAACCCACGTGCCCCCAAAAAGTCTTTGGAATAACTTATCTGACTTTCAGGGATGCTGAATGAAGAAAAAAACCGAGCCGCACTGGATCCCCCCTCCCCCGAACAAATAATATACAAGAGGTGAGTAGGAATCAGCAGAATAGCATGACCCCTGTAGCAAATAAGTCAAATGGGCGCCCCTTTTTGTCATTGTATGTGATGCTATTATAGCAGATTCACTAGTTCCCACAGAAATCGAACAGAAAGAATTTAAGAAGAGCGCTAGCCACCCTCCGGAAGCCGTGAGCTGCGCGCAATGCGGAGCGGCGCCGCTCCCCCGCGCCCCGGGTTTATAGGGGCCCCGCGCCCCGAGTGCTCGCGGGGCGCCCATTTCTAAGTAGCTAAGAGATTAGACTGCCATGCGACAGGGGTCAGGTTCGAACCCACGTGCCCCAAAAGTCTTTGGAATAACTTATCTGACTTTCAGGGATGCTGAATGAAGAAAAAAAACCGAGCCGCACTGGATCCCCCCTCCCCCGAACAAATAATATACAAGAGGTGAGTAGGAATCAGCAGAATAGCATGACCCCTGTAGCAAATAAGTCAAATGGGCGCCCCTTTTTGTCATTGTATGTGATGCTATTATAGCAGATTCACTAGTTCCCACAGAAATCGAACAGAAAGAATTTAAGAAGAGCGCTAGCCACCCTCCGGAAGCCGTGAGCTGCGCGCAATGCGGAGCGGCGCCGCTCCCCCGCGCCCTGGGTTTATAGGGGCCCCGCGCCCCGGGTGCTGGCGGGGCGCCCATAGCTAAGTGGCTAAGAGATTAGACTGCCATGCGACAGGGGTCAGGTTCGAACCCACGTGCCCCAAAAGTCTTTGGAATAACTTATCTGAATTTCAGGGATCCTGAAGGGAGCATAATCCAAGCCGCACTGGTGGACCCCCCCCCCCCCAAATCATGTGTAAGGTGTCCGGACAAAGTCCTACAAGAGAAGGAAAGTGGACGGAGAAAATATATAAAAGCAGGAGGTGGACTGAGAAAATATACAAGAGGTGAGTAGGAATCAGAATGGCATTTACAGTTTTTCTCGAAAATGTTTAGTTCTCTCTAGGACGCCATTTTTTTGGGGGGTGTCCTATCTTTATGACGCGCACTGTATATGGCGTGGCATAATCGGAATGCTTTAGTTTGTTCCCTTCTCTTCTGTTTGTGTACTACATAATTTGCATTTTTTTATCCCACATATTTAATCCCATTTTTTAACTGTTGCTAATCACGTGAACCATTCCAATCAACTTTAGGAAGAAAAGCGACAACAAGAAACGACTACAGAGTTCAAGGCACATAATATTCTAACACAAATAGTTTTAAAAACGGTATGAGAAAGAAACCGTGGGGTGGTTTGGTGCAAAACGGTGATGATGATTGTGACCTAGGTTAAAGAAGAATTCGTGCGAACTCAAGTGGAGAATAACTCGATAACATAAGTGAGGGAGAAAGAGAAAGAGAGAAGTTTCGATAAAAATAGAGAAAGAGGACATTTCTGGAGGTAGAAATGCATGAAAGTCAAGGGAAGATGAGTTTAGCGAGGAAGAGTGGCGGTGGTGTCCGGGCTGTCGACATCCGTCTCCTCTTCTTCTTCTTCGTCGCTGGTCAGAGTTTCGGCGATTGCTTTTGTCGGTGGTGGCAGTGGAGTCTCGTCGTCATAGTCGTCCTTAATCTCGGTCGGCGCAGACGCAGCTGGCACCGCAGTATCGTCGTCTTTTTTGTGAGCCTTCTCAGCTTCATGCGCTTTGTAGAGGGTGAACATTTCCTCGAGCATCACAGAGGTGAACAGGTCTCCAGAGTTTTGCTGGATAAGACGCGAGATGAAGACACCGTCGGAAGTAAGGCAGTTGTCGACAAAGTTGGCAGGGAGGAGGCTGTTGCGCTCTTGCTCGACTTCAAAGGCTGGGGTTCGGTGAAGGTAGCTGAAAAGTGTTTTGTTGAAAATATGATGGTGAGATGGGAAACAGTTGTGAAACTTTGTGGCATAACAAGTAGCTGGAAGTCTAAACTCTTTAGATACTATTTTGTTTTTTTCCTAACGAAAAAATACATTCCAACCCGTCAATAACTTTAACACTCACCTGTAGATGAAGTTGCGTCCAATGCTCTGCATCGCGTAGACCGCGGACCAGTAGAGAAGCGAAAGGAAGGTGAGAACTCCGACTCCAATGAGCCAGAACCAGAAGAACACGTAAACTTTCTCGGCGAGCATGTTGATTACAATGACGCATTGGATGCTGTGGTCGTGCACGGCGGTCAGGTCCATGATGGAAAAGTCGCACATGGTGACCCGCGGAAAGATTCCAGTGGTCTCCCACTCACGGCCGGCCGCAAGGTCCTTCAATATCAAAAGGCTGTGGAAGATAATAGAGAAAAAAACTTACGAGGAAGGTGGTGAGTCCCCACATCCAACTCTTTGTCTCAAGGAAATAGGAAAGGATCCAGAACTGGAAGATGACGTTGAGCAGGTAGAGGACCTTGACGGCGATGTATAGGGATGGGAGGAAGCGTCCAGAGGCCACAAAACCACCGGTCTTTTTGAAAACGGTCTGTTCGTTGCGGAAAGTGAGCTTATTAAAGAAGTATCTTCCGGCTTTCTTGGCTCTCGACAGATCGTCCTGGACGGTTGTCTTTCTCTTGCGAGCGCTCTCAGAGACAATGGCCAGTTCCTTTATCTTGAGCTCTGAAGTAACAGGTACATTAAGAGATGGTTACAAGCTGCATCGAGTTACCACAGCTTTCGTTGAACGTTCTCCAGATAATGGATGGGATGTAGAAGAGCATGGCCTGGACGAACAAAATGATAGGGATCCACTGATAGTAGCCGACGCGCTGAAATTAATTAGGCATATTTTGGGCATTTCACTTTGAAACACATACTGGACTAGCGGTAACAGTCTCGTGTGGTGCCACCGACAATTCCTCCTCGCTGAGGAATGCTTCCGGCAAGAAGTAGGTTCCCTTGATGAAGCAGTACGTTTCCGCGTATTTCTCCCAGGTTCTCGTGAATTGAGCCGGCACCCAACACTGGATCGGCCTTCCGACGTACTGAGAAGCGGCCATCATGATGGCGGAGAAGCCGAGGAGGGTGGAAGTGTACTGGTACGAGACACGGTCGACGATGTCATTGGATTCGGCGGAGCGTCTGAAAATGGAGCTTTTTGCAAAGAGTTCGAAATATAAGACCCCTCTACCGCGTCACCCCTGAAAAATCAAACCAACTCACTGAAATTTTCGCACATACGGCAGGAGTACCCCAATCATGTTGAGAGTTGGGAAGCTCTGAATATCGAAACGTGCTGTTTTCTGGTTTTGCGTTACAATCGACAGAAAAGTAGTAAAAACGAGATTTAAAATGTGTTGGAAACAACACTAGAAACAGAGAAGAAACAGCAATGCAAGTGGCGGTGTGGGGGCGTTAGAGACAAAGAAAAAGTGAGAGGGATGAGATGAGATGCGCGATGAAACTGTGATGATGTGGATAGAGGAAGAGAGACAGAGAGGGAGGATGGAAAACTGAATTCGGAATCGGTGGAATCACGACTATTAAACGCCGTTCATCGTTATCGTTTTCCTCTACAGGCAGCTAGCACCACGCCGCAACTTTATCCGTACAACTACGTGTTTTGTTTCTTTTCTGTTCAATGCCGAACAAAAAAGATTGGATGATGATTCACTATTATAAGAAGAAAAACGACGACGCGGCAATATCAACACTAAGAACATAATAGTACAACTTTTGGATCGTTTTTACAAAAGTTGAAAGTAGAGGGAAGGAGGAAAACGACTAAAAACTTGCGAAGAGGACCTCCGTAGAAGAAACGGAAAATCAGATGAGTGAGAAGGTCACGCTAATGACGTGGTTGACGGGACAGAAGAGGGAAGGGAGCGATGAGGACGGGCGGGAAGGTCAGACTTGATTTGAATCAATTAGGCAACCGACGAGAGTGATCTGTGCGCAGGATGATCGGAAGGAAAGGGTGGATACGTGGGATGATCAGTTGTGACTTTTATCAATGTCGTTGGTGTTGGGGCTCTATCAAGTTATTGTACTGCTGGGGGAATTTTGGTGTGAGCCGCGACGCTCTTGCACCAGCCATTTTGATGTCGGAGAAATAGATGGAAGTTCAGAATGATGGCTTTGAAAAAGTTTCGAAACGTACGACAAGCCGCTGATATCTCTGACCTATAAATCTCTCAAAAGTGGAGACAAAACTCATTACTTTGAGTCAAATTTCGGATTATCTTCGATCAGCCATGGACTGAAAGTGTTTTACTGTTGCCGATGACTCATCTGGATCGATGTTTTGTATCAGTGTCAGCGCTGAGCTGGATTTAAAAAGCTGACTCATCGTCAAAATAAAAGTGGGAAGTCGATCATGTTTTGTCAGGATTCAGGCGACCAGGATATATTTTGACCAGATCATTCATAGCAAAGCAAGCCTAACAGTTTTAGGTCCGAGAAAAGCACAATTGGATTCGAGAAGCTGATGAGAACTTAAGAATATGTGGGCTCTGAGATAAAGACTAGAAAACGTGTCAAAGTTAGCGAAACACTCTCTAATACCCGATCTCTGCTCACTGCCACCCTATTTCTTTCTTTCTCCTACTGTCAACTTTAACCTAACCAGAATTCTCCAAAATTCACTCCTCAAAAGGTATGTACTCTCCGAAAGACGGCATGTTTGTACAATGTTCGAGCGTGGCGCGCGTGTGTGTGTGTGTGTACGTTTACCGTATTGAAGGGCTGGAGACGTCAGACAATCTTGTAATACATACATACTACAGGACTGCGCATAGTGAGGCTGAATGGACACTATCCTCGGTCGCTTAGCCAAGCGTGTGTCGCGTTGACGGAGGTGAGAGGGCGCCCGCGAGAAAAAAGAAAAAAAGGCTGCCTGAGAAATCGTGTACAAACGGGAGGGCGCAGAGACCCGGGAAGAGAGGAATCGGAAGGAGGGACGATCGGTTTGGAAAGGGCAACGGATTGCGCTAAGCCAATCATGAATGATGAAAAAAGTTAGGTGGCAGAGGAAGTCTAGCGGAAAAAAGCGAGAGACAGAATTCTCGGCCAGTTTTGCAGAAAAAGATGGATGCAGACAGAAAGTGCGAAGGATGTGAACTGTCTTGCACTTGTTTTTCGAACGTGAAGGTGGAAGAGGAACGTCTGTACTTTCTCTGACTAAGTCTAAAGATTGAACATCAATGATCAATGACGCCACAAACTTTCAATGAAAGAGCTTGAAAGTTCTCCAAAACCTCGGAACCCATACATACATGGGAGCGGATCGATAGACAATTTTTCTGCACACGCAGCTTGCAACCAGCTGTCATTTGAGCCGGCCGTTAAATCCAAATATGTAGAAAAAACACGAGTCTGACATGAGACAGCAAGTCCCTACATAGCCCTGGCACTGTGCCAAGCAGCCCTCAGATGTCTCACCTCGCAAAGTGTTATTGTTGTTGGGTAAAGTGAGAACTTTCTAGAAAAATTAGAGCGGATGAGATGGCACTGCGCCAAGACGTTTAATATCGAGAGATCGGTACGAGTTCCAGAACGTTCTAGCCGGTTTTTAGGCCAAAAAAAGAGAAATTGCATCATTGCTGCCACAAACAGTACGGTCGCTACGCCAACAAATGAGGTGCAAATAAGGGGTGAGGGTGGCATGGCGCCCCGAGTCGCCATTTGAATGCAAATACCTGTACACGCCGTCCGTGTTCGGTCGGGGTTAGCTGGTCTTGGGACGAAAGTTCGGAAGGGTACGGACGAGCCATGGAGAGAGAGAGAGAAGAGAGAAGAGGGAAAGGATTTGGAGTGGAATAAAGGGGGAATGGCCCGATAGACGCGGCGCTATCAGTGAGGAAGGGGACAGAGCGCGGCGGTCGCTATTGCATATTTATGAGCCTGTGGGCTGCAGCGACAGTAACCAGCGGGTCTCAAAGCGAATGTTAACGAGGGGAAGCGGCGGGATTTCAAAAAGTAGGACGCAAAGATCAACTGCAAAATGAGTTTCCTTACAACGAAATGTAGTTTATAGTGCTTACTCTAATCAGATTATATGCAAAAGTTTTTCTTTTTCTGTTTCCTAGTTTCATAAAAGAGATAAAAACACGCTGGGTTGGCGTTGGCCTACACAAAAACAGGAACTGTAGCTGTCAAAAAAAAAAGGTAATTTCAGCCAATTGGTCCATTAAATGATGGGCGCCAAAAAGAGTGTTTGTTTGTGGACTGCCTAGTTTTCCAAACGCGAATAAGGAAAAGAAGTACATAGTGATGCAATTTTTGTTTTCTTCACTTTTGGAAATCTTGCAATAATCCGAGGGGGCCCGAACTGTTCGGTTTTCTGAGTTCTGGATTTGAGTAGCTTGGGTTCAGGTTTGAAAAGTCATCTTAACAAAAAAGGGAGTTTGACCCGATACGAAACTGACAATTTGAGTAAAAAGTGTAGTGCATTGACACTATGTATAAAAACCAGTCATTCATGAAACTGCGAAAAGACACAAACCACCAACACACACACACACACACAACATGCAAATAGGCATTACTATCCGTAATACATAAAACCACAGTGATTCCAATGGACACTCGATGAGAAATCAAGAGAAAAACGGGACAAAAGGTGCCAGTGGCGGCATAAAGTGACCGGTCAGACAAAAAGAACGATTGTATCGGTGCCCGTCAGGCGTTACTCGAAACGGTGGGTGACAGGAGCGATTGGAAGATGGAGGAGAAACAGAGGAAAAGGGGAGAAAAGGGTGGAAAGGCATTCATGTGCGACAACGACCTTGTTTCTGTTCTGGACCGATGGATCTTGCGTACTGTACGCGCACGGAAATCCACGAAAACGCATTCGATTATTATTGAATTGAATGGTTTTGGTTCGATTTGACAGAGGAGACTCTGTCAGAGCTTTTACGCGGTTTTCTTTAGGTCTTTCATCGACTCTCATCAAGATGGATTTTGTGAGTTTTTGACCCGGGAGGCAAAATGAGTGAGTAACTCTCTAAAAATTTCTATGAATAGAAGGAAATTCGGTGAATTTTGACATTCTGCCAGAAAAATGGGAAAAAATGAACGTTGTGTACTCTTTCCAAATCAAACACCTCTATGTTTTCCTCGTGTTCGCCTGTAGTACAATAACATCAAAAGGAACACCGCCGGGCGCCTCCTCGCCATCTTTCACAACTTCACACGCTCTACTCCTTCTCTATGTTCCTTGCTTTTTCTTATCTCAACCATGTCCTTTTGCCTCCACTATTACTTTTCTGTTCTGTTTTTACCGTCAAGGGAACAACTAGTTGGATTATTACTATTATTTATGCGAAAACGAAACCCATCGTCGGTTTGAATGGAAAACTAGCACTCACTCTGGTATTTGCGGGAAACGAAATTGGCACAGGAAAGAGAGAAAAGCTTCGAACACACCAACTTTCGAAACGTCATGGCATTGTGCCAAGAGGATTCAAAAAAAGAGTGATAAGGAATTGAAGGATTTCCGATTTCGACTGCAAGCCAGAGTTGAGCGGAATTCCGTCTGCCGTCTTCCGTCTTCCGTCTTCCGTGGATTTTTTTGTTCCGTCTTCCGTCTGCCGTCTTCCGGGAAAAAAGTTTTCTTCCGTCTTCCGTAAAAATTTTTTTCCGTCTGCCGTCTGCCGTCTTCCGGAATTTTTTCTTCTTACCGTAAAAAAGTAATTGCTTTTCAGAAGCCATTTACTAGCCCCGAAGAACGCGAATTTCCACGGGCAGTGACCCAGATCCAAAATTTTTGTTGCTTTAGTTACTAAAAAAAACCCGAAAAAAAGGTTCTGCATTGACGATTTTTTTTGTTCCGTCTTCCGTCTGCCGTCTGCGGTTTTCCGGATTTCAAAATTCCATTTCCGCTCAACTCTGCTGCAAGCATTAAACACGGAGTCGATAGTCCGATCGGTCTGTAACTTGGACCCAATATACAGGGGAAAAGTATGGTAACATGCTGAAATCTGTGTGTATGCTGAATCTCCGAGTTGGCCTTGCGCAACTGTCTAGTTACATCCAGTCTTGACATACTGTTTCCCCTCAAGAGACTCACGGAGCTATACGCTCCAATTGGTACTCCGACACATCTTTTTGCCATGCAGAGTCAATGCATTGAGTGCCCACCAGGTTCATATTTGATAACCTCTTCGAGTTCCGGGACATTCTCTATGAACGCTTCCAAAACTACCAAACAATAAAACACGTTGTTTCGCTTGTTTTCTGATCACCTGCGATGCAAACGTGCATTTCTGTCCGTTCTCCAGAAAATACATAAAAATGGGAGAGGGGTGTTCCGTTTTTCTTCCATTTTTTATCGCTGATCGGAATAATAAAAAGATCAGCACCAAAAATTCGGATATAAAAGCGCTCTGCTCGGCCAGGAAATTCATTCGCATCCAGCCAGTCTTCCGGATTCGACTCTCTTCTCTCCAGGACAAATCCGAAACATCATGATGTAAGTTATTTTCAAGAGTTCAGAATTAGAGAAAATGCAAAGAGTTCCATCACGAGAAAACCATTCAGCCTCATACTCAAATTCTGAAATGTTGCTCTTGCAGGTTCACTCCTCGCCTCATCTCGTCTGCCGGGACTTCTTCCCCGATGCCAACCTCAGCGCAATCCGAGCCAAAACAGCCAGACACACCCAGACCTAAGTAATGTTGGGTCTGTCTGGGGAGACAATTGATAGAATCGCTCAATTTTTCCCCAGCAATAAATCATTTAAAAATCAAACCAGTTTTAGTGTTTATTTGAAGAAAAACGTCTAAAAGTTCGCAGACATATATTAATCGAATCAACACCGAGTCGATAGTCCGATCGGTCTGTAAGTTGGACCCAATATACAGGGGAAAAGTATGGTAACATGCTGAAATCTGTGTGTATGCTGAATCTCCGAGTTGGCCTTGCGCAACTGTCTTGTTACATCCAGTCTTGACATACTGTTTCCCCTCAAGAGACTGACGGAGCTATACGCTCCAATTGGTTTTCAGACCCATCGCTGATCGAAATCGATAGCAGACATTTCTTTTTCGCCCTTCCACCCCCTTTCGCTTTCCGTTCTATTCGCAGATTTGCTTCTTCTATTGCGAAGCATTTCCAGCGGTAAGATCAGGGCAACCAGAAGCTCAACGAAAATGGGGTGCAGGTCGCCCGCTCATTTCGCCTGACGGTACCCAATTCTCCGATTCTCCAGAAGCAGCAAAAAAATTGGTGATTAGTGAGTTTTGTGTGAGCGTAACATCTGCGAACCATGTAATTTTCTGTCCGTCAACTGCTTCGGGAGAGTATTCAGCAGGCTCAGCTCAAAAGTGATATTGTGTGCCATCAGCTGGCCAATTTCGAGCTGCACTCGACTCTTGAAACGCTGGGAATGAACGCATTGCTCGAGTACAAGTTGGACGGTAACAATCTTTGCTACCTTCCGCATAATTTCACTCATTTCTTTCAGAAACTGAAGAAAACAGAGAGGAAGATCCGCGTGTGCCGAGAAGAACGCTGAAGCACATCGACAAGTGAGTTCTCTCGGACCTCGAGACATCTTGTCCTAGCACTATTCAACACGAAATTTTCAGATACAAGATTCAAATGGCCGAAGTGCTGGACGCCGCGCTCTACCACACGTCCCGCTGGCTCTGATCGTCGCCAGCCTCTCTCAACTCAGATTCCTGGACATTTCGAGCACGTGCGTCTTCGACATCACGTGCATTTCAAGATTCCGCAACCTCGAAGTGCTCATCATGTACTATCTGAGTATTCTGAAGGGCGACGTCACCAAGACGCTGTCGAATTTGACGAAATTTCAGCTCATTTTCCAATGGTTCTACGGACAAACATGGAGGAGGAGACGACCTGCAAGGAGTTCGGCAAATTCATAAGAATTGCGGTTGCCTTCAAGAGAAAAATCACCTTAATCTCCTAAGCCGCGTCAGTTGAGACCTTTCACGGAATAACCAGAAAATAATGGTTTCAGAATGGAGCAGATCGGCTCCGGCTACAACAACGTCAACCTCGCGATGGAAGACGAGTTCTTTACCAACCGCCACGGCAGAGCCTGCATCTGCATGCATTAAAGAAAAGTTTCAGGCAGAAGCTATAGTTTCGAGTTGTACCTTGTTTTTCTTCTCGAGTCACTCTTCCATCAGAGTTCTTGTTGTTGTCATACGCCAAAAGTATGGTAACACATTCAAAATTATGTAATCTTTGACAAATGAATAGTCGAGAAAGAGGAAAACGGCGGAGATTGAAACGGAGGGAGGAAGAGAGAGAGAGAGCTAACTTCTTGCATAGCAATAATGTCGGAGAGAGAAAGAGCGAGAGCCCGACTTCTTGCATAGCAATAATGTCGAATCAGAGGAAGAGAGAGATGGTTGAGAGATGGGTAGAAACGAAAAATTTTATACCGTTATATACCCCTGTGGGCGTGGCTACTGAGTGCAGTTAGTGGGCGTGACCACTGCACCTGGCTTTTCCTTCTTCCCACGGTGCCATGACGTTTCGAAATCAAAATCATACTTTCCCATCACAGTCCTTTGTCGGCATTCTTATCACTAATCTCTGCCGGTAATCAAGACCGCAGGAATTTCAGCTTCAAGCGGATTTGCGGCAAATTTCAAAGCAATCGACTTAATTACCGTTGGAGATTAGTAATAAGGACGCCTACAATGGACTCCGATGGGAAAGAACGATTGGGATTTCGAAACGTCATGGCACCGTACCAAGAAGATCCAGAAAAAGAGTGATAAGGAATTGAAGGATTTCCGATTTCGAATGCAAGCAGTCAACACAGAGTCGATAGTCCGAGAAAATATTAAATTTGTTCGATGCGGTTGCCTTTGTTCTTGACAACATCCTTGAGTCTCTTCGGGAAAGCCTCTACTGTGGCACGGAGGTATTCTGGAGATAGCTTGGCCCAATCTGCCTCCAAACTTTTCTTCAATGACTCCAAATTGGGATGTGGATGTGCTTGAACCTTCGACTGAAAAACTCCCCATACAAAATAGTTCAAATCCGGTGACAACACTGGCCATTCAGAACTGATTATGAAACGAGAAAAGTTGGCTGAGCACCAGACTTGGACGACTTTTGCCTTGTGAGCGTTTTCATCGAAAAATTATATAAAATTAATCCATTTTCAGAGAAAAACGCATTTTCGAAAGCGTCGTTTCCAAACAGTTCCGCAATTGACACTATTTTTCTGCCTTCAAAAGTTATATTCAACAATTCTCGTTGTATTTCACTTGGAGGCTATGATCTACTTCGTCAAAGGCTTTCTTGAAGTCGAAGTAGATGATGTCGAGGGATTTGTGGGAAGAAAGGATGTGTCTTTATCTGGAAATGGAGTCGAGAAGGGTGAAATTTGTTGGAAAAGCCAGTAATAACTTTTTTAGACCGGCACGGATTGGGGCCACCTATGGGAAAACTTTTCGTCGGCAGAAAGAGAGCTGGAATGTTTGTCGCAAAACGACGTCGTCCACCTCTGCCCGAACTGATCGATCCAAATGACTTGAATTCGTCCGCGTGTAGTTTGAAGCTAAACAGCTTGAACCCACTTACACTAAGTGTTCCAAGTAAGTAAGGTTTATTTTTTTCCAACCAAAAAAATTTGTTTTAACAAAAATTGGAAAAACACTGAAGTAAATAAATTGGTGGTGAATACAATCAGCAGACTTGCAACGGGCCGGGTCCTTATTTTGCAAGTCTGGTGGCGGAGAATAAGCATAGACATAGTTACGTGATCAGCTGACCACAACACAACTATTTGGAAAGTGAACTATCAGATTTTCCGTAAAAAACGTCAATCCCATGTAGAAAACCATTGCGGGCCCGTAAAATCGACGGGCGACGACCATCTTGTCCTGTTCTTCCGCAGAATTCGTTCATCAAAACGGCACAGTAGAGTCGGCTACTGTTTCTTCCTCCAAATCCATGATATTCTCGTCCCGCTCCTTCAAACTTCAAACTATCAAACGCGAAGGGAGTCAGCAACTTGAGCGTTGCGGTCCTGGATTTCTATCCTGAAAAACAAACAATAAAATGCGTCTAATAATGATGAGAACTCCAAATTTCAGAGGTACAGCCAGAGCGAGAATACTTTGTTGTCATGTGAAAAAACCCCGGTACAAATTTTCTGAGGTGGCCACACAAAAACCTGGTCACTAACACAGGTAAGTACAATTCAAATCTGTCACATTCTTACCTCTCTTCAATACCGTTTCATCAATCTTTATCTTTTCACTCAATAAAGTATACGGGTTGAATAGAAAACAGTGCTGAACCAGGGGCGAACGGAACATCAGGTGAGGAATCCCCACCCGATGATATTGAAGCATATGTTGTCTCCATTTATCTCCTCTCGATGCATGAAGTCGTGAGTTAGCTTCTTCAAACATCTTCTGCATCCTAGCCTGTCTGTTCTTCCTTTTTGAACTGAAGATAGTGCAGAGACTGGTGAAAATCTGAAATATCATTTTGTTTTACAAAATTGCAACGGGGAACCACTCACATTTGGCCGCTCGACCGCTCTCTCGGAGCGTTCACCAGCAGACACGTACGGAAAGGTATCCGTGACGTTCTTGCCGGCACCGGAGATGGTTTCATCCGGAAGCATGACCACATGGTGAGTCGAGTTCATATCATGGTAGCCAAATTTTATGGTCGAATCGTATGCACGCAGCTCGTTGAGCAAATCCTCATAGCTTTCGGTCGTGATTCCTTTGATTCCAGCCAGGTGTTGGATGCCTTCGGGCTTCTGAAATTTAGTTTGGTCCGTCTGTCAAGGTTCTGGTGATCTTACCGAGAACGACTTTCTCTGGGAATTGGCAGAGCCATTCATCGTAACGAGTGGTACGTTCTTGTCGGCCAACGTTCCCGTCAAGGCAGTGCACGAGCCGGGACATGACCGAGACATTGTAGTCGAGCCCAGACTGAGCTCCGACCGGCAGAATCCAGACGAGAGAGCTAATGATTTATAGATCTGTGATTGATACAAAACTGTTTTTGGAGAGGATTGAGAAATAAAAGAACTAGGAATGTTTTGAGTCAAAAGTACATTTCACACAATTTTCTGATAAACAATAAATTAGATCACGATAATGATTGAGATCCCCATGATTCCGAGGATGATCGACGCGTGCATGATCGCCATGTTGATCGTTGCCGAGTTGGTCCTGGCAGTCCTGTCCCCGGATACCACCATTTTCTGCCGGATCGCTGTTTTTCCCTCGGCCGCTTCCCTGTTCATCGCGTCGTACGAGTTCTGGAAACCCAAGTAATTGATATCGTTTTCAACGAGCAAGCGGAAGCTTAGGGGAAGGGGGTAATATGATCGCTTACGTTCAGCATCTTGCCGATTCGCTCGTACTGCTCGTCGTTCGGCAGCTCCCTGATGATCTCTTGAACCGTCTCCGAGACGTCCTTGTGTTTGGTGTCTCGTTGCACAATTGGCATTATCTCAATTCTGCCCGGAAAAGGTTTGTCGGGCACTGAAAGAAGGGAAATTGACCAGGTTTCGATTTCAATCCAAAAGATGTACAAATGGGATGAATTTACTCGACCGCCTGGGAGCACAAAGTATAGTTTCAGCAGGACGGATCGGGGCCAAGGTCGAACACCTTAGTCGGTCCTGAGTAGTCCGTTGGCCCTGTCCACATGGGGATTAGCTAAATTTAATCGCGCAAACATTTTGCTGGCTAAATGAAGGCTTTATAATTCGTCATATGATTTTGCATTGACAGTTTGAAATCATTATTCTCTAGTAGTGGTAATTGGAATGAGTTCAAATTCAAAGGAGTCTTTTAGTTTTTCAGCTTGAAAAGACGACTTATCTCTAAATTTAGAACGCGTTTTCTCAACTTTGGTTGGCCTCACTTTTGGTTGCAATAATTCATTCTCTTAACTTCTTCCACTAATCTACTCGTTAACTCTCTCAAACCCATCAAATGCCGTAATTCTAACACCATAAAACCCGTTCTTCTTCTCTCTTCCTCTTTCCTCCCTCTCCCTCTATCTCTCACTCACTCAAGAACAATAAAAGTGACTTAATCTGTGCCCTCTTCCCCTCTTTCCTCACCGTCTTCATACTCGTCCTTATCCAAGTTCTGGCGTTTGTCCGGCACGGCGGCATGGGCGGAAAAAACGAGGAGAAAAGAGATAAAAATCCCGAATTTTGTTGCTCCGAGCGTCATCCTCTTTCTGCAATAAAAACATTCTGATTTGATTTGATTGTGCCGCTTGCACTTTGGGTTCGGGTTTGGGATCCGCAAAAAACAACGTTGTAACAATTCGGCGTGGTAGTGAAAGAAACGGGAAGAGGAAGAAGGGATAAGATGATATCAAGAGCAGCAACAAGAGGAGAAATGTTGCAAAGTGCGGTTGGAGGAGAACACATCATAAACAACATGAAATATTCCCAGGGCCAGTGTGACATTGGATATAAGGGTGTTACCCATTTCTCTCCATCCCGCAGATGAGTATCTGCGTACACATTATGGAAACTTCTCATCAATCACTCAAGTGGGCTGGCACCTCCTTGAAAAGGCGCGAGCAAAACTGAAGTGAAGTGCAAAGGAAATTTGAAAAAGGCGCAGAAGAAAGTGAAGTTTTTCTAGCGTTTCGCCGCGAAAGTGGATAACATAATCAAATGTTTTTCGCGGCGACAAGAAGAAGTAAAAGAAAGCGGAAAAAAGCAGTGAAACACTCGTCGCTTCCATCCAAACCGAAAACCGAAACAGCTCGTCTTACCAAGAAGAAAAGCTGTAAAGTTGGAACAAGCCACGCCCTGTTCTCATCGAAAAGCTTTTCGTGAGATGTGAGAGATAGAAAATCGAACGGATTAATCGAGGGGAAAACGAGAGAAAGTGCATTTCTGATGGGGAAAAACCGAGAGCTAGGAGAATGTGTAAATAATTCATTCCCAAGAAAACATGAAATGTGATAGGGTTTTCTTTTTTTGAATTGGTTATTATGTGCTTATTATGACAGAGTTCAGTGAGAGATTGACCAAAAATCAAAGCAGCAGATAGTTTTGAGCTCAAAGGCTATTTTATTGATACTTATGTGCCACATCGAAAGTGTTAGTTTTCGAACCCGCTCGTGATGATAAAACTGGCCAAAAGTGGTTGCGCTCTGCGGCGGGATGCTCCAAAATAGTCGATTTGTTTTCATTCCCTTCCAACCACCCCCCTCCGCTCCCAGTGCTAATTAAAAGTCTCAAGAGGGTTCTGGTTTGGCGCCACGGGCGGTTGAGAAGATGGATGTGCATGTATTCATTAGCAAAACGAATACTGATTAGCTTAGGGACGCAATCCTATTCGTTTTTATACACATTGCCCCCCGTTTGATCAGTTTTATACGAAAGCTACCGGAAGCAACTGAACTTTAATTTTTTTTTTGGGTCCGGAAGTGCAATTCAACTAAAAATGTGGAAAAAACGTACTAGGAGCAGTTCGGGGCAAGTGTACAACATTCCAACGGAAATGGAAATGTGTCCAATAAAACTGCGGCCAATTTTTCAAAGGCGCAAAGGAACGAAGAATGAGCAGACGCAAAAGTTCTGTGGAACTTTTCTATTCTCTCTCTCTCTCTCTCTCTCTTTCTCTCTCTCTTCTTCCGCTCTTGTTCTCATTTCAAAGAAGCTTTCTCCTCTTTCTTTGTGTGGAGCTGTGAGGGCAGACAGATTGCGTTGAAAGGAGCGGAGCACACACACACAGACACATACACGCATACACACACATTTTTGGACATGTGACCCAATACCCTTTCCTCCTTCTCCCCGGACCTAACTATTGTGTTTGGTGGTATTGTAAACAGAGAGGACGTTGAATAAGGACGCGGAAGACGGGATTAATCTGATGTTTAGAAGGAAAACGCACAAAAATTGGGGGAAGAGGCGGGTGGGGAAAAGAGAAAAAGCGGAGATTGAGATTTCAAAGGATTATCTGAGCACGAGAGCACTTTTCATTATGCGGTTTTCGTTTTCATTTCCCGTTTGCCGAAAAAATAGAAAAAGGGAGGGATCAGGCTTCTTTTACGTTATGAGTCATTTCACAGAGCGCTTGAATGAGGTGGGAGCTGTAAAACTTTAAAAAAATGTTACAGTAAGGTTTTATGACACAACATCGCGGAATTGTGTATCTATTGAGCTGTAATCACAGCAAATTCGTGGAAAAAACACCAGAAACCAAACAATTTGAGTACAAAGTTGTTTCAAACATTACACATTTGAATAAGTAAGTAAGACAGAAACGTCAAGAGAAATATGACCAGCTACCAATCTTTGCGTGGTTTTGACAAATGGCCGAAGATTTAAAGGCGGCTAATAGGTCTGAGGTCCGCTGAAGTTTCTCTTGGGTCAGTCGTCAGCCCGCCTAACTGGGTGGTCTTCACCAAAAGTACACAAGCCGCTTCTCTCAGGGATTAGCCGCCAGACAGCAGAACATTGGAAGAAGGACGAGAAAAAGGAGAATCCAGATGAATGTGGTGGACCTGGTACTCGTTAGGGCAAGTTCTCAGAAGAAAAAATGATGAAGAGTGTAAACAAAACGAGGAGGGCCACTTTTTATGTGCAATGTGATACTTGACGGAGAGGCAAGTTGATCAAATGCCAGCACTTCTAACCTACCGCGTGTTTCAATCCAATTCTCACTCTGTTCTGCTTCTGAAGTGAGCGCAAATGTGACAAGAACATAAAAGGAAGAAAGAAAAGGAGAGGCCGACCAAATGTTTGGGACATTGGGAGAAGATTGAGTTACCGCGTCCCTAATCACTGTCCGAGTGGAAAATGGAATGCGCGGCGCAGTGTGAAGCCAATTATGTGGCACCAGCAGCCGGCAAGGAACGTGGAACCAAAGAGGGAGGGGGAGGGCAAGAGGGCGTCAAGTGTGCGTGTCATTAGGCCATTATTGAGAGCGTGGACAGGAGAGGAAAGCCTGATAGAATACGGATGAGCGTTGAATATGAACTGCGAGTAATGAGAGAAGGTGTGTGCAATCAGGCGGAATTCAGGTGACATAACATACGGACACATGAATGCGGCTAATTTCGAGATTATAAATCTGGCGAATAGATTTGAGCTGAAGTAAGAATTTTCATTGTTGTTATTCATCCACCTCTTCATGAATATCATCATCAAAAATCTGAAAGTGAAACAAACATAATGCCTAGGCATCCCTTTTTCGCCAGAACTTGCTCGAGTCGTTTCCTATTCCTGACAGGATATGAGGCAGACGGTACCTATAACGCTTTCACCATCACTTCAGATGGTTCCGTCAATTAGGCTTCAAAATGAAAATAGACTCCGCCTGATAAGAGAAGAGTCATGACTTAATCCGTCGGCACGTTTTTCAGGACAACCATCTGCCATGATTCTTTGATCGAACTTGTAAAAGACGTGAAAGTGATAGCTCTGCAAGGTATTTTTTATGCTTTAGCGCTGACCCAACTTTTAAACATGTATCACGAGTGGGAGCAGAGCTCAACGAACCGTTGGTTTTCTAGTCTCTCTATTTTTATAAAAAGTTTCTCCTGATTTCATATTTTCCATCTTCTGCAACTTTTTCACCTGTTTCCTATCGTACCCTGATCAATGTAAGCAATGGGTGGAGCCAAGAGCTGAGAGTGTATATGAAACTGAAACTTTTCGTGAATTTCAAATTCCAATGCCCTCCAAAATCGTCCTTCTTCTCTTGGGAGCTCTCGTGCTCGGGCCGGTATCCGGGACATATCCATTCGTGGAAATGGCCCTAAACTTGGAACTTTTGGCCCGTGCCGATGAGAAGGCATGTGAACAGAGCGTCTTGGAGAGAGTTGAGGCTCTTTGCGGAAAGTGCGTACCTGGTTTCGGTCAGTTCTACAGCTCTAAGTCTATCGTATCTATTCATTTTCTTCAATTTCAGACTTGGCCGACCTAAAATGTCCGCGGGACATTTCCGACATGGAAATCATGAAAAACTGCTGCCCGCAACTGATACAAACCACAACGCCCATCATAATCACTGGACCATTGATCCTTGTTCCAATCTCAAATGGAACCACCGAACTGGACAAAAGCGTGATTGTTACCGACGGACTATAACTTTTTATGTACCTTTCTTGAAGTAAACATCAACTTTTTCCTTCTTCTGCATCCTTCTTCCACCTGTCCTTTAACCGCACCTCCATGATTTCACTATCCGTACCAATTAAAAGATTGTTGGTGGCACGTTCTCGATGACCATGTACTAACTTACTTTGATGCCCGGCTCTTTTCTTTCCATGCTTTAGAAATGTTTTTCTTGACCCATCGTTCTCTTTTTGTGTCATCACTTCCTCCGCTTTGAACCGGTGCGCATGAATAAATGATGAAGTCAACAAACATGCCTATGGTACATGTGTGGTGGGGCCACATCATTGTGTACATCAAAATGATAAACTCTGCACAAAAGGGCGCGATAGCATTTGCATTTCTATAGGTCGCTCAGATTTTTTGCGCCCGCGTTATCGGCCATTTTATTCTTCATTTGCTCACTTTATTTTATCACTTCTCCCCGTTTCTCTGTTCTCCATACCTTTTGTCGGCAACTGATAACAGCCGTTTTTTATTTATATGTAAATGAATGTGTTGGACGTCGGACGCCGGCCCAGTCTCTTCCTTTCTACGTTTGGCTCCGTAAACATTGCAGTTCTTGTCCTTTTCCTGTCCTTTTCCGTTACCCATTTCAAAGTCCCGTTATAATATGTACAACACTTTTTCAAAAAGGGGAGTTAAAACTGCCGAACTCGCGTATTCTTTCTCTCACTGAAGAAGAAGACGCTATCTTTAGTGCGATCTAAAAAGGGGCGTGGCTTATTTCAAAAATTAAAAAAAAAATACAAATTGCATGTATGTCCTTATTAGTTCTTGCCATCCAATTACAGTGCAAACAGATGAATGTGCTTCGGTAGCACCACATACAATGACAAAAAGGGGCGCCCATTTGACTTATTTGCTACAGGGGTCATGCTATTCTGCTGATTCCTACTCACCTCTTGTATATTATTTTCCTGGGGGAGGGGGATCCAGTGCGGCTCGGTTTTTCTCCATTCAGCATCCCTGAAAGTCAGATAAGTTATTCCAAAGACTTTTGGGGCACGTGGGTTCGAACCTGACCCCTGTCGCATGGCAGTCTAATCTCTTAGCCACTTAGCTATGGGCGCCCCGCCAGCACCCGGGGCGCGGGGCCCCTATAAACCCAGGGCGCGGGGGCGCGGCGCCGCTCCGCATTGCGCGCAGCTCACGGCTTCCGGAGGGCTCGAAGGAAGACGCCGTGGGGTAATTTTGAATTCTGAATCGAATGGAGATATCCATTTCTTTGAAAAACTGCTAGTTTCTCTGAAATCATGAGAGCTTTGCAAAATTTCTAGGTTTTCAGGCTTTTCAGCTCATAATGTCATCGATAGTTTTTAAAAAACCTGCTGAAAAGCATTTGCCAACCAAAAATGTAACAGCCAAGCCGATATTGCCTGTGCAACCCGTTATGAATCTGCATCAAGGGCAGAACAATTTCAATAGAACCGTCAAAATGTGTAGCGACAGTAAGTTTCTCGACTGTAAATCCAATATTTCAAATCAATTTCAGTGCTCCTCATTCTTAAACAAATTCGCGATGGCGTCCAAGACTGCGAAAAGATCCTGCATGACTCAGAGCCTACTCTAGAAGACACCTCAAAGAAAACATTGGATGAATACAAGCAACGAATGAATGTCCTGGAGAAGCGTATCAAGTAGGTTGCATTTCATTTGGTTTACAGTAGAAGGCAACAAGAAAAACAAAACAATTTCGCTCCCGGGTGGGCTCGAACCACCAACCTTTCGGTTAACAGCCGAACGCGCTGCCTATTGCGCCACGGAAGCAGGCGAGAGTGAGGGAGGCGTAGAGCGTTGATGAGATAGCGCGCCAAGTGAAAATCTGGGAAAGACCGATACCCAGACACTCTCATCTCTCCGCGTTACTGGAAAGGTTAAAAAGCATAAGTTTTGCAGTTTACTCGATAAGTGCTCACAGCGTCTTCCGTTTTCACTTCCTAGAGTTGAGAATATGCCGTTTCTGCATATTTACACTTATGAAGAACTTATGAAAAGTCAACTCTTCTCAAACAAAATTGACAATTGGATAAATGCTGAGAACTGGATGCATACCCATCGTGTCAGTCAGAAGAAAAATGTTGGACAGTTTCAATAATAACTTTTTTACAGGAAGTTTTCAATTTCGAGTCGATGCTCCTCCGCTATCAGCCATTTAAACATCGATCTGAAAGACGGAAACCGATTCCTCCGGTTGTGTTGACCCAACCAAGTGAGAATATGCACAATCAATTCGAAAAAGTTTTTGGTGATATGATCGGTGTAATTGAAAAGAAAAATCTCGGGATTCATCCAAAATACTTGCACAGATCCGGAGGTGGCTCCATTATCGAGGTGAGATTAAAACGGACACTTTATTGACCTAATTCCCATTTCATGTTTTCAGTTCAAGTTTTCATACTCCAATCCTACCACGAACACACCCGTTTATACAATCAAGTTTTTGCTTGTCGAGCAGCACGGATTGATCCAGTACATAAATTTCAAAGCGCCATCTGAAGAGTGGGATTCTACAAACGACTATTCTACGCCAATGGCAAGTTGTTCGATGTTCTCGAGCACTTGTATGATGTGTTTGTTTTTCAGGTAAACCCGAACGGACAGTCAAATTATATTGTATACCAACAACTCACCAAACAAGCAAACGCTAATCTCCGCAACTTTTTTACGTCGAAAAATCGCTGGACCGTTGACACTCTCATTCAGTTTGTCTCGATTTTTGCCAGAGTCCGCAAAATTTTCAGTGCAAAGTGTTGTTATTGCAAGTAAGAATATGTATTGCTTTTACACCGTCAATTATCACTATTTTTTCAGGAACCAACTAAGCCGTTTCATGCCACCTACGTGTTTTGACATCCGTGCACCAGCACAAGTTTGGCATAGAGAATGTCAATAGATCCGACTGATGCATTTCTTTTAAGGTTTTTTTTGGTTTTCCAGTGAATAAAGCAGAAAATTTCGGTTTTCCTACATTGATTGTTATTCTTGCTCTTAACCCATTTAAAAGATTTTTTCTTTGAAAATAAAAATGTTAAGCATGTTCGCTCGTTTCAAATCCAATGCCGGTTCCGGCGGTTATCGGTCTCCCGGGGTGTATGCGTATCACCGCGAGACATCTCGAAGGTGTCCCCGCCGTGGTCCTTTCCGTTCGTGACCTCACCCTCCGCTCTCCGCACAGTCTGTCCCGTCCTCGCGCGCAATCATCGATCAGTCGAACGCCTGTGGACACCCACGTTCCTGTGTCTGCGTTTTCTCCTCTCTCGCTCGTCTCTTCCTGCATTATTCATGGGTTCTAAAATTTTTGCAAATCTGCTTAAATTTATAGGAAAACGAAAAAAGAAATCGTTTCCATTGTTAAGCCTTCCAAAACTCGTTTTGTTGACCGTTCTGAGCGAAATGGGTCCGCTTGAAATGTAAGTTTTCATTATCTTCATCAATTTCTAAGACCTTGCCTTCAATATCATTGTTTGCAGACTGAATCTCTCGTCATGCTCGAAAAGAACAGCCGAAGTCTTGTGTCACATATCGAAAAGGAACTTTGCTTTGTTTTCCTCGGTGAACCTGTCCAAATCAAGAATAAGTGTGACTCTATTCTTCGAAGGAAAACGCCCAGATCTTCAACTGAATTTCGCCAATCACGACTTGTGTTTGTTGACACATGTGCAAGAAACAAAGTCGATTGGCGGAAAGGTATTCAAAACGTGTCACGTGAAAAATGCGAAGCACGAGATCACCTTTAACGGCCGCGACTTTGTCGGTGGATTCGTCATCGTCATTCAACATCTGCTAGAACTGTTCCATGTCCCGTTAAAGCTGGTCATTGAGGCAAATGTCAAGTACTTGGAGACGATACTGGCCGTCAAGAAACTTCAGTACTGTTGGGACCTCGTTCTCGCGAGAAGTGCCCATGGCTGGAGCTACTTCGACTGTGACATGTTGGAACTGATTTCGGAGAAGATCACTGTCACTCACAACTTCGCCGTCAAAACTTCTATGTCTGCTGTTCATATGAAACAGGTTTGAGTAAGAATCTTTTCTAACCTTTCAACAATGTCGACAACTTGCAGCTATTCACGGCCCGAAACATCTCACTAGTCGACGCGAATTGGCTGAATCGCTCGGAACTGACTCACATGGCTTTGAACTGTCATACTGTAAAAGTCACGGGACGACCTGTCAGTTGTCATGATATCGAGAAGGCCGTGTATTACTGGTTCCGACATCCGAAGACGCCTCATCTACGAAGATTGGAGTTTCCAGTGGAGTATCGGCATTTTTGTGGATTTGCCCCATCGAAAGTGCCTACAAAGAATTGGGATCCGAAGATGAGATCGAAACACTGCTTGTGAGTCGGTTATTGGGCGTTTAGCTTAGCAATTATCCAATCATCATACAAAATTTGAGCAGAACTTTTCTAAAATTTCACAACCGTTGTATAAGTGTGATGTTTCTGCTAGAAAATCAATTGTTTTTTCAGTAAATACGAAAACTGGCCACGTGGCGGATACTACGACTGCTCAACAGCCCACGACTTTATCAGAGCCGATGGGTTGTTGGCGTCCGCTGTCCTGATCTCGGAGGAACATGTAGAACCGACTGTGGTCATCCACGTATGGCACGATCGATGGCCAACAGCTCCAGTGATTGAGAAGAACAGAGAGAAATTGAAGGAACTGTACAAGCAACTGCCATTGATCAATCAGCAATTCGGAGCCAGCCTCGAGATAGAAGAAGAGTTGATGAATCCGGAACTCGACGACCATGCGTTCAAGACGTACTTGCACACAGCGATCACACTGCGAAACTCGACCAGATACAGGAAAGATAAAATTGATGATTGGCTGGCATTTCATCAAGAGATCTTAAGAATTCGAGGGAAAATCACTAAATTACTGTGAATTTTACTGTGTTTTTGTGTTTTTACGGTTCTGAATTAGGGCTTTCAGTTTTACTTGTATTTGTTGACGATTCCGTTGCGCTTGTTGTAGTACCACATTTTTTCACCTAACATTTTCTGTTTTCTTCTGCAATTTCTGACGATATCTCATATTGAAGAGTATTCTTGATAAAACTGTGTTTTTCTCTGTAGAAAGACCCCAATTCGTGACGAAATCCTCGGTTTTCTCACCACAAAAGCCATTAGTTGAGGATTTTAAGAAGAAGGGCGCTCAGCGGCTACCTCGGTCACCACATGATGCAAATGCGAATTATAATGCAACAGAGTGAGAGAACCTAAAGAAAAAGACGCTCGACACTCCCGCGGCAGTAGCAGTCTGCGCTCCATTCTGATATGTATACACACCTGGACAGAATTATAAAGCCACTCGATTTTTGCGTTTTTCTCTAGAACCAACAGTGATACCGACATGGGGCTTTCCGAAAATAATTCATGCCAGGAACCCCACAAAATAATAGAAAAAACCGGAAAAAACTAAAGGCACATGTTTCGGTTTCGGCTTTAAAACTTCAGATGTGTTAGGAACCGTTTAAAATACGCAAATATCGATATGTAATACATCTTCATTTACAAAAAACTTCTAGGATAACTACATAATCACAATTTTAGAATGATCACGGGGCACATGACTAGGAAACTACACAAACTACACAAATAGAATCGGACTGGTATCAGACTTGGACTCTTCAGAGTCTAGAAATATCGCGTATGAAATGGACAGTGTTTCCGGAAAACACAATAACAGCTTTTTTTGTGCTCGTGTCCTTCAATGGTCCGGCTGTCAGTGAAGTCGATATTCTCTTCTCTCATGCTGAAAAAACACTGACGTTCTATTAAAATTATAGTAAAACGTACTCATTGAGAGATACACGTCCACGCCGACGCCACAAATTCATTCGGATGGCTTTTTGAATGGTTCCCTTCTCCACTGTTACCAAATCGAACTGAACACGTTGAAAGTTTTGGAACTTTTTACCGCTTTGCCACGTTTATACGATCCAAATGACATTTCTGGTGGTTAGATCCGTCATGTCAAAGTGCAGACGAGAGCAGTTTGTCAGCTTCTCACTAACAGTTCGGAAGTTCACCCAGTTGCCCTCAACTGCTACTTTTTTCCAGGATCCAGCCTAAAATGATGTAATTTTATACGTCTACAGTTGTTGACTCACATTACAGAGAGAAACCGATTGCATTGATTGAATTCGAACATTTTCGAGCTCAAATGTTACGAGAAATCGATTGACAAAAGTCCTTGATTCCGTGTAGTAGAGCTTCAAGAACTGACACTTTCGGCGCATGTTCTTATGGAACAGCATATTCTCCAGCCAGATACCATAGTTCCTAGACAAGCTGAGATTCACCAATTCGCCCGGGAACATTATAATGAGCTTCTCAGAGACAAGCCTCACGCACACTTCAGAGCAATGTTCCGTTTGAAATCGTATCCCATCCACACGACTGAACTCCAAAATTATACCGAATGCTTTCACTAATGATCAAAATGACTCACGCGTAAATTATCCACCGTATATCTCGATGTCGTAGATGTACGTTTTCCTCATTCTACTTCTTCTGGCATCTTTTTCGTGCTCAGGCGATAAGCATCCGTAGACAAAGCTGAAATAGTACGGCCAATCAATTGTCGACAAAAAAATCTGGCCCTACTATGTGTATGTGTGCGTATATAGAAAAAATGTTTGGAAAAACTTACTGAATTTTCATTTCTGCAAACGACGACAATTTTGATGTGAAACTCAGACAGATGAAGTAAATTAACTGAAAATAAAATTGAAAGTAGAAAATGAAACATCGGGAATGTAGGAAACACGATGGTCACAGAAACCAATGAAGAATGGAAAATGATATTAGTAGTTAAACAAGAATATTTATTCAAGACTTTTAACCAGAAGCAATAGGGGGATTATGAAGAGAGGAAATACTGATTACAAGAAAACCCACTTCTAATTATGTCGAATCGCAAGCACATACATAGATAGCCATTTCCAAAATAACAATTATGAAGAAAACGAGGTTAATAAATGTCTTAGAACAAAACGAAAAAGCCGTTAGACATCTTAGCAACCCTTTGTTATACCAGAAACCGGAAAATTATCAGCAGATCACCTAAAACCTGGAAAATTGACAATTTTGTGATTTTTGAAAAAGCAGGGAAGAAAAGAGGTTAAAAATATAGCAATGGTGAACTTGAACTGTGAATGGAGAGAGTGACTATGTAGAATTCTGTGAACGAACTTGAATTCACGATCTCATTCTCTTGATTGGCTCTTCATCTGAATCGTCTTCGATATCTTCATATCTCTCATGCGAACGCTTTGCGGACGACTTGTCCGGCTGAACGATAAACCAAATAACATCTTGAGTCTTGACCAAAACCGCCGGAACGCCGTCATCGCGAATAAATTCCATTGCATCATCAGAGTAGAGCGTTCTGTCAGCGAATCCATCGATGAACTCGGACAAATTTAGACTGGAAAGCAATAAAAGTGTTATGTGATCACTGAAACTAGATATACTCACTCGTATCTCAACGTTCTGGTTCTGTCTTTGAATTGAAGCTGAGAGCATAACTGTTTGAAGTCAACACATTTGTTTTTCAGTCCGAACCATTGGATTCTTCTGCTAGTGCGCCCTTGCCAATCTTCGATAAATTCGATCAAGTTGTCCGTACCAATTTTTTTAGAAACTACAAAAAGTTTCCGATATTTTCCGAGCACCAAGTGCTCAGTGGTAATCCATTTGGCTCCATAGAGCTGGCACATCTCTGCTTTCACCACCTGCAAAAATTGTTTTGAAAAATTTTTCAAACTTCTCAACGTTTACCTTCCGCAGATCAATCTCTGTATTGGTTTTCAGTTTAAAATTGTTGGGCTTCAACTTTCCGACAAGCCACGCGAAATCCCTTTTGTCGGATGGATCGATGACGGAAAGCTCTTCACATCTTCTCGACATGTTGTGATGCGAAAAATAAGGTCTCAAAAACCCGCACGTGTCATCAATGAGCACAATTTTTCCAAATTTTCCAGGAAACAAATCCGCGCAAAATGTGAGCACTTTCTCGATCATTGTGATGTTGTAATCCGCGTGGACGAACTGGTTTCCGATTTTCTCGCTGAAGATCAATAATTTGTATGACATCTTAACTTGAATTCAATTCTCACTCACATTCCAAGCAACTCGATATCTCCCAACCACCAGGACTTGGCATTTTCGAGGCTAGCAGTCTGTTTGAACGTCCAGGAGAACGTGTCTTTGTAGTTTTTCTGAACGGAGAACGTGAAATGTTTTATTTCTCTTCCGGTGTTAGTGTATTCAATAGAAAACACCACATCGTGCGTAATCTTGTAGTATCCCATTTTGTGGAAGTTTGCGATCACGGGCTTTGTGCAAGGGAAAACGGATGCAAGAATGAATCTGTAATGTAAAAAATAAAAATTGCAAGTAATTCGGAACTGACTGCTTCTCCACGGGAATTGTATCAAGAAATTCTTCAATTCCTTCCGCGACACCGCATTCGAGATTGTGCAAATAACGTGGTGTCAGAAGATCTTGGATGAACGATTTTCTGAATGAGAATACGTCACTGAAAGTTACAAATGTCAACTAACTGCGCATCGATGACTAATATCTTTCGCTGAGTCGGTGTTTCGTCATTGAACGGCTGAAATGCTCCGGTACAGTACAGATGATCGGTTTTCTTAACTCACGCGAATGTAGTCAACCGTTGTTTTAATGTTGAAATGCTTCAGCAGCCGTTCGACCTGATTTTCGTCGCTGGGATCCTTGAACACAAGGGTATCACATCTTCTTTCCAAGTCCGGATGGAAGATGACGGGGTTCAACCATTCAGCACAGTCCTTGTACAATTCGAGCGTCTTGAGATAGCCGGGGAATGTTTCGATTGACGTTATGAGCACTTTTGCTATCATTGGAACATTCAAACCCGAGTGGATGGCAAGTCTTCTTCCGGTTTTTCTGAATAATGTCTGCATAGGCTTTTTGAAGCAGAATCATGGACCTTTGACACACTCGCAACAATATGATATGACCCAAACTTTGCAGCCCCTCTTGGACTCAAATTGGAGTACTTCTTTGAGACTGAAAAGACCGCAATTTTTCCAAAAATCAAGTCACAAAGTTCGGGAACTATCGGATTATTGCAACTGGGCCAAAAGTCCGGGGTTCGGTTGGTCTTTGTAAAGCTTGCGCCGGCTTTTTCCCCAGCCCTTCTCTAAAAACAGAACTTCTATGTATGTTTCTGTAAAATGTGGAAAATGTAAAAAAAAAAAATTTCCAAAGATTTGCAGACTCACGTATTGAAAAAACAGTCAATGCCCCATTGAGTAGTGTGTCCCTCTGCCGCCGCTCTCATCTCCGGACTCCATTTGAAAGTGAAACGTTGCTCTCGTTCAGAGGTCTTATCGAGCATCGTGAACCTACTCCTATTCACAAGTGTGTAGATGAGTATTTTACTTCTGTCTTTCTGCGCACAGAATTTGATAGAGTGTTCAAAAGAAGTGTGAATGCTCTTATGATATTCAGTAATTTCCTCCTTGGTTTTTCCGTCCGATGCTGCCAGAAGTAATCTGGAACAGTTTTGTCTGCAAGAGATCTTCTAGTTTTAAGCACTTACTGATGCAACAAAGGAGTGTTGCGGATTACATCCTCGATTGGCGTCTGGCTGGATTTCACTACGATGGAATTCGAGAAACTTGATTGCATTATGCTAAAAGAGACATAGAATTAAAAGGTTTACAAAAACTAGCTTATCACGATGTAAAACGGTTGTTAAAGCATAAAAACGTTTCAGACTTGGTTACGGAACCCCAGCATTCCAATGCGCAAGCGAGTTGTCAATGGGGCGCGCTTGCATCCACCGTCGACTCGGAGTTTCTTTTTTCAATTGAAAACCAGAATTCTTTCGTTTTTCTCTTAATAAATACTCAAATTTTGTTCTCTGCGAACCGTAGGGCAATTGTCTGAGTTAAGAGCATCGATTTAAGCGCGAAACGGAGCAGATTAGTTCAGAATTGACCAAATTGAGGGATTTTGTCGAAAACTACTGAAAAAACGGCGTTTTAACGATTATTTGCCGAATCGAGTTTGGACACTGGCATTCGAACCGGCCAGTCAACAAGGAGTTTTTTGTGCATTTTTTAAGCGCTCAACCGTCGAAAAATATTTAGAATTGAGATAATTGAGGCAAATTTTCGATTCCAAAAGGAAAAAAATTATGTAATTTTCACATAAAACGTTTATAAATTGATGACGAAGCAGTTAAAATTTCATTTTTTATTCATTTCTAATCATTATCATAAGTTTTGACACTGATTGGTTCTGAAAAAATGGGAATAATGCAAAAAAAATGGAAAATTGAAATGAGAAACTCTACAACGACGTTCCGGAATTACGTTACGTGCCTTGTTTAGCGCACGTGAATTGCGCCAAGGGAATTTTTTATTGGAAGGCTGGGGTTCCGTGTTGGTACCTATATAAATTTTACAAATTACCACGATTAAGATAAAGATCAGGGAATACCCTCACGTCTCTTGCTATCAAATACAGTGTTAGGAGAGTTGTTTCTTTCTGATAACGTTTCCATCAAACTCAAAGAGCAGGAGTATGAATAAACGAATGAATGTGATCACCAACACGGTTGATTCGTAATCTTAGACTGAAACAGGAGAAGAAGGTGAAAATGTTTCACAATTCCGGCTTCAAATGTACCGGACACTCAACACACGGCGAACATTGCGCATTCCTCCGTATCATACCGTTTCACTACAGCACGCTACTTAGTATTACTTAGCCTGTTCCTCGGTTGGCCTGGACGAACTGCCCGAACGGCTAGGTCCGATCTGGAAGCCCTAACGACCCGGATGTTCGGACAACCAGGCTTGATTGGTCTGGACGGCTCGGCTACGAGCTGTCGACATCTTCCACATGAGATTCCAGTATCGAGAGTTCACTCCGATTCAAACAAAGTTCAAAAATGTTTGCCGTGCAACAGTTTGAAGACATCAACTCAGGTGATTGACATTTTGTGGCAAGACCTGGCGCCATAAACTGAATGAGCACAGTCAGCTCGAACGAGTGACAGTAGTTTGCGCTGTAAGCTGATACCGCAACTGTTTCTGATTATCAACCGTGGAATCATTGAATAAACAAGAGAAATGGAGAGAAACCGTGAGTGGCAGAGAAATCAGACTGCTAGATGTTCGTGTGCGACGTGGAATATGTATGTGGCGAAACTGTGCGCCGAATGCACTGCCAATAAACAGATCCAGAAGTAGTGATTTCCGTAGACGCTGATGGTACGAAACGGTGTAGAAGTAAAAAACATTTTAGGGCCTTAACTGAATGCATAAGCACATTTTGTTTACGAAAAACCTACAAAAAGTGGGAATTTTATATAGATATCATGGAGAATGGAGGTTTATAGAAAAACTATACAAAAATAAACTGGATTACAGTGTAAGAGAGCACGGGTGGAAGAAATGAAAATGTGACACATCCGAGAAAGGAGAAAATTTCCGAACTGGGCACGCATTGATATAAAAATGATGGAAGAGCGGGCGAGGGCGGTACGGAGCGACACGGAATAATAAAAATTGTGTTTCGGAAGGGACACGAATGGCCTCGAATGTGCCGTTTTATGAATGATACATAAATCGTGGGAGCGGGACACGGCGCCCAACGGGGACAATAGTTTCAGAAAATGTTTTAAGGATTCTGGGGAAAATGATTACAATTTGAGCACGAATGTTGCATAATTTCAGTGGCACCACTCAATTTTCGCTTTCCGTTTCGCATTCGTTCTCTTCTTCGTCAGAACCCATTTCGTCTTCATTCTGCGCAACGAGAGCAACTTCTCTGACCAACGCCTCGCCGTTTTCTTCATTCGTCAAATCGGGCCAAACCAGAAACCAGAAACAGTTGAAATCTTCGACAATGCTTGCATGGACTCCGTCGTCTCGGGTGAAATCCCATGAACGCTCAAACGAAATCCGGTCAACACCAGCTGCTTCGACTTCTTCACCCAATCTGAGAATTCTAACGTTTTGTGGTCAATCTACCTTTAAACAAACAAATATTCTCTTTCGCAGTCTTGTTCCTCGAACTCCAGATCTTTGCTGATTTCCTCAGCGTCGATCCGATCAGTACAAACGCCGACCCATTTCAGTTCCGTGTTCTTCTCATCCTTCCAACGTGTTATGAATGTTTTCAGATCCTCGTTTTCGAATTGATCTCCGACGAGGAAAAGCTTTTCAGAGCGACACCGCAAAAGGTACCATCCGGAAATCCAATCCGTTCCGTTTATTTCGCAGCTTCGGGTGTGTAGCATCTGAAATTTGTCGAAATTTGTTTGCATCAATGTTTTCTAGTCTTACGTCTACGACATTAATTCTGTTGTATTCGCTTTTCAGTTTAAATATGTCCGGATCGAATACGTCCATGACCCACTCCGCCGTTCTCCTATCGGTCGGGTTGACAATCTCCATATGCTCGCATTCCCGGGCCACATTTGGATGACAGAAGTAGCTCTTCAACCATTTGCAGCTGTCATTGTACAGAACCAGCTTTTGGATTCGTCCCGGAAAGATGTCGGCACAGAACTTCAACACGTCTCGAATCATGGACACGTTGTAGTCGCCGTGTCGGAAGACGTTTCCGTTGCGATGTCTGAACAATCCTATTAATTCAGATTTTAACTTGACTAACTCACACTCCACGAAGCTCCTGATCGCCGAGGCACCACGATTCTGACATTATCATGTCATTTTGGTAAAACTTCCAAGTGATGGAATCCTGGGGGTTTTCTAAGTCCTTGACGACAAACGTCAACAGTTTGTTCTCCGTGATTCCTTGATGAGCCCCACTAACCACATTAAAAATGATTCGGTGGGCCAAATGTTTCCGCTGCGCCAAGTTGAACTGAGCAATTGCGTCTTTTGCCCTTGGAAAGCACGAGGCAAGGGCAAACCTGTAATGGAAACGGTTTGTTTTTTTCTCAAATCCTAAACAGAGTTCGGATTGACTACTTTGAAGAGACGGAAGGTGGAATAAAGAATTTTGGAGGAAAGCGGAATTCCGCGTAACTTTTCTCTCTAACCTTTGTAACTTACTGTTCTGTGAGAGTTCTGGTTTCGAGGAAATGCGAGAGTCCATCATTAATCCCTTGGAGTAGAGCAACAGGGTATCCGGGGTTCAGTGCGATTCTGGAAACATTAGCTGGTTTTGAGTAATGCTCAAATTACTCACTGATCGCGGAACGCCACCAATCCTCTTGTTTGTGGAAGTGGGTTGACGGTTGGCTGAGAAAATTATCAATGAGAATAACTGGGTTCCATTCACTCACAGGAAAGTTCCTTGGATCCGGTTCGTATCTGAAGAAGGACGTCAAGTTTTTTACTTGACGTTCATCTGATGGATCCTCGATCTCCATCAATTCGCAATTCCTACGCATGTTTGGGTGGAAAAAGTAGTCGTTCAGGAATGAGGCGCAATCCTTGTGCAGTTTAAGCGTTCCGATTCTTCCCGGAAAGAGTTCGATGGCCATCATCAGCACTTCCTTCATCATCGAAGCATTGTAACTGTAGTGGTAGATGGTGCCATCGTGATCTTCCCTGACAAAAAAAGTTACATGTTTAATATTTGAGAAACATAAAGCTTCAACTTACATCTCGAACAGTAAATTGTTACCGAGCTCCACAAAATAGTTAGGTCCTGGACCAATCAATCCTTCCCCATCCTGCTCCCAATAAAATTCGATTTTATCATTTGAAAAGGGGTCGCGCACACGAAAAGTGAACGTCTTCATGGATTCGTCTCCATCTTGGTTGATGCGGCTGAACTCCAAGTCGTGTATCCACGTAACTCGGCTCGCCCCGTTGAAAGCAGTCAACCAGGCTCTTGTTTTCTTGTCCGCTGCGGCCGCACGGAACCTGTACTAGAACAATCAGCAAATGGAAGCATAGATATGAACTCACTGCTCGAACATCGATAGAAATATGAAGGGCGTCAAGGACTCCATTTTTCAAAGATTGGGCATCACTGAAAGTAAAACAAAAATTAGAGAAAATTAGCGAATTTGCTGAGAAGTTGGAAGAGAAAAACAATTGTTAGCTGATGACAGTAGTACGAGGAACAGGTAAAACATCACAATGTAAAGTTGAACCTAGGGAAATAATCACTTTTAGCTTATCAACAGACCTCTTCCGAATGTTCTGATTCTCTCTTATCATGTATCATGCATCATGCAGTGAAGAACTTCACTGTTAGAATGGAATGTAATCGAAAACGACCCCTGTCTTTTATTCTACATTTTTTGGGTTTCATGGCAAAAATTGGAATGATATGCAACTGCGGAGCAAAGAAAAGCAATGCTTTGACAAATCATAGAGCAAAATTTTCACCAATCGCGCTTAGAACCCCTCATAAGAGAAGGAGGGAAGCGGAACTAATGCTTTGAGCTAGAGGAGCTCTGCTTTCTTTGAGTTAGCTTATTAGTCAAGTCTAGCTTGAACTTCTCAGTTCCTCACATACCCCTTTCTCATATCCGCGGTGTCCAGTTTACGCTCTCTCTCATCATGGTGGAAAGCGGGTATGTATAAGGTTATTAAGACCAGCGGAGGCCGGGGATTAATGCATGCGTCAGTACAAATCCCTTTCCCCTCGTCTCATTTTCATCTTTCTGATTGGTTGGCAAATTAATCAGACTAGCGTAGGTTGTGTCGCGTCTTGCGGGGCCAGGCGCCAGTTGGCAGTTTTTTATCACTCGATAGGAAATAAAACTCGGAACACACGGAGATGCAGACTTCATATGTACTGTGGATGAGACAAGCTGTCGAGAGAAAAAGACGGACAAAAAAGTACAGCAGACGGAGTGAGATTGTAGAGAAACATGGAGAAGACCGTCTGAATTTTTGCGCAAGAAACTGAGCGATAACGAACAAACTGACGAGGAAATTGATTAATGAAAGAGAACAAGGACGTCGAGTGTAATTGGTACTACTTGCACTGAAATGAACTGTGACCATTTACCAATTTTGGAAAGTCTCTTAGAGCACTCAATTGTCAAAAAAACGGTTGGAAAACTTATTCAATGAATGGATCAATTCTACAAGAAGCCACCAGAGCTTCAGGTCAACGAATTCGATTAAAAAATAATGTAGTCAGGTATATCAGCAGATAAGGGGCAAAAGTTCACAAAAGTGTTACAAAATGTGAAAGAGTGGTCGTATTACACAAACCCGATCAGAAGATATCAACGTTTATTGAAAAAAAACAGTGCGAAAGAGCACATGTCCCCCTGCCCTTTTCTTGTGCAAAGTGGCGTGCCGTGTTTGCGGAAATTTGAAAAAGACAGAGCTCCTGCGTCTTTTCGTTCGTATTTCTTCATTTTCAGCCAGATTTCTCGCAAATTTCAGCTCGAAACCGACAGTAGAGCTGTATACTGACACAGTGAATCTTTTCCAATCAGCATTTCCGACACGTTCCGGCAAAAAAGTGGAGGCGGCCCCTGCGCGTCAAGGCCAGAAATTCTTCATTTTGAACCCAATTTCTCTGGTTTTCCAGCATGATAATGAGAGTCTTTAGATTCACACACTACTTGGAGACCATCACGAGAAACGTTTTTCGGTCGTGAATTCCAAAATTTCTTGTCAAAAACTGGACATTAGGCTTGAATTTCGCTGGTTTTCCTGACAACTTGGCCCTGACCATGGTTCAAAATTCTCTAACGTAAAAATGTTCTATTGACTGCGTTTACTGGAAGTGAGAGCTTCTTTTAGTCTTTTTCCCGACGGTTCCGGTCATCAATCGCTTAAAAATTGGTAATCGGAAGCTTTTTTGCGGTTTTCGACGTCCTGAAATTTCAGAAACAAAAACATACCAAAGCGTTTCATCGGCATACCTCAAAAATCTGGAAAACGCCAACGATTTCATCAAGGGTTTATCTCAAAGTTTATTGAAATTTTTAATAAAAACGACTTATGACAAGAATAGCAAAGCGGTTATCACAAAATACGAAGCCAATTAGTTGGAATAGGAAGCAATGGGATCAATGATATTGAGAATTGAAAGTGGAGACTGATAGAGATCAATGTTTGAAGGAATTTAAGCAGATTGTTTCAAGGTAGCTGGCCAATTGAATAACTATGGAATGTGAGTATGACGAGGAATATTTGGCGCTAAATAGCCATACAATAAATAGCATTGCGAGTGGCGAATAATAATAACAAGTTAATAGGGAAAATAAAAGTAGAAAAGCAGTCAACAACTATATCAATCGGCAAGTCTCGTGGAAAGCCACGTTCGGGGTGCGAATATCGAAGATCATCGGTGGCAGGAAGTCCTTGAGGATTTTACTGAAAAACCAATACATTTCGGGACAGTTTCAAAACGCTAAACTCACTGGCATGCCCGACACTTTGTCGATTGCACTTCTCGGAACTTGCCAAACAACGAGACGAACTGTAGGAGATTGCTGGCCGACCATCGAGGGGGGCTGTTGCCAAAGAACGCGTTCAAGTGATGGTTGGCTTGTTTCGTCAGACGTTTGTAGATTTCGCATCGGGATGGGGCGAGTACGTCAATCTGCAAAAAAAAATCGGTTTGCGCCTTGTATGTATGTACATATTTTTTGAGAATATCAACCCTCTAATTACTACATACTAACTAGCGCTTGTTTTGCTTTTTCGCGTGGTGTTGCTTGCCGCAGTCTTCTCAAAAACACACGTGCCCATTTTCTCAGGGTAAAGCTTCGTGATACACATTTTTGAGATTTCACAATACTTCACACGCTTCCTTCCAACTCACCAATTTCTTTCCAAAATCGTTCCTGATGGTCCAATCTTCGTGCGGTGCAATCATATTGATGTAATCAATACGACCGCCCTTCTCGACAAGCAGAAATTTCATCACAATTATCACATCCTCCTCGTGAGTCATCCGCCCCGCGCTTCCAAACCGAAACTGAAACGATTATCAATTGTTTTCCTGCCAAATTTTCGAGCGTTTCGTTTCCCCACCTCGACGACGAGACTGCACATGGTGCGGTGGATCGTCTTTGCGTAGATGCCCAGATTCTGTTTCGTGATCTCTCTTCTCATTGCGTTGTAGGCGGTCTCGAATTGAATGTGGCCGTGGCTGATGACGCATTGCAGACGGACCGGCGGAAGAGTTTTTCGCGTGTTGTTCTCAAATTGTTTTCGCTTGTTCTCGGTGATCCGAAGCAGTTCCGCCAGATAGTAGAATCCTTGCTGAAAAACGGCTCCTCGATTCTCAAACCATTTTTGATTGCAACTCACATAATTTCCCTCGTTCCAGTTGCCCCTGTCAATCATCTTATCGACAAGACAACTCATGTTCGTGTGATTCATCGTGTGCTCCTGCATGTACAGTGTTCGCATATTGTTGAGATTATCGATCGCCGGCACGACTTTGGGCAGACGTTTTGAGGATTGATCCAGTTTGCTGAAATTGTACACAGGTCAGTTTTTACAACGTTTTTACGAGAATGCAAACTAACTCAAAAATAATGTTCATTTCCTGCATGACTGTGGTGAACATATGAAGCTGCTCGATTTTTCCGCAATCCTCCGAATGCACAGGCACGTCATTCTTCAGAAATACGTCGGTCAGCGTGTTCTGCTTGTTCCGAAGCTTTCGCACAAGAAATAGACCTGAAAGTACTGTCCGTTAATTAGACGTCGACGAAATATCGATCTTTAGCACAGGCAAACGGTTAGCCTGTGAGTGTATCGCATCGCAATCGAGTTGATTATCAGGAAGACAACTTTTTTATTCAATCCAAAGTTTTTCCTCCCCAACTCACAGTTATTGCATCGCGTGAACGTATCCTTGAGCATTTGCTGCGTCGGAACCGGGGACATCACCCTTGCCGGTACTGTCGTCGTCGTCGTAGTGGTTGACGTCGAGGCACCGGCCGATGTCTTTGTGCTGGTAGCTGTGGTGGTGGTTGCAGTGCCAGACGTCGATGTGGCCGATGTCGACGGGTCCACGGACCCGGGCGGTCGGTCTGTCGGGTTGGATGCCGATGAAGCAGCCCTGGCGTCATCCGGCGCGGCTGTTGATCTGGGACCAGTTGAAAGTGGTCCTGGCAGGCTTGTGATTGAGGAGGGAGGCGCTTGACTGGAGGGGCCTTGTACTTGAATGGTCGGTCCTGGTCCTTGGGGTAGACTGGATGGACCTTGTCCCTGTCCGTGTCCGGGTGGTACTGTGGACGCTGTGCTCGGAGACGTGACTGGTTCCGTCATCGAGTTGGCCTGTGTGTTGACGGGATCTGTGTTGATGGGCGCGCCCGGAAAGGGCCCAGTCGACGCCATCTGGAAGGCGTGTGTTAGTTGGGAGACAAGAGTGATTAGAAAAAATATAGAGGAAAACTGAGTTAGATAGATTGCGAATCATGTAGCATACATAAATATCGAGTGATAAGAGGGGCACCATTTGCAGTCATAAATAATTCATTTTTCTACCTACTACACCAAGAAAGAAACCGTTAAAAATATATAAACAAAAATAGGGTATTGTTTAAGGCGAGGGGTGTACTCACAACAATAGGTGGGAACACGCGGTTCCCTTTACCTCCACCACCAAATTTGTCTACTGGGCAACCACACCAAGTTTTGAGGAAAACAAACAATCATTACAAAGTTCAGTTCGATAGACAGTTAGCCGAAAACCCATCTCGATAGTAGGAGTAATAGCAATTACTTATAAAACATTTGGTTCAGTTCGCAATTACGGGGGGCAAAAAAGTGAATCACAGTTGGTAAGGTGTGTTGTTTGTGTGCAAAAAGGTACATTTGTCAAATTCATTCATCAGATGGAATCGGACCCGACTGTTGAATCGTCGGATTGGCCTGTCCGCTGAACGGATCCACGTATTCCGAGTCATCGTCCGCAGGCGCCGGCATGAACCCAAAAGTGGCGGTTGGTGGGGCGGGTGGCATCATTCCGGCAGGTGCTTGTCCACCAGACAGCGATCCGGCTTGAGCGTAGCGGGAACCTGCAATAGAATACGTACAAATGAGGTTTGAATTCGGAAAGATCAGCTGTACTCACCTCCTCTAACTCCTCTCAGTCCGCCTCCAGCTCTTGGATTCTGCCCCTGAGGTATCTGTGGTGGCATTTGAGGCAGGGCTGGTTGAACCGGTGGTTGTTGATGGATCTGCTGCGAAGTTTGTTGTGGAACAATCGGTGGAAGCGTGGTCTGTGGTGGCGCCACCTCCGCAATAGGCGCCAGTATCGGTGGTGATGATGCCATGGTCAGAGGCTCGTCGCTGTACGGATGATCCGGTAGAGGCGCAAATCCTTCCTCATCATATTGTGCTGGTTGACTAGAATACGCCAAGTGTTGCTCTTGGCGTACAGACTCGTTGCTCGGAGTAGGCGGAATTTGAGCGTATTCCTCATGGTTGTACTGTTGATGTTGTTCCAGAGCTGGAGGATGGGATAGAATAGGAGTCGGCGCGGGAGAAGGTCGGACAACTGGCTGAGCAGCAGGCACTGGTATTGGTGTGGATGTTGGAACCCGCTCGTTAGTCATTTCTGGTGCCAGGGTGGGTTGAAGTGGCTCTGTAGGCACTTCGACAATTGGATCCGGTTGATATCCGTAGTTCTGGGTCAATTGCTCAAGGCTGTTGTGTTCAACTTGAGGGGTCTGCGGCGGCTCCTGGTACTGTTCGTGATGAGGCGCGTTTCTTCCAAGAACAATGGTTCTCAGACTACTAATCCATTCCGTCTCCCCTGGATGTACACTAGCCGCATACATAATCGACTCGGCCAAATCGCACAATTCCAAAAGGAAGTTTGATTCGAAGAGTTCCAGATGAGTCCAGATGGCGCGAGCCACTTCCATACAATATCTGTAAACAAATATACGAACGTGAAAAGTTGGACTAACAGTTGACGTACCTGAAGGCATCTGAGTTGTATCCATGGTTGGCCAAAAGTTTTGCATACTTGATGCGCGTCGTCTGGAACTCGACAGATCTGCCTAATGGCGAGTGACGGTCCGGCTTGAGGCTGAGCGCGTAGTCAAAAATCTCGGTGGCATGGAGGTCGGTGATCAAGAACCCGTACTGGCACCTCGGGTTGGCCACATTGTCAGGAACATCCGAGTTGATGAGAGAGATGTGACGACGGTAGTCCTCCTCGCCTTCTCTGAAAGTTGATAACCTTGAATGCTTTAATAATAATAATAAAACTCACGGAGCCTGAACCGGTTCAAACGGATTATTTCCTCCCAACACACAATAGACGAGGAAGCAGAAGTCGGCAGCACAATGGTAGTCCCGCTTGGCCAGAGCACGTCCCAGCTGGTAAATGGTGTTCATGGCGGTGCCACTCTGGTCCAGGTTTGCCAGAATGATAGCGGCATGCGTTCGCCAGCTGAGATGATCATCCAACGGAGGGTTCGTCAGCACCGGTGGCGTTTCGCCTTTGGCCACGGAGACCAGGGTGGTGACCGGATTGTTCAACGACCTGGTCTGCAGGAAACGGCTCTCAATCGCCTCGATCCGACGCTCATCGTTAGGGAAGAGACGGCGAGTGAGAATGAGAGCGTCGGCAAAGAGTCCATTGCGAATTGCACTCTCGACAGCTTCCTCTTTGTGTCCACCGAGCAAGAATTGAGTGAATTGATTGAGCGCCGGAGTGATATTCGAGGGCTGTGGTGGAGCTTCAATGCTGACCGGTTGGCTAGAGACCTTGGCGAGCAGTTCGGCAATGTCAGGGCCGGTGATGTTCTGAAATGATTATTGTAAAGTGAGGCCAATTCATTCCGGCGCGAAAACCGATCGCAGGCAATTTTCGTCCTACAGTATTATTCAATAATTTCAATAACTTGGGTCAATGACGACGTCAAAAAGTCAGAAATTGACGAAATATAACCGTCTACTAACTTTTCGCCAAGATAAGAATTGGTTTCTGGTTTTACACACGCACTTATAAAGTGAGGGATCGAATTTTTCAAAATTGCAAATGTGAAAGTGGTCCAACTCACTCCTTGTTGCTTGACCATCGTCTCCAACAACTGCCACACCAACAACGACTCGACCACATCATTGTCCAGTGGGTTCTCCTGAGCAACCGGTGACCGTTTGATGTTCTCAATCTGCTTGGAGATGTACAATCGGACAGTGTGTGGCTGTGTCTGATGGGGCATTAACGGTCCCTTGAAGCTCATCGCAGCATCCGTGACCTGCTGGGTTGCAATGTCTCGCAACTCGGATTTAATGTCGTCAAAGACGATGGCGGATATCGATTGATCCGGCTGAATGTAGATAATTCGTCCTCCGGTAGAAATGTTCAGGAAACTGTGGGGATGCGTGAACTTGAGCGGTCCACGATCCAGGGTATCAACCGACAACAACGACTCCTCGTAAACACTGTTAATCTCGCTTTGTCTGAAACATGAAAGGTTTTGTTTGAAGCACAAACCCCAAAAAGCCCAACCACAGAAAAACAGAAGTGAAAAGTACATCTAGGGAAAGTATCACAATCACATAATGACCCGTAAGAAGTGCCGTAACAAAACGCCCATAGGAATAGAAAACAGAAGGGTGAAGCAAAGACCCCGCAGAGAATCATTGAAAAACGAGTTGAGCGTCTTTTAAACCTTCGAATAATGATACTTTTCGGTGGTTCGCTCGGATTGAGAATCGGTTGAGCAACGTTGGTAACACTGAAGAGTTTTCGGACTACTTTATAAACTTCTACGCTAAAACATCCTCTACAGGCTTGACTCACCCGTCAATACTGGTATCATCACCGAACAAATGAGCTTTTTGACTTTCATACTCCTGCTGTCTCTTCTTCTGCGACTTTTGATACTGTTGTTGCATCGATTGGCAAACCATCAACAGTGCCTCATCCTCAGAAATTTTGTTCGTCGTGTATTTGTAAAACTCGCGGTTGAATCGATTGTGGAACGCGCTCACATCCTTGTACGGCGCCTTGTAAACCGTCGTGTAGAACATGTAAGCGGCCTTCTCGATTGGTCGAAGTTTAAAGAATTCGTTCGGAACTGGATTCTTCTCAATGACTCGGTTCCACAGTGCAATCTTGACGTGAACAACTCCACAGTAGTAGTTTGTCTGTCCATTATCATGACCTCCTTGGTGGTATTGCACTTGCCCATAGTGACGTTGATGATTTTGAGACTGGGCATTGTACTGTCTGAGCTCGTCTTCACTCTCTCCATTCTCATAATCCTCCTCGCTCTCCGACAAAGTCGATGTTTCCTCGGGCTCTTGAGCATAGGCTTCGTGATACTGCTCCATCATGTAAGCTGATTGTGGACGTCGTGAATCATAGCCGTTTTGTGGGTATCCGTGGTACGCTATTCCCATCGAACTGTAGCGGCCTTGACGGTAATTTTGATGCTGTTGTTGCTGAGCGTACAAAATTCGCGGATCCTGCTGGTATCCAGCCTCTTGACGGGAAGCCGGACGGTGCGGATCCAAGCGGCTCACTCTGCTCCTGCGACCACCACCATTCTGATAGGAAGCGTCGTTGAAGCTCTGGCTGTGTGGAAGTGGTAGTGGCACCGAAGCTCTTCCGTCGTTGCGTGCACCAGTTGACTCTCGACGAATGGCTGGATGACGAGCCAGTGCTCCAGCGGCAGCTAGAATAGGGTTGGCAAGTTTGGACGATGGACGGAAGTCCGAGTTCTGAGAAGTGGTTCTCATTATCTTCAGACGTTCGCAAATCTCCTTGTACGCTTTCTGATACTCCCGATAACTAGCTCTGACGTGTCCTCGCTCGAATTCCGGTCTACCCGATGCCATCGTGCTGTCACTGTTGTTTCCAGAGTGCTCCTCAGCCTCTGGAACCTCTTGTCGAACCTCCGGCTTTGCTTTCTTCTTCTTCCCGCCGTCAATAGTTCCTTGAGAGGAAATGGACGATCTCCTGAAGGAATATATGAAATTTCAAACCAATTATGAAAAAAAAATAGGTCATACTTATCAATTTTCAAATCCTTCGGTGTGCTCGTCGCGATCGCCTCTCCTGGACTGCTGGAGTTGAGAATTGAGGAAGAGGTTTGAAGGTCATGACGGACGTCGGGGGTCTTCTGACGTTCTTCCGAGACGTGAGCGGGAGTTGGAGTCGGTTCCGTGTTCTGTAACATGATAAAGTCAAAGTGTAAGGTTTCAGTTTGTTTGACAGCTTTGTGACAACCTTAATCTGTAATGCACACATTCTGAGAATTCAATTGTACTTTTAAAAAGAAAACTACTGGCTGACCACAGATTAACTGGATTACCAGAGTGGTCTGAGACGAGTTGCCTTTATTTTTCAATTCACCAATAACGGCAATTTCGAATAATTTTTTTTGAAACTACTGTATCGTACAGCTATGAAAAAATTTTGGCAATCATGGTCGCAAAATGGTACTCTAATTGGCTCCAATTTGACTCCTCCAAACACTGGTACCATGCATACCTCCGACATGGATACTCTAGGGGTCTTCTCTTCGTTGTCCTTGCTTGTCGGCATTTCCACAATCTCAACTGGTTCCGCAGAACTCCTTTCCGACGGTTCCGTGTCCTGTTGGGACCAAGATCCGCCGAGCGACGACGACTCCCGTGATTCTTCTGGCTTCTCGGCTGGAGCGCTTGCCTTCTGTCGCTTGTTCTGGAAAAAAGAGGTCAATAAATAGTTCACCACGTGTGAGAAAACTTTTCTAGCACTAGTACATAGTGTTATGTTGTTTACAGTCTAATAGCGGAAAGAAGAGACATGCACCGTTTTAGTTCACTACGCATTCACAACGATCTCCCTACCTCGTCAACAACACGCTGCACTTCCATGTCGGCCTTCTCCCAGTCGTCCTCCGAAGATGTCGGCGTCACTTTTGTCTTCTGCTCGGGTACTGGAGCCGGAACGACCGCCTGTGAGGAGGCGACAGTAAGAGGGTTCTCCTGAAATCATCAAACATGCACAGAGATACATTACTACAGGAAAAAAAACGCATGCCGTTTGGATTTTCAATTGCTCAAAGAAACTAAGATCAAAAGCTTTGAAACACAAGGGAGAGAGATGATAGTTCACGCTGTCACATGTCAATGGGAAGGAGTGGAATGCGCTTACCTTCTTTGGAGCAATCGGAGTTGTGGAAGCTGCAGTCGGTGCCGGAGCAAAAACCGGTGGAGTTGGCACAGGAACATGATGAGTAGCAGCGGGTGCCACGTACGCTGGCTCCGGTGTCACTTCTTTCGATGTCGGTAGGGAGCCCATCTGGGGAATTGGTGGTGGAGGGAAGTAGGTAGATGCGGCTGGAGTCGCAGTAGAAACAGGTGGTGATACTTCTTTGACTTCATAGTGTTGACGGTACTGCTGTTGCCTTTGAAGTTCAGGTTGACGTTGCAGGGGGGGTGTAACCTCTTTTGGCTCTTGATACTGCTGTTGTTGGTAGTATTGGTTTTGCTGTTGTTGCTGGTTCTGATAGTTCGGAGCCAAGACTGGAGGCGTCGGAGTGAACTGTTGCTGAACTCCTTGAGATGCTTGGTTTTGCTGCAGCTGTTGACTTTGCGGCTGCGGGAGGAGCGGCGTGTGCTCCACCACAGTTTGTTTCGCCTGAAATTTATCATCATTTACTATTGAAAAATCTGAAAATCCAGTCCAAGAATATTTTAAGCATGCCGGACCAGACTAGGGTTAATCAAAAATGCTCACAAATCCGACCCGTCGCTTTGTCGGATATCCGGAAAAACTTCATTTTCTGGTTTCAATTGTTTGAAAGTTGGTATAAAAGGTCACGGGCATGAAACATCACTGGTAAGAAATGACTTTGATGGGATTCGTCGCCGAATAAGGCGTACTTCAGTTCCATCTAAGGTTTCTCAACTTTTCGGTCAAACGTTAATGACCAATGACCCCTTGGAGCAAATAAACCGAATTTTGTGTCAAGAGTCATATGTTGTCCGTTGTGTTCGTTTGTTACCTTCGCAAGTTCATCCTTTCGGAGTTGTTCTTTGTATGCCATTTCCTGTTGAATCCACTGTTGTTGTTGGGTTTCCTGAAGCTGGTAATATGGGGCAGATCCTGAAAGAAAATTGAGTTTATGCTTAATATTGTTACAAAGAACGCACCATTATGCTGCTGACCTTGTTGTTGCGGAAACTGTTGTTGTTGAACCGGTTGTTGCTGATAGTAATAATTGTGCTGCTGTTGTTGTGGTTGCTGTTGTTGTGGTTGCACTTGCTGTTGAACCGTCGAGTTCCATTGATGCTGAGGCGCCGGTGCTCCTCCGAGGTTTATAAAATCCCATTGCCCTTGTTGCTGTTGCTGTGTCGATTGGCCCGTGTCCTGTTGATTCGGCAGTCCTTGTTGCCAATAGAAGCTCATTTGACCCAACTGAAATAAGACATACACTATTAAACTTAATTTCCGTTTTCAAGAGAAGATAAGAGCGTACACACAGCCGGACAACAGATGTTAAGAAGAAACAATAACAATTTCAGAATGATTCAAGCTTGGTGATCGTCGAAGGAAAGCGGAAGCAAAAAGAAGAAAATCAATTGGTGGCCGAATCGAGGTCGCCGACCCCCCTCCTCCTCCTCCCCCTCCCGGGATGTCCAACGTGTAGAGTCTCGCCTTGAGAGAGCACAGACACACTCTAGCCGCGGGTCTCGCAGCGATTGGCGGTTACCGGCCGATAAATTGCGTGCGCCTTTAACCGGGCCCAATTTCTGTCGGCGAATATCGCGATTTTTATTTGTTTTTCACCGATTTTAACGGAAAAACTCGAAAAATTGAAGAGCTAACCGTTCATTAGACCACTTTCTGTACAATATGCAACTAATTGATTGATTTGCGAGCAAGTAACACTTGGATAATAGAGACGAATAAGGAAACAATTATTTTTGGCGAAACTCTCGATATCGGAGATGCCGAATCCTTTGCTGACGTTCACCGTTTCGGAGCAGATCTTGTTCAGCTCACTTTGCGTGTAGGAAATTCCCGATTCGGCGTCGTAAATCGGCTGAAATATGTATTTCCTTTCCCGAAACTGTTGTTTCCGTTGCTCACCGCTAAATTTATCATTTTTGTTGTTGCTTCCTCGTCAATTCTATTCTCTTCTATCATTATTGGCCTCGGCGTCGTAGTTATCAACCCTGAGAGCAAGTATTTCGCAATTTTGCCAAAGTGTGACACAATTTTCGCTCACTTGTCTTAAAAACGCGACGGAGGTGCATTTTCTTTGGTTTCCGACGAGGTTTCTGCTTGGTTTTCCGCTTTCTTGCCGTTATTGGCTTCATATCTTCTGCTGTGATGAATGCCTGAAAGATTTTTTAGCATTCCGTGAAGTATGCTGTATTTTGACAGTTTATAGAAAATTCGTAGAGATTTTTGAAATGTTCAAGAAAAATTTACCGTATTATCTATACTCGACAACTTTAAAGCTTGTCCCGATTCTTCTAGATCTGTTGGTCCACTGGGAATGATATAAGTTCTGAAAGCTGGAATTTCAGCTTCAGCAACTGACTCCACAGGTTGATTGTGATTAGGTTCTACCTAAAAATTCAACGTTTCAGCAGCCTACTGACCAAAACTTACATATTGATACTGATATGGTTTCAATCCAATTGATATTTTTGAGAGACCCTAGAAATGATCAGGTTGAACATTTTGAAATGAGCAGACAAACTTTACCTGTACAAAATAGCCGTAGAAAGTGATTAAGAGAACAATTGAGTGCTGCCGTACCATTTTAACGCTGAATTAGATAGATATTTAGTTAGATTAGAGCGGATCGAAGGGGAAAATGGAGATTAGAGAATGGAGAATAGAAAATAGAAAATGCAAAGTGGAAAAAAGAACACAAACGAATCAAGAGCGGCGAAATGAGTGAAAGGACCGAGAAGACCGTCTACACACACACAAACACTAGTAATGGCCGATTCGCAGAGATAGTAGTCCTCGTTTAGGATAGGATATCCATCTAAGTCGTTATATGACGCGAGAAGCGAGGCACAAGTCGTATCTCATCTGTAGGTCAGCTTATTAGTGACGCGAAACGATACAATATCCCCCTGCGCCCGAAAATCTCTTCCTCAGTGTTTTTTCACCCACTTTCAAAAGATGATACGTACTTGATGATTCGATTATCGCTTTCGCTGCTCTCCTTCTCTTCTCTTTTTCGGGAAAGCAAAGAATTGTAACTTTAGAATTAGCTTATCCGATCTTTGTCTTCTCTTTCTTCTGTCTATGATCTAATCTCGTTAAAGGACTTGATCCACTAGTCATCTTCCGTCTTCTTCCCGTTTCTCTTCGTTTCAATTGTTTTGTTCATTTACATAATAGATACTTGTAGGGAGGAAACGGATTACAAAATGGAAAGTCTTCTTCAAGAACGCACGGATCCTGCTGATCTCATGGTAAGCTTGAGGGTGAAAGAAAGGGAAAACATGAAAAGAATGAAGTGATATTGTGCAAATTTTGTATACATAAAGAAAAAGAAACAATACAAAAGTAACCTAAGACATTTCCAGGACGCCCGTGAACAGTACTTGCGTCAATGCGCTCGCGGAGAGCCAAGCACCGCGTCACTCTTCAGATTCGCTCACGCAATGATTGGATCGAAGAACAAGCTAGACGTGAAGGAGGGCATCGCGTGCTTCGAGAGTGAGTATCCCTCCTCATCCATCAGCCCACCTATGCAGCTAGACAAAACATCGAACGGAAAAAAAACGGCGCAGAAACTAGACCTCACCCATTTGTGGCGGTGGCGGTGTAAAGGACAAGACAGGCGGTGAAGAGGAATGCTAATTTTCTCATTCGCGTGAAACTGGTGTGTTGACTGTCCACAACGCGCCAATCTTCTACCTGTTTCATGATCATGCAAGAGTGAAAAGTGCAGAAAGAAAAGGCGCCATGAAAAAAGTCTCCTGTGGTGATATGTTTGACCCATTTTACCCCCCTGTCACACAGATTGATGAGTTTGTCGGTGATCAGGAACAGTTAAAAAAGCGTTGGGCTAAAGCGGATGTTAACTAAGGAACAGAAAACAGAGACAGGATGATAATGGGTGGGAGATGAAAATGAAACATATACATTGGGATATAATCCAGTTTTTGTCATCTAATCATCCTTATCACAATGTTTTCGTTTGGCAAGAAAACCAGCTGACCAGCCAGATAGGCTTGACTCATAAGTGTCATAGACCTGTAGGATTGCTTAACAACCAAAGCATACTTAAAACATTTATCTTTGTTTTCAGAGCTTCTCCGTGACGAAGATGACCTGACCAGCAAGCGCGACTACGTCTACTACTTGGCAATGGCCCACGCGCGTCTCAAACAATATGACGTGGCCCTGGGATTCATTGACGTCCTCTTGGAGGCCGAGGAGGACAATCAGCAAGCGAAGAGACTGAAGAACGATATCAAAGCGGCAATGACTCATGGTAAAAGTCTTCTTGTTCTTCTCTCCGTTCTAAATGATTTCTGTTCCAGACGGCTTGATTGGAGCGGCAATTGTCGGCGGCGGAGCTCTTGCACTGGCCGGACTCGTCGCCATCTTCTCGATGAGCCGCAAATGAATGAGCAACGAAAGATCCTAAATGTTCTAGAGCTTAAAGAAGGACTTGCTTTAACTTTATTCTCTCAAGTTCTTCCCATCACTTTTCCCAATCAATTTGTACGTATTCTTTGTGGAGAACGCGGGTGTTTTCTATCCCAATTGTGTAGTGTTTATTTCGAAAATGAATAAATTAAGACCAGAAATCAGTTGGAAATACAGACAGACAGGGCTCAGGTTCGAGAGAGAATTGAGTGAACAGGATGCAGGATGAGATTATTGAAGGAAATATCACAAAGAAATGGAAAAAAAGAGGGAGTCATGGACAAGTGGAGGGGTTTGGTCCGCCGCTTTCTTAGAATGTCGACTCGTAGCTTTTCATCATCACCGGAAAACTGGGACTGCGGTTCACACGTTGCTTTTTGGGGAGCGATGTCAGTTTTGCATTGATGTCGGAGAAGGTAGGACGTTCGAAGGGAGCGGTGCTCCAACACGAAACCAGAAGCTCCTGAAATCAATGACATCGATGAGAAGCATGAAAAATTTATGCTCCTACTTTCATCTCTTGTGTACACTTGATGTTCGGAAGATGAGCTCGCATTCCTTGACATTTGGCAAAAAGAACCCGATGTGCGAGGTCACCGGCCCACGGCATGAGCCCTGTGAGCATTTCGTACCAGACCGTTCTGAAAACATAAACGATTTACGTCAACAAACCGCTATGCGCTTCAATTACCCGAACGCGTAGACGTCAGAAGCTTCGGAGAACGGAAAATCGTCACTTTCGTATTCGTCGAACTCGGTTCGCATTGACATGGCCATCTCGGGGGAAATGTAGCTCGTCCAGTACTTTGATGTCTTGTAACCATAGTTGCTGAAAGGGATTTTATGAGGATTCGGATACTTTGGAGACTATATACCATTTCGGAAACGCCAATCGTTTCATGGAAAGCACTCCGAAGTCAGTGATCACCACTTTGTTCTTGCTCTCGATCAGAATGTTTTTGGTTCGCAAGTCTTTGTGCAAAATCTTTTTTGTGTGCAGGTAAGACACCGCTTGACAGATTTGCTGGGCGATTTTACGCGTTGTCGCCAGGTCCAACTTCTCACGTATCACATGGATCAGCGTGTAGAGGGATTGGCTGCCTCTGGAGAGTGACATCACCATTCCGTACTTGTCGTCGCTCATGAAGTATCCGATGAAGAGCGCGATGTTGTCATGGCGAGTGTTCTGAAAATGATGGCTTAGAAAATGTAGCTTTTCAGATTGGAATTCGATGGAAATGTACAACAAAATCACTCACTTTATAGGCGGACACTTCCACTTTAAACTCCTCGGCTCTTTTCGATTTATCCGAGACATGCTCCATGTTATAAATTTTGACGGCGACGTCTCCATAGTGATCGCCACGGAGCACCGTACCGAAACGTCCTCTTCCAATCATCGGGGCTTGTTTGTCAAATTCAATGGTTTCGAATTGAATCGTCACTTCATTCCAGCTTGCCTGAACAAAAGTTTGATTGTGAAGGCCAGAAAATCAGATGGAGAGTTGTATTGGAGTCAGATTACACACCCACACTACTCTGTGTCAGCTTGTGCTTTTGCACTTTGTTTCACAATGTAGTTGTACAGCTACCGTAGTAGTCAAGTTCTAAAAAAAACTAGACCAGAAATAATGTCAAATATCTTTTTCTCTCGGTTTTTTTTTAGAGTTCTTCTCAACAGCGAAACTGCGGGTGGTTGTGGAATAGGAAGAGAAGAAGAAGGAGAGCGGCGGCCCGGGAGGCAGCCAAATGAGAAACACGAAAGAAAGGCTTGGCCCCTGGGCTCCGCGGTGAGCTCATAAATTTTGCGTGTTTTATGATGTGCCCTTCTATTCCGTACCACCCGCGCCGCGTTTTGCTTTTTGCTTTTTGCTTTTTGCTTCCGTTTCTATTTCCATATCTCTCTTCCTCTTTTTCTCCCGAAATCCTACCTGTTCAGCTGAGATGGTGAGTGCAAGAGTGGTCTGAAGATCGGGAAGGTCAATGCCCATGACTTTCCGGTCAGGCCCAAAACCAAATCGCCAAAGTTTTAAGCTTAGGCAAACAAGGAGGAGGAAGAGCAGATGAAGAAGTAGAAGAAGGAAGAGGAGGCAATTTTTAGCCAGCAAAGAGCAAGAGAAGAGCAGCAGAATGAAGATGAAGAAAAAGAGGAAGGGGGGAAAAAGCAGCCAATGAAGCCGGCCTGGGCCCCAACAGAGAAGCAGAGCCGAATGAATTTTGTACTTGGGGCGGCGCCATCGCCAGGAGAATGTATGTGCTCTTGAGGACGGCGTGGCTTTCGAATCGATCTGGTGAGAAAGAGCTAACCTGCGCCTCTCTTCATTCGTTCTCATCGATACCTTTTTTCCAGTTATTTTTGGCTTCATGCTTTTTTTCTAACAACGGAAATGACACAACGCATGAAGGTACGTCATTAAGCTTTTTGAACTTCGGCGCCACGTTTCATCTAGTTTGAAGATCATGAATCGACCGTCTACAGTAACCTGATCACGTTTTTCTCAAAGTCAACCAACCTGCGCATTAGGTCCACGTATCGTGCTCATGTTCCACGCGTGTCGTTCCCAAGTGAATCCGCCGTCCGCCCTCTTATTGAATTTGTCGACCACTTCGGGATTTGGCGCCGCTTCCTGGCTGCCCACCGAGTCTTCTTGATGAGTGGAGCCCACTATTGTACCCTCGCTTTCAATGTTCCCCGCCGCCGCCGCTGCCGCCACTGCCTTGTTGTGGTTCTCGGTTTCCTGCTGAATATCCGAAACCGAGGGATGGTCTCCTTCGCTGATCACTAGAATTGGCAGCCGATTGTGGATCGAATAGGTCTCGGTGTCCGGGAAGAGGAACTTTCGCTCCGAGCGGTAGGGTGCGGTTAGCGAGGAGTTGATGTTTGCTGAAAGTTAATCATGTTAACGAGGAGTTTAAATTCTAACAGTCAAATTGAGTTATTCTCTAGTGGTTTCGCACGTTCGGCAACGCAACCACCAACGCACTGACAGTAATCCAATCTCTTCACTCAGTTTATTTATTTCCCATCCCACACAAATTATTTTGGACGGGGAACGCAAAGTCTCAATGTTTAGTTTTTGAGTTGGAGGGAAAGGAAGTGTCAGTCTGCTTCAGAGTGAGCTTCAAAGGTTAAAGTCTGAGCAGAAAGAAAATGAATAGGTCAGACAGGATGTGAGTCAGTTTTTGATCAGCTAGCAGTAATCGTACAAGTGCAAGTCTACTCTTTTTCTTTGTCCGTTTCTGACCTCGACATTTTTCGTTTTTTGACTAGTCAGAGGGCTGCTTGCTAGATTGGCCTACTTAGAATTCACCGGTCCGTCTCTAACCATGCTCTTTTTTCCATTTTTTTGTTGTATCTCACCTGTTATTCCAGCCGGCAATGCAGGTGTGGACGGCGCTGAACTGTTAGTGGAGGACGATGAATCAATGGCGGTGTCCGGAAATTGAAAAGCCGGCTCATTCATAGATCGAGATCCGGGCACCGACTGCGGGTCTTTCCACATGCCCTGAAACGATTGCATACATTAGCGTGAGTCAATTCCATTTTGTTGCATCTCCCAACCCCATTATTTTCTTGAATCAGCTTGTCGAAAAGGAAACGCAAATGGTCGGGAGTGAGCCCGCACGAGTCTCCAACACGTCCTTTGCATTGAGTGTGCACTTTCCATCTGAAAATTGACACTTATATACCTGGTTAGTTTATTTTCACTACATTTGATTTCCTAGTCATATCCATCATCATCATTCACATATCCAATTCTCAAGCCTCCCAACTTTCTTCCCCCCACTCACTTGCATGACCGACACTTTTCCCACGCGTTCAAAAATCCGAATCCGAGCGGTCGTTGACAGAAATGACAAACGGCATCTCCGGAAAACCGAAATTTTGTGGATCGGTGCCATTTGTGAGGGATGGCGTGCACGAGGCGAGATGATGTTTTCGGGGATTTTGGAGCGGTGCTCGCTGAAAATGAGATAGATGTTTATTTTACTGAAAGGACAGGATTAGTTGGGAATCCACGTGTCAACATGGCGCAAGTTTTCTTCCACCTTTTTCTGTTCTCATTTTCTCCAAATCTTGTAAAGCGTCGAAACATCTAAAAAAGCAGCCAACTTCCTGGAAAACCAAGAAGCCAGATGTGTTATTTTATTTCATCATGTGCCCTTGGAGCCGAAAACTCCGGAAAACGTTACGCTCTCCACCGGATGTTCTCTTGACATTTAGTCGTCGCCCGTGACTCACCGAAACCCATACTAGAAGACTGAATCATTTTGACGCCGGTTACTGAGAGCGACGGCACGTTGAACGTCGGAGCCGTCGTCACGATGGCTGGCGTCGATGGACCGGGCGGATGATCTTCTTTGTGCGAGCCTTGCTGCACTGAAATATCAAGAAACGTTGGAATTTGTCGAATCTAGAAGTGAAAACTATAGTAATGAACCTTCAAGGCTTGCTGAATATAGATCAGAAAACATGGCGGCGATCACGTCGATTTGATAGGAATTTCATCATCTAGAGAAACGAAGTGAACATTTTCTTGCCTCTTCTCATAATTTATCAGTTCTAATCAAATCCGATCGCACTTTACAAACAGGTTTTACGTTGAGACCGAAAATCAGACACTATGGAAAAGATAAATACCAAGACATAGAAAATATGACTAGCGTTATCAGCCCAAACGTTTTTTCAAGTTCACTTTTTTTGTCAGTTTCAAAACGTTAGTTAATCCCGGTTGCGAAGTTGTCAAAAGCCACCTACCGTTCCAGTGATTTTGAAGAATCACAGTTGATTGCAACAGCTTTCTTTTGGTTTCCACATCCAAGCGGCCGCGATCAGCAAGCGATCGCAACTGAAAAAAAAAGCACGAAATGATCGTGATCGGTGGGGTCGCAACATTTTACAAAGTGACGAACGACCTCACATTTGTCACGTGTCACTTGTTCGTAAAAGTTTGCAAGTTTGCAAGTTTTTCGATCACAAACGTGAGAAGAAAAATGAGGCTAGACAGATGTTTGGGGGGGGGGCGGGTGTTGAGGATCGTCCGTTGTGAAGAGAAGAGGAAGAGGATAGTGAAAACAAGTCGGGGAGTTTTTTTAGTAGAATGTGACAGGTGTTGGCGGAAAACAAGTGATGTTCCTGGAGACGAAGAAAAATGGAAAAAAACGGGGCGCCAGGTAGTGTTGAAAACACTTTCTCTCATTAATATCAAGAGGTTTTTGAACAAGTGATCAGAAAGATAGCTAGCTTTGATGTGCGGGGTGATATAAACAATTTTATCAAGATCTTCAATTTTTTTTCCCGTTTTCTTAGATGGTGTATCTTCTGATCAAAATAATCCAATAGAGAAGACAGGAATTAGGGTTGAGAGTCCAATTACTTTCGATGAGAACACTAGGCGCTTAAAGGGATTATTCCGTCAAAAATGGGTTGGAAATAGAAAAATGGCGGAAAGAAGGTGAAATGTTCAGGTTTTAGAGTTAATTTAACGACTATGATTAATATTTGCCAACATTACATTATCAATTTGAGTCCATATTTAGTCTGATTTCATCAAAATTTTAAACCAGAATCAAAATTAAAATAAATTGAAAGAGTTATCTCACATTCTCTCTTACTGCGAACCCGCTATAAATTGCATGTTTTTGCTAAAAATTTCGCAAGAATTCAAAACAATGAACGTAAATTTGTATTACCTCCCCGTTTTTTCTGGAAAATAAGTAGTAGAATGAAAAATAGAAGAAAAAAGAGAAAGAGAAAGAGAGAGAGAGAAAGAGAAAGTCTGGCACATGGAGAAGAGGAGAAGGGTGGGAAAAGAGAGAGAGAAAAAGGGGAAAACTCGAAAGATGGTGGTTTGAAAGGGGAAAAGAGAGAAACAGAGAGAGAGAGAGAGAGAGAAAGAGGGAAAGAAGAAAAAGAAGAAGAAGAAGAAGAAGAAGTAGAAGATAGAAAAAGAGTGAGGGGAAGGCGCCCTCGCCCAACACCCAAACGATGAGAAGAACCAAACCCAGGGGAAAGGTCTGGAGAAACAGAATCCTAATCAGTGGGGGGGTTGGGACAAACCAAGGAAATAGATAGGAAGATGATAGGGGAGGTGTGTAGTCAGAGTGTGTAAACTGTTGGGGAGGGCAGTGTAAACTGCACACATACGCCTGAGACTGAGAGCACCAACCTCTTGATTTGTGATGCTGAACAGCGCGTTGAAATCTGTGATCGAGCAAAGCTCCAAGTGTCGAATGTTCTGAGCGCTCAGGCCGACGAATGTGAGCCAAACGGCGTTGATTTCACGCTTCTCACGATCGTTCAGACCCACTTTTGTCATTCGATAGACGGCGTGGAATATTTGGCGCTGAAATGTATTTATTTGCTTGGTTTTCAGCGGAAACATGTGATTCTTCTAGTTCCGGTTATTCTAAAGAGAGAGCAGATGAATTTATTCGTTAGAGGGTCGGGTTTTTTCAATTGGAAAGCGGCAGTAGTACGTGTTTTGTTATTTCTCATGAAAACAACTGATGGAGTGTCTAGAGACTGACCAGAACACTTTTTCAGTGCATACTCGGGGTATTAATCCTAATTTTCACATACTGATAGGTAGCGAAAAGATAGATATAGAAATAAGTCCAAAAATATCTGATTACAATGAAATTTTAGTAAATTTCTAGACTGAATAACCGAGATGGGTTAAAAGCTGTTCTGCTGATTTCTGACCACCCTGAGAGTACCTCAACTTTTCAGGCATATTTTTTCATTTCAGAAAAATGGCTACCAACTGCTTACCTCCAAAACCTTTGCCTCTTCATCGTAGGATGTCGTTAGAAGCCGATTGATTGTGGTGAGTTTCAGACAATCTGAAAAAAGAAACGCATTTCTTTCTCGGCCCTTATGTTCCCAATCACACCTTTCAAAGTCTGAACTGCTTGTGCTTTCTGATCGATTCCAGTCGTGACGGTTCCATTTTGGCCCGTAGGTGACACCTGAACACTTTTATGTCTGAAACCATTTCTGAAGGTGTGAACTAACCGTTTTGTTATACATTGCCTCCTCGAATCTTACTGTACTGCAACTCCAATTGGTCCTTCTTAGCCCTGAATTCAGCTTCTCAGTATTTCATTAGAAATCCTTCATTTCCCATCATCAGAAAAGCATTAAAGTTCGTGGTCTTTGGTCAACTTCCAAATGTTCGTCGGGTGCAAATGGAGCGCTTCCTTCCTTCCCTTTCGCGCACGAGACTTTCTCTAAGTTTCCTCTACCGCGCCGTATGTTTGTGGCAATTATCAAATGGCTCCGTGTGCGAGCGTGAGCGCTTCCTTTTCTATGTTTGCGTGCATCGAGAATTGGATTTGCGGCTCTGTGTTTTTCATTCGGCTCGCCGGACTGGGAGGTGCGGTTCACACGCAGGGTTCGGATTTCAACGGGCGGAAAATGTCAAAAATGACATAACTTCCAAGTTCATGGCTTTTAAGCTCGAATTTTCACAAAATGCTGAAAGTATGCTCCCCAAAACCGTCGGAACTAATGGGAAAGAAAACGAAAAACAAAAAAGAAAGTTATTTTGAGACTGTGGAATGTTTTCGTGCTGACTCCATGCCCTTGTTTAACACAGTTTCCAATGAGTCACCCCCATCCCTTATGGCATCCCATGTCATACAAAAAATTGTGTGTTAACCTTCTTGAAAGAAGTGAGTTGAATTATGAATTGAAGTCGTCAAAATCGTGCGGAAAGTAAATTAAAAGCTTTCGGCTTTTGCCTTTTGCTTCTTCTTTTTACATTTTGCCATCGAAATCGTGAAGGTTGTGTGGCGAACAATTATGAGACAGGTTATAGATGTACGTATCGTATACTTACTCAATTTGCGACGAGATGGTAGTTCCTCCCTATAGGCCAAGACTTTTCTTTTCCGGTGGGGTGGCGCCCCCCAAATTAGAGTCATTACATCGAATTTATGATGAGACTCTCGATTTTTGATAACTTTTTTGTATTTTTGCATTTTCTAATATTTTTCTGGCTATCATGCATTTCATTTCTCACTAAACTGCGCCTGATCAACATTTTTGCACCGGAGAAACCCTTGGAATTTGACCTCAGAACCCTAAAAACAAACGTAATACGGTAGGAGCATAGAAGGATAATGATAGGATAAATAGCTGTGAAAAACCGCCGGCGCCGATGGCGAAGAATACAATTTCTTATGTAATAAAATCGAGAACGGAATACAGGGAGAGAAGTGAAAGAGCGAGAAGAGTCAAGAGAAAGAGAGAGGGAGAGAGAGACCGCGTGCAAACAAACTGTTCGAGAGGAGAAACCCCGTGGGGAGGGGGGTGGGGGGCAAGAACGGTATGGATTGACGGCCGGGGCAGGAAAATGTCGTCGCCGAGCGGACAATGCAGTGTTAGAGACCAGGAGAGCGCGGGGGGATGCGTGATGATGATGCACAGTCGGAACATGCGCACAGAAATGGTGTTGTGAGCAGAAATTATGTAGCGTAATCAAGGATAGGTCACGAGGACCTACCCGCGTGTGTGTATTTTGTGTTTTGTAGACGGAAAATTCTCTTTGGCTGGTATCGTGATACCGTAGGACTTTTTGAAAGTTGAGAGAGAATGAGTGGAACTAGCAAAGAAAAAGCGTGTGAGGATTGCCGAATGACTGTGACTGTGACTACGGTAACCGTTAGGTTAGGCGCGACCAAACTCATAGCGAACAGTAATCAATAATCAATTCAACGGCGCAATCCATTCCAAGCTGAGACAAATTGCATTTGGAATTAAAGTAATACTATCAGTGGAATAAGAGCGAGGCTTCTGCTCTGGTAAGCCCCGTCAGTTCCTATGGCTTCGGCGCCATCTCCAGAGCTCCAGTTTCAGAAATCTATGCCATTTGGGCCGGAAACGTGCACGCAAAGTGCTCAGCCACAGCGACACAATATATCCGTGTATGTAAATAGATGAAATATTCTTTTTTTGAATGAAATGAATGAGGATGAGGATGAGGATGCGTCGAGATTGAACTTTGAGAGAAGGGAGAATGAAAAAGGGGAGTGAATTGGTTATTGGAAAACAAGAGCAAAAACTTGATACTCGGCGGATTGTTGAATTATTCATCATAGGTGTGTTCTTGTGTTTTGTCCGTGATTGGCTTTGGAAAAGTCTCTATCTCAAATTTTGAAATCAGTTCAAAAGCTTCACTCCTAATCCGATGTTTATTTGTAATCTGTCTCCAAAACCCTTTAATCGAAGTTTTCCCAACAACGTTGTCCATCCACACTCATCATCATCGTACGTGACATCAAATAGTGTTTATCCCCCGCGCCTAAGCAGTTCACTTCACTTCTGACCCTAATCACTCATGTTTCTCGAGCCCATTCCTATTCATCTGGGACGATTATTCCGGATTGAACACGCCGGGGAACAAGAATAGTAGTCCGTTGAAGGTCAACTGGGGAGAAGACCGTCTTCTTTTAAATAGAGGGGGGGGGGCACGGAAATAAGAAGAAGGAGAGGAAGAGAAGAGACATTGCTAAGCCGGTGTGACTGCTTACCGTCTGTCGTCGTAAACGCTCTCGGCCCCACCATCTCCCGTCCTCCTTTTCTTTCCATTCTCGGGTGGCTCGCCTAACCTACATTACTGTAATTACACCTCCCCTCCTCTCATCGCATTTGCTTCTCTTCTTCGTCTTTTGTATGTTTCCTTTTTGAGGAAGAACACGACAATATCTAATCGACCGGATGATGTTGCCGTTATGGATACTGTTATGGGTGAGTCGGACTTACGTTTGAGCACGCACGAGGAGGTGTATAGTGGTAATGACAAAAGCAAAAATTGAAAGAGGAGGATGGGCTGTTACTACGCATTCCCCAGATAATTTATGATAATTAGAAAAAATAGAGACCATCGCTTCGCTCTTCTCTTTTCCGGATAATTATTGGCGGTTTGGAACCGAAAAGAGTTCTCTAATATTCATTGGTTTTTGTGCCCGGGGGCAGAGCATGACAGCAAAAAAATGTGAGAAAGAGAAAATTTCTAAATTTTCAGTTCTTCGATCCCATCGTCGCAGCTGAGCCTTTGATCACAGGTTAGATTTAGATTACAGATCAGTGGAAACAACTTTCAAACACAGTATGATTTCAGATAAAAAAGTGACATGTACATCATCAAACATCGAAGTGGCGCTCACATTCGCCAAAGGATTTTCCGGTGGTGTTTTGACCGAAAACCCGAGGAAATATGATCAATGCAGGTTGGGCGAAAAACCGAGCGAAGGGGAAAAGCGGAGCGGAATGGCTTATTTTTCTTTCTTCCAGGTGGAAAGGTAATGGGTCTAATTCAATGTCTATCAACATTCCATTGTTCAACTCCACCAAATGCGCAGTCGTGGCCAATGAGGTGAGTGTTTTTATGCGTTTCCTTTGAAAATGAACAAGGCTACACGAATATAAGGGTTTTCGACACCAATGTAAAAAGTGAAAACATAGATTCGTGTGAAGTGTGAAAGATCAAATAAGGATTACGGTAGCAGTAGCGGGATTTAAGGCTTAAAAGGGTCCTAATCTCTCATATTCTACGTCAAAAACGTTCTGAGCCCGAAATATCTGATGAAACAAGATGGAGAAGTCGCCCAGAGCAACGAAAACGATAGGGATTAGATATAAGAATCGCATTTTGATGGGCATAGAGAAAAACAAGAAAAAGACGCGAAAGAAGGTTGTCAGATGTTCCTTCTGCGAAACCAAATAGTTTTTTAGTCTGGGATAGAATAGGGGAAGAAAGCAAATAGAATGGAAGGGTGAGGAATAGGAAACCACCCCTAAATCCTTCATGTCCTCGTCAGAATTTTCGATAGTTTCTGCTAGAATGAAGAAGAAGAATTGGTTTGGTTCTGCACCCACTTTTTCTCGCCTGACAGCAAACCGAAAGCTTACATGTGCTACAGAATGACGGATGGAACTTTTTATGACAAACTACAGATGTTGTCCGGAATGATGCATTACCCCATGAGAACGGCAAAAAGCAAAGCTCATGCGAATAATTTGAAACAGGGTTCCCCAGAGTAAAAAGAAAAAGACAGTTAGTTGAAAGTTTAGAAGAAAAAAAGTAACTAGCAGATGAGAAGAGGCGCAAGATGTGGCGGGCAGAGGGCAGGGGAGGAAGGGACGTGAGCAGAAAGAGAATGTGCATCATTCATATTGCAATATGTGTATGTATATGCCCCCCTTCTCTCTTTTCCTCTTGCTCTAGTAATTAGGTTACACGCATCTTTCTCATTAAGAGGTCCCCTCTTTTTTTTTGCCATTTTTGCTCATCCTGAGCAAGTTTTCCGGGATTACGGTAGCTCTCGAATAACACGACAAATTTTTGCAGACCAGCGGCGTGTACAGTATCAAGCTACTCGTCAGTCCTGTCGATGGACTAATTGTCGACGGATTCAGTGCGATTAATGTAAAATGCATTTATGCGACACAGGATATTACACTCACTCTTCCACCAATCTTCAATGGGACCAATGCATTGCAGGTTTGTCTAGACGCCGAAATTGAGACAAAAAAGAGAGGGGGGGTAAAGTACCGGAAATTAGGTCGAGTGCCAAAGTTGAAACTTAGAAAGTATTTCAACGGATATTTTTAGTCGAGATTCAAAAATATATAGCATTCTGATTGTGAAAGAGTTTTCCAAGCCGGTTTTTTTCTTCTATGAAATATTAAAATCATTTCTGGTTTTTCAATTTGGCGGGTGACCCTCCAAAGGCTGGAAATTTTCTGGTTAAACTTTGGCTAGTAAAGTAGAGAATATTAGAAACTTAGAACACAGATCAAACGAGTTTTGCGGGGATATTATGAAGAAATGACATGAACCACTTCCCCCCCCCCCGTTATTCATTTAATCGACTCACACCTACACTCCAAAACATTTCAAGATCACCGCGATGAACGACGACAACAGTGTGGTGACTGGAAGTGGTGGCTCGCCGGCGTTAACAATGCAAATTTTGGAAGGACATGGAATTACCGGCTCACCAGTGGTCAAAGCCGCTGTTGGACAAAGGATTACATTGGATATAGCTTTGCAAAACACAGGTGGGATAAATGAAGATGGAAAGGGGCGAGCTTCTGCCCCTTTTGTTGTCTTGTGACGGCTTCTTTATATCCAATCTCTCTCGATTTTTAGCACTATTTCGCGTTGGTGAAACCTGTCATTATTGTCACACCGATTTTAGCTAAAAACAACATTTATTTTCTTCCTTTTTTCCAGCCATTTATGATTTCTACGTTCACTCGTGCTACGCCCACGATGGAAGCAACTCGCCGGACGCATCGATCAACATAATCGATTCAAATGGGTAGTGTCGATGATATTACGTACAATTTATGCAAATACACTTACATATTTAAAGATGCGGAGTGCGACTATCAAGGGCAATTGACGTGCCGGCAATGACTGCGCAACCCACACCAAATGGCCCAAAACACGTCTATTTGCATATGTAAGAGAGAAGAAAAGGAAGGAAGAAACCGAAAAAAAATCGTCTCTTCCTTCTTTTATTCTTTAATATATATAATTGTTTATTTGCGCAAAGAAGAAGAACATGAGTAGTAGGATCAATTTTTTGAGGGCAAACCAAAACTGACACATCCATCCCCACCCGTCTCATTTGTCAATTTTAGGTACGGATTTCAATTCACCTCCAACAATTTTGTGCATTTCGAATGTCAAGTCAAACCATGTATCAAATCGTGTCATAGAGAGGTTTGTGAAAAAATGGGAAAGTAAAAGTAGAATTCTGGACAAAATGAACAAGCAGCCGGGACAGACGAGTATCAATCAAGGCAGAGAGCAACCGTCCTAAGGGACACGCGAAAAGAGAGATGAGAACGGACGCTGAGTCAGTTTGAAACAAAAGGACTTTTGCTAGTGCAGCACATCCAATCTATACACATTTCCAGATGTACAGAAGATGACACCATCAAGTGGTACAATATAAGCCATGTCAATGACAGAATAGAGTGCTTCTATGTAGAGGGGAAACGGGCCGCCGCGACACCATTAGGACAGCGCTCAGTAATGAATCTCGGAACAAGGACGGCTCCTTTTCCCCCCTTTCTTGAGTCACTTGTGCATAGCATAGAAAATGGAGCCAAAAAAAAGTTGGAGCGAGCAAAAAGTTGTCAAGTTTCCACACCTCGCCATGAAAGAGGAAAAGTGTAAGAGTGAGCGGAGAAATGAGTGTGAGACTGATTTGAAATTCATGTAGTTTATCATGGCGTGTCATGTTTTGTGAACGGGAAAAAAAGCACACAAAAAATATTTCATTCGCCGTCGCTTTCTTTGTGTTTTGCATAATTAAAACTTGTATGCGCACATCTCTGATCTGAATATCTAGTCAACCATTATCTGACTTGTGTGCCGTTGGCGAAGGCGTCAAAGTTGAGCATGCGATCAAAAAAACAGTAATTGCTGGTTTTCTTCTCACGACATTTGAAGGTGGTGTCTAGAAAGTTTTAAATTTGTCAAAAATCGGTCAGGTTAAACATTTTTGGCAAAAACTATTGATTTTTTTAAAGGTTATTTTGGTATTAAAACCCGGCCCGGCCCGCGACAAGTCTGATATTTGGATTGGGTAGCAAACACAATGACCTAAAGAAAATCTCAATCACGAATACGTCTCACTCCAGCTGAAAATCAACGTTTTCACCTGCCAAAATGACGAGTACTTCTTCGTTTTGAAAATGAAAATGAGGAAAAAGTTGCTGCGCGTTCTCAGAAACTATAAGCTGGAAATGGCATGTCGTGGGCATGTGGCTTGTGTCTCATACTTTGTTGAGTTAGAAACGATTTTTAGTCTGACTTGAGAGATCTGTGGAAAACAGGAATCATAAATCTTGACTTGGGTTCAGAAAGTATAGTACTTTGCAAAACGCGTCCGAAATTTGACGTAAAACTGTGTGTTGCAACTTTATAAGGTCAAGTACAGTTCCGTTTGAACCAGGAAGTAACACAACTTGAACTATTTCTCTATTCCCATTCATATTCCCAATTTTTCTCTTTTAGCAATGCGTCCGTGAACCGGAAACGAAGATCCCTCTAATCCCAGCGCATCGCCGTCGCCGTCACGATGAAAACTCGACCGATGTGGCCACGCTTCGCCTCGAGACCGTGCTCGAGATCTCGCCCCAATCAACGCTCTCAGCTGCTGCCCTTGGTCAGTCCGAACTTATGATGGCACCATGTGTCACTGGATGATCTCGCACGAGACCCCCGACTTGTGAAGGCTCCGCTCCTGCTCGAACACATGATAGGTGCAAGCGGACCCTTCTCGCTCTCAAAATAGTATAGATTCGAGCGGGGCAGCCAACTGTGAGAGAAGAGAAGACAGACGAGTATCTTGATATTTCAGTGTCGTCCGAGGACTACGCTCGACCGGGACACTGCTATTCTCAGCCGATGCTCATCGCCACATGCACTTGCGTTTTTGTCACGACTGCACTTTTTGTGTCGCTGATTCACGTGGTGTTTCGGCGGTGGACAAAGTCCGGCAAAGCTAGCAATATAAATGACACGGATAGTGTGGACTCATCGAGCATTTCGTAAATGACCTCTGACTTTTCTGTGTCTCTTATGATCTTCATGCTTCGATATTCTTCAGCTTTTTCATATTTTGATTCGACTTGTGTTGTTATGGTGTTTTCACTTTCTCATTCCTGCCTCCAGTTTCGCATTTCCAAATTACTTTTCAATAAATGCTCTGCTTTAAAAAGTACTGACCCGATCATGAGTTTGTTGACTTCATCAAACCGTCCTCTTGGTTTTGTGATTTTGAAGATTAGGAAAAACTGAACGAACCATATACACATGGATGTCACACTCGTTCTCCGATCGGCTACAGTAATCTTTTAGTCTATTTCTGGAGACTCATGTATCCCAAACCACCCGACCAATCAACATGTTTATTTTTATTGCGGATTCGATTCCATTCCACACCAAGTGGATAAGTACCCATTCATCGCCGTCAGGAGCCGGAGAACGAAGATAAATGTTGTTTTGTTTTCGAAAACAAACAAACAACTTCAACTCTTTTTCTTTCTATTGACTATGATTCCTGTTCCGGCAAAAAAGGAAAAAGCGGCGCGCGATCTCATCCATCCCAATTTAGGACTATACTTTTCGGAGGTAGAGAGAAAGAGCTCAGAGAAAAACGGGCTTGGGCGCCCTCCTCAAATCGCGTGCACTTTTTCTCTTCAACTTTGACCCATCCAGTGTGTCTCGCGGCTGTTCGAGACGAGACGCCGGCGGGTGTCCGCACGAGTCAAAACCAGCTGATCGGCGGAGGGATGGAGAGACTCAGGGCGTAATGAGAAGGGAAGGATGGACCGAGACTTTTCGTCTCGTTCACTCGTCTCTAACCGGGAACGGTTAGAGACTTCCTGCTCAACATCCGACTTCTCTTCAGAGACGGAGAAGGGGATGGGAGAACAGGAGCGCCTGCTCCTCCGCTCGTTTGACCACCATAGGTTCAGCCCACCTGGTCTTGGTCTCATGATCAGACCTGGGATAGAACTACTCATTCAGTCACTCTTTTTATTTTCTTTGTATTCAGGCGTTTCCCTTGAAAATTCGAAAAAATTTCAGCTATGATGGAATCCCACGACGATTATGAAACTCAGAGTCAGCTCCAGGTGAGTCAGCTTTTCAACAACTCTAAAAAATTTGCTTTTCTAATTTGCAGAGAGCGCTCGCCGACAAAATAACCAACTATGCGCCAATCGAAGAAATCCGCTACACCCTATTGCGTGGAGCACAGGTCTGTCTCGAGCCAGCTCGACGTGTTTTTCTTGTTTTGTTTGCCCAACTCATAAAATAATCATTGACGCCTGGAACGTTATATACAACAACCGGCTGGTCAATCTAGGAGCTGCAGACAGAACAGAAAAACAAAAGTTCAACGTCTCAGGGAAAGGGGCAGGGGTAGGGGGGGGGCAAGAAAAACACGTGACTAAATCGGTGGTCAGGGCATTGACTATATTGTTGCAGGTGGATGGTCAAGTCACCGCCGGGTTGACACCTCTCCATTACGCCTGCTTTATCAACTATTTGGCCGCTGCAAAACTTCTCCTCAACCTCGGTGCCAAGGTTTGCGATTTTGATTGGAATGAAAAGTGAACTTACGAAATGCCCAGGACGTTCCAAATTTTGTCATAGACGGGTGGGGAACAAGTCACAGGCACTACAAAACACAAGATATGCGCCCCCGATTTTCCATTTTTTACGCTTTTTTATCAATGACACAGCGCCAATTTGTGAAGACAATCATAAGTCAGATAGATTGTTTAGAAAACAGGCTCCAAGTCATGGACAAAACTAGTACTACATAGCACAAGGGGTGGGGTGAAGGGGGCGGGAGGTGACTAATCAAGTGTTGTCTTTCCCGCCGGGTATAAAAGAAAAACAGAAAAGAAAACGGCAACATTGAAGGTGCAAGCCGTCGACAACATTGGCTGTTCTGCGCTTCATCTTTGCGCTGAGCACGGACACTACAGAATGATCAAATTGTTGCTGCAGGTAAGTAAATTCGAATCTCGTCGCCGGATATAAATAGATGTTTTTGTAGTATATGAAAGTGGTCGAACAGTACGAGACTCCAGAGTTTCGTGTTGGAGACAAATATCCACAACGGGAAAATATTGACGAGCCACTTCGCTTGGCTATCAAGGTAAGTAATGGCACTGTGACCCGCCCCTCTTTCGCTTTCTATTTCTCATAGTTTTCTCTGATAATGATTGTGATGGCTGCGGTTCGTTTTTCTCGCTTATCACTTTTCCTCAAAAACACCCTAACTTTTCCAGAACGGTCATTACGACTGCGCCCGTCTTCTCCTTGCCAATGGAGCCAACCCGAACGCCATTTACTTCGATGGTCCCGAAATCACTCAAGTGAGCCCACTGGATACCAACTTCTTGGAGCTGCTCTTGGAGTTTGGAGCCGATCCGAATGTGTTCGACCGCAAGGGACTCACCCCCATCATGAAGGCCTGTCGGATGCGTGACAAGGGCATTGAGGCAATCAAAATCCTTCTAAAGTTTGGCGCCGACATCAACAAGTTGTCGCCGGAACGTCAGGATCACAGAAGTGCTCTGCATTTTGCTCTTCTCTCCGGAAATCATGAACTGGTCAAGTTCTTGATTGAGAATGGGTGCAAAGTGAATATGGATGTGAAATACGAAAAACCATCGCCAATTGACATCGCTGTTTTGAAAGATGACCCAGATCTCTTGAAGATTGTCCTTGACGCTGGCGCGAATCCAAACGCAGTTCACACGTATATTGGCTCCTGTCTTCATTTGGCTTCTTGCTCTTGTAAGTTTATTTGGACTAAATAAAATTAACAAGTTTATGTTGTTACTTTTTCAGCGCTTCTCAACCAGTACAAGATTATCGAGTTGCTTCTAGAACACGGTTCGGACGTGAACCTCCAGCACCAGTTCCCTGACGGTTCCCGCCTCAAGAGCCCGTTTGTCGAGTACTTCCGCTCTAATGACAGCATCGACGCGAAAGTTGTGAAATTGTTTCTGACTCACGGAGCAAAGGTGGTGATGAGAAACCCACTGCACGACTGCCGTGGTCAGCTGAGAAATGTGCTCAAGTTGGCGGCTCTGCAAAACCAGCCAGAGGTCCTGGAACTTCTGCTGGGGCTCGGCGAGCAGTACGACAACAAGGCCATCGAACGACTTCCACTGCCTACAGAGCTCAAAACTCATATCAGCGAGAGAGCCAAGTGAGTTGTCCCCACACATTCTGTACTAGGATCAATGTACTCTTTCCAGAAACCCGCACAGCCTTTTGCACCTTTGCCGCATTCAAATCCGCGACACAGTTCAAACTTCCGAGTACAAAACCCTTCCGATCCCGGAGTACCTGAAGGCCTATTTGTTGGGACTGATCCCATAACGGTCGCTAGACCTCCCCCCACCCTCACCTTTATAATATTTTTGTCTGACTTGTGTGTGTGTACATTCTGTAGCATAATAATTGTTATCTGTTTCTACAACCCATCTAAAGTGTATGTACATACAAACAAAACCTGTTACCTTTACCTATTACCTCTCTTCCCAAACTTGTACAATATTTTTCTTTTCCCTCTCGGAACCATGTTAGCTACCAAATTGCCCCCACTTTCTGTCACAATCACTTTAGAACACGCGAAAAACGGATAACGACATCTCACACTGATTTCATCCATTTTCTGTTTCATTCGAAGTCTCTTCCCCTATCCCGATTTGTCATCTATCTGAGGCATAATATTATTATAATATTTGTGATGAATTTGATGTACATAATATATTTATTTGGAAAAAAACCTCACATATTTGGCCAATAAAGATAAAAAATTTTTACAAAGACAAGCATTGGGCGAAATGTCACGTAGACAAACGGGAAAAAGTGTTGCGAAATAGGTCGAGTTGTCAGTCAGTCAGTCAGTCAGCCGTCCGAGTGGATCTTTATCCACTTAACCGAAAGGAAAGCACGACCACGTCATGTGTTGTCCCCCACCGGGTGAAAACACACTGATTTTTGAGTAAACAATGGCAGATGATGAGTGATTTTTTCTGATTTCTTTTGTTAAAAAGGGACTTTTGTTAGGAAGGGACTGAATATCATATATATGTCTTCCTACGTGACATTGTGTAACTGAAAAAGTGGTCATTTGTTGCAGTGATAAGAGGAATCAAAGTTCGCGCGGAGAAAATGGAAAATGCACTCTAGTTCAGGTTGAAATTGGGAGGAAGTGGAAATAAGAAAGTCATGATGATGTGAATCAATCATAACACGTTTTTGGAAGTTATTGGGGACTACATTGTAAAAACTACAGTTGAATTCAGACATGTTAAGATTCAGTAAAGTCTCAGGAAATTCTTGTCCAAGTTAGCCGGCGCAGTCTGGTCCATTTGCAAGAAGCGAAGTGGATCCATTCCTGAAGAAAATCAAAATGTTTTACATTTATCCTTTGTTTACTAACTCATAATATCTCTGACGAAAAGGAACGATTTCTTGTGAAGAGTATCGTTCGGCACATGCACCAGCAGAATCTTGAACAACACCTGTATAATTGTTATTGATAACAAAACGCCATAGTTCTGTTGATAACCTTTGCACAACTGGCAAATACGAGTGCTTTGAACACCTCATGAAGACGCTTCATTCCCGCCATGTTGTTGTTTCTTTTGATCTCCGCCAGTTGATCATTGAGCATCACTCCAAGGTCGATTATTTCTGGTTTACAGTGAGCTTCGAAGAACTCCAGAACGACTCTGTAGTCGACTTTCGTGTAGGAGACACCCGGCGGTCTTGGCACTCCGTTAGCAATCATTGCCTTGATCTGCAACACAACATTGCAACCTGATAGTCTGTTTACTTTTCGATTTGCACTACCATTTTGATGAAGAGACGTTCGGTCGCGTTGGAAATGATGATCAACCGAACCATCCGTACTTTGTGGGCGACTCTCAAGAAACGTCTCGGAAAAGAAGTGGAGAGGTTTAGACGGATGAGGCAAAGGTAGCAGAAGCATGGCGGCTTCTCCTGTTGATAAGTGTTCACGTAGGTATTCGGTTTCTTCGGAGGAGTTTGGAGAGGTTTCTTCATGTTTTCAATTTTTGGAGTCAAGTGAGACTCGTAGTCGATGCTCTCCAAATCGATCTGAAAAGAAATCTATTTAGATGAGACTTGTCAAAAATTGAACCGGCCTGACCGAGTTCAACATTGTTGGAACTGTTTTCGATTTTTCCGGGTCCGATTGAAATATTACAAGTGGGTCAGAAGTAGGCCCTCAAAAAACTGGGGCGGCCTTTCATGTTTTTCAGATGCAGTGCCTTAAAGGCAAAGGAAAGAGGTTATCACACTTCAGACTGTGCAAAAAATTAAACTCGGCCTGGCCACCCTAGTTAATGGATATTGCAAACCAAAAAAGATGTCACAACCCCTATAATCACTGACCTTTTCTTCCTCTTCTTGCTTCTTCCTTCGCCGCTTTTTCTTTTCGGACGTCTCCACGGGAACCGATTTCCAGACTCCGATCTCGAACGACATGTTTGGCTGGATCGTCTCACTCCATTTATAGTTTGCTCGGATGTTCTCATTGTTTCCATTGTTTCCGTTAGCCAGACGATCGATCGCATTGTAGCTCAGACGTACCTCTTTGCTCATTTTCGCCTCGAACGTTTTCATGTTGACCAAGTAATTCTGGAAATTCATATGTACAATAACTATTCTGAACTTGACGCTGAAAGTTTAGAGCAAGCGGAAAGGAAAATGGAAGCGCTCTTCGAAAAGTGTAAACTGTGGGCGAATCGAGATGAGAACGTTGAAATTTGACCGCGTCAATTTGTTTGATAAATTGTATGTGTGAAGCAAAAAAGCGTTTCGCTGCCAAAAGCTTTGATAAACATTCCGGCAGGCGTTTTGGACTGATGGAACTTTGATTGAGGAAAGGAGAAAAGAGAAGAGGGGACGGAATGCTGGCACAAATACAGTAATCTGAGAAGGTAGATCTTACTGGAAGTGTCCGGAATGTTGAGTAGCAAAACACAATTGATGAACATGCCAAATGATAGTTTTCAAAAACAAATCAGGCTAGTTATTATAGAGACTTGAAAAAAAACATTCCGGCCCGGCTCTGGGTTTGATCAGTCAGAAAGAATTGAGTCCCATGCGTCTGAAAAACTGAATGGGAAAAAGAAGTGGATAAGTACATTTTTGAACCGAAAATCTCCTATCTCTCATTCGAAAATGCTGTTCTGACCCCCTTCCCTCTTTTGATGCTGCTTTCAACTAGAACGACTGGACTGCAAGTGCAAAGTGCACTCTTTCGAAGGCACTCAATGAAAATGAGAAAATGGCGCCAGAATGCTCTTTTGCCAGAAAAAGGAACGGTTATATGAGGGTTCAAGTGGATGGGACAAGAAATATAAAGATAGACGATGCAGAAAATGGGATGGAATGAGGCGAAGAGAGCCGGAAAGTGAGAGAGGCGGAGCTTTTGAGGGACGCCGTCCTTTTTTGGGAAGGGAGCGAGTGGATGCTCGGCCGGCGTAAAAACGTTTCGGTTCGTCTCGTTCCAATGTTTTTGAAATTAACATCTGTCATTTCAAATTGAAAAAGGGCAACGAGAACGGAGCGGAAAGAGAAGATGATGCGGACGAGGAGAGGGGTTTTATCAAATGTACAATTTAAAAAGCTTCTAGGAACAAATTTGAGAAGGGGGACTGAAATGTTAGCATAATATGTACTGCGATTCAATTCAATTCAATCTCATCCGTTTCCGGTGATTTTCAAAAAAACTAATCTCGTGAAACAAAGCAAATATAAGCTGGAATTCCTTCCAATTCCAATTTCAATTCCAATCCGCAAATGCAAATGCAAATGAAAAAAGTTCAGAATTCATTTCATTTCCCCTTCAGAATCTTTCAAAATGAGTATTGTAAATTTATCAAATGATGTCATAGCTAACATTGAGAAGCACTAAAAAAAGAACGGCGAGGAGAGAGCAGAATAAAGTGGAAAAGGGTGTGCAAACGACTGGGAAAAGCTAATTTGTCTCAGTGTGCACTTCAGAAGACACACACACACACACTTTGTGACGTGGAACGACGCAATTGGATTTGTCTTTGAGAGGGGACCAGAAATCGCGAATTTTTGTTCAGCCAGAGTGTCACTAACCTCTAGGCTTGAAAAAGAGAGAAAAAATGAAATCTGATTTTCTTACTCTACAAAAAGTACACCGCATGTTCACTCGCTGAAGGAGATTCGTGTTCCAGGTGAAAGTGAAGCTAAAGTTTGGACATAAACGCGCACACATCGAAAAAGTGCATCGGATTTTGATGTTGGATTTAGGGGGAGTTAGGGTGAGGGAGAAGAACTGCTTTTCCAAGACATCCAACTTTTTTTCCATCCCCTTTTCGAAAAACATGTTCTTCCGGAACGGAAGTTACTGGGCGCTGCATAAAAAGTTTGGGAAAAGGAGAGATGGGATAGAAATAAGATAGAGGACCGATAAAAGTGTTCCCTAGTTCGTCGAATTCGCGTGTCGCCCTTTTCCTGTGCTCTTTTTTTGGCCTCCAACGTTTTTTTTCTGAAAAAGGGGAAGGGGGGGGGGCAATGGGGTTTTTGAGCACAAAGGTGCTTGTATTCTCGGAGCTATTGTACTCCTGGCTAATCCTTTGATCTTTATGTATTCTCTACCCAATTACCCATAATCGCATTATAGACTTCTGAGAACCTACATATCCGCAGTACTGACAAAAATATTTTCTCCACATGACTTTTGAACTTAACTTCACAAATCCACTCGAGATCCGGCGTTCGTTTCCATCACATCATTCTCCCAAAAAGTCAAAATGATGGTACCTATTACATCACCAAGTTCCCTCCCTTTGTCGTCCTCTTGGAGAAGCCCTCTTTTCTCTCTAAAAGATGCGGAGAGGAAGGTGTTACATAATTCTGGTGACTTTACTCAACTTTCACCTCGTCCTTTTTCACGCTCCTTCTTCCTACTCTTTTTGTTGCATTTTTCTAAGCCACCGCCTCTTCCTCCACCTTCTTCTCCTCCGCCCATCCATTTTCTCTCATTTTCCATTTTCAATGCCCGCGCATGTTCTGTTGTGACACTTCATATTACCGCATGCCTGTTTCTCGTCACAACGCATTTGTGTAAACCTGCAATGAAGTTCTCCTCCTTTACATTCTTTTTTTCTTCTTCTCCTACTTCTACATTCGTCTCGTTTGATTGCTTCTCGCCTTAGAATTTGGTAAAAAGTGGCCAAACTGATGGACACATTGAATATTTGTACGGATAGAGACGTCTGATGTTTTCTGGTCAAGTTGGAATGACGTTTGCCGAGTTCTCTTCAACAATTTCTGACTCGAAGTGATTTAGTTATAGAGCGGGCCAAGTGGGGAACCAAGTAAATCCTGTGAAAAGCTGAAGATAAAAACTTCACTCCCTTGAAGCTTATCCCGTGATTCTCACTCAAGATTTTGTAGTTTTAAAAGCTTTTCAGATAATATGCCATTAAAAATTTTGAAAAAAAACTCGCTTATTATTCATTCGTATTCACAATTTTCACTCCCAATCATTCATAATTACTTTTTCATCCATTCCAGACACCTCGTCAATCGTCTCCTGAGCAATGCAGTGTCACCCGACCGAATATGATATAATCGAGGAGAAAATGAGGTTTGAATTCAATAATCTGTCGAAGACCACGGGGTTAGGAGTAAGTATAAAATGTGTGTCGAAAAGAAGTTTATGTCTATGCGCGCCTGTGTGTATGTGTGTGTGTGATAAGGGAAGCATGTGTAATTAACGGGTCACAGACTTGCCTATTTCATCTTGTTGGCCTGAATGATGGAGACTTTCTAGAGAATATGGAAGAAATGTGAGTCACTTGAGCTTGATTTATAGATTTTACTTGCTAGATTTTTTGCGATCTTGACTAAGACTTGACCTAAATACTGTCCTTCCTTATTTCAGTTATAAATAACAGCTTCTGGGTAAGACAATCATGCCTGTCTGCAATTTTCAGTTACGTTCTTCGGCGCGTACAAGCTTATGTCAATGAGAAAGGCAATTTTCCTAAATAATATAAAACAATTTTGAACCCGGGCAAACGTTTGTTTTTACTGTAAGAAATGTGTTTGTTCTTCCTCTCTCAACTCGTAATAGTCCGTTTCAAGAATGCCGTCTGAAGTTTTCAAAGGCTAAGAAAAACGTGGGAAAAAGCGTTCAAAATTGGCCACCACTTTCATTTTCCGTCGTGTTTTGTGTGCTCCGCCAGTCGAGACGCTCTCTCGTTGACTATTCCATACGAAATTACGCTCTTTTTTGGGCTCACCACGTCAAACACGTCTGTTTCTTTTTGTTCTGTGCAACAACTATGTATATGCGGATGTTTTGTGCTGGCGGTTTAAATGTTTGACTATAAATAGACGAATGGATCGATTCGCAAGTGCTCCGAGAGCCGGAAAAACTGCGCCAACTACTTACTGCAACAACACCAATCGCAACTAGTTATTCATCTTCATCCCCCTCTCTCCTTCTCCTTCTTCTACTGCTTCTTCCACTGCATTTCCTTCTTTTCCCAACGCCGTCACTTTACTTCACTTCTTCTTTCCCTTCTGCGTCTCCGAATCTCTTCAGGCGGCGTCGACGCGCACGTCCTGCTATCCGTCGGGCCGCCAAACCCCCCACCCCCAGTTTTCCACTATCCGCAGCTGATTTCCTTCCTCGCCCCATTTGTCTGTCCCTCCTGTCCGTGTCTTCACACTTCCCGCGCCCTCCACACATACATACACCTGTGTGCCCTCAAACCGACAACACAAAAAAGGAGGATCGGTTTTTGGCGTGGATTACTGATATTCTATGTGAAGGCACGGAGAAAAACGAAGGGAAATGTGCTCTTCTTCCACATCGCCGACCATCACCACCACCTCCACCACAACTTCTTCCCCACCCAACGTTCTCACTAGTCTCAGGTACTTTTGGTTGAAGAGAAAATTTGTAAAATTTAATCAAATTTCTTCTCGTCCCACGCATGAAACTTTTGCACTTTTTATAATGTGTTTGTGTCGGAGTCGAGAAGGAGCGGAATGAAAATGAACATTCCTGGTCTTATTATTTTTCTCTGACATGCTGCGTTTCGTATCATACGTTCACTCTCTCGATCCTCCTCTCCTATTTTCCGTTCAATAAATTGCCAGTCAACCAACAAACCAGCCCGCACATGCGGTTTTCCGGTTTCTCTCCCTTCTATTCATTTTGTCTCTTATTTGGTGTGCATAGTCAAATTGTTCAAATGCCTAGTTGAGTATACTGAATTTTAATAAAATGAAAGGGTCTCGGAAACATTTTTTAACAAGGAGCAACTCAAAAAGTTGAAAACTCAAACAATCCCGAAATGTTCTGGTCAAAAAGTTGAGAATTTGTAGATCGGTGTAGTTTTCGTAGTTCCCCCTCTCGAAAAACCTTCCATATTTCTCCCTCTACTACTCTCTTCCACTTTTTGTCCGATTGTGTTTGTGTACATACATTGCGCAGCACAACAGCCGCTCCGCCGAGACCGTCGCTTTTCCCCCCCACACGACCATGTGCTCTTTTGTGCTCTCTCCGCCTCTTCTTATGTGTTTGAGGCGGGACTGCCTCCCGACGAGAAACATCGGAGAATTGGAATCTATTTCGCTTGACCCTTCTGAACGTCGAAACGAACAAACTCAAAATTCTTGCCCTCTCGAGCCTACTGTTTTTCAAAATGACCATCCGTCAGAATGACCCGACAGACAGCCAAAAGTGCTGGAAGCCAAGCCCTCTGTATGTTTTTGAGTGGGTGGGAGTCGACTGTTATCAGTTTAGACATTGCTGATCATGATGACTGTTGCGCGATTATTTTTTGCTTCTTTATTATGTCTTATTTCAGGTTACAACTCAGCCAACTAAAAGAGGGACGTCTGTCGGAGACCACAACAGTCAAAATGTTATCGTTGTTAAAGGTAAAAAGCAGTTTCATCTAAAGTTCCTACATCAATGAACGTTTTTTTTTCCAGGCGCTTGCAAACATCCACGTCTTTCTCGGCATCGTCATGATTGTGCTCAGTGGTCTTGCGGATTATGCGAGCACGCGCATTAACACAATTCGGTTGCATGGCCTCGAAGAAATCTGCTCATTCTATTTTGTCCTAGTGGGGTCAGTCAGTTCAAAAGTTGTTGGCTTCCGTTCTCTTTAAACATGAAACGTAGAGAACCGTGACTGAACCGTGATTTGTTCATTTCAGTGAGTCCGGAGTCTCATCGTGATTTGTGAGTGAGACGCTAAAGTAATATGTATTTACATAGTAGTGAATCATAATAATTGTAGCACATCGGCAAACAAATTAGTGATGCTTTCAGACTGGTCGGTATATGCGGAAGTGCTTCTTACCGCCGGGGACTCGTCATCACTTACCTGGTCATGTGCATACATTCCATCTTCATTTTCGTGCCCGCCATCATCACTGTCTCAAGTTTTGACATTCATTTCTATCAGGTAGGATTTCGAAGATTCTGCTGTTTTTCCATTTTCAAAACTGATCATTTTGCAGCATGAATGCTGGGGAGAGTGCGACTGGCACTTGCTCGCCACGTCATTCCCGACCAACAGCAGGTGTCAAATCTTGTGCGGCGATCACGTTGATGACGCAATGCGCAGGTAGACAACCGTTCCAGTTTTCCTAAAAGTGACGTGGATATTTTAGCAAATGACTTAGCCAAAGCATTAAATTTGGGAGAAGTATAAATAGGCTCTTCGTACCTTTTGACGTCAAAGATACATAGTAAGGATTCCATATTTCGTCACATCTTTGCTGAAAACAATTCGATTGTTACTCAACTTAGACCAATTCGGAACTCAAATCACACTAGAGAGTTGAACACTTTGACATTAAGGACGTTTTGCAACCAGACAATATTTTGAAAACCAATGTATAGACAAATCACTGCAAATATCACTGCCAGCATTTTCACAAACCCCGATTTCCAGAAGAATGACACGTCTCGGCACCGATTACCGTCTCGACGCGGGCCTCATCGCCGCCGCCATTCTCGAGTTCCTTCTCTCAATCGCCACTTGTGTCGTCGCTTCAAGGACACTTTTCTCTCCATTGAAGGTTAGATTTCTCGATGATTTACGAGTTCGGACATCTAATTACCCTCTTTTTTTCCAGGAACTGGGGGAACAAGGCGCTCAAGGAGATTTGACCGTCGAAATGCAACCATTGAATCAATCCGAAGAGAATACCGATTCTGTTCACAATGGATCGACACAGTAACTAATTCAAGAGGAAAATCGAACAAAGAATCAAAGATCGAAAGTTCCAATTGTTTCGAACATAATATCTTCATTGTACGTATGTAGTCCCACTCTCCCCCAAATCCCGGTAGATATTTTATCCAACTCATGTATTTAACCGCCTAAAAACAACCTTCAGCATTTCATGAAAAACGTAATAACAGATTCTCAACTTTTACGGTCTGAATATCATCCTAGATGCTGTTCATCGTAACTCTCTTCTACTGGTTTTTCGACTTCATCTTCATTTTGTCATCAATTTTCAAGTTATTTGTAATAAAAACATGTACTTTTCAAGTTTATTTTGACTACAAAGTATATGATCGTTGCATACATAACTGTCCATAAAGGATATTATTATCCGGGGTAGGCAGTGGCCAAACAAGTTCCGGATCCGTCTCCGCAATCTTGGAGGTAGGAAGTTACGGTAATTGGGTAGTCGTTGACGTTGAAATGACAGTTTCCACCGTTTCCATGAACAAGTGCGCAAACAGTGAGAATGGAGAAGTCGAAAGCTGGAGAAGTTCCGGTAAAGAATCCTCCAGTGGGCTTGGTGGCTCCTTGCCAGTGGTATTGGAAGGTTCCGATCAGGTTCTGAAACACATTATCATTTATATTCATTTTTTCCAAGATAATCTGAAATCTATACCTCGTCATGACTATAATATCCATCATAAACCATACGATCAGCCTTCTGCTCAGTGTAATATCTAACCCAATCGTGCTGTCCATCAACTGTTCCACTTTTGAGCTCTCCCGAGAAAACGTGCTCCCATCCTGAAGAAATTGCACCGTTAAGTGAACTTTGTGTACAGTACAATACATACATTGATCTTTCTCTCTAAACATTACGGTTTAAGTTAGTCTGACCCTCCTCTCCAATCTCAAAAGTTTGTAGCCAAACAGTAGTCTATAGTTTGCTCACATGAAAAGTCACATACACATACATACACACTGAACTGTTTGGCAATACATAACAAACGCGAACGTACCCGAGCTACCAAGAGCGCCCTTGCATCTTGTGTACACTCCGAACCACAATGGCCACAAGATTTTGGTTTTGAAGTTGTCCAACGTGGTCGTCTCCTTGTAGTCTTAAATGTATTGGTTTTGACCCAAAACTTGACCAATGGACGGAAGTCGAGAAACCTACTTTGAGCTTGAAGATAAGCGAACGCATCGGTGAACATCGGGGTGGCGGTAAAGGTGTCAAAGACGGCTTGGAGGTACTGCTTGCGGAATCCGCTCATTGCCGCTTCGGCTGTGCACACATCAGCGGTAAAAAGTTCCTTCTCGTAGGTGGTCAGCAGGTCGGCGTATTGCTTTTTGGTGAAGAGAGTCTCGTCGACAGTAGTGAACAGACTGTAAAACGTTCTGATATTATCCAATTCCCCCCATCTCTACTCACTCAGCCTGTTTCTCTCCGGTCTTTCCGCTTATATGGGTTCCCCAGTTTATGGTGACCTGCGTTGAGCTTGGTCTGTCCTGGTCTTCATTCCACATTTTGTCAACAAGAGTCTGGAGAGCCGCGTCGGTGGTGGTATGCTTCTTCGTTGTAGCTTTTCCCGAGTGGTGAGTGGTGGCCTTGCTGCTGGATCCGAAGGAGATAGTCACCTGGTCGAGCTGAAAGATTTCGACATAGTAAAGTTGTGAAATACGTAGAGCGAGAGCGAGATCTCAAAAGTACTAAATTTCGTAACTCAACATACCACGACATTTCCACCGGTCGTCAGGGTAGTAGCGGTAATTATGATGTCTTCTCCTTGAACAGTCACAGTTGGCTGAGTGTTTGTCAGAGCAGCGACAGTATAGGCGGCGAACTCGAATGCCGGAGAGGTATTGAGCAGGAAGGCAGTTTCCAGGTCCTCATCTTTTCCAGCGACGAATTGAAGGTCGATAGCGATGCTCTGTGAATGCAAATTTAATCAATTGTGTAATCCAATGACTGTCTCTCGTTTTCCGTGTTATCAATGACTTCCAACACCCCGTTTTATCAGTTGTCACGTTTTAATACCAATAAAGTGACACTTTTTGCGCGCGTCCTCAATTTGTTGCGACTTTTATATGCATCAATCCTTGACCATCGAAGATTTTACAAAATCTTTGTCAGAGTCTGAGGATGAAGTTTCGGATAATATACGAAGGAGGTCTACTATCAATTTGGGAAATCATCGGCAGAGGTATTTTTTGAAAGGAAATCGTCCGACAATTCAATGGAAAAACTATTCAGAAACCTCCGGAGAATCCGGTTAAAAGTCTATAACTTTCTCGAAAAACCACTCAATGCAGCTTCAGCGCCTTATCATTTCTGTGAGTTTTTCTTCCGCACACAATTGTTGAATCTTCCGTTTACAGTTATCTTTGGCCTGGTTATCATTAACATCATCCTCGGAGCCGCTACTAATGAAAATGACGGATTGGTTTCTCAAATTCACTTTTTCCTAGAAATCTTTATGATTTTCTTCTTCATCGTTGAGTTCGCAGTCAGGTTATGGTCAGTTAAAGCCGATGCCAAGTATCGAACGTCTTACGGTAACATGTTTTTAAAAGATTTTTTTGCGAAACACAACGATTGTAGGTCGTCTATACTACCTCTTCCACACCGTGACCCTCATCGATCTTTTCATCATCCCCGCCACTATCCTCCTACTCCTTTTCAAAGGTCACGACGTTGACGGAGCCACATTAGACACTCTCCGTTTCATTCAGGTCTCGAAATGACCCGTTCGTACTAACGCTGGTCCCATATAATTTAGATTTTACGACTATTTCATGTCGACCGCCAAATGGCCACTTGGAAGCTTCTCCACAAAATGATCATTTTGGGAAAGTGAGTTTTCCAGCTCATTGAGCTTCTTCATTTTACATTCTACGTTTCAGATGGCAACTTCTCGCTACATACTATATCACTCTTGTCGTCGGTATTAGTCTGGCTACTATTGTTTACTCCACCGAAGCGCTGGCTCAGGGAATCGAGGACACCGGCTATAGCCTAAAAATCCCTAAAGGAACTAGTACGTTCTATTGTTATTAATCAACAAATTTTCTCTGAACGTAGATGCCACATTCCCCACGATGGCCCACTCTTGGTGGTTCACAGCCGTTACAGTACTAACAGTTGGATATGGTGACATTTCTCCAACCGGAGCGTTGACCAAGGTTTTAGTCTGTCTTCTCGGATTCATAGCTTTCTGTACTTTCCAAGCAGCTAACACTTTGATTTCTGTTGGTACGGGTTACGGTAGTCGGACCATCTCTAATAATCCCCGTCTTCTAGGTCTAACTCTAATGATGGAAGAAGCGAACAAAGACCAGCACACGACTCGATTGCGAAATATCGCGGCTTCCACTATTCAGTGCTGGTGGAGATATCACTTGGCGACAAACTGGCGGCCTCCGCGCCGTTACGCCTATTTCACTCATGTTTGCTACAAGCTCTACGTCACCGAGGAACGGATTAATCAGAATCGAGCATTGGCTAAGAAGTTAAGGGAGAAATTGGAGAAGTGAATTGAACAACCGACGTTTTGAGAATAATTTTGACATTTTAGAAGGCGACCGACTAAAAAGAAGTCCATCAATCATCAAAACTCGGTAACTGCGGAGATACTGAAAATGGGCATCAAAGGAATGGTGAAACCGGTGCTGGAGAAACACGATAGTTTTGATAAGCCTCTCGAGCGGAAGATTTCTTTGAGAAGAACTGTAATGTGTCTGTTCTTAATCTTGGTCTCTACAATTATGTTTAGCGCAGCGAAGATCGTCGTTCAAGTCTCCCGGACGCTCTGACAGCTATAGAACCAGCTATTGTAGGTTTTATTCTTTCAATCTCTAACCTATATACTCATTTTCCAGCGCAAAAGAGTTCTATTCGCGGAAAGTCGCACAAACTCTGCCGAAACCTCGATTTCCTCTTCCTGTGACATGTCGGAACTTGAAACACAATTCGAAATCAACCATTTCCTTGAGGAAAACTTCGATGATCTTAGTTCGAAAGGTAGGCGGGGCGAGAAGCTGGCTAGACTCCCTGAGGAGTCGGGCAGGTGAAAATAACAATTTATTCTTCTTTCGCAGAAGTGGATATTTCGCTGCTGATCAAGTACCGCCCGCTTCTTCGTTTTTACTATTTTGTCATGTTCCGTTTCCTCATGAACAAGTTCCATGTTAGTGAATCACAATTTTGGCAATTCTTGCTTGATTATGAAATCTTCCAGAATCAACGCGTCGCCGGGCAGCTTTTGATGATTGAAGCTGAGATATCCGAGCGGGAAAATCACCGGTGCCAGAAGCTCAAAGACCTGGAAAATGTGATCCTGGACCTTACTGGCGAGCCGATGGAGTCGCCGTTCAGTGAGACCAGAGACAAGCTCAACATCTTGGAACGCTTGGAGTTATGCGAAAAACAAATGTTGGAACTCGAGCGGAAAACTGATGCTATTGGTGATCTGGCTATGAAGTGTCTCAACATGATGATGAATGAGTGAGTACTTTACTACTGTAGCCGCCTGGTAACACTTCTAATTCTAGACGCAAGAATTCTGCGAACTTGAACGTTAACGCTAACGCAAACCCTGATGAGAACAACAAAAAGGAGAAGGACGAGATGGGTCTTCCGCCAAAACATCCTGGCGCAGGAAACCGTCGGGCCCGAGGAGGTCCCAAGCGTCAGGTCACCATCATCGACCAATTCGACAATTTCGACGATAACGAATTGCCTGCAACCTCGTCGTCACCACTTTCGCCGACCACGTGACTGCTCTTGACACTGATTTCTTATCACCATACAAATTCTGCACGTTTCCCATTCGTTTTCCTATCAACTTCTGCTGAGTTGAACCGAACCGAATTGATAACAGAACTAGGTCTCTTTCTACTTTCCACTCAACTATGCTGTATCTGAACACGAATCAAATGAACCACCCCATCACACTCACGTTGAGCTTTGTGAACCATCCGTGATAGTTGAAGGTTCCTGCTTGTTCCTGAAGGTAGAATCCGTACCAGTTGGCGAAACGATTGATAGTAGTTCCGGTGGCTTCTCCGAAGAAGACCGACTTGAATCCAGAGCTGCCAGCGGCCGATTTACGAGCGTAGGCGGTGAACCACAAGTTGGTGAGCTGCTGACGGAAAGCAGTGGCGTCGCTGGTAGACACACCCTGAGATTGGAGGAAAGTCCACGCTTGTTGAACCGCATCGGTGGCGATGAAAGTGTCCAGGAAAGTGTTGACGGCAGTGTTGAAGTCGTCACTAGTTGGCTGAGCGATGTCACTGTCCAAGGTGTAGAACTTCTGGAATAAGGTTCACTTCAAGTTCAATCCCTTCAATTTTCAGACTGTGCTTACCAGCAGGTTAGCGATAGCAGTGTAGGTGGCAGCACCGCTCACAGATCCATCAACAGTTGTGAAAAGTGGGCGCTTGGAGTTATCGTGGTCTGGGTTTATCTTCGAAGCCATGTTCTGGTAGTCTAACGTGACCAGAGAGTCAGTGCGGGAGTCCGCAGAGGCCAAGTTGGTGAGGAAAGTATTTACAGAAGAGAAATCGACATTTTGGATTGGTTTAGCTGAAAATCATGTAGTCTTGCTGATAATTGCAAAATGAACTAACTATATACAAGACTAGAAGCAACAGCCAGGATAAGGGCGCAATTCCGGAGAATCATCATTGGATCTGATGGAAGGAGTAGGTTTTTCTTGCCTGAAATAAACTTTTTTGAATACAACAAGAAATTAGGGAAAAATGTGTGGGATGGGTGAGGTTAACACCCAGCCGATGAGTTCTTATCACATAATTCGAATCGGCTTTTATACAATTCGCCGCCTCTGCTCTGCTCTGCTCCCGGTCTCGTTTTCTCCCTGTATCTGCAGTTTTTACGTGATGACGACAATTGCTCCGTGTCGAGCGGGAGCTACTGACGACGCACATGTCCAGGACACAACGTGACTGTTAAAAGAGAAAGAGGGAAAGTGCTGATAATTACGACATCAGTGTCTTGTCGGAGGAAAATTGATTCGTCTCAAAGTACAAGCGTTTTCGTTGAAATTATATTTAGAAAACTGGAAAAGAGTGGGTTGAAAGGGTGTCTGCAAACAATCCAAGTTTGTCGGACAGTTTTCAAAGACATTGCAGTATGGTACGGATTCGTGGTAATCGAAGTTCATTCAGATCAAAATTGTGACTTTTTAAAGGTCTTCTCTAAATCAGTCCCCATTCGCATTCTGTGAGAAGCTCCCAATAGTTTTTTTTTTCAGATTCCATTGTTCCATTCCCGTTCCCATAACTTCGCGTCGTGAAACAAATCGAATTGTCATTTTTGTTTCTGAAACTCTGAGACATCGACTATTGTCTAAACATGAATGTTGACTATAGAAATAATGAACAAAAAACAATTGTTTTCATACAATACGACATCGCCTCTTTTCACTGTACACTCCTATGCGTTTTCTGTCACGGAACTCTGTAGCGTCTCTGTAATGTAAGTTGTCATTCATTCCGTAGCTTCCATAAAAGTTCGACACTCACACCCACATACACTCACTAAACCGAGATCAACGATCAATTGTTTACTGATAACATCTCCCCCCTGTCTCTTTTTTTCCGGTTGCGGGCTGTTGATGATCTCAAAGTGAGAAACTTGGGACTCTTTAAACTTTGAAGCACTTCAGACCAGATGTTTATCACAAATGAGTCATTATTCTCAGGGAAGAGTGTAAAAAGAGCTCTTGCAGATGTTTTATGGCTCCTTAGAGTGCTTTTCGAGCGTTGTGTAACAAATTTCTGACGTATCATTGCAGTTTCTCATATTTCGTAACGTCTCATCTTACTTCTAACACAGATTTGTGAAATCAGTTAGTCTATCTGATAGCTTTGACCTGTAGTTCCGTTTGAACTGCTCACTTATCACCATTTTTGAACCAGATCACCGCACCAGGACTCTGGTTGCTGATAATGGAGTCGGCGGTGACGTCTAGAGTTCAATTGAACATTTGATCCTTTATCACCCTTCATTGTCATTCCAAAATTAATAAGATGTGTGCTCAAAGTTGCAAAGAATCTGATGTAGCCTTTGGTCCCTTAAAGAATTGCGGTAAAGGATGCCGAAAGAGACGGGTAGGTCAAAAAATGAAGGAAATTACGCGTCACATGAGGCGGAATGGTGGAAGAGAGAAAAACAGTTTTTGTTAGAGGCTAAACTTGTTTTGAATTCTTCTTTTTCGCGGAAAATGTGTGCGACTTTCGATCTACCCGAATGAATTTGGAATTGAATGGAATGGGAGAAGAAGGGAAAGGGAGTTGATGGGTTCTTTAAACACGGTAAAGAGATTATTTTAAAAAAACGTACAAGAACTGAATCCTGCCGTAGTTTGACGACGATATTGCTCCATTTCGATTGAAAACTTGAGTAACCTCAAACAGACTTTGAACGCATGCCAAAAAGAGAGAAAGCAAACATTTTCACACTTTTTCTGTGTTACCCATGACTCAGTCCTCCCGCAACATGTCTATTATCATAACCCCCACTCACTTTACAGGTCGATACTAACTTTAGTCACCTTGGTTTTTTCCCATTCCCCTGTTTTTGCAATCACATGACCACATCTACCACCTCTAAACATTTTTGTTTCTTCTCCCCGCTTCAGTTTCACTTCTACTCCCTCCGGCTTCTTTCCTCAACATTCTGTTGTATAGTCTGCATCAATTGTATAGCTTTTGATGAACTAAAGATCACCTAAACTTCAATATCTTTTCACTTTTTTTTCACGCGATGATACAATAGTTCATCTCCCGACGTGGTCAACAATCAACAAACACACATATTTCAGATGCCGATCATTACCACAACGACACGCACCACGCGCACGTACCACACCTCTTCCGGCGCCGGATACCCAGCGTGAGAAACGATTTTCAATTCAGCGTCCCCATTAAAATTGCGAAATAGTGATGACCAATCTGTTTGGAAGGCATATTTTTGAGAAACCAGTTGAAAAACGAAAAACGTTGGGTGGTGCCTTTCTCTTCGCTCATCTTGGGGGCCATCTGTGCCGGGTGCGTCACATGTCACAATTTAACAAAACCTCAAACATCAGCCGAACGATTGAGATGAGTCATTTATTGTGCGGTTTTGATGGACACGTTTGACCGTTTAGGCAATTGTTCGAAATTCGGGAATTGTGAACAAGTACGTACTTGAATAGTCATGAACTTGGTTACACGCGTCAACAATCGAAATTTTTTGATGTTCTGAACACCCCTTTTCAAAATAGTTGTCTAAAAACTGACCAATAACAACAAGTATAGTTATAGACTTGATATCATACCCCGGGATGTGAACAATGAATGTCTAATCTTAAATTAGTCACGCGGATCTTTGTGGAAAGGATGGGAGGGAGGCCAGAGTGCAAAATGGTAAACAAAATAGAACGGAAATTGGTGGGAATTGAGTAAACAGTGCAATTTTTCCCAGATTTTTCTCAAAGGTTTCAAAATTAGAATCTAAAAACGTCTCGTCGCTGGACACTCAAATTTACCATAGGATCTGAAGCAAAACACATTATTTACGTATAGCCTGTTAAAAATTTCATTAAATCCTTCATTTCTCATTTCTCATTAGACGCCCAGGATCTTCAACTTTCCACCAAAACATTCGATTTCATCTGACACTTTATTTCACATGTCCTGCTTTCATTCTCATTCCCAGTGAGATGACAATACAATGCCGGCAGTATTATGCAAACCCATTATACTATATTTCGACACCTTTCAATAGAATAGAAGTTTTCCCCCCCCCCATAGCAAAAGTACATATGGGGAGGAGGATGTATGAATGTCCCTTTTCCGTGAAAGCTTCACCTAACCTCGGCCGCAATTATTTTCCAAGCTCGCCCCAGGTCTGGTCCTTCTCGAAAAACCTGCGAGACCTTCAAAAAAGTATTTGTGTGTTTTCTCGTGTTTTTCCGACCTTTGTCACCAAAAACCTTGACTTTTATGGGCAAAATAGGGAAATTGAAGGAGCGGGGGGGGGGGGGTCATTAAAGATGGTGGTGATGCGAGAGCCATTTCACAACACGTTGTTTTTCTTCTCTTGTTCGCTGTTGTTTGCTCATTCTCGGCTTCTATTTTATTTTCATGTTCGCTTCCACTTTCAAGAATGCCATGTGTTTTTGTTTGTTACTTCCCAACCAGCTTCTCCTCCCGAACCTCGCTATTCCTGAGAAAAAGAGGAAGAAGAGGAACTATTGTGATTTTATTGTTCTTTTTTACCCGACTGATCGTTATTTTTAGTCTTTCTCAAAGTTTACGACACAGATCCGGAGGGAAGAAAGAACACAAAGTTCCGAAGAGAACGCGAGATGAGGAGGGGGAGTGGGAGGGAAGGAAGGCGGGAGCGTTGGATCCCGAAAGCAACAACAACACATCACAACGGGCGCGAAGGTCGTTAATATTTGGGTGGGCGGGAACCCTCTCTTCTCTCGACCATGTGTGTGTGACTCAAAAACCGCTGTCATTCGGAAAACAGTCGGCCTACCAAACTGACGGTCTTCTCTTGTAGCTATTCGTTTTAGTCCTTTGTACTTGGCAGGTTACTTAGATAGATCCTAAGAAGTCGAAGACCCATAAGCTGCTAGAGGGAGACCAGAGCACTCTAATTGCATTTGACATGGTCATGGGACATGTGGACATGCATATCAAAACAAACCCCCCCTTCTATTTTCCCATTTCACTGGTCAATCATCCGCCTCCCAGTAAGCAGAAGAAGAAGAAGCAAAAGCACCAGAAACCAATTGTTTACTACGTCCTTTTCTTTCTTCTCGATATATATCTGGTCTATCCTTTTCATCCTGCCTCCCGCCATTTCATGACATGACATCTGACTCGTGGCCTCACCCAGTAAACATCTCCCTCCCCACTCCTGGTCTTTCACTTTTCAGTCCCTCCTGACACTCTTGACTTTAACTCACTCGTTTCAGAATGGGCGAGATTTCATTGAACACCCACTACCTCTCCACCAACCGCGGAATCATCAAGATTCTCCAAGTCGTCTGCGGATTCATTATCTGCTCGCTTCTCTGCTCCCAATGGTGAGTTTACAACAATGCGGCTACGGTAACCCATCGTCTTTTTAAAGGTACGGAGGCCGCTCCTGCTTCGGTGAAGGACGTCTCGGATTCTCGTCCGGACTCAACTTTGTCTGCGTGGTCATTAACATCGTTCTGTTTGTCTTGAACTTCCTGAACATCAGAGCCTGGGGACTGGTTAGTTACTTCTTCCCAATAAGTGCATCTTTCATCCTAATATGTTCAGGAGAGAATCTACACGGTGGTGTGCACCATCCTCTTCCTCATCGCCTCGATCCTCATGGTCTGGTTCATCATCGAAGTCAACTCCTCCCGTGGATACCTCATCGCCAGCGCCGCCCTGATCATCGTCGAATTCCTGCTGTTCCTGTGGGACCTCAAGATTCTCCAAGGAGAGTCCCCGAACTAAATTCTTCCCTTTTTTGGCTTTTGTCAGCCAGTATTTTATCCATCCAGTATAATCCCCATGTATACATCGCTAAATCTGCATTTTAATCGACCCCTTCCATTACACAGCTTTTTTTGCATAATTGCCCCAACATCCCTTTTTCTTGAAAATTGATAATTGCGACGTACACTGCAAGTAATAAAACTGTTATCAATGTCAGGGCGATTTCTGTTTTCCTCGCCTCGCGACGATACAAAAAGTCACGTGGAATTGTCAAACACACACACACGTCGACTCTCCAGTCCAACGGCCGGGAAGAGAGAAAACAACAACCGGGCGCGCGGGGGCGAGATAGCGGACAAAAGGCGAAGACGCAGAAATATCGATCGGCGGCAGTCCCGTGCTTTTTGCCTGGGCGCGCTTCGAACAGCCCCGCTTGCGAAAGAGACCGCGTGGCCGACTCTCCGCCCGCCGCACACACTCTCTCTTTTCCACTCTTCGCTGTACACTTTCTCTTCGTCCTGCTGTCGAACTTGCTGGCAGTTTGGTCGAAAACGTATTATTTTCTTCGTTCTGCCACTTATACCAACTCATTTTCACATCAATTTCAGGTTTCTCAACACAAAAAAAAAGAAGCAAAAATGATGGAAAGAGAAGGACCTTCGGATTGGAAAAGCATGCCCGTGGAGGTGCTTGAGGATATCTTCCAGCGACTTCCTGTCAAGAACAAGGGGAGATGCTCTCAGGTTGGCCTTTTCTCCATTCTTCCTTTCCTTGCAGCAACAATTGAGCAACATTCATCGTAAAACAAGAATTCTTCTAGGTGTGCCGTCAGTGGCGCAAAGGCTTCAACTCGTCCGTCTCCTGGCGCACATTCACTTTCAAAGACGGAATCTTTGTCCGCCGCAAATATACGCAGCACTCCGGGTGGCAATATCACATTGATCATTGGCGTCTCAGGTAAGCCACATGATCCGTTTGTGGAACTGTCAACAGATGGCCGAGTGAAAAACAGACGCGAAAATTTTGTTTTTGTTGAATTGGTCCTCTTTTTTTTTTAGCGATGTGGTACTTTTCCGTCCGACACCGTAAATATTTTTAACATAAGGACGAGGAGAAGGGGATTGTTGGGAAATACTTACAAGGGAACTTAATTTACATAGTTGGACTTCTGGCCGCGGCAACTGTTCCAGTTGGAACAGTTGGAGCGAATGGGAATCTAGCTCCTGTTTTTGAAAAGCTTTTTTGACAAAATCTGGACTTACGGCCTGATGCTTTTCTGACAACCGTTCTTTTTGAAAAACAACAAATGGGGTAATAAGAAAGGAATTGGATACTGTGTAAACCTCAATTATTTTCAGAAATCTTATCACCAACACCACGAACCACTGGAGAACTCTCATCATCGAGCCAGTCACCAACATTTTCAATCTTTATGAGTTCTTCAGAGTGCTCGCCAACTACGCGGAATACTATGAGAAGTAGGAGCCTATTCAATAGTCCTCCTCATGTGATCCGTTTCAGATTCAGTATGAAAGAGCGTCCACAGGCGAAAATCCACACATTCGACTTCAAATGGCACCTCCACATCGAGAACAACGAAGTTGGAGGAATTGAAGACAAGGATGTGGGCACTGGCGGACAGATTCTGTACAGTCTGGGCAATGTGCTCAAATATCTGCATGGCCTGCAGTCGTTGAGCTTGGCGGACCTGCAGCTCACTCAGGCAGAGGCCGATGACTTCCTGAACACAGTTAGTAGAACAGATCTTTCGTCGCTTTGCATGTTTTTCATTTCATTTCTATTCTCACTGTCTTCGCTGCTTTTCCCGGATTTATTGTATCATTTTTCCAGCTTCTGGAAAAATTCTGGGATAAGTTGACGTATTTGTCTCTTCTGAACGTGACCCTCCAACCGAAGCCCGTGCTTCAAGTCGGATGTTTTCTGAAACTCAGAAAACTGCTGGTGTCGCCGCAGATGCTGAGCTCTGAAACGCTTTCGCTCCTCGCTTGCCTCGAGCATCTGGAGACCCTCTCCATTGTTCAGGTAACAATAGGACGTCCCTTTTCTCACAGGGGTGTGCGGAATCTGGAAGGAGCGGGCTCTGCGGGCAGAATCATCAGATGGTGCATTTTGGGAGAGTTCGGTTTTCCGGGGCGCTCGTCCGAATGAAAACCGTCTGGAACTGCACTCTTTGGAACTTTTGTATGGGCTTAAAATTACGGTTCTCGGTAGAGCATTTTTTTTGTTACGGGGCATACGGTTCTCAATCTGATAGATCCAATAGAGTTAGTTTTGCTACTGAAACAGTTCTGATGCGTTCCAGGTCAGTTTCGGACGGTTCACATTCGGGATAGTGCTGTGGAAAGTTAGCAGAGCCTCACATTTATCAAGATTTTGTGATTGTATACTTGCCAGTCACAAATTTGTTCTGAAGAAATTCTTCAAAACGCTCGGGGATTACTCGAACCAATTGGGCTTGAACACACGTGATCCGCACACCCCTGACCCCTTGTCCACCTACTCGATTACTGGCTCCCTTTCATCCTCGACATTTCAGGATGAAAAGAGTAGCCAGTCGACGGATATCAGCCGACATGCGTGGAATATGTTCACCCACCAGAACATGGATCGAACGCGTGTCTGGCTTATCCTCCGAGGTCGGCGTTGCAAGTTTCTTTCATTTTAATCTCAACCAAGGGGGGGGGGGTCCCTTTATCCAAACAAGGGGTTCAAGTAGTGTGGGCTCAAAGCTCGGCTGGATAATAATTGTGTACAATCGAATCACCTGTGCAGTATAATTTTCGTGATAGTTTTTAGCCAGACAACTACCCACTCTGTTCAGTTGTCAAAAACATGAACATGTGGAATCAGACGGTTCATTACGTGATAATAAATGTGAAATTATAGGCAAACCAAAAACATCGCTGATTATTCAGCCAGGCGCGCCGGTCTACGGCATCCGCATGGAAGAGAGCGCCGGTCAACTGACCATGGAGCTTGCCGAGCAGGTTTAGAGTAATATCGAGAATTTGGTCGAAATAATAAGATTTAGATTGCAAACTTCTACTCTGGCACCTTGCGACACTTCATTCAGTGCGGATTGGAGAGAATGAAGCGGGGAAAGACGATGGAGGAGCGTGTGGACTCGGCACTCATTGAAGTTGTCAGCAGGTACTGTATACTTTGCATGTGACACACATAGTTTCTCCATTTCGCCCCCTTAAGCCTAGCCTAGGAAGATCTTTCTGAAACTTTCGTAGGCGGATTTCCCGATGATGGCATGATCATTCATTTCCATCCGATAGTCAGAAAATGTTTTCCGGGCACGTCTGACACTTAAAATCCAGCTTAAGAATTGCGTGAAATGCGGATTGAAATAGAAATAAACTTGGGAATGATGATCATTGAACTGATTCCAGATGCCAGCTACTGGAAAGAGTCGCTTGCCGCGAAAGATTCTCCTACGGAACGGCGGTCATTCTGTCCGTTTATGCGGAAAGATACGGAATCAACTTGTGGATGAGAAAGAACGCTCTGTTGAGAAGAGTAAGAACAACGCGCTGGGGATATTGAGGAATTACTACATGAATTTTCAGATCTGCTGGTGCCGCACCGACATGAAGTCATATGGAATCTCGTTCGACTGGCTCAAATCAAGAACCCGCTCCGAGGAACTGGTCATCGAGACGGTGCACTGCAGTACCGGACAACCGATGGCTGTTCTGGATGATAAATCTTACAGAGCTCTCAAGATTTGAGAAGATTCTCGATCTTTTTTTTTGTACAAACATCTTCTAATTTATACGCATCCATTGTAATTTGTCTGCTCTTTTGCTTCGCTCTCTGGATAGATTGCTTGCTTCCCCCCAAAGTACTATTGACTTCCACAACCCATAATAATCTGTGGCCTGACACCAAACCTCTAGCTTGTTGCTGTACATAACATTCAACTGATTTCCTTCAATTTCAATGGACTCGTGTAGATCCCTTCATTTATCCACCTATCCTCTTGACATTCATCCTGTGTAAACTCTTGTATTTTCCCCATGATAGATATTCCATTTTGGACTGTCCATCAAGCATGTACATACCCAAATACATAAATCTTGTGACTTGAAATATTCTGTTTTGTAGTCTAAACAATCTTCGACATTTTCTCGGCAGGCATATGATAATCAAGAGACAATAGGCATGTTTATAAATATTTCGAAATGTAAGATAACGTGGTCATGGCTATCCTGACATTTTGCACCAGGAAACAACAATTTCACGTGCCGACTTCGGAGAAATGTGATCGGTCAAAAGTAGCATAGAAAATTTACGGACTTCTTGCAAATGCAATCCGGTTTTGATTGCAAGCCGCTCATTTCCGAGAAACGGTGTTAACCTTTTCCGCGGATTATTGTCCAGCACGCCGTAGTCCTAATCCGCAGCTAGAAAAATGTAACTTTGACCGAGTCCACAGTGCCTCCCACGAAATGTCCTAGAAACTGCAAAATGCAAAAATACACGTTTCATCGAGAAACCAAAAAAATAAATCCGGAACCCGAGTAGCGAGATTAACTCGGGCATCACTATCACTAATGTCCGTGGGAGTACATAAAAGCATGACGAAACTTTTAGAGCATAGATCAGTTTTCGGAGATCCCGATTTCTGGTATTCCTACTTGTCAACTTGCAATTACGTTTTTGATGACGGGCTAATTGCTCTCTCTCTCTCTCTTTCCTTTTCTCTGTGTGACATCAAAACAAAACAAAAAAGGTGGCAACCAGCCTAGATGACAACATAATGGCCCACTTCCTTGTGCTTTGGCTTTGTTTGTAGGTTCCTGATTTCTAGGAACCTTGTTCAGGTTTCTTTCCCGTAGTTAGCAGATTTTCCTGTGTATAGTTTAAGTCTTAACCTCTTAGGCGTAGAACTTGTGAAAATGAAAACGGAAAAAGCGACAAAGATGGATCATAGCAATTATCCGAAAATGTACACTAAGGGGATGGCCATTGTGTTTTGTTTTTCAGTTTTCATATGTGCTCTTATCAGGGCCAAGTGCCATCGAGTACCACTTTATCGGATCTAGTCGGATCATTTCTAAGATCATGATTATTTTCCAAAAGTGAATTGCTTTCAAGTTATATGTAGTTTTCGTGATGTACTTTGGGACGCCTTATCTGCTTCTCATCCGTGTGTGATTCATTCATCTTTCCGGATGCACATCATGCTCTTGTTTAGAAACAGCACCAAAAATCGAAAAGAGGTTGGGCTTCGGCTTCAGGATCAGCCCCTCTCCTCTTTCCCCCGCTCCCCCCTCGAGCCCACCGCCTATAAAAGGGCGGCGCCTACTCCACACGACTTCATTTATTATCGGCCTTTGAGAAGCTAGCGAGAGCTCTGTTCGAGAGCACTCCGCCCCTTCCCCTCGCGCCCTCCCCAACCCTGTTTTGCAAATAGCCTTCTCTTCGTTCGTGTTCACACACTTCTGCAAGGTTCAGCTATGGCCACTACAACGGTGATGCTCATGGTCTTCATTGCCACCCCCACCCTGGCTAATATTCTGCTGCCGTCCAATTTCTTCAACTCGAGGTCCGAGGATATTGTGTTCCAGCCGAACGGCGACCTCGAAGAAGTTCTTCCGCAAAATTCCGCACCAATCAGCTCCATTCCTTTCAACACCAACAACGCTTTCCCACAGTAAGTAATACGGTGACTCAACTACTGTATCATACATGTTTTCAGACAGCACAACCGCAACTGCTTCTTCACCCCGGTCCAATGTATGCTCCCGCTCACCGATTCTCACAAGGATCTCCAATCGCTTCACGGAGTCTACTCGCCCACCGCGCCGCACGTTCGCCAGAGTGTCGACAACATGCTCACCTCGCCCTGGGGCTACACGGATTTGATCAAACGTGGCGGCGATGACCGATTCTATCAATGGTTGAGCAGATTTTGAGTATCTAATAAATCAGTTCTTTTTTATTGTGCTCTTGTGATCATTTTCAAAGTGTATCCTTTAAAGTTCTTCTAATTCTGCAGACTCTGAAAGAAGTGTTTGCCACACAGGACGCATACCAAGTAAAACACGGATAATTGAATTTCGGAATTTCTCCTACTTCAACTCGACTTGAAATTTTTGCTCGTTTACAGGCATACTTTTGGTACAAAAACCACGTTATCCTGGAGTGGAAGCATTTTGAAGTGTACACGTCATCTCAAGCTTATATTGATGTCATTTCCAGCCTGACTGGAAAAGAGGATTTTCAAAGATTAACAACTCGCCGGAGGTCCAGACTACGGTACTTCTGCAAGCTTGGGCCGGCGGAAAACGAATGACGTGGCATCTAGTATTGGTTATTTTTCGAAATATATATCTGCAAATGTTGAATAATGTTCAAGAAAACAGACTCTGCGTTCTTGATGTAGAGGCATCGTCATCAAACTTCCTTACTACAGTAATCCTATTACAAATCATGCTGTGGTTGGTGTAAATTCACGATTTTTGACTCACATGGACACTTACTTAAGAGGATATCTTTACAGGATTACTAGCCTACTTTGCACTATCAAATATTGATATTATTATTGTTTACCTCCAACACTTTTTTGTTTTGCAGCTGAAAATTAGTATCAAAAACTACTGCAGCGCCCCTGGTGATGTGAACAACGCAACAATAACAATGGGCAGGAAAACAACAAAAAACCCTCGTTTAAGTCTCCCTCTGATAAAAGTAGAGTATTGCGCAGGAAAAAGATCAGCTACACGGGATGAGCTGGAATATTCTGGAAATCGGGACTGTCTACAGGATTAGTGTGAGGAAAAGGAAACGATTACACCTTCAAATCTGCGAATTTATGATTTTGTGTGGGCATTTTGAAGTTTTGATAGAAGAAACACTAATATAAAGTGATTTCTGTGATTGTTTGGTTTCTTAGTCACTGCCGGACACATGATTCATTCTGGTTCCAATTCCCGGATACTCATTCAAAAGTGCGAAGAATTTATGCAAACGTCACTTTTCCAGTGAGTGACTGAATAACAGCAGAACTGCCAATGATGTCGAGTTCCATTTTTGCGGAAAAAACTAATTTGTAATTGATGAATTGACGTTTTGTTCCGGTTGTTATTATTGTATCCCAAATTTCTGAAGGGACATGTTGTAGCATTCCTAGAAAATATATAACAATATTTTTATGATAATTAGGTCAGGGAGCATGTTCTCAGAATGTTATTGACTGGGAAACATGAGAGGAAGTGGAGCGGATTTTTTCGGTGAGATCTCACATAGGAAGTGCGTGAGAGTTTTAGGTACGTGACAAACCGTTCTCAGTGTCCACAATAGTTTGCTCTTTGATCTCCTTCTCTCAGGAAATATACACTTGCAAAGCTTATTGGTCAACAATATGCAGCATAGAAAACAAAACCAAGGAGATATTATCAGATTTCATTCAATAAGTCAACATAGAAAAGTGAAGATACAATAGTACAACCAGCATAGCGTGTACCAGTGAAACGGGGTTAAAGAATTGTATTAGCCTATTTCCTGGAGCCGAAAAAAGACGGTTTGTTATTGGAGATCAAAAGTCGGGAGTAGATCTTGGTCAGGGAACTGTCCTCGAAAACGTTGAGCATTGGTTGCAAACTGGAACTTCTCGGGAAGTTTCCGAGTAGACATTGGGCTGGCGAGAAGAAGCAGTTTCTTTCGAATGTGTAGTCACTGAAAACGGGAGAATATGACAGATACCTGTAATTTCGAAACGTTCAACTTACTGTCTTAGATGTCGATGTACCCGGTGAGGATGCGGCAACAAGGCGGAAGTGGTGAAAATCACACAGCAGGAGAAAATGAGCACAAACTTCAGAATAGTCATGTTTGGGCCTTGACACTGATGAAAAACAGTAATTTTTGATAAGTCATTTCCTTTTCCGACCATTCGCTTATATATCCTCGGATTTGTGGAAGGGGCGGAGTCCGGATCAAATCAGTAGTTTGTGAATGTGATAAAGTTGTTTTGGTGTCTTATCAAGGGATGAGCCACGCTTTTCAACTTTTGCTTTTAGCTGCGGATCACGCGAAAAAACTATGATCTCATCGGACTTGCGGATGAATGGGTTTTGGTATACTTGAAGGAAGACGTTTTCATCGAATAACTGATTTATACCGAAACTCTGGGATCTGAATAGTCTAGTGGGTTCACCTTTGAAGTTTGGGAAAAAAAACGGTTTGTTTGGAGCCGAAAAATGTTGAGCCAAGGACGTGGAAAATTGTCAATCAGTGTTTAGTGATGTGATTCAGTTGAAAGTGTATCTTATCGAGTTCTAATACTGCTAAACGTCCCAACAACTCCTGACATCTTCATCTTCAATAGATAACTCCTTAGTTTTCCAACCAACGATCCATTTCATGAGTCACCGTTCAAGTAGCGCTTAGAATACACGTGATCGTTGACCCAGCGCTTAACCACGCGTAAACGTCATGATAGTTTTGTGTTGGTCTTTGATAAACCTCATCAAACATCTGTTCTGACTTTTCCAATCTGAGCCCAAACTTGCTTTTCCAGATTAACATGGCAGACAGTGCTCTTTGGTCAACTGCTTTTGATCCTCTGTGCGCCCACATATTCTAATAATGGAAGAGCAAAACTGAAAAAAAAAACTGAGCAGATTTTGAGGGATTTGTGGAAATAATTCAATGTGCAAAGTGAAATGGTTTCTCCCATCATCATTCTTCGTACTTGTACAGGCATAGTAGCCGGTGAAGTACATACATAGTTAAACACAGATGACCGGATTTCTATTAACAATTGAACAAGTGACGTTCCATGAAATTTATGAAAGACTAGACATTCTCACTGTCACTAGCAGGCACTCTGTCCCAAATTTGGAATGGGGTCCGGAATTTGACACTTTCGTGTGTCACATTGTGGAAAGTACAATTGAGGTCTTTGAAAGCAGCAAGAGAACGGAATATTGTGAATTCAAAGGGATGTTCGAAGTTTTCTGAATGACTTTCACTGGAGTTTTCTAACCTAACGCATCACAAAATTGAGCATCTTCGAAGTATGGATCAAGAATAATTAACAGAGCTGAATAATAGTCAATCTGCTCAGATTTCATACAGTTAACGTAGTTTTTCAGAATTTTCATTAATTCGTCACTTTCTGCACTTCACAAGTAAGACATTTTCATGAAGTATTCGTGAATCGAAAATATATCAGCAAAAACATGTTTTACCTGTGAAATGCTCACAAGAATTCTACTCCTACTCACTATTCCTCTGGATAATCTGTGATCTAGCGTGACCTCAGCGGAAGTTCGTGTCATCATGTCTAGCAGGAAGTTATTAAAAACATCCCGTAATGTTAACGCCTAATTAGAGTCTGAGCCTACAGATGTTTGAATAAAACGTTCGGATTTTCCATCAGCATCAATGGATCCAGACGCAACTTTCGAATTGCTAACACTGACTTTGATTTATTCAGAAAAAGTGATGAGACACATAGAAATGAAGAGATCAGAATTGGGAGAATGAGAACAGGGGGACAGGAGATCGATGATGCGTGGGCACGCTATGGTCTACAACATGAATCGTTTGTGGAACTTGTTGAATTGATGCTGCTGCACCGGCAGCAGGCACTGCACCGGCGACAGGTAGCAGTTGCGGAGTGGCCACGGCGACTGCGGTCGCTTCTCCAGGACCTGCTGACTGCGGTGCGGAACCTGGTGGAACATGGCGATGGGGGTGTTGACGTAGTCCTTCTGCATGTTGCGGTACGTCTCGAAGTTGACTCCGGTGCGAGCCGCCTGCATCGGAACCGTCTCGAACTGCGGCTTGAATCCGGATCCTCCGTATCCCAGCTAAAATGTGTCATGTTTTTAAAGATTTTCAAACTTATGCGGTTACCTGTTCGAACTCCACTAAGTTTGCGGAGCACACGACGACGATGGCGACCAGAGCGGTGAGGGTGAGAGCCAAGTTAGAGCTCATTTTGAACACTTTTTGCTGGAAACAAAACATTGAGGAACTTTTGAGGGAACGCTAAGAAAGCAGAAAATACGATTTTCAAACGGTAACTAGCAGTTTTTATAACGCAGGGAATGAACAAATGACAGGTGGGACCCAGAGATAATTCATGTTATTCTGTCTCCAATTGAGATTCTTAAGAATTCAGTATCTGTAGTTCTACTGAACATCAAATCTAGAAGATCTAGACTGGAGAGATGAAAGGCTGGAGATGAAAAATAAAGAGAAGGAAATGAAGAATAACATTGGAATATCAGGAGCTGAGATTGGATGGGCAGGAAAATGAGAATGACGCGGATGACGCCCGCCTGACCCCATTTTTTATGAACGTTGCCTCTGTTTTTCTTCTTTTAGCTTTAGAGTATTCCTCCTTCCGCAAATAGTAGTAGAACCAATCTTCTCAGAAGCTAGACCTGTCCTTATGAATAGAACAGGAAGAGCTGTAGATCTGGCAATGAGAAGGAGAAAAATGTGATGTGGGCGGGTAGATGGGACTGATGGAAACGTAACCAAATGTATATTCATGCATGAAATGAGTGAACTGATGCATCACACCACATCCCGCCTATCACCTCATCCACCTGTCACAGGGTGCCACCGGTGACGTCGGCATCACGGGCACTACTTTTGGGAGCAGAGCATGATGAGAGAGCAAGTTCGTCAACATATGCACGTCTGTCACATCATTGTACCTATGAGTCACAATAGTCCCTCAGGATTTGAACCCTGCCCAGAAATGCAAAGAATTTCTTGTCTATGTAGTCAGTCTGTCACTCGTTAGTCTCAAGTTTACAAAAAGATGATATGATTCTGCTCTTTTACTCTTTTCATTTCATTTGTATCAAAACAAAAAGGCAGTTGATGGATAAACAAGAAAAGTAGTGAATGTGTGAGTTAGAAACAAGTTTTTTGTCAGAGCGAAAGCCTCATTTCAGCAATTTATGAGTTTTCTTCCTATTGAAGGACTCAGCCTACCAAAAACTTATGGGCGATATAAAAAAAAAACGTCAGTTTGCCCATACCTCAAAGCTGACGCAGTTTTTTTCTTTACAACTCCTCGTAAAATATTTACGGTTGAGCATAGACTGAAGACCTTCTTAGGCAAGGAAGAACACTTGAAAGGAGAAGAAGTTTTTTGGATGTTTCCCGAAATAACTGAAGAACTACGGTAACGCACAAGCACATGCACATGGCCGGAGCTGCTAATGAGGAGATGATTAACGCATGGGTTTCTTTCCAAACTCGCGCATGAATGATTTTAGGCGAATTGCACGATGGACGCGAGTATTCTTAGAAGTTCGAAAATTACAATAGAAGGGACCGATTTTCAGAGGAATTTCAGACAAAATGTATGATTCGCTTGCAGTTAGTAACTTGCACATCATTTTATGCTACTTGCCAGAAGATTCCATGATTTTCACCTTCAAACGGTTTATCCGAGATCAGTGTGATAATTCAAAACAACCAGAAACTCGATTCGATTCAGAGCACCAAGAAAACACGAGTGATGTGCCTCGAAACCTACAATTTGTCACGCTGTAGCCATGAGTTTTCACGTAGAATGGCTGGAGAAGAGGAAAACATTTGGCTGTAGCTATTTTGGACTTGAGCGAACGGGCCTTTGTTTTTTGCAAGTTGCAGAGAACATTAGTTAGTACGCAACTTGAAGGGGCTCAACTGAGCCGGCCTGTCTTCTGGCCATAGACACCTAGACATCATTATCATCCTCAGACCTTTTGATCGGTCGGTCTAGTCATCTTTTACTGACTGAATGAGGTCACGAAGGGCAAAGACTCTAATGTTCTTATTTAGCCTTTGGGAATTGAGATGCAAGTTCATTAAAACAAGGTGTCGATATTGCATGTTCAAATTTTATTTCCCTATTCGTTGCGCTCCACGTTAGGGGCTATTAAACATTTATTACACTGAAAAGTTGTCACAGTCTTGATAAAGATTGTCAAATTTTTAGAAATACTCGGATGTTAATGACCGCATGGTTATCAACATCCAGCGTCTCGTTTACCAGATCCACAATTTTTAAATTCCTATCCGAAACTGCTAATTTTGACGCATTCTCACAATTCGGCAACATTTTCGCGCTTATCACAAAATCTGCACAAAAATTAGCAACATGTCAAGGTGAGATGTACTGATAACGATGAGCGGATTATCTGATTATGTTAGCGTGAAATTGTTATCAATCGTAGTACTAGGTTTTACAGTTTTCATGACTCTACGTATCATCTTCTTGGATTTTTGGACATTCCGCGATTATGGCTTTTCGATACTAACGTGAACTGCAAAGCAATGAATGACACTGTTAAAGTTGACTAAAGTTGTGAAATGTCAGGAACTTTTCTTGGTCTTTCCGGAATTGTTTCTTGGGAAAATGAGACAGAAACCATTCCTACATCTAGTCGGTATCATGTTTGACCGCTTATCTCAACAGGTCACTACGTATTCTGCAATAATCGTAAAATGCCCTTTCGGGCAACGTTTCTGTTATTATAACCGCGTGTCCCCCCCCCCTCTCCCCCGCGTATTTCCGAATAAATAGCAGTCAGTACTCAGTTCTCTTCTCTCCATACAATGGTGGACCGCACGGGTCTAATTAAATTAGGCGTTTGATACTTTGCAGAGCCCCTGCTGCTCCTGATGCTTTCCGAGCAAATATTGACAGAGATTGATCAAACGTCAACCACGTGGATTCGTTTGTTGAATTTTGTTCACTTTACTTCGCAAACTTCCTTAAAATGAGCCAACAGTTCAGAACATACAAAACTCCGTTTTTTTTTTCAGAAGAAAATGGCTACTACAAAGGATCAGCTGAACCAATTCGAGCAAGAGCTTGTGGACAAGGCTGTGGATGCTATGCAGAGAGCTTATTGGTAAGAAACTGGAGAGAATGAAAAGGAAAAAAAAGAGATATTTGCAGCAAATATAGCAACTTCAAAGTGGGAGCTGCAGTCGTCTGCGAGGACGGCGAAATCATCATTGGAGGTGAGAGATTTCGCATTTTATATATATATATATAGCAAACTTTGCTCTGCCCGACTTCATTAGTCCAAACGCACTACGCATGTGTTTCGCTTCAAATATCATAGTATACGACACGCGATTACGCACTATACACCTGATTAATTCGTCCTCATTTCAGCCAACCATGAGAATGCGTCATATGGAGCTACGATCTGCGCGGAGAGAAGCGCCATGGTCGCAGCGCTGACTAAGGGACACCGAAAGTTCAAGCTCTTGGCAATTGGTACGTGAAAACGGCCAAAAACCTTGTGGGCGGGGGTCAATTTTGTAAAATAGGCCCTTAATTTAATAAAGTCGGTTGCATCTAATTCAATGGGATTTCGAAAAGTGTGGGCGAATTGTTGCAAAATGTTGAAAATGATCACCCTAAAGTTACCGTACCCTTTTTCAGCAACTGAGCTCGAAGCTCCATGCTCACCATGCGGAATCTGTAGACAATTTCTTATCGAGTTTGGAGATTACAAGGTTGGTACTGAAGGAAAACTGAATTCAAATGATTCAATGAAGGCGTTTCCAAGTCAGAAAACAAAAAAAGTGATGCATAAAAACGCTATTAAACCATTCAATTTCAAAGTAATCATCTTGATTATTCTTCTGAAAAACAAACATGGAAAAGTCGGGGAAACAAAATAATTGGAATGTGCACAAAAACATGGCGAATGCTCACGTTCTTCCAAGGTGGGGGTGAGGTAGTTTTCCGCGTGACTAATTTGCTAAAGTCAAGTTGAAAAGTCATTTCAGCATAGTCATGCTCAACTCCTTCCCCCTACACCCATCATCACGTCAACCACAAGTTGTTTTGCTTCAGGTGATCCTTGGATCCTCGACTAGCAACCAAATAATCGAAACTACCACTTATGGACTCCTTCCGTTTGCCTTTACTCCGAAGAACTTGGACGACCACGAAAAAGAGACCCATGAGAGAGAAGACCATGCAACTAAGCAGAAAGTATAATAATTTTAAACTATTGGTGTAATCTGACTCTTTTTAATAAAAACTATAAAGAAATGAGAATGTTGCGTGCATAAATGGATAAATAATAACGTCAGGCGGCTATAATACTATTTTAGGATATTATTAGATAGCTTTTTCAGAAGTCGATCAAAGTCTGCCCTAATATGCTCTTCAAAACTTTTCCAATCACCTTTCAAGAGCAAAAGGGCCCCACTTGACTCTTTCGGATCCATTAATTGATATCATTCGGAATTATGTGCTGTCTCTTCTTTTCTTTCTCATTTCTCCCTTCTTCTCAACCATCAAAAGACTGGCGAGTCCATGCGACACTTGATGATGGAACATTTTGTCACAAGATCATTTGGCGGCTGTCTAGTACTATTATTATTTCACCGTTATTCTGGACCAAGCTATGTAATTTTTGCGGTCCCGCTTCCTCCACCTTTGTGATCTTCACAAAAGGGGCGTGGTGGCGGTTAAGCCCGGTAGAGGAGTGGGCGGGATTTCACTATCACTATATAAACCGAGTTGAACGGTCATTATGATCATCTCTCTCTCTCTTCCTTCTTCCGACGTTATTGCAATGCAAAAAGTCAACTCTCACTTCCTCTCCCCGACATTATTGCAATGCAAGAAGTCAAAGTCTTCACCGTCTCTCTCTTCCTCTCTTCGACGACCTGTCTTTGACATTTTAGGTTATTATTAGATAATTTTTTTCAGAAGTCGATCAAAGTCTGCCCTAATATGCTCTTCAAAACTTTTCCAATCACCTTTCAAGAGCAAAAGGACCCCACTTGACTCTTTCGGATCCATCAATTGATATTATTCGGAATTATGTGTTGTCTCTTCTTTTCTTTCTCATTTCTCCCTTCTTCTCAACAATTTCTCGTTTACACTCGTTCCATCAAAAGACTGGCGAGTCCATGTGACGCTTGATGATGGAACATTTTGTCACAAAAGCTGTCAAATGATCTGTCTGTTACTATTATTATTTCGCCGTTATTCTGAATTTTCTAGGAAAATGTTACCGCTGCGTCCCTTCACGTTTTTTCTGGGAATGCAAAAGTTGAGTTGTTTTTCTTGTCCCCCCCCCCTCACAACCCTCCTATGTCTTTTTTTCTTATCCACCAATAAAAATATCATATTTCACGTGTGTTTGCGGGTCTTGACGTGTGTCTCGCCGCGTCGTGTTTGTCCCGACCCCCTCCCCTCCGTTTTCGCTCGTTTTTTAATTGTTAAATTTTCACTTTTTCAAAAAAATTTGTTGCATTACATGTATACGGGAAACCCTGGCTTCCAGAGCTCAGAACTTCAATTCCAAACGTCTCCAATTCAGATTTTATTTGCTTCAAGAGGCGCAGATGTGTAGAGAATGAGAAGAGGGAAAAGCCGACAGATGGGGACTTGCTTACCCCCAGAGAGAAAGAGAGAGAGAAAGGGAGGGAGAGTGTGTGCTCATGCTCCCTCTGTGTGACTCATAGTCCCTCACCCCCCCAGGCCCGAGAAGCAAATGTGCTCCATGGGAGAGGGACCTCAACACGTTACTATTCAGGCAGAAGCTATTGAGGTCCTCACGCCGTTGGGACACTTTTACCTCTTCTTTTCGTTAAGAAATCTGATTCTTTATTTTAGTTTATTCCACGAAACGTTTCTTTGAAGTTTTGTTTACAGTTTACAGTTTTTTTCAGCCGGACACTTTGGTTTGTTTAGTTTATCTAACCCTCCACACAGCAAAAGTTGATATTTGTTAGTCGCTAAGCGGGAAGCAGCAGTAGCAGAGAAAACCAATCCAAACCACATGACGACGAAGCTGATCATTTCCCTTTCCGACCACATCACTTAATCCATTCCCTCATTTATCTTATCCGCTCGTTCTTCTCTGTCTTTTTTCCATGATATGTTAAATATTATAGCCATTTGTGTACAAATTGGTCGCTATCAGCTTTTTTGCCTTTTTTATCACGTAGATACGGAGGGAGATGTAAGTAAATGCACGTAGCTTTTGCATTGCCCTTCTTTGTATAATCTCTCCGGGAAAAATGGGGTTGACGGATGTGTAGTGAGCAGCAAGAGAACATACTTATTAGCTTGATGGGAATTTTTCGAGATCTAACTATAGTTTAGTTCTATACGTGAAAATCGAACTGTCATTGAAAACTACAATGCTTTAGTAGGTGAACTACAATGCAAAAGTAGTGGGGGTCTGATGAAAATTGATATTGTTTAGATTCTAAAAATTCGTTTGCACTTTTGTTATGATGTCGTTCTTTGATGCTCATCTTTGTCCATTTTCTCAGAACAATCTTTTTCAGATCTGAATCCTCAATTAGTTCTTTTCAGGGTATGAGCTCGAGCAAATGTGGTCTCGATCCTCTGGTAGAAGAAGAGCCCAGTTGTGGTGAGTTTTTATTTATTTTTTGTCTTTTTTCTACACCCCCTCTCACTTTTTTTTTCATTTTTTCACCTGATCTACATGCCCAGCAGAATAACAAAACGAAGGAAGCACGCAGAAGACACAAAACTGTCAATTTCAGTCGAATCGCAGCCAATTCCACTTCACACGCCGCCGGTCCAACGTCGCAAAATATCGGAAGAAGCGGCGGTGACGCGGCCGTGTCAGCTACGAGCCACGCCTTCCAAGTCGACCGAAGGAGGTTCTAGCGCCTCCAATGTGATCGGTCCCTTCAGCACGACGACCAACGCCGGAGGAGGTGCGCGTCTGTCATCACGAAAGTGTGGGGGCGGCTCCCGATTGAGCTTGACAAGCTTGCTCAGTTTCACCGGACACTCGCCGTTCTCCCGTGACAGGTCGGTCGTTCGTGTACTGTTTCTCTTCCGTTTGATAAAAATGTACGTCCATCAGTCGAAATGGGGTGGTCATTGATCTGTTAACGTGCAACTTGTTCGTTGGACTTTATAGTTAATCCATTGATGATACGATTCTCGGCCTCTTCGCTCGCTTTCATTGGGGAACGGGGTTAAATGAACATAATCCAGTTCTGTGCACGCAAAATTAGTCAAAAGTGCAGGAAAACTCTATAAAAGTGCAACATGAGAGCTGATCCGGAAATGAACTTAATGGCAGACGGATTAGCTCTGTTTTCCCCAAATCATTCACCACATTTCACAGTCTAGACTCTTTTTGGCTCAAACCGCTGAACCAGTGGTCAACACCTCATACAGCAAACGTTGGCAACCTTTTCAACGTCATTCATGATTAGGTAACTTGATTTGTTTGACTCCAATACATAGCAAAACCCTACGCTTCAAATTCAAGACGTTTTGCACCAGGAGCATTCAAAGAGTTTCTGGAACCGAGCGTTCTTTGAGGTTTTGAGTTATGCTCATTGGAAAAAGTCGATGTATGTGAATGTGCCTTGATTGTAAAACGTCAGTCGGTATCAGTTCGTTAGTTAGTTGCAAAACGTCCGTTGTATGCACCACTCCTGCTCAGAAATTTGTTAGTTGTCAACCGTCGGCTTGTGGAAAAACGTTCCGATGCAAACCGTCCGATTGATGCCAAACATCGGTCTCAATCTGTCTCTGAACAAATTCTGTTACCCTTAATTTCTTATTTCAAGTTCAGCACCAAAAATCTGGTCTGTAACTAGAACAACGAGCCAGCTCGGTCAAAAATAACTGATACTGAGCATGTTGAACCGATGTAGCCACGTTCCTCGTTTCCTTTCCGCTTTCCTCGCAAATAACAATAACAGGACTGTCGTCTTTGCGTGCTAAATATACGAGGTCAGGCAGCCGTGTCCTAGCGGGTCTCATGTGGTGGCCCCCCCAGCCCGACCGTCCTCTTCTCCGGTCGCCTCACTTACTCTTTACTCCCCCTTCTCCTCCCGCTTCCCCTCACTACGCTCCTTCCGTCGCTCCTACCACTATTATATTCGTTCTCCCCCTTTTCCTCCCCGTTCTCCTCTTTTCCTCACAGATGCAAATCCGAGAGGATTGGACGAGAGAGTCGGAGACGTAGACTGAAATAAATAGTGTTGTTGCTATGTCTGCGTCGCTTCTGGGTGGTTTTTATACCAACCTACCTTTACATCTCTTCCTTTTCCCTACACTTTTGTTAGCGACAGGTGATGGTTTCTTAAGCTTTTCGGGCTAGGCTACACTACAAACTGCTCACCTGTCAATCTTTGTTCAGAAGAGAGACTTGAGGTTAACACGGAGTTTCTTCATTTCTTCTTCATCTGTACCTTCTTTTTTACGATTTTCATCCCTAGTTGTGTCTTTTTGCCTTCAAAATCTCACGGTTAGAATTTTATCTATCAAATTGTATTCTGACTGTCTAGGCACAGTGAGAAAAGTATTGTGATTCTATAAATCTTGTCCGAAGGTACTGTAACATCAAAAACTGCATCATGTGAGGTATCCTGTCCTCCCGTCCACGGTTTAATCCTATCCACCGCCCATGCCTGTTTCCATCTCTCATCAAAAAGCTTCGAGAAGTGTAAAACCTGTCGTAGAGTGAAAGTGAACCATATTTGAAGGTCTCTCTCTCTCTCTCTCGTGTTTCTTGTGTCCGTTTTTTTTTCTCGTTGTCTTCATTTCTTCCCTTGTTGTCTTGTCATCACCATCCCCCCCTCCATCACCAAAACCAATCCTTCGGTCGGTCTCTTCTCCTTTTTTCGTCCTCCCTCTTGTCCGTGTCCATTTCCGTCGTTTTTCGAGGCGCCTACTCATCGTTTCGAAAATTGGAAAGTGAACTACATAGTGCACTCAGCTGATTGACAGCGCCACTTTTTCATTTTACTACTATTACTACTGCTTTTCTTCTTTCCTACTTTTGCCCCATTTGCTGGGTCAAGACCTTGATCGAATTAGTTACCATGAAGAGGAAAGAGAAAAAAGGAGTAAAATCATTTTTGAGTAGGGACACATCATTTTCATTGAGACAAAAACTCACTCCCACCGCGCTCTCGGATAATTGTCCCGGTCTCGCCGCGAAAAAGATAAATGCATAGAATAACACTTTTGCTTCTTCATTCTTCATCTCCAATTTCTTTTTTTTCTCCCGTATCTTCATTATCCCGGATAGATATAAGATATGAGACACCTCTACAACACATTTCCACGTCATTTTCATCAAGAAGGACGATTTTTCTTTCATTTTCATTCAGTGCTAATATTGGTCCAAAATGTTGTGCCCTCCTTCTCTCTTCAACACGACCCCCCTCTCTTCACAATTTTTTTATATTATTTTTTTATCCAATAAAATTTGGCTTCCATCCCGACATCTCCGGTTCTTTCCTCTATTTTAGTCTGACTTTTCTATACTCTGAAAATGGAAACATTTCTCTTCAGACTGGTTTTTCAAACGGAAGTGTTGCAAAACCTAGGGAGGCTTATCTGAACATTGATCTGAAAATTTGTTTGTTTGTACGATACGACGGCGAAAAATGAACGATTTTTTTCGTGTCTCACCTGACTGTTCAGACTAGGTTAGGGGGAAATGGGAGTGGAACGGAAAATTGATAACAACGACGTGAGATACTTTCGCACAGATTTTCCAGCAGTAGCATATCAATCATCAAGCACGACCGCAAAAAAAGTTCGACATGTGTTGTCGCTCGCCACACAGCTCAGGGGTTAGAACAAGAGCGGATCCGTGTGAAGAACACTTTTGCTCGAACAAATGTTACACTGCTCCTCCTCCTCATCTTTCCTTCCCATTCCCCCCCCCCCCATAGTTCTCATCCTTCAAGAGTCAGTGTTAGTGGTGCTGGTGGTGAGGGGCTTGTGTTTATTTTAAAGCCTCCACCATTTTTCCTTCTTCCTCCTTTATTGTCCCCATAACTTTCAGTGGTGCCACTCACTTTTTCTGACCTTTTGACCAGAAAAGCCGAGAAAACCCGGAAATAGCAACCTTTCCCTTACTTCTTTGCCATCCGCTTGGGCTTCTCAGTTTTGCACGAACAAGTCATGGTATTATTCGCGGAGAGGGTGGCAGTTCATGAATAAAGTAGAAGCATAGCCGTCTTCGAGCCCAGACCCCTCCTATTTCCTGTCATTTTCTGGCGCCACGCGTTTTCTTTTGCTTTTGCGGGCAGAAGTGGAACAAAATAACGGTAGACGCAGCAATTTCCGCACTTTTATGAGGCACAGATTATCTCTATTATTTCGGGTCTCCTTGAAGTCCTTGACGTCACCCTCCCCTTGCTATTGTTAAAGGTAGACCCCCCCCGGGCCCTTGTGACTTCAATGGCCTCCAGTGTGAATAATGAATATTTCGCTTTTTAGCTTATGAATTTCAAATCAACCACAACCACCATAGCTACCATTTTCGAAAGGCCACGCGTTTCTCTCCCCTTGTAATTTTCACCTGTCCATGTCAAAAATTTGATCGATCAATTGTGTTTTGAAATCGAAACGGTTTGATGTTGATGATAGAGATAGATACAGACAATATTAGCGAATGTTGACTTCTACGGATTATTTTTGGTTTGTGATCATCTGAATGGAAGTGTGTAACATATTTAGAAAACTAAACTATACAAATGTTTGGAAGGAAGGCGTATTTTTTCGTACATTTCCTGTCCGATTTGTGAAACTTTTAGTAGAAACTTCACACTGAACACTTTTTGAGTAATATTGAAGCGAAAACTCAAAGATCTCCTCTTTTTCTTAACTAAAGATGACCGAAGTTCGTTTGAAACATGTCCTCTCTCCCGTCTCCATTCTCTCCGTTTCAAGTAACATTCATTCATTCATCCATCTTTTGCTCTTTTCTTCTTTTTTTTCCATTTTCGCCCTCGTTTTTCCTTCCACAAAACATTATTTGCCGCGAAGGGCACACTTTACCAATCAACTTCATTTCCCTTCCACTTCCGCTCTCTATAAAAAGTGTGAAAAAGGCAAAAATGATGTGTGTGTGTGTGTGTGTGTGTGTGGCTGGCCTAAAAAACATTTTCGAAACACAACTTCAGACTTGTGTCCTTGTTCGAGACAGTGCTTCGCGAGGTCCTTCTCCGACACTTGGCCCGACCGACCCTTTTCGTCGTCTCCCCCGGGCAAACGAGCGGCGAGACACATACACATACGCACACTATTTGTTCTTTGGCAGTTTGTTCCTTCCTATTTGTGTATGCCAACCATCTATCTCTCACTACCAAACATTAGCAAGAAGTAATATCGGAGCGTCGAAGAAATGAGATGAGATCGGGAATAGAGAAAGAGGGACAAGTGAACTCGGTAAAAACCTTGGAACCAGTTCTCAGGGTGGGCTGGCTAAAACTGTCTGACTTCGAGCACGGAAATAGATAAAAACCGAACCTGAATTCTGTTCTCTTTTGCGCCAAAAGTGTCCCGTCTTCTTGCTTGCTCTACGCGAGATTGATAAGCTAACAGTTTTCTGCGTAAATTGAAGAGTTTGTTTGAAATTGAAAGGGAACATTCGAGAATGGAAACTTTTTGAGACGTTTCCAGTTTCGTCTTTTTGCTTGGCAAATGTTCGGACGATTCTAATATTGACAAATTCTTTTAGAATAGCTTTCATTGAGATTTTGTTAGGCTTCTACCGTATTTAGTTGTATTTTTGTTTTCTAGAAAATATTTTTGTTGACTCAACTGATTTTTACGGGACCGACCTGGACCTGTTCATGAATGATGTTGTGAAAGGATGCCAGACAACAACAAGCGCTAGTTACTCAAATTGACCCCAACTTGATCTGTCTTGTTAACTCTCGTTTCTTTTCCAGATGATTCTGAACAGAACAGTACCAAATTCCTATTTGTGCTCACACAGTTAGTAAACTTATGACACATCGAATTTCTAGTGGCACACACCCACCTCAAAAACTGTCATTTCAAAACTCTCGTGTTGACGAAAAAACGAAAAACGAAACCGTAACAGCTCAAAGAGCACGAGCTGCTCCTCTTTCTGCCATCTTTCCATCTCTGAGTCTCTACACCAAGTCGCAACATTTTCGCAACATTTGTGCCTTGATTAGAGTTTGCGTGATAATTGCTGTTCTAGATGCCGCCTCTTCTGATTTCCCCTGGCTAGTTCTGCCCTATGTTTGATTTGTTGTTGGACCGTTTTGTTGTTTTGTTTTATTTTCGCATTCGTTGCCTGTTTTTTGTCATACATATCTGTTATTCTTTTTTCTTTTTCTTTTCGCGACCACCATAAAAGCGTGTGAGTGTGCCTGTCTCGCTCGTTCTCTTTTTCCTCGATCTCCTACTCTTCAAACAAACGTTGGACCTCTCTTTTTTATTGGTAAAAAAGTGTGCATTTGAGCTTCAGAATCCTTTTTTCCGTTACAAATTTGACTAATACCACCTCGTGCTCTCTTCCTCCTTCACCTGACTTTGGCGAAAGTCTGATAAGAGATGTTTGCCAGGAAATTGTTGTTATCCAACTGCTTAGGTGTTATTTTGTGGATTCTAGAAAGTTCTGGCAGCTTTCACCTTTTTCGCAATTGCTATTTTCGATAAATCTACCGGTAACTGAAACGTGTTAGAACAATATTGGTAGTAAGGCAGTGGGAATGGTATTTCAAACTTGTCTGAATCGTTATTCCTAAAATGTCACATAATAGATAGCGTCGGCGTCTTAACGACCACTTTTAAAGTTGAAGACAGTTTGCCCAACAGATCTGCTCAAAATTATCAGTTTTTTAGTCGGCCATGTACAACTTTTCTCTGGCTGCTTTCTGATCGATGACTCATTTTCACTGTAGCTGATTGTGTCCTGAAAATGTTTTTCTCCTTCCGGATACCGAATTCCCATTCTCCCATCTGATGACTCACTTCCGGTATCGTTTTCTCTAGAACAATCCGAAAAAAGTCTCGCGAGAATATTCATTCATCATCATTACTCATCCATTCCATTTCACTTCCTGTCCGACTGTTCTCCTTCACTTTTCGCTTTCCCACTTATCGCTAGGTTTTTCGTTTTTCAGATCTCGCTCGGGTTGGTCGTACAGCGACGAGAACGCTGGTCACGTCGCCATGACAAGCGTCTCAAGCAGCGACGTGCGTAGCAACGTCTCCGGATCGATTTCCTCGAAACGGTGAGTAATATTATTGATGAATCATTGAAGACAGTCACATGGCAAACAAAAATCAGAAGAAAAACTCAATATAGGTAGAATATGTTGAGAAAAACGTCGCCAATTTGCATGACAATATGACACTGTTCAGTCGCCCGATTTGATTGATGTTCCATCAAGTTCCCTTCGCCTCTTATTTCCGTGAAGAACCTTCTCCTTCTCCTTCTTTTTCTTCTTCTTTTACCGTTTCTCTTGACCCTTTATTTTTTCTCTCACAATACCTTCGCTCCGTCGTCTGTTTACAGGAACACTTGGAACTCGTGATAGGCTTAGGTGATAATAGGTATTACGTGTATTGATTACATGACTTGCGGGGGCAGGGGGTATTAGATCTTTGCGCTCATTATTCTACATACTTTTCCGACAGTTCAGCACTTTAGGCCCTCTCCAAAACGTTTTTGTTAAGTGGGACGTTGAAACGTTTTGACGTTGTCCGGGCCACCGCGCAAAAATCGCATAAAAATTTGACATCCTCAGGCACACGTCATGTTATTTTTTCAAAAAAATAATGTCTAGCACTTGCAGCTATCGTGGAAGTGACACCGGATCCGGAATGGATAGTGAAGGCGGTGACAATTGCACAGAAATGTTTCTGTCCGCTCGGAATCAAGATGATGAGGAGCAGGTGGAGGAGAAGCAGCTGTCGCAATCACTGCCCGACACTCCGAAGACGCCATCAGAGTCGGGCGCCAAAAAGGAAAAGGTACGCGTTTCATTTTACACAATTATGGAACATTCCAGTCAGTTGCACGCACTTTCGACGGAGGTGTCGAAAGTGTCAAGTCAACCTACCGGTTTTCTGTACTATCCATATCCAATCATCAGCCTGGTGGACGAGTACAATCGCAATTATCGGTTTCTCATTTCAGAACAAGGGAAAGATGAAGGAATGTCCGCTGTGTGCTGCCAAAATGTCCAGCAGCTTGTTTCCGAAGCTGAAAGGCTGCCAGCACAGAAGTTGTCGGGCCTGTTTGAGACAGGTTAGTTCTTTTTCTTGCCTGAAAGGTTTTGGAAATCACGCGGACACCAGCGGACACAAAAAAGTTTCATAGTTGTGATCAAAATCAGTCCGAAAATAATGTCTAATATCTTATTTTTATGGATGATTCGCTTTTTGCAGTATGTGGAGCTATCTATCACGGAAAACCGCGTGGAAGTGCCGTGTCCAGAATGTTCCTCGTTTCTTCATCCCAATGATATCAAGTGAGCTTATCTTTACTCATCCTAACTAATGCTTCTGTGCTCAGACTGTTGGTTGGCGACATCCCGAGCCTAATGGAGAAGTACGAGCAGTTTAGCCTTCGTCGCTACCTGATGACGGAAGCCGATGCCCGTTGGTGTCCTGCACCTGATTGCGGGTAAGTTTTCCTTCAAATTTTGATGAAGATCGACTAAAAACGCCCGATTCATCACGACGTGACAAAAAACGAACAAATCCACGCAAAGGTGCACCACTGACGCGTTTCCCGATGACGCTGACGCTTTCCTCGTGCACGTTGATTTTTCAAGTTGTTAAAGCAGTTTTCATCAATTTTCAGACGGAATTGAACAAGAAACATTTATAAAACACTCGACTAATAGTAATTAGAACATTGCAGGTTCGTCTTCATCGCCACCAAGTGCGCAGCCTGTCCGCAACTGAAATGTCAGCGACCGGACTGCGGAACGCTCTTCTGCTATCATTGCAAACGGGAATGGCACTCGAACCAAACTTGTGATGAGGCCCGACGCCCGGAACAACGTAAAAGTCGCGGACTGGCATTCGAGGAGATTATGCGCAACGGATTCCATTCTGGCGGTGATTCGACATTGAAACGTAAGTGTTGACAGTGATATTCTAAAAATTAACTTATTGTTTTCCAGCCGGCGACGTAAAAGCCTGTCCTCGTTGCAAAACGTACATCGTCAAGATGGACGACGGATCGTGCAATCACATGGTGTGCACAATGTGCAATGCGGAGTTTTGCTGGCTTTGTCTCAAGGAAATCTCCGATCTGCACTATCTGAGCCCCACCGGATGCACCTTCTGGGGCAAGAAGCCGTGGACAAGGAAGAAGAAATTGCTCTGGCAGCTTGGTATGTTCTTTATACGCTGATTAGCAGACTTGCAATGGGCCGAGTGTAAGCTTAAAATTCTGCGGTCCAACACATTTCGATGAATTGAATTCCTCTTTATCTGCTTTCGATAAATCAAAACCGAAAACAACCTCATTCCTCGCAGGTACTCTCGTTGGCGCGCCAGTCGGAATCGCGCTCATCGCAGGCCTCTCAATCCCAGGAATTGTATTCGGAGTGCCAGTATTTGTCGGACGAAAAGTGCACCAGAGATTCAAGTACAAGTCCAAGATAAAGCGAAGACTTCTGACTGCGACGTGTGTTGTCGGATCACTGGTAGTCAGCCCGGTTATGGCTGTCATGGCAGTTGGTACGTTTTTAGAAGTATTGAATGGGTTATTGTGACATTGCCCTTTTAGAATTCTGAAAACTGACAACAGTATTCTATCAGCCCCTTAATTTTCCCGCTTTCAGGTGTCGGAGTGCCAATCATGCTGGCCTACGTCTACGGCGTGGTGCCGCTGTCTCTGTGTCGAAACGGCGGTTGCGGTCTGTCCTCTTCGGACTCGTCCCTCGCCTTGGCGACCATCGACGAAGAGCAATTGTACGGAACACCAGGAGGTGTGTAATTTATGCGTTTGGCGGGCGCGCAGGGCGCTCAGCCTACCCACTAACGCTCGATTTAGGGAAATAGAGATGGCTAAATAAGACGTTAGGCGAGCCACTGAAGGATGGACGAGAAAATTGTTTTTGCCTCGTTCTTCTCCCCTCTCCTCCTCTCTTTTCCCCTCAATCTTCTGTTCTCTTCACCACCACCACCACCCGCCACCCCCCTACCAATCTAGTCATTTCAGGCATGGCTCCCGTTGACTTATCGCAGTTCTTGACGGATGCGGCGAAGCGCGAGGAGGTCGTCTCTATCGATCCGTCGATTCACAGCGCCGTCTCGATGCCACACGAGATTCGTCCAAGACATCACACATTTTCCGATTTGAGGGGAAGACGAACGAGCCTGGAATCGGGTATGGAAATGGGATGGGTTCGGAAATAGAAAGAAGGAAAGGAAGGGGAGAAGCATGAAATTGAATAATGTGAAGTCACGTCTTAAAAGTGACGGTGAATGGCAATAGGAAAAAGTCAATATATCAATGGAAACGTGAGCAAACGCCAGAGAGAAACGGCAAAAAGTTACGATAGACATTGTAGGCTCATCGCTAGCGAGGACCTACCCACGCTCTGTCCCAATCCTATTTCCATAAGTAAAATGTATGCACTCAAGTCTGCGAGTAGTTCAGTTTTTCTTCCCGATCCTCCTCGGACATCCAGTACGTAGCGTTTTGACCGACCATGAACCACTTTTTTAAGAGTACAATCTCAAAGGTACGTGACCGAAATCCCAACCCACCCATTAGATGCGACGAGTAAAGTGAAGTGACAATCTGATTCGAATTGAGGGGGTGTATATGTAGATGACAAACAACACTTATTGTATCTGATATTGAAAACTTCTGAGTGAGTGTGGGCGAACAGGAACAAGCGGCTGTGGCTATTTTCTCTCTTCAGTTGCACATACAAAATCGAAAAATATTTATCAGTGGCACAAAAACATATCCCCCAGGGCTGAGAAGAATCGCTATCAATTCAGTGTCAATTTCAATTTCCTGAGGACGTTGAGAACAAAAAATAAATTGATGGTGCATCCGGTGGCGCCGTTCGAAATCACAAGTACGGTAGTTAGCTGCCAGTCTCCCCCGCCAGTGTGCTAATTTCCGTTCTTCGTTAGGTACCGCACCCGGAAATTGAATACGTTTTTTTTACATCTGTCTTCTCCTCCTGCTTTTTTCTTTTACTGCTTTCCATTCATTTTGCTCCCTTGCCCCCCTCTTCATCTTCGCTCCTTTCCAACCTCATCAATTTTGCTCAAAGAGGGGGTATGTAATAAGAAGATTACTGTAGATTGATGAACGTGAAACACTAAAACACGAGTAGGAGGAGAAGAGAACAAGTATCTGGGGTTCCCGTCCACGTCCCTCCTTGGCCGTCGTGCCGCAAGAAAAATATTATGGGCAGGCACATAATTCTTTCACCCTGGCTCGCTTTCTTGTGCCGTTCGGATTTGACTCAATTCAGAGAACACATGAAAAAAGTGGGAAAGGAAGAAAAGAGACAATTTGAAACGTTTCCAGGTGAACGCGTCAACTACGAAGAGGCAAGCGTCAAAGCGATGGCCGGCTCGCATCACTATGACGATAAGGTACGGTTTCTAGGAGATCCCTCCTCTCATTTGGCGTGAGTGGGCTGACCGCGTCAGGCGCAGAAATGAACGTTTCCCATTGAAATGACGGACTGGCGAGAGAAGAGGACAAAAATCACAGAAATGACGAATTTTCGGAGTCCGCCTTTTTTTCCTTGAAAACATTTACATTGTCATTTTAACTGCCATTGCTTTCCAATTAGTGGTGAAGGAGGAAACGAGAAGAGATGTCTACAGAACCCCTTCCGAGTGTGAAGAATATACCCAAAAATACATTTCCACTCCCTTCCAAACAGAACTAAATACATTTTTTTAGGGAAAAAACCGATATTATACATTTTGGCATAACAAATTGGCTCCTCTTTTCATTCGCAAGGGACTATAGTTCACAACATTTCAGAGTCTTCACACGTTGTGCTCCGGCCACGAGGTCACCTCCCTTAATGACGAACAATCGAGTACGAAGGCGCTTGCCGGATCCGTCATGGACACAAAAAGTATGAGCGAGAGCATGTACCGCCACATGATCATGTCGAAATACGCGGAGAAGCAGCAAGCTCAGGATAATGACGATTATCATGGTAATTTTCTTCGTTTTCTTCTTCTTTTTTCTCGACTCTTTTTACGTCATGGTTTTGTGCAGATGAACAAGGTGGCAGTGATGATCAACCTTCCACGTCATCTGCTCCGCAACCACGTAAAGGTTCCAGGCCATCGTGCTCTTCCTCAGGCCATCGCGGGTGCCCAATTGGTATGTTTTTTTTTCCATTCTGATAAAAATTTCTTCGACACTGGAAGCTCCAATCAGTTGCGTGATGCTGTTTAGCGCGGGAACCCTGCGCACATAACCATGACCACACTTCTCGAAGCGATCTCCATGGGCGGGGCCTGTAGGGTAGGGCGCTCGATTGGCTCTACGGCTTTCCGGCGCCATGGGTCGGGGCGGGGGCGGAGTCAACGCTGTAAGTATCGAAGCACTTCTGCGAGCCCCTCTCATTCTTATTCGGCCTCCCGCCAGGGTCTGCCGGTTTTCCTCTCACTCCTACGTCTCCTTCTTTTTCTCGCCTTCTCTTGATTTGGTCGTCTTTTTCAAACTTCTACTCCTTTCCGCCAAACGTTCTTCTCTCCGACTAGTGGAGAGAATACAATGAGACCATCGGTAGAGCGAAAAGTGATCGTTAAACGTCTTTTCAATTACCTTTACTGTACTTTGGTTCTATGTATTCAGGTTACAGTCATATGGTCCCTTTTTGATCCGACATAAACTAATTTTCCGAAAACTTTCTCAACTTCTAGATCCATCAAGGTCCTTCGCCCGGTCCGACCGGCTTAGCATATTCTAGTCACTCTCTCAGTCAGTCATCAGGTTAACGACACGACACACTTTAATTTCAAGCCTTTCGGGACCGTCTATCACACCCTTTCGTATTTGTGGTAGAAGTCACGAGGTTCCGCAATCCATGTCTAGACTACATTTGTCGCTAATTTTTGGATTAGAAAGGGAACAATTGGAGGGTGTGTGGGTTGTTTGTTAGTTTCAACTAGCTAGAAAGGAAGTACGAAGTGGACAGAGTGTCCAACTCTCGGATTTAGTAACCTTTGTCGTTCAAAGTACTGTAGTGACGTCTAGCCGGACCCCCTTAGGCGAGGCTTGGGGATTCGTCTGTTTGGGAACAGAAGTTCTTTGATCTTTCGAGCCCTAATGAGGAGAAGGGGCCTTTCGAACAACGATTCACCTCATCATCATCATCTTCATTGCCAATCTGACGTCAACATCGACCGACGCCTGCCTTTTTTTTCGGGAAATTTTGACATTTCGGACACACACTCGCACATATGCCCCGCGTGTCTTGCGTCCTCCTGCCGGAAATAACAAACCTAATCAGGGTTCCTTCGCCCTCCACAACTCCTTCTGTGTTTTTTCTCATCGCCTTCCCACGACTGATCGGCGTGGTCTCCACCCTGAGAATTTCGGGAATTAAGAAGCCAGCGGGAGAAGACAAAACGCGCATTGAAAGGTCGACCGAGTCTGGAAAAGAAGGCTTTCATTTCATTAGACGCCAAGTTTTTCATCAAATGTCGGGATTCCGGATTCGGAATCGGATTCAGATTCCAATTCTCTATTTGATTAGGGGAAGGCGTTTTTTTTCTTCCTTTCTGATGGAATGAGATAGGGAATACCACGATTTCGGATTCTAATTAAAAAGTGGATGGTGAAATTTAGGGCCGGTCATGACGCGCGGCGAGGAATTCCCGGAGAGAACAACGCAACTGATTGAGAGTTCCGGGCTTAAAAACATAACGTACTGAAAATAAACACGCCGAACATTTTAAGAGCGCGACGACGATGGAATTCTTTTGAACGAAGAAGGAGCCGCGTTGCTGATCAATTCGCCACCCGCGATGCGTAGCTCGGGCAGCGTTAACGTTGACCCCATCGATCTGTTCAAGATCCGTAGCTGGCTTGATAACATGAAACAAATGGTGGCCACAGACGCGCCCCAAGAGAAACCCTACGAGTGAGTTTCATTGGAGTCCACTTACTCGGCGACATTTAAAACTCGAACATTTTTAGGCCATCTAGCCGCCCGGGTAGCAAACTGCGTAGGTCGGGAAGCGGAAAAAGTGTGCACACTGTGGCCACGTTTCCAGTGTCCTTTGCCACGGGCCAGGGGACTTCCAACTTGTCCATTCCGGAGACTGTTCAGATTGTTAACCCGCTTCCCGATGGACAGGGCCCTTCGAGCAGTAGCATCGAAGTGAACCCCGGGAGTGCGGAGTCTTTTGGTGCTGAGGATAACATCTCGACGAGCTCCTCGTCTGGTAGCCAGAAGAAGAAGCGGAGATTCGGCATCTTCAGCAACTGGTTCAACAAGTCGAAATAACTGAAAACGTTTCCATTTCCCCACAGTGTACTTCCAACGTCCACTAGTCAAGACTCATCAAGAATTCCAGTTCCTGTGTTTCCAATCCTCTTTCTCCTATCCATTCCATTTTAATGTTCATTCAGAAACAAATTTTCCTCCAATCCAAATCCAACCTCGGTGTTTCGACTAGCCTAGTCTTCCAAACCTTCCAAACATAAACCCAGGACTCATCACTCCAATCTTTTCCAGCCACGACGTGTGTTATGTTGTGATTGCCAACATGTTTTTCAATGTCAATCTCTATCTGTCCCTTCCTATCCAATGCTTCCTGTAAATGATTCATCCTCTTGAAAAACACCCCTTCAAATGAAACCAATTCTTCTCCATTGTGTAATGTATTTTTCTATCATCCATAAACTTGTACGTATAATACTTATTCATTTCGTTTATACGCAGACTTTTCAGTTTTCTAAGAAAATGCCGAGCACGACTGCCGTGAACAGGGTCTCGACGACAACGGAGAAGCCGGTGAGGATCCGCGAACGAAGCGTTCTTTTCGGAATGCTCGCGGAGTACGACGAGTTCAAGCAGGCGGACACTTGCACCGACTACTTTGTCTGCCGTGAGTCACTTTTCAGTTTTCTGGAATGGTTATATGTATCATCACACTGTCTGGGCTACCGTATACCTACGTAATTCTTTTATGACATAATTGAAGATTCTAAGAATGGAAAAACAACCGTATTTTTGTTTGCCCATCTGATTTACAATAATCGAATAAGCGTCTTCATAATAGATTGAGTGACGATTCCTAGTATTGTATATAACAGTAATTCTTGGGATTCGGGAAAACATGTTTTTGCTTAGTTTTGGAAAGTCGAAAACAAGTATTCACTGGGAGAAAGGCAACAATATCGGTTGCAAAAGTATGCAGAGGGTTACATGATTAGTTTATCAATTGGCTCTAACGGCGTCTATTTTTTGAATCACAATATCTAAGCAGATGAAGTACAGCGAACAATTTGAGGCCTGTTAGAACCCAAACCTATGACACATATCTTGGATCTCACTCACTATTAACTTTACTTTCTTTCAGGATTGGGACATTCGTTTGTCTACCGTGTCAAACGGATCATTGGACCTGTCATCAAGCAATACTTCCGCACGCTTGACTGGGATGAGCATCTCGATGATGGAGATCCTCCGGCGTCCAAGGATGAGCCTCACTACAATAATAGAGATTGGGAAGACTTTCTCACCATGGAGATTCCTAACAATCTCTATCACATCTACGTCGAGGTGATCCCACCGAAGAGACCGTACATGGATCGGGCGCTGGAGGGAAAGTTCAACTCGCTTCTGCGCATAATCAGTGCGGACGAGATCATTGAACAAAGTGCTCTCATTCAGAAGCTGGAGGAGATTCTCGAGCCATACAACGATATGCACTTGTGGCAGGAGTACGATTTGTGAGTACATTCTGTTCAGGTGCCTTTATCAAAAAGTGAGTGATTTCAGAAAAGCCGAAGCAGGACGGAAAGTGTACGCTCGTGAGGTCATCAGGGAGCGCAACCGTCCCATCAATCGCTTCAAGGCATTTGTTTGGCGCTGGATCAACGACGTACTGAGGTCGTGCACTAAGGCGCCAAAGCCTGATAACACTCCGTACCTCGAGAACGGAAAGATCGATGGAAACAAGCTGCTGATAGGCAACCCGAGAGTCCGTCTCATGACTCCAACGTGCAGCTGCCACTTCCGCAAGGAGTGAGTCTTCGGTAATGTCATCTCGTCTGGAACTTCCGGGTCGTCTTCATCTTACTGCTTTTATCTTCCAGGTCTAAAAGTCCCAAACCTTACTTTCTTTATTTTCTTGGTTATGAGTGTACTTTACTTCTCCTCCAAAACCACTTTTCATGCTTATTGTTCGAATCAGACTGGCAGTTCAGTTATCATCCACCCATCCACTTCATTGTGTTGAAATCCAAAAATGATGCCAAAAACCTCACCGGCAACTTTTTCCAAGCTAATTTTGACAAATGATGAGGGCTACCCCAAATCAGAACAGTTCTGAATCAGATCGTTTCGCTAAGCTAATTTGATTCGAATCGGGATAATTCCGATTTGAGGCATTTCCGGATGATACCTTGCGAATTGGATTATCGAATCTATAATAGAGCAAACACCCGTCTCTTTGTAATCAGATAGTTTTTCTGATCCAAAAAGCCGCCAGAAGTACAGTAAACTGATTCCGAAACTCAATCAAATCAACAAAAATTATTTATATCACATTCAAATTCCCCGATTCATTTTTCCCTGTATTTTTGTAAATCTCTTCTACATCCGTCCTCCTCTTATCTTATCATAGAGTTCGCATTCTCCCTTAGAACACTAGTCATTCTACGCAAACTCAATACCATCCGAATCTTCAAGATTTTGCCTTTTCCCCTTTTTTCTCTTTCCCAAACTTCTCCTACCGACGTTTCTAACGTTAATGTCTATGTAACCAGTGATAACACTCCGCCGAGTTGCACCATTCATTCCTGTAGTCATTTTCATTGTGTAAATGTTTTTCGTAGCGAACTAAAAACTTGCCCTCACCCTCATCCCTTCTCATCCTTCTTTTTCATTCAGATCTCATCCTTTTCTATGAACTCTTTCCCTTCTCCCTTTCATTGTAAGTTCATTAAGTTCGACCACCCAACTTCTACTCAAATATATTGTATTTTTCTTTTGGAAACCTATGTATTAGCCCAAACTTTTTCAAAACTTTCAACGATTCTTTTATGAATTGTATTGATTTACGGCACCACGGCAAGACAAGGAAAATACTTCACAATTTTATCGAACAAAATATTTATTATTAAATATGTACATCAATGTGTGGTTGGTTACATTACATGTTCGGAATAAATATAGTAAAAAGTGCACATCAGACTACTGACAGCTTCTAACTTTTATACTTACAGTAGTTGGACAGTGAGATGCTATGTACAGGGTCAGACAATAAAATTAGGTTCAGAGAATTTCAATTTCGTGTTCGGAATCTTCTTCAACCTCAATCGCTCGGTGGTTGACAATAGTCAACGACTTTTTCTGACGGGTTTCCTTGTTTCCAGTGACCAGAATGCTTTTCAGATTAGTCTCGGCCTGTGCGTAAGGAGATGAGCCTAAACATTGAGAGGTTCAATGAGTTCAGTTAATCCAAAAGACTTACTTGGATCCACAACCCATTGTTTGGCCTCTTCAGGAATTGATTCCATGCTCAGGTATTCCTTGTTCGCCACTCCGAACGCCGTGGAACTAGTGACCATCATGCTGAAATAGAACAGTTGTAATAAGTTTTTGAACTTTTGTACACCTGCTACTCCTTCTCTTGGACAAGAACCTTGCAATGGACGGGAAACGGAACAAGAATCTCTGGAGACACATACAATTGAGCAGGAATGCTCTGGTGTACTCAGAGGACGCTATGCAGAAGACATAAAAGTTGAGACAGTGGTTCAGAACTTCCAATGTGTTGGAGATGTGACGGTATAGCTGTAAATTGGGGGGTTTCTGTGATCCTAATTATCTGAAAGTACCTGGAAGTTAAAATTGTTTTCCATTGCTTCATTCTGAAGGATCATGACAATGATCTGAGGGACATTTCCGAGCAGGAAGATGATGCAGATGGTGATCATGAGAACTGTCAGCTTCTTTTCAGTAAAGCTTCTCATCAGAATTGAATCCTCCTTTCTAGAAAAAACCAATTGATTATCTTCGATCATGTTGAACTTTGAATCCGACCTCATACTGTACGAGCTCATAGAAGGCTCAGATTTCAAATCAATTGTGCCTTCGTTTTGAGGAGACGATCTACGTACCAAACGTCTTCTGCGTTGCTGAAATGATTGCCTTGTCACTATTATCACATTCCAGAACCTACTTTTGTGACCTGCAGCTGATGCGCAATGATGACATTGAAGAAAGTCATGAGAAAGACGACACAGAATCTCAAACACTCTCTCGCCAACTTATAATAGCTGTAGATGGTCCAGTTAGGCTCTCTGTAAAGTGCAAAAACGTTCGTTTACTAGTCCGGATCGGATATATAACTGACTTGCACAGAAGGTTCACATTGTTTACCATGACGTAATCGCCATTTTCATTCTGCTCAAGAGTACGCTGAAGGACCATTGGTAAGTGGATTCCAAATGAGAGCAGCAACATTAGGTGAATTTTGCGGCGTGCCAGAGCACGAGGATTTGATGTCATGGACTTGTTATGTGGACGCGAGATCAGAAAGTGTCTGAAGCCTTCCAGTTGTTTGGTACAACTGCCAGGAACTAACCTTTCCATAGTCAGCAAGAAAGCGCAATACAACCCGGCGATCAGAAACGTATTGATAACTGGAGCCTCGATGTAGGTGGTATAGTACATGATATAGGAGGCCTTGGTGGTGCTAACCAGGAAAAAATGAAGTAAGATCATAGTCAATGCAATCTGAACACAATTTTTCAAGGGGTTCTACAATTTACCGAACAAACCAGATCGAATATGGCAAGAGATCGTATGTACATAAACGGAACAGTTTGGAGAGATGGACTTTGTAAAGTTCTTAGGTTCAGGATGTTACCTAACACTCCAAGGATACAGCAGAAGACCTGGAACGTACTGAATTTAGCTTTTCTTTTCCAAGCTTTGAGTCACCTGTATAATTGTGAATGACTCTTTCACTTTATTCAGCTCCGGGATGTTCGCCTGTGGTACGGTGCTATTGTGAACTTTGCAGAATGACTCCATCTCCAGAATCAGTTGAAGCTGGAACAAAAGCTATTGTGAACTGAAATGAAACTGTTTTTAAAAACTCTCAAAAAACTGGCGTTATGATAATAGGGTAGGGGGACAGGACAAATATTTGAAACCGAAATCGTGTTGGCCGCAGGCGGAATTCCGAATTTCAAATAAGGGAGCATTGGCCGCGGATTGTTTGTTCTGGCACATGCCGCCAACACCGTCAGGAAGTGAATCATCAAATTTCGTCTTCGTTTACTCTTCAAAAACTGCCTCCCCTTCCGTAAAGTCATGTGTAATTGACTTTAAGAAGAGCGGCGTCTTTGAAGGAAATTGAAAGCGCTTTTTGAGGCAAGCACATGCCGCAAAAAAGTGGTCCGACTTTTGGTGGTAGCGGTAAGCTCGGGTATTGAAAAATGAAATATGATAACTACCCGCTCCGAGACCCTTGACTTACTACTCGCAGAACGTGCATTCTCCGTCTTAAAGATGAAGACGAAAGACGGCGTCCCTTTTCCAAGTGCCACAAAGAAATTTTAGATAATCTCAATGACAGTAGTCTCAAGTATACTTTTAACAGAGCTCATGTGGCACCAAAGGTTGGTTAGATGCAAAAAGAAATTATTCATGCATGGTTATTTATCATATCGCATGGCTTCCCCTATTTTTCATCAAAACTTTTCTGATAATGAGGTGAATGAACTCAAAGTCACAAGATTGTTGAACCAACCGGAAAAATTCTGGTGAAGACGAAACGAAACGGCATTCTGACCGAATCAGAACCATCTGGAGGACGTGGACACGAGCTAGAGTTTTGTTTTAAAACTCACTTCCTCTCGGCACCGGAAATTGAAATGTGGGTGGGGGTTGTGTGAGATGCGATGTGATGTCATTTCGATGTCGAAACGGGGAGGAGTTTGTTTACTGTTTTCAGGGTGAGGACATTATGGAGGTGGAATTGTGATGAGATTGGATGTCAAACTGGGCAAACGATGGAGAGAAACTTAATGCGGCCTCCAACTCTTCCAACCTCGAGCCCAAAACATCATAATGAAAGAAGAAGAAGAAGAAGAAGCAAAAGAAAGACGTCATCACGAGTACTTGTCAGCAGGGTCTCCGTCACGCTTTGTTGACATTTGTGAACACGTCGTCAACGTTTCGTTTCATCCTTTCCCTTCTCTTTCCTTATTGCCAATCGACGCATCGCCCCAAATATATTTCAATGATGATGGTGGTGGTGGTGGTGGTTGTGAGCAAAGAAGAATCTTGTGACACGGGTCTTTCTACTTACGAAATTCTCATTTCATTTGGAATCCGACGAAACGGACACAGATGCGTGATTGTATGTGTGTGTGTGCAGTATATGAGAAATACGCCGCGCCAGAGACACAAAATACAAAGAACGAGCAGGAAGAGGTTGAAGGAAATTTATATTAGGAACATGTTCAGTAAATCTGATCGATGCACCATATGACTATCTATCTCGAAGCAACTAACTAATCTGAGGACCCACGTCAAGGTCTACAGTGCTCAAATCTGTTTTTTTTTCTGATTTGCACTGTCCAACATTCCGTTTGCTTACCCCCCGTTCTGTTATTGCTTTAGAAATACAAAACGTGTAAAACTCACCCAGTCGAGCCACGAATACAACCAAACCCAGCCGCATGCCATCATCACACTAAAATCAAACTTTTGAAACCTGAAAAAAAAGCAAGCTACACAAAATTAAAACCAGAATGAAGCGTCATCTGCACTGGATTTCAGTGAAAACAATTCGATTTCAGGTCCACGCCTATTCAGTGAGTACTTTAACAAATTGAAAACGCGAAAAGACGTCATGGAATTATTGGATTTAATGAGCTGCGCGGCGCACTCGTCTCGTTTGTAAATTGCCCGTGGCAAGTGCTTCTTCCTTCCAATCTAGTTGATATGCACGAGGTTGAGGTCGGGTTTCCAATTGCGGAGGATGGCGCTTTTTGCAGAGTAATTGCGTCGAGCAGAGTGTAGGAGGCGAATCTGTAAGAACCAGAGACAACGAGAACACCGCTTTTTTTTCGATCCGCGTGTATTCGTTAAAAACAATAATATCAGAAAAGTGAGGAAGATGCTATATAATGTAAGCTGATATTCCACCAATAAATACAACATGCAATGTTTTTAGCAAAGAAAGTTCGAGAAAAGAGCATTCAATCGGGGTTTTCATGGAAATGTTTTGGACAACCGAAAAAGAAAGTATGTGAAGACAAAAAGCGCAAGAGGGACGGAATCAGCAAGAAAAGGACCAAATGTACACGATTTTTTTTGGGTTTTCAATTTGTTGCCTTTTTTCTGAAAATTTTTAGTGTTTTCTCTGTCTGGAAGGTGATGAAGGGAGTTAGTAGTGGAAGAAATGGCAGTTCGCCGTGAAATTAATGAAAAAAAAGAGAAGAAAAAAGAAAAAACGTCACAGGTACAATGATAAATTGTCGGACATGGGTAGTGTGTTCAGTAGGATCCAAATGAGCACAAGAACAATTGAAATGAATAGGAAAGAAGAGTTCCTCTGGGAAAACGAAACGTTTTCGAAAAGAGTACAATGTAAAAAAAGCAAACAGGGATGGTTCTCGAAATGAACAATGATTGTATGAATGGCAATATACATAGATAAAAGAACGGTTGGAAATAGAAAGGAAATAAGTTGGTGCAGATAAAATTGGGATGATATTTATAAAACAATGGCTGGGCTGAACTCCTTTCGAATCGGATAGGAGCTTCCAGATCATTCAGACGGGTCACTGCCAGGACTGCCAGAATCGCTTCTCTGCTCACTTTCCTCTGAAACAAGTTTCCTTCAAGCGTGAATATTTTTGAGCTATTGAAATTCTTTAACCCGGTCGGACCCGCTCAACAGCCGGCCCGGAATCTTGCAAGTCTGGTTTGAAAACATGTGACTGTAGAAAATGTTTGGTTACGAAATGTGCAGGAATCACAGTTTCTAACTCTTCGTACCCTAACAAACAATTGGCAGGTGATCTTTTCAGAAAAAGCAACCTATCACTCTAATCAGAATATAACCGTACCTTCATTGTCGTCATCACCACAATCCTCTCCGTTCTCATCAGTATCGTCGGAGCTGTTCTCACCGACCAAATCATCTTCCGGTTGATCGGCACTCTCGTGCACAATCGGAACGTTCTCAGTATCTTCATCCACGACTACATCGACTGGTTCCGCATTGAACCGGGCCCTTTTTTCTGGTGGACCAACAAAGTCGGCTGATCCGGTCGTCCTCAAGCTCTGCTCCTCATGCAACTTCTGTTGCGAAAGCTCCAACTTTTGCTTATACACCTTCATCTCCATAATGTCTTCTGCGGTGACGTGTTGTTGATCTACAAAGCAAATCAATTTGGTCAAACTCAACGCAACATTTCAACTCACTCAATTGCTCAATGTGCTCGTCAACCAGCGTGTCGACGAGATTGCCATTTCCTCTTGGACTTGCTGTTGATTTGTAGAGGCGGCGCATCACGGCGTCCTTGAATCGCTCGATTGATTTATCCTGTTCCAGTCTGGTAATCGGTTCCAAAACTCGCTCGTTGATTTCGTCAAAACCAAGCCAAATCTGTGCACCGAGCTTAAAAAATTCGCCGAGAGACATTTTCTTGATTCTTTGTGGCATGTTCGGTATCACTCGACTATTTCCTTTCGGAACTAAAAGAGCAGTGAGGACTTGGTCAACGAACTCCGGCCTTTCGAAGAACGGGAAACGAATATAAGCTTCGAATTTTGTGCTCATAATTTCTTCTGGCACTTTCGTGGGCGACGGAATGTACGAGCGGACAAGACGCATGAATTCTTTTTCATGTTGCTCCTTTTCCGTATCCATAATCGCCTCATACGTCACCGTGTGCTTTGGCTTTTGAGGTTCTGGATTGGATCTTCGGTACTCAGCTTCAATTCTCGCGTTGATCATCTCGTTGACAAATGCTGGAGGAATTTTCGCCAACTCGATGTCGGGAATGTTCTCGATTGGCGGCATTTCATCCGGATCGTACCAGTGGATGAGTGGCCAGTCGCTCGCCACTTCTTCGGTGACTATTTCCGCGGCAGGCTCTTCCTTCCGCTTCTTTTCCCTTTCTTGTTCCATCGCCTCCCGCTTCCTTTGCACATCCGGATCTTCATAGATTATCATTTGGAATACCGAGTCCTCGTCGTTAGCTCTTTCGAGGAACGGGAACTGTTTCATAAGGTCCTGCGAAAAAGGGACGCAGCGCTTCTGGGAATTCTGAAAATCATTTTGCTGATCTTGAGGCTGGCTGGTGGTTGGACGATCCTGAAATCAGTTTATAACGACTCCGAGATGGTTGCGGTTGTCATACGACGTAGTATTGAGAGAAGATTGCCGGCTGAGTTTTCAGTCGTTTGGCTGCTGGGCTCACTTCAAAATTTCCGAATCCACCGGCAAACTGGAAGAGCTAGGGTTAGCAATTAGAGCAAAAAATCTGTTACCCTCGGATCAGTGGGGACCGCAAAGATGCCATCGTTCGCATCCTCCTGTATCTCTTCTTCCTCCGCTACTTTTTTGGGTTTGAGTTGCCGTCTCCACTTGTCTATCAGCGCTTCTCTTCTGAGCTCGTCGAGCAATTCATTTTTCTTCTTTCTCTCTTCTTCGGTCAATTGAGCCTGAAAAAGTATTGGAGTGGCAATATGTTTTCGAATTAATCTCTACTATTTCCATTTCGTGAAAACTGTAGCTTACCTCCTGCTCTGCAATTTCTTTCATGTCCCTCTCCAGCTCTTCCATGTATTCAGCACTGGCTTTGAATTTGACATATTTAAATGTGGTCGACTTTGCAGCATTTTTTTCAGCCGGCTCTCCCGAGTTCTCCACGTGACCCTCTTCTGCTTGCTGTTCCTGCTCGTGTTCTTCTCCCTCTAGTTCCTGTGGATGAACAGCTTCAGTCGGTTCGCCAATAACGTTGAAAAGTGGCTGAGTTGGCACGCGCATCGTTGTGTCGAACAACTTTTGAAGAGGAGTCGATTCCGAGTTATTGACCGTCGTTGAAGAGGAGCTCTGAAATTAGATAGTAAGTTTGTAAACATAGATTGAGCTGACATACTTCCGAGACGAGTATTTCGCGTGAGCCCTGCTGGACAACACGGTAGACGGTCGTGGTTGTCGTCGTGTTCGTTCCGTTTTGTTCATTCCCATCGTGCGGCCCCGGAGAACCTGGTGGCACAGGGATTCCATCCAGGTCTTCTTCTGCGTCTTCGTCCACAAATGCTGGAAAATCGTGGCCGTCGAGTACGGCTCTGTATCCAATGATGTACTCGCTGATGTGCAGTCCCTCGATGGTTCCGATTTTCGGAACGTGACTTCCATTGTTGTGTCGAAGGCATCTTCTGTAGAGCTGATACGCCTCTTCCTCCAAATCTCCGTCATGTTGCTCAATTGGATAATTGTCCGCGTTGCTGCTGCTGCTGCTGCTGCTGCATCCCTCAATTGGTACGTTCTGAACTTGAGGGCGACGATGACGAAGCTGTCCGGCGTTCTGCAGCTCAAGTTGCCTTCTCTCTGCCTCTTCCAATTTTTGAGCCAATTGGATGCTGGCTGCGAGACACGGATCGTTGAGTTCTGCCCCCTCTGGAACGTATTCTTCTTCCGTCGGGGCAGAATCTAATCCGGCTTCGTAACGCGAGATGTTGGCGATAGCGAGCAGTGTCTTGACGAATTCTGGGTCCAACGGTGTGGGCTCGCTTTCATTTTCTGAATATTGTATTAGTTTGAGGTATAATGTATTGAAACGTGGGTAGAACTTACGAATTGGTGGCGACCTTTCTCTAGGCGCGTTTCTTCTAGGCGACGGAGCTCCGCTGCGAGTCCCGCGTAAATTAAGGGAACGAGAAGCGCTTATTGGTGGACTAGATTGATTGCGTGGGTAATATGATGAAGAAGAAGAAGAAGAAGAAGTGGACGGCCCCGGCTGATCATCATTGCAAGCCATATCTGGGGACATTCTTCCAAGAACTGGACTCTCCACCTGTGGTGGCGGAGCTGGATCCATCTCATCATCGTCAGGAATGCGTAGAGTGATCGGTGCAAGCATCCGCAGAGGTCTTCGCGATGCACGACCTCGTTCCTGCAGAGGTGCTGGAGCTGGGCCTGGTTGATCCGGATTCTCAGCCTGACCAATCGGCTCTTCTCTTTCCATAGCTGCTCCCACTGGCAGCCCTGGTTCATAACTGGGCAATGCGAAACCAAACGGTGAATCGTTTTCCTGGAACTCGTTGTGAGGTGGCGGTCTGTTTTGATTCTCGGTATCCACGTTGCCATCTGCGTGTTCGTTATTATTATTTTCTTGATTAGGATGATGCGCTTCCTCTACAGGAACTCCAGCAAATCCAACAAGATCAGAAGAGCTTGGAGATGGTCCTGAAACAGAGGAGTTACTCTCTGATTGCCCAATGCCAACGGCTGAAAAATGAAGTTAGGAAGCTGACACAACAGGAAAAGCTCACCTGAAGCTATCTGAATGTTCTCATCATTATCCAATTGTTCCAGCGACTCTGACGGACTCGTAAATTGTGTCTGTTGAGTCCCATTCTCGTCCGCGATACTGGATAAATCCTGTCCTGCGATTCCGCTGGATGGCGGAGTAGTTGCGGGTGAATTGTGAGCTTCTACTGGCATGCCATTCTGGTCATCTGCATGCCCGTTTGTCCTCTTCTCAGCATTCTTCGTGTCTCCATTTTGCACTGAAATTCTGAATTACATTTCTGAAATGAACCTGGAATCCTCGCGACTATCCGCAATTTGGTTGCTCAGCAGATCAGTCTCGTTGTCTGGTTTACCTTTGTCTCCATGTGGCTCGTCCGAGTTTCCATTTCCATTATTTTCGGCTTTCAGCAGTTCCGAGACGTTTTCAGCAGTATCGTTAGCGTCTGGCGAGGCTCTTTCCGAATCTTTATGCAATCCGTGACCATTCATGCTGAATGCGGCCTTCAATCTGGTGATTCTCTCGGCAGACGACAAGTCCTTGGCGTCTCCGACAGTAGTGTTGTTTCCGTCGTGCCCAGAAGCCGATTCAGTTCCAAGCTCGTTGGACGAAGCTGGGAACATGATCGGACTGTGGCCACCAACGGCGGAAACACTGATTTTACCCTGGAAATGACGAAATTCATCGGGAAAATTCAGAAAAACAAGGCAGAGAAAAATCGATAATGGCGAAGAATGGTATCAGATTAGAGTGATGTTACGGTTTTTCAATTGACACATTTTTTCATCAACTAATAAAACTGATGAAGCCTGAATTCAGGAAGAAAAAAAACTAACAATTGCCGTGTTTTCGGCCTAAAATTATGCGGGCGAGAATAACGTGGCTTATAAACTGAGCGCAGCAAGCGGAATAGTGGAGTGTCGTAGCGCAAAGAGAGAGAGAGAGAGTGGTGACGGAGACACGTCGGACGGAGAAAACCGGAAAACTAAACTGATTGCGAGGGAAATTGAGTAATGTTTTGATCAGTGATGATTAGTGTTGATAAGAAACAGAAACCACACTATCGGATTAGGTAAAAAGATCATTTTGAAAGAGAAACGATTAAAAACATTGGGTTAAACGGAAGAAAATGAATGTCTCTGCCAAGTCACGGGTCATTAAGTATTTTTCCGTTAAAAGCGATTATATGGATGGGATTACGTGCCCTAACTGTCTTCAGACACATGATATTATGGAAGGAAGACATCTGCATACCCGATTCTGCGAATAAGACTCACGACAAACGAGAGTGATTGCAAAGGCAGGCTCGTGAGCTTATACAAGGCCTATTACAAAGAAGCGGGATGAATTGAGCTGCATTTCCTGAAAGGGCATGAGAAAATGAACTTTTCTATGTGTAGACTTGAAATTCTGACGAGACTAAAAATGCAAGAACATTATGAAATCGGAAGGAGCGTCGTTTGTTTTCGTACATATATTGTTTTCGAAAGGGACAAGCGGATGGGAAGAGAACAGAAGGTTTGTACCGTTGTGGGACAATGGAAGATGCTTTCAGTCCGCAGAAGGAGTCTGAAAATCTAAAAGTGCAGGTGATCGAGGTGAGCTGAACTTTTTGAAAGTGTAGTTTCAGGTTTGAATTTCACTGTCCATCTTAGCATCTCCCCCAAAAATCGTTGCATTTTCTTCCACCTGGAAACGTAGTACGCGGATCATTTCATCCCTCAGATTTCAGATTCTATGAAAACAGGGCATCCATGTACTCCTCTTCCTCTTTTTCTTTTTCTCCTCTTCCCCTCCATGCACTGCCTTCAAAACGGGGCGAGATAAGGCATTGCCCGCCGCCTCTCTTCGCCGCCCGGCCTCTACCAGCACCCACACGGAGAGACTCTCTCACAACACACAGATACGACGGGCAGACGCACGCACATTGATTTTGAGGCCGAAGCCCGCCGGCCGACCAGCCAACAGCCCGGCGGGACAGGACGGGGCAGCGACAAGACGATCGGACGAGAAGAGAGGGCGGCTGAGAGACGCGCGTGCTCTTCCTGTTGGCCGTCCGACGCGCGCATCGATCGGTGTTTGTGTGTTTGTGTGTGCGGCGACTCCTCGTAGGGTCGGTTTGGCGGGCCGAGCGAGCGGGGCAAGCATCTACAGCAGGTCGGCCGGTCGGCGGGTGGCGGTGGAGCGAGTGAGGAGCGGCTCCTCCTGCGCGCTCCTCGTTTCGGCCAATGCCGATGAGATGTGCTGAGAAAAACTGAGAAAAGGGGCAAAGCAAAGCTGAGCGTGCCGCTTCGGGGATAGAAACGACGGAATAATTATACGTTCAGGTCTCGTGATTCCTAGCTCCTCTTTCGTGGGCCCAACCCTTCCACATCAAATCACATTGAGATGCTCATTTCAAAGCAAGCACGTGCCAAGAACTAAACAAAACCGAGCCGCTCTCCTGGCTGGTCTGTGCACGCCCCGCCTACTTCGAAGAAGCAAAATCTACGCCGCGTGCCTGGAGCGCTTCGGAACTAAAAACCAGTTTCTTTTCCCCCCTTCCAGCTGTCTTTTAACACCATCGCAACGAAGGCAAACGATCGTGATGATCACGAGGAAACAGTTGAATCGATCGTGTCCTCGGCCTGCCTGGCTGGCTTTCACACAAAACATATTGATGTGTTATCAGTTATTTCTTTCTTTCCTCTCCTTTTTTCTCCCCCTTCCACAGTTATTCCAAAGAGACAGAGGTTGAGATGAGTGGGGAAGGGTTGGGACGCAGCGCACCGCAACGCAACGCTGTCGCCGCATTTGGGGACAGGTTTTGTTCTGTGTCACACTCTTGGCATTTATTATCTTCTCTTGTCCTTCAGATTCGGTGTTCTGCTCTTACGTTACAGATGCAATTTTCAGAATCAGCCATGGAAGAGATTCCCCACTCTTCGTACGATATCAAGGATCTCCGCTCGATGCCCCAAGGTCTGAGAGTTTTCCTCATCGCACGGATCGTCCAGGAAGTTGTGCCGAATCCGGACGACAATGCGCAGTACGATTCTCGAAACCTGGAATTGATTGAATACGCCAAATTCCTGGAGCGAAAGACGTTTGAGAATATGGAAACTCCGGATAAATACTATGTGGAACTGGCTGGAATCATTCACGGCATCCAGAAACGTTTGAAGCTGAGACCACCTGGTGACGTCAATGATCGTGAGTTTGCGGGCAAGAGATACTGCTGTCTATAGGTTTCTCTTGCGGTCAAAGCCAACGAGAGAAACAAGGCTTTAGGGTTACGGTAATTTTCATTTTTCAGCGTACTCAAACATCCCACCCTCCGACCAGTTGGCAGCGTTCATGGGACTTACTAAGGAAGAGATTGAAGAGCATAACCAGGAGCAAACCCCTCAAGGGCCATCCAATACCACGCCGATACTGTCCATGGACACCGTAACCCCAGATATAAGACTGATTGTTGTGGGAAAGCTGTGCAAATTGCTCTTCCCACCTCCGGACACCAGTTCCATACTCGATGGAAGAATGAGTAAGATCATCAGAAAGCTCAAAAAGATCGAGGCGGAATCGTTCAAAAAAGCGGAGCACCGGGACGATTATTTCGTTAGGAGCACTGTAAAGGCCTACATGCTTCATAAAATTATGAAGAAAAAGGGAAAGTCGTATATTGGAGGTTAGTTAAGCAGTAATAAGTGGTCAAAGGTTACGGTATCTTTTCAGAACCCGTCAGACAACACGCTCCTGCACTTTCGAATGAGTCAGTGGACAGAAGTGAAGGCCCTTCTGCTTCCAGCTAACTCTTCCAGCTTTTTCTTCCATTTATGCGAGTGTTAGCCTTACTCTTTTCCCCCTGTCAATAGTTTCTCCCCGTTTTCATACCAAGATCATTTCCCAGCCATATTTTCAACTCAGTTCACTTCATCCCATCACATTCCCCTGTTATTTCGGTAATTTCACCCATCCCACCACATACGTATTCGTTTCAGGCTTACCGACCAATTTGAATATTATAATTGATGTAATTGTATTTATTTGCCAATATATAAACTGTAAATGAAAAAAAACATTCGGGAAACGGTAATTTACAGAGGATCGTACACCCACGATCTCAGCTTGAACATAGCCACGATTGCGAGGTTGGTGAGGATGACTTTGAAGATTATATTGAGCAACTCCGCCGGTGAGAGGGTTGTGTCCTCTTCTTCGAATCTGAAAAATTGAATCTATTTTGAGATTGCAAGACGCTCCCTGCATTCATAGCGGGTTGCGCCACGAACAGTCGACCAACAAATGGCAAGCAATTCGTGGTGAGACCCATCAATTCATGTGTCAATCTATCAGCTATAGTAACTTTTTCAGTGTTCCAAATGAGCAGAAAAAACTCACTGAGCAAACGATCGATTTGCCTGTTGCTTCTGGTTTTTAGGCAACGTAGAAATACTCACCATACTGTACCACCGAAACGGTTACAAATGAATACAAGTTACTACGGTTTCTCTGCCGTTGTTATCAAATTACGGAAAGAACCTGTGCAGTACGTTCGAGAGAAAGTGAATTTAATGGAATGAGTGCATGATGTCCTCTACAGTTCCGTTTAAACTTTGGAATAACCAGTTTGTGATGGAAAATGAAAACTGTCGGTAATTCAGGAAAATTGCATTGGTCAGGTGATCATTTTCAGAACTTTATGAAACGACTCGAAACCTGAAACTGAGAATTTAAAACTTGGTAGAAACAGTTAAAACTCTGCCAGGATTTTAGCACTAAACTTTGAAAGCATGTCTTTCTACTTCCCCAGAAGATGTTTCGAGCTTTCAATTCATCGGATGTAATCAACGTTTCATGTAAATTCCCTTTCCTGGCTCCACAAACTTCTAGGTCCTGGGAAGAAGGAATTCAACCAATGTTTATTTTCAATGTATGCATATGCATTTGCTTCATTTCGCTGCGTATCTCCCGTCGATCAATAAAAAAAATCGTTGTGCCACGAGTCTCGCTCTACGGCCGCACACTCTCTTCTCTCCTCTTTTCGGTCTCTCTTCTAAAAATTTTTATACGGAAAACATAGAACGCTATATATTGAGAGACGCAGACATTCGCCGCTCGCCGGAGCGGCCGTCTCCCCAAGCATTCATTCGTGCCTTTTCGGTGGCTAGCCACTCGGCAGCCACCCTCGTCTCTCCTTTGGGCCGCACCAGTAGCCCCCTCCGTCTTCACCCTATTTTCTTTAACAATCTTCTTCCTATTCTACTCAATACTGCACTTATGGAAATTTTAAATTAAATACATAATTTAGCTGAAGAACCAAAAGTGATGAAATGTAAGCATTTTGAGGTTGCATTTCGAATTAAAAATTGATTTTTGCAGATGAAAATGATGCTCTGTTCAAAAATTCATCTTCGAACGCCATCAAATTTAATAGTAAGTTTCCAAAATTTCAAAAGACATACAATTCATTTCTTTGCTGATAAAGGAAGAGTTGGAAACTCGCAACATCAAAAGAAGGTGCCGATACGACACACGGAAAGAACTCAGATGATCGGTAGTCACGAATAAGATAAATAATTTGTTATTTTTTCAATAAAGAACTTGTAAATTTAAAAATGTCTCGTGTTTTCTTCTATATTCTTCCCGAAAATTATCGGCGGTGAAACTGGCATGTCCTGAAGCAATTTCCAGTTGAATTTCCTTCTTCCCTCCACTCGTTATTGCATGTCCGCTGCATCGTATTGAGCGACTGCGTGCTCCGCTCGAGCCGGCCTTTTCTTGTCGACCACAAGTGAGGCATTGGGCACGACAGGAGGGCAGAGAAGTCCATTTTGAGCTGGTGCGCTTTTTCTGGTCGGGCTAGGAGTGCGATAGTAAACGGGATTGAAATTAGGACAGATAAAAGGGTATAAACAAAGTACCTATTGCAATCGCGTCCTGCCGCTTGAAATTATATACATAAGTCGTCTCAGAAACGTAATTCACCGACATGTTTCCCGTATTACCGTCTCTAAGTGTTGCCATCTTTGAAAAGTCATATATTTTCCCAAAAAGTGCGGAAAACTCAAGCGCTGGCGCAAAATGTTGAAGCTCTAAACTACGGGAAAAATAACATTATAAACAACTGGGCAATCTTGAAGTGATAAACCCATTGGGATCACTTTAAGTGCTGGCAATAATCCACCCCGAATTCTTCTTCCCCTGCAGTTCGTAGGGAGAAACGACGGGCCGGGCTGGCGAACCGAACAGGCAGACAATAAAAGTCTCCACTCTCTCCACTTCCTATGCTTTCTCAACAAGAGGTCAATCATCAACCGAGTGGTGGAAGGGTGTGTACACCCCGCGGTGTGAGGGCGTGGCTTGGCACGTTGCCAAAATGCGCACCACGACACTGAGAAGATACGAGAGAGGAGCAATGGACAGGACGACTTGGCTCGTACCGGAGGAGGTAAGACCGAGGAAGGAAGCCGAAGTTTGGACTCTGAAGACTCTGAAAGGAGTGAAAAAGAACACTTTTTGGTTTCATATTACAGTTTATTTAGACTCAGAAGAATAAGGCAGACAATAAAAATTGAGAAGTGAGTTCAAAACTCATACACGTGATTCCAAGGGGATGAGGAGAGAAGACACACACGAGAAAGCTAGACGTTTTGAGGAAGGATAAAAGCTAGATAGAGTGGGTGTTTCGAGTGAGTGAGATCTTCCGAGAGGGTAGTTGGGCGACAAGTGAATGGAGGATCATTTTAGGCCTTGGCGGCAGCTGGCTTGGCTGCAACCTTTTTCGGCTTGGCGGCGGCGGCCTTCTTCGGAGCTGCTGCCTTCTTGGCGGCTGGCTTGGCGACCTTCTTTGCTGCTGGCTTGGCGACTTTCTTTGGCGAAGCGGTCTTCTTGGTTTTCTTGGCAACGGCGGAAGCTGGCTTGGCGGTGGTCGCCTTCTTCGGCTTGGCAGCGGTGGTCTTCTTGGCGGCTGGCTTGGCGGCAGTCGTCTTCTTCGGCTTGACAGCGGTGGTCTTCTTTGCGACTGGCTTCTTGACGACTGGCTTCTTCTCAACGACCTTCTCTGGGACGCGGAAGCGTCCGTTGGCTCCAGTCCCGGCGGATTGGAGTAGAGCCTTGGCGGCGACTCCACGCTTGAGGGCTTGACGGAGGTGAGCGTTGATCTGGAAAAATAATCAATTAGTTTTTGAAGAGAAGGGTGAATTAAGTCAATTAGAGAAGACAAGGTATTCTAAGCTGCTAAAGGGTGAGGGGTTGTGCTTACCTGGATGACATTGTCACCAAGATTGAAGTTCTGGGAGATGTGCTTGAGGATGGCTTGCTTGGAAGCTCCCTTGCGATCCTTGACGGACTTGATGGCATCCTTGATCATGTTGATGTATGGCGGGTGGTTGGTTGGAGTCTTGGCTTTCGGGATCTTGGTAGCCTTCGGGGCCTTCGGGGCCTTTGGCGACTTCGGGGCCTTAGCTTTCTTTGGAGCCTGGGCGACGACCGGGGCGACCGGAGAAGCAACGACGGCAACAGCGACAGAGTCAGACATTTCGTTGGTGAACGATTGGATTGAGGACACTTGGAAAGTGATGGTGAGTAGGTGGATCGCTCTAGTTTATAAACGGCGGCCGCACCCCTCTGCGGGGACACATCGGCGCACCACAGAGTAAACCGAATACGATAACCGAAAAAATAAAAGTGGGCTTCTTTGCGGCGCCCTTTCCAGACGCCTCAGACTGAAATATGAAATAGTATTGATATGAATCCAAAGAAAAAGATTTGAACTACATCATATCCAAAACACGGGAAAAATGGACCGTATTGAACCACGTTACAAGCGTCTGAACTGGGAGTTAATTTTTTCATCCGATCGGACCTCTTTCGAATGATAATTACACTTGTTATCAACAAACTTTCGGGACATTATCAGTATCAAACTGTAGCCAGATATTAGGGCTACACGAGCATGTATCACATGACCCATCTATAAAGTGGATTTGGTGCTGAAATTTCAGTCCAACAAAACTTTGTTATTTTACTAGAGACTTTCGGAGCAATTTTCTCGAAATCTTCAGCGGTAACATAGTGATATTTTTGTTTTAATGGATAGCTCAGATTCTTCTGTCTTTAAAAATGTAGGTCTCGCCAGAATCCATTCAGTCTCGGCCGAGTTATCAGCTCCAGAAACCGCGCAGTTCGGTTCGGCGCGCGACGTTGTTTTCGCATTCGACGGGCTGCAGGAGGTGAACATCACGAGTCGGAACATCGGAAAACACACTGGTATGGTTTCCAGACAGTCTTCAGTGATTTTGATGGTTTCTTGAAGCTTGATCAACATCTGATAAGCTCTATCAGTGGTTAGGAAAGTTGTATCTGAAGTTCTGAGAAAAGTCAAGTTAGTCTGTTCCTTCAAAACCTCTGCACAATTCGTGGCATTTCAGGAATATTTGTGTTATTTTCAGTCAGAATACGCTTTCCAGTCGTCGAAAGGCTAAATTTTGGCTGAAGATGAGCTCGAACTGCGAATTTAGAGATATTTTCGACGCGCAAAATGCACTCAAGTCGCACACCCTGAAAATGGAAACTGTTGGGACTGTTTTAAGTTAAATCATTTTAGCAACAGTGATTATCGGCTTTTCGATATTTCCAGCAAGTCTTATTTTGATGTTTTGCGTTCTCGCAAAGTAAACAATCGATACTGCCTCTGAATTGGCTGCGGAATGAGTTGAGATTCTACTAATAAGTTTTCACGCTCTGTTTCAGGTCTCTCATGATTGGAACAAATGTTCAACGATAGTATCATTACAACTCCTCGATTTTTGTACAGAAACAATAAGAAAGAGCTCGTTTTCAGAGCAAATTATCACTACAGGGCTTAGAAATCGAAACTTATATCGTTCCTGTATATATACGTTCAGGCATACGTTCCTTAAGCCGATAATTCCGATAGTCTGAAATTTCTGTGGAGATAAGTTGGAAACCCGACTGTTAATAGGCAGATTCTAGTTAATGGCAATAACCTCTACTGAAACAGAAGCCATACAACTCGTTTGCGAGACAATTATCATTATCTTATAAAGATCTTCCAGAGAAAGATTGGCAGATGCCAATTCTGCCATAATTAGGCAATTAATCACGTGCTCGTTAGATTCTCACTGATTCGACAAGAGATAATATGGTTTTCGATTCAGTACACAATTAATTGGGGCATCAAGTCGATGTCTAATGTCTTTTCGGTGAGCTAAAAAATGCGTGTTCCGGTTTGTTATCAAAGTTTCAGATCTGGCTGAAAATGAATTAATATCATTTCTAAATAGGAAAAAATTCAGGGCTCATTTTCTAGATCTTTTCCTTTTCCATAATTCAATTGTCTGTCTTTCTCCGGACTTCCACTCGATACCAGTACTTTCTGATCCGATACCCTTCATCAAAATTTCTTGGCTGCGTGCCAAGAATCCTCCACATCCTGCGGGGACGCATCATTCACCGTGTGATTGATGCTGTCTATACCACCCTGCGGGGACTCCACTTCGAACACTAGCTGTCAGCGTGAACCACTCCGCAGGGACTCCTCGATTTTAATTCACATCGACTCTACACGGAATGGCTTTAACCACCCTGCGGGGACACACCTCTCCCATATTCAAATGCCGTTGCTTCATGGCCATCTCCTCATCTCACTGGACAATAATCCCGAACCACTCTGCGGGGACACATTTTTGTCTTGTTGCTTCTGCCTTGTTGGTAATAGAAATGGAGTATTAGCCAAGAATGGGCAAAATGAAAAAAATCAATGTTATAGAACTGTGGTAATTTCCAGGACGTCTCCAGTATTTGTGGGATCTTCAAGTCCAGCGATCAGAAATCATTTTTGCTTGAGCCGTGGGGAGAGACACATGTTTAGAATGAGATGAACGATGTTGCAGATCACGTTTACCGTACATCAATTCTATTGATACAATTGGAAATTATCCTATTTCTTCTGAATTTTTAAACGACACGACAACTAATTGACGTTTGCGGCAGTCGGAAACGTGGGAATGTCAATTTTGACATACCTTGTCTCTCTCAGTGGCCGCCATACACAGATGAAACGCGATGCATGCATTATGCAGTTAATGTGGACCCCGTGACCGTCAAGGGGTCTATGCCAATTTTAAAAAATTGCTGTGTACCCGTGACCGTCAAAGGGTCTGTGCCAATTTTTAAAAATTGCCGCGTACCCGTGACCGTCAAGGGATCCATGCCAATTTTTAAGAATTGCCGTGTACCCGTGACCGTCAAGGGGTCTAGGCCAATTTTTAAAAATTGTCGCGTACAAGTGACCGTCAAGGGGTCCATGCCAATTTTTAAAAATTGCCGTGTACCCGTGACCGTCAAAGGGTCCATGCTAATTTTTAAAAATTGCCGCGTACCCGTGACCGTCAAGGGGTCCATGCCAATTTAAAAAAATTGCCGTGTACCCGTGACCGTGAAGGGGTCCATGCCAATTTTTAAAAATTGCCGCGTACCTGTGACCGTCAAGGGGTCTATGCCAATTTTAAAAAAATTGCCGTGTACCCGTGACCGTCAAGGGGTCTATGCCAATTTTTAAAAATTTCCGTGTACCCATGACCGTCAAGGGGTCCATGCCAATTTTTAAAAATTGCCGTGTACCCGTGACCGTCAAGGGGTCCATGCCAATTAAAAAAAATTGCCGTGTACCCGTGACCGTGAAGGGGTCCATGCCAATTTTTAAAAATTTCCGTGTACCCGTGACCGTGAAGGGGTCCATGCCAATTTTTAAAAATTGCCGCGTACCTGTGACTGTCAAGGGGTCTATGCCAATTTTAAAAAATTGCCGTGTACCCGTGACCGTCAAGGGGTCTATGCCAATTTTTAAAAATTTCCGTGTACCCGTGACCGTCAAGGGGTCTATGCCAATTTTTAAAAATTGTCGCGTACAAGTGACCGTCAAGGGGTTCATGCCAATTTTAAAAAATTGCCGCGTACCCGTGACCGTCAAAGGGTCTATGCCAATTTTTAAAAATTTCCGCGTACCCTTGACCGTCAAGGGGTTCATGCCAATTTTTAAAAATTGCCTTGTACAAATGTAGAGCCAAAATATGGATTTTTCATGGGCCTGTGGTTTTCAGAGAGGTTTTTTGTGCACGCTTTCCCTGACATTTTCACGTATGAAGTCACCCAGTCGTGGAATTTCTCGTGGTTCTCTCCATTGCTTGTGATGTCCTTCGACATAAAAACCGGCCCTACATTTGTCTTTTTTGTGAATGGCGGTTTAAAACAGAAGTATAACACGAGAATGAAGTGTTTTGGTATAAAACGATCAACTACAAAGTTGTTCAACACAAAATTTGCAACAACTTGCCAGCTGATCATTTTCGGCAAACATTCTTGCAGTTTCTGGAAGACGATTATCACAAGAAAGATTGTACACGGTTCCCACAACAATTCTTCCGGAGAAGAGCGTTTTATTTTCAGAGCATCGAACAGGAACATTGGAAATTGGTTCAGAATCCTTCGTGGAAAGTAATTTCTCTGGCCCACCGTCAATAACTAGTTTATAGTTGTGGTCATTAAGGAAAAAAACATTACTGATGAGAAAATAAAAGCAGCTGGCATGAGATATGTTTGCAAAAATATGATTCCTGCTGTTGAGATCAGTATTTTTTATATTTTAATCTTTTGCATACTTTCAAGCGATTAACTGTAAGGTGTCTTTATTTCTCAAGATTGCATAAACAGATACAATGCCAACAGATCCAGAAAGCATATGGAAAAAATATTCGATTTTTTGTGTTATCTATGCAGCATGTCGATCCAGCAGTGCTATGAGATTTCCATTGTCTGTGCAACTAAAACTGCAGACAAACTGAGTTTTTATGGTAAAATATTCAAAAACACATATCATTCCCCTTGAAATGGAGTAAAATGGAAACTATGGCAAACCATATCGTGAGAAACCATTCTAAAATCATTCACAAAGTGGCTCGAAAAATGAAAAAAGAATCTAGCAGCGAGTGGTTTCGATCCACCGACCTCTGGGTTATGGGCCCAGCACGCTTCCACTGCGCCACGCTGCTCTTGTTGTCAGCAGAGGTGTTTCGTATATACGTGCTGCCGTCTTTCCTCCTCAGCGCGCGCATTGCGTGCCTCCAGAGAGGGGAAGACTACAGCGGGTTCGAGTGAAGGACGTGTTCGCAACACCGATCTAATTTTAAAAAACCTGCAAATCAGTGGAGTCAATAGCTCATTTTGGTATCATTTTGTAGAGAACAAATTGGCGAGTCTAGACAACTAAATGTGTTCTCGGTTTGCACTGCCTGAAATGTCTAAAAACAAGGATCCAGTATTGCGCCAACAAAACCACAAAACTTGCGTCAGTGTTAGAAAGGAGCAAATTTTAAAATAGAACCTAAAAAGGAAGTTACGCGAAAGATGTACTTTTACACAAGGATGTTGTAGTGGACTTGTTATTCTTCCGGCAGGGCTGAGCAAATTTTGGCCACGGCTTTTCGAATACTTTTTAAGGTCTGAACTTATGACCAACTTGCAATAATCTGATTGGATCCAAACTTCGCAGGCTTTTTGGAATTGGATTGAAGTAGACTGAATCCGAGTTTCAGTCCGATCGGATTATCTAGTTCCGAGATATACAAGTTTGAGGCCGAAAAGGCTGTGTTTTTTTGCAAAACTGGAGGGCTTTTTGGCCTCTGAATTACATATCTCGGGACCAGATAGTCCGACCGGTTGGAAACTCGAACCAAATATACATCAATCCAATTCTAAAACGCCTGCAAAGTTTGGGTCTGATTGGATTATTGCAAGTGGGTCAAAAGTCCAGGCCTAAAAAAGCCTTGGAAATATATAATAAAGGATTTACCACTGAACCGCACATCAGCCCTGTCTTCCTGTCGAGTAAGGTGCAAATTAGTTGTTTTTTACAGAGTCCTTCTCTTTTCAGTGCTTCAGAAATCAATGTGTCTGATGCAATGCGCGTGGGTGAAATCAGCGACTTGCCACGTTTGAAATTCCTTTCACGGCATGCTGATAAACAAGTTTCAAGCGCAAAATACAATGGTATTATGATCACAAATAAAAAGGTTTTCAAAATGATAATGACAATTGTCAGTGACGAGAAATTCACAATAAGCAGAAACCTATCCGATAATGAAATGATAAAGGAAAATGAAATGATAAATATGAAATTGGTAATTGTTGTGGAGATCGGAAAGTGGAATGAAGGTACAAACAACCAGCTCATTTGATAAAAAATACAAGGAATAGATTGGAGGAGACGGTGATCATTGTCCGAAATATTTCATCACTTCCTGGAGACGTTTGCGGGCATCGAGAACTCGCTGTTCCTGGGCCTTCACTTCCGATTCGACAATCGCGAGTGGGACGCGCTGAAATATTTGTATGAACTTTACTGATTTGATTTTTCCAATGTTTGAAACGAACCTCGCAAAATGGTTGATCGTGGCACGCATTGGCGATGAAATTCTCGTCCAGTTTGTCCTTGTTGGCAGGCTGTCCGAATGTTCCGTTGTTCATTTGTCCGTGGTGGATCTGCTGGATGACGGTAGCGGCCGTCTCAGCGGCAGTCAACGCAGAAACTCCTGGTTTGATGATGGGGATTTCCGGCATTGAATGGAACGAGTACGCATCCTTGTTGATGTCGATCTGGAACATTAAAGGTTAATATTATTGAGAATGATGGAAAGAAAAAATGGAAAGAAAAAAAAAATGATGGAAAGCAAATTTTTGCGCTAAAATATAATAGTGTGTTCGTTTGACTTCACTTAATGGATTTTTCGCATAAAAAACTGTTGGAGATTAACTGACCCTGTCCGGTTTCTCCATCGGAACCGCAACTTGCATACCAGAAAAGCCTTTGGCCCACATTGCCGGGAACGGACGCATTTCCGTGCGTTTAGATGGCTTTCGCTGTCCAACGCCGGGTGCTCGAACCTGAAAAATTCAATAATTTTTGTGCCAAGATACAGATTTTCAATACTATAAATACTATTCATTAGAGCCATGTTGAAAGCCTGTAGAATTTCATTTATTGTTAATTTTGCACTTCTAGAGTTCACGGTGTGAACTGGCAATGATCATAGCTCTTTCACAGACCACTGTCGTGCAACCACACAGTGAGGATGGGCTGATTGTACTTGAGTGTTTTCCATTCTAAGACCTGCCAGGAAACATGCCCTAAAGGGCTGCATATAACTGCAACACCCACGCACAAAGCGGTCCTTCGGCGAAGGTTCTTGCGCAATAGGCTCGTCCAAGAAATTAATCAGAAGACGTTCTAAAAAGATAGTGTTTCTCACCATGGTATCGGGCTGGGAGGTGGAGATCACGGTGGCAGGCTGACTGAACGCCATCGGGCATCTGCGAACGTGGACGTCCCACGTTCCGTTGAATCCGTGTTTGTCCTTCTCTGATGCCTTCCCTCTCGCCTGGCGTCCAGGGCGGCGTGTTGAAAAGTTCGCATCTGCTTTCACCATTGCCGGACCTGAAATATGAAGAAACTACAAGAGTTTTCACAGACTTTGAAATTAGTGAACGCGATCGAGAGAAGTTGAGAAATGTGGCGGAATTACGCGTTTCTTCGAGTAACAAGCAATCGGCGCAAAATCAATATGCGAAAAGAGGACTGTTTTCTCGCGGGCCACCGACCGTTCAAAGGGATTGGCGGTGAGGTGCGGCGGTGGAGCGCACTTGCGTACTCCGACCGGCGCGCCGCCGTAACGACTCGAACGCGCACACATATTTTGGCGAAAGAACAAGGTCAAAACTTTCCGCAAGTTTCAAATGAGAAATATCGTGAATGTGCGCTGAAAATTTGAACTGAAGAACGAACACTACACTACCAAACACGCAGGACATTATTCGATGGTTGAGCGACTGGGTTATAGGAAAATGGCTCGCCAATTAGCCATCATGGACAATTAGGGTTATTGAGATGCCGATTGTGAACCGGGACAGATGTGAGAGTCACCTCAATATGCCAAATTGTATTGGATTCGGTCTAATGGTGATTTAATAGACTCTTAATATTTTTCCTAGTTTTAGCAGGTAATCTGAACGTGTTCCGTGTTTGTGGGCATAATGCTGAAATTTTCAATGGTATGATCCGGGAAATTCAGCTTGAGCTCGTCAAAGGATCAGGGCTGGACAAAAGGTAGGAGACCTGGACTTTTGATGCACTTGCAACAGACTTGGATTGAAGAATCTTCGGACCTTTATCTGGTCCAAAAAAAAAGTGGATGTAAGACCAAAAAGACTGGGAAATTTGGGTCCGACAGCATTGGGTTACAAGTCCACCTTCGAAACGCCTAGGTGCCAGCCGAAATCGAACTTACTTTTCAAAACTTGCCTGAAGCCCTGAGACCATGTTTTCATTCAAAAAATGTATGCTATTGGACGTTTTTGCTGGCGTTTCGATGTGTTCATTGATGTTCACACACAATTTTCCCATAACTCGCTTCAAAGTCAAAGTTGTGCGTAGAGCAACATATCAGTTTGTAGATTTCGACGATTTCTACAAATGTGATGACAAGCGGGCTGGTTTTAGAGCCGGTATTGTGGCGCGTTCCATCCTAAAATGGTTTTTTGCCCTTTTCTGCTGCCCAGACACAATTTCGATTTTGAAGCAAGTTATCAGCCGTTGCCCGTATGCTTTTTTCTGTTTTTCCCAACTTCCTCCTACGCACTTTTTTCTCCTCTTCTCTCGTCTCTCATTTTCTTGCCTTCCGAGAGTGCGCCGCTCAAAATGAGCGACGTGGCAGTTGTGCGTTCGCTCTGCATCTCGTGCACACTCCGCTCAGACCCGAACTGACTTGCTTCTAGAACTTCTCTGCGTCTCACCATGCGTATATAAAGACCGCGCTCTCCCAGAAACGGCACTCCGCTATTTTTTGGAGGAACCCTTCTCCATCCCCCGTCTTCCCCCCTATTTTCTCTAATTTCTTCAATAATGTAAATATTCCGCGAATTTTTACGAATTTTTTCGAAAAATTCAAGAAAAAAAAAGTAAGGACAAGTTAGTTCGATTATTTTTAAACATAATCTCTTTTCCAGACTTTGGTGGACTCAATTTCTTCATCAGAAGCGTTGATACACACTCAGCACTCAACGTGCACGGAAGTAGCCGAATTGAACCTGATGGTAGCACCCAAATATTCAACAAAATGGATTAATTTTTTGTGAACTTCAAAATATGATAAATAAATTATGATAATTTGAAAAAAACCGTGTTGTTTTTTTTTCAATCAATGGTTATTGAAACCATACAACTATCTTGAAAGCGATTAATTCGGGCGGGCAAAGGAAAGGGAAATTGAAAGAAAAAGAGGAAGGGGAAGAGAACAGAAAGGGAAGGAACGAAGGAAAACAAGGAAGAACATTGAAAATGAATGGGTCACAAGTTTAGGACGGAATCGATTAAAATGATGTCACATATCTGCCGCGTTCAAAGATAGTTAAAAGATAGTTAAAAGATAGATAAAGATAATCAAAGATTTCTAGCGGAGAAGCAGCGTAAGCTGGTCTTAAGCAACAAATTAAAATCCCGAAATGACACGCTGATTGCGATTCTGAACATTTAGACCCTGAAATTCTTTGTAGACGGGTATATCTCACTCAGAAGACTTCTATTCAATCAATACACTTCGACCCATCATTTGCTTACGTTTTTTCTGGGCGAACTATCTTAATCCCATTCAAAAGGAACATTTATTGTGCAACAGTGCAACAGATCCGTCAGACCGTTCGACGAGCGAGTGAGAGAAAACGAGAGACGCAGACAGACCGCTCTGCGTGCTCGTGCGACGCGGTCGTGACTTTAATTGGAAATATTCGTTTCTTTTGCTTTTTATCCAGCACACTTGTCTTATTACTTTCCAAAAGGCTTTTTTGCATATAAAAGTGATTTTCAGCTATCGATTGGTATCAGAACGACACTCAAATGCGGGATGAATGCACGTTCGGTGATCAATTTCCCTCTTCAGTCGCGGTTAGTCGCTCAAGAGCAGGATATTCTTCTTCGATAGCACTTTTCAGAGTTTGGAAGACATTACTGGCAATGCAAAGAGATAATGTGCAAGTTCTTCACTCTCAATTGTTGTACACATCTTTCGCAGATCAAATGTTGGCACGCTGAAAAAGTTTAAGGTGAGGAAATGAAATGGACAAAGAAAATCTATCAGAAAGTCTATCAGAAAGTCTAGGTCCGCTTTCTGAGTGTTCAACTCCAGACGAAACTCAACGGATGCTTTTTCGAGCTCAAAGCGTTCTTCCAGCAATTTTTTTGCTTCTCTCTCGGTCCTCCTTTTCGATAAGAAGTTGATTTAACTCTTCCTCCTCCCTGCGAAACTGTACTTCCAGTTCGTCCGCTAGATCTTGCAAGGCTGGTTTCTCCTAAAAAGAAAAGATAATTTTTAAATATATTGTTACAGATACCATCCAAAGGATAGAAAGAGCTCTCCAATTGTTCGCCGCTTCCCTTGGAGACTGTTCAATGCTGTTTGTAGAGAATCGATCTCCCTCTTCTGTTTGACTTAACTTCTGGTCCGTTCCTGCTCAGTTCGTTGGAGAATATCTCGCGCTGGGCGCTTTTCTTCAGAGATTCACGGTACATCTTGTTCCCATTCTTCCTATCTTCAAAAGTGGATCCGCTCCTCTTCCTGCTCCGTTCTCCTCTCCCCTCTCTCATGGCGTCAGTGACGTCACGACACCTCTAATGGCCGAGAAAACACTCAGGCCCCGTGTATAAAATCCAATATCGATCTCTCCTAATACTCGTTTTTGTCATTGTTTTTATTGAAAATACCATTTAAAAATAAAAACAGATCAAAACTTCAAAATCTTATTCTTCCAGAATCTTCACCCTTGAAGTGCCGTCTCCAAAAGAACCTTGATGGGACCGTCCGGTCTGAGTTCGTCGTACTCGCCAACACACGGGAAATCTTTGAGAAGGTACGCATTGTCTTCGATAGGTTGGGAACGTTAATGTTGATTCCTTGCAGGCCGCACACAAACTAGAGAAATTATTTGCCGTCGGAGGTTGGTCTGGCGTTGACGACAAGATGATGACCATCCAGGATGGCGCTGTCGACTTTCATGGCTAGTGATCGATCGCCGTTCACTAGGACGTTAATTTGCGTTGCTCGAGGAGACTGGGGAAGACTCAATGATCCACTGAGTGTAGCTTAACGGGCATCCGCACGCGAAGTTCGGGATAAGAGTGTCATGACGGCACCAGACTTCGTTCGAGTGGACAAATCCGCTGACTTCTTCTGGGCATCCGCCGTTCAGGAGGCGATCCATGTCGGTTGGCTCTTCTTCCTGGGGGAGGTTCATAATGAGGCGGCTATCCTCGACTTTGTACCGGAGCAGTTCTTGGCGGGCGTTGGAAGTGTACTCGAACGGAGTTTTGGGTCCACCACGATGTTGATGTGATCGCGATCAGGGAAGCGGACGATGTTGACGACTAGCTTCACCACCGGTGCTCTATTCCAGACTGGTATTTTTCAAAGATCATTTCTTTCTCAGGAATTGACGCGGCTTTCCTTTGATGAAATCCTGGTTGGAGTTGTGGGACGAACACACGTGCTGCTGCTTTCGCACCCGAGGTTGCGGTAATGCCAGCTGCTGTGTACATCTTTTTGTGGTCATCATGTTGAAGCCATCGGTAACGCAGAAAATCTTCCCAGTCCTGGACCTCAGAGGGATTCGAGAAGTGAGAATGTTGTCCTGGAACGTCCATCTCTCAGAACTTGTGTGTCTTTGCTTTGGATCGTGAATCTTCTAGAACGACATCGCGATGCTCTCCGCTGTTGCTGCCGGATAAGCTCAATGACGAAGATTATTATAGGGGCACCGCACAGAAATGGCGCTCTATTGAGAAACTCCTTTTGCAGTGCAAATTGAGCGACCTCGGGGCCGAGTTTAAAAAGTTAGGCCACATTTTCAGTGAAAAATTACTTGTATCTGAATTTCTGATTCACGCGCGACTACTCTACTGCATTCTTAATTTTTTCAAAAGAGTCATAGTTGAAATTGTAGGAATTCTGAATATTTACAAAACCTACAAACCAGAATGAACCAAGAGAGCAAGTACGTTTGAAAAGAAACTCACTTTAATATGAAAACTCTACCAGAAAAGTCTCTACCAGCATTTCAAAATTGACTACCTAAACTGAATTCCTATAAAAAGCAGGCAAAAAGATTCTCCCCGGCCGGGAATTGAACCCGGGTCTCGCATGTGACAGACGCGGATACTCACCACTATACTACCGAGGACACGGGAGTTGAACGGCCGGCGTCCAGTAATAAGGCGGCTTTTTCCACTGTCAATAAATTTGAAGAATGCACAAAAAAGTGGCATTTTGTAAGGCTATTGTTATTTCTAAGGGAACTAGAGCTTCCGAATACTGGCCAGTGGTCCTAATACCTTCTGCAAACTGTCTTTTTCTAGTTTTCAATTATTTGGACTGTTACGAATACCTCTAACGACCGCCAGTGAAAAACATTCAAATGGGTCGACATTGTAGGCGTGATTAAATAAAATTGCATAGGGCCTACAATGAAAAGACAAAAAACCAATAACATTTGGCCACCGCACATGCCTTCTTTTATGTTTTCCCCCTGGCCGATTAATCTGTTTATCACCGATAATTGGACTGTTCTTTCTACCTTTCCTCCACACGGGACATCGTAAAAATTGTGAAGTGGGGACTTTGGAGCGGTGAAACCATCTCATAAAGCTATCATAACCTTGAAAAAAGGACGAATGCTGACGTGTCCCGTTCTATTTAAAAGGGGAAGAAAGGAACCAGACATTCCTTATTCCGACGTTTTCATTTCTCACCAACGTACTAATCAGTTTTCAGTGAAATGGGTGCCAAACTGAAGAGTCACAAGAAATACACAAAGCTACAGCAGCGTCAAGCAAAACCGCTCAGACCAATTGTTGCCGGTCAGGATAGCTGGGAAGAACCACCGCCGAGACCGCCAACCCGTCGATGGTAAGTGGAATAGCAGTCACATCAACTATAACTAATCATTTTCAGTATGAACTACCCCGAATACAATGGAAATATAATGGAAAGTGTGAAGAATAAGCAGTGAACATGATTCTCACAATTTTTCCATCAATGAACGACTCGAGAAGTTTCACACAACTCTTTTGTAACTTTTTTTCACTATCATTGCCGTTTCTAATCAAGATGTGTTCTTCTAAGTTGAACTACATTATCTATGTAATCGTTGAAATCGAGTAATTTTCAGTTTGTTTCTCGTGATGATTTTATGAATTTTCACAGAACAGTCATCCTTTTTGTTTCATCATCATCAGCAAAAAAACAATGACAAATCATTATGAACGGCATCGCCACCTCTCATTTCCATTCTTTCTTTCATCGCAGTTCTCTTCGTGCAGCACTTTCGATCTCTCCGGAGTCTTTGTCAAAACCATGCCTCTGATCGCTAAGATTCTGAAAAAACTGAGAAAGCCAAAGAAGGTAGGTCTATTTTTTTCATGTCGCAACGTTTCTATTTATATTATGTACTTTCAGGACCCGTCAACCATTTGGAATCATCAACAAACATTTCCTGATAAAAGATCCAGGAAATCCACTGTGAAAACAATTAACATTGCAAAGCCTACTCTTCACCGTCAACGTCGATTCATTGGATGTCATCATTATTTCATCCGCAGCAGAAATGTGAACAATGAGAACATGTGGAGCCACCAAGTACGAGAAGACAGTACCACTACGTCAACTTCCGTCAAATCGATGATCGGAAAGAAGACTCTCAGCCGCCAACAAAGATTGCTTCCCTCCAAAACAACCTTTTAATATTTTTCAACTATTGTCCCATTTTGATTGTAACTGCAAATAACCAGACTTGCAACGGGCCGGGCCGGGCCGGGCCGGGCCGGGCCGGGCCGGGCCGGGAGGATGCACCTAAAAATTCAAAGCGAACTAGAACTTCGAAACGAACATAATTTTATAGACTTAAAATTTTATAGACTTAAAAAGGCAATGTTATAGCATAAAAACCTGTTAAAAAATAGAAATTGCTGTTTAAAGTCGCAAAATTTTCACAAAAATTACGAAAAATTTTTCAAGAGTGGGCGGAGCCGGGCCGACCGGGCCGGGCCGGCCCGGGATTTGGCAAGTCTGCAAATAACCACCATAACTCGTGAATGGATACAGATATCAAAAAGCGTTTTTCGTTTGAGAGACCGGGGTTTGAGTCCGGGTTGAAGTACGAATAAAACCAACATTTCAACTTTGCCACGTCATAACATGCGTTCAACTGAGGCGGACGCACAATCTCTCTCCCTCTCTCCCTCTCTCGTTAGTGTAGAATGCGAAGAAGCAGCGCCTGGTGGCATATATTTCTTTCCCGATTGTTCAAAATCACGATATTTGTTTCAAATTTGGTTTCTTTCCTATGGCTGTGTCGCGAAGCACTATCGATAGAGAAGACTATACTTTTCTCGTGCCCATTCCCACGTTTAACTATTCTCATTTTCATTGGATTGACCCTTCCTCACTGATTTGATTAGAATTGTCCAGCACTCCCTGTTTACTCATTCTTCCCTCTTTCTCTCCCGTTTCAATTCAACTGCCACATCATTTTATGACTATTGACGGTTTCTTTGTTTAATAATGTCATCTGAAATGGAATAGTGGCTATTCTCGTAGATTCCACTGTTGGCTTCCTGATACCGGTTCGTGATTACGGCTATAAGCGTAAGCGTCCGAGAACGAAATTAACTGCAGAAGAGTCTGATCTCGTAGAGACGGTGGTCGGGTTTTCACGTATGTAGCGACATTGACGGAGTTTATAGGTGCTTATACACGTACGTCATTATGAAAGAAGCACTCCGCTCGGAGATTGTCACTATTCCCGGAATCTGTGAAGACGACTAAGGTGCTCTCTCCCCAAATCAGTTTCATTTTTTGAATTGACGTCTCAGGAAACAAAACCAGTTTTTTTACGGAGATCTTTCTCGCTCGTCCCCTTTTTGCTTGTATTCACTTGGTGTGTAAATGCGTCTTGCGAACTGTTCAAGTTCACAAAAGAATATAAAGCGTGTGAGTCGGCTTGTCGCGAAGAGACAGTCAAAAGAAATGGATAGGAAATACGGCTCGTCGTCATCTTTTATGAGCCGACATTGGTTTGCATTTGAATAGGGTATAATATCGCGTTTTTTGTAGGCACAAGGGGAGAGAGCGGAGAAGATGAACCCGTAAATACAATGATTTGGGATCATTTGCGTTTTTACGGATCCGCTAAAAAAAATTACGCCCAGCCCTGACGGTTATCCCAAACAGTGAGCCACTCCGACAAGGTCGGATCTGCCCTGGCGGAAAGCCACGCCCACGAAGGTATATAAGGTTGTCGAAACATGACATTTGCACCATCTTGTACGGTCTTGAGAGAGCCCTGAAAAAGGCTCGGAAGGTTGTCCTGAAAAGGATTAGCTTATCTGATAAGGCCTGAGAGAGCCCGGAAAAAGGCTCGGAAGGTTATCCTGAAAAGGATTATCTTAGGAGACCGTCTGGTAGGGTCTATAAACTCCACATGGGAGTGGAAACATTTTTCGACTTTTGGTATAAGTTGTACACTTCAATCAAGTCGTACAACTTTTTCAAAGGTAGAAAGATATTCCCTCCCCCATTTTTTCTGGATTTCACGCTGATGCTGTTGCTGCCAAGTGTAAGTTTTTCTTTGTTAAATTCTAAATAACTATGTACTTTTTCAGTCATGTTTAAAGATGGCAAGTCAATTCCCGGATTGGATTTCGGATGCAGGGGCTAAATTCCGGTAATTTTCATAATTTTTTCGTAGCATGTTGTCTACAGTATCCAGGTATTTTTTCCGAACGCTGTAGATTGTTTGCTCTCGCCCTGCGGGGTCGTTAATTCTAACCACGCCCACTAACACGCTAACCAAAAGGGTGTCGCGACCAGTCGAGCGGGGCTCTCTCTCTCTATCTCTCTTCCTTTTCTTTTTCCCGTTCTTTTTATGCCCTTCTTTGTTCACATCTTCCTGTCCTTTTCATCCATTCTTTCTGTTGTTTCCTCAAAACTGTTCAGTAACTCCAATTTTACAGGTAAAATACCGTGACAAGAATCAATTATGAGCCGGCCAGCGACTCCTATGATTGACGAAATCGCGCCCGGCGAGTCGGACTCTACGGAAGACGGAGAGGTATTCTTTTTTCCAAATTTACAGAACAGAAAATAATCGCAATCTAATTGACACTGTAGATTCGAAAATGCATTTTTGCACAACTTTCAACGCATGAAATCAGTAAAAATCGCAACTGAGAGAAATTCCAACTATTTTACAGCCTTCCCCAGGCAATATGACTGCTGGAAATGGTGGCAACGGTGGCGACGGAATGGTTGGCGGCCGCGGTGGCGACGGTGGCCACGGCTTCAACTCCGCTCGCTACACGCGCACCGTGAACGGAGGCTACGGCGGCCACGGAGGCGACGGAAGACTGCATGGCGGCCGAGGTGGTCGAGGCGGCGACGGCTGCACCCTCGGAAATGGGGGCCACGGCGGGGACGGCGGCCGAGGAAACCACGGCAACGGGGGACACGGCGGACGCGGCGGCGATGGTGGAAAGTACGGCTGTGGAGGAGATGGAGGACATGGGGGCGATTGCGGCAAAGAAGAATTTCGCGGAGGAGACGGAGGTGACGGGGGAGACAGCGGAAGTGGAAAAAAAGGAGGACGCGGTAAACGTGGCACGCCCGGAGGAGAAGGTGGAGCCGGAGGCAGCGGAGGATGTGATGAGGATGCCGTCGACAAGAAACCCAGCGGAAGCCAGGACCGCAAACGCCCTCATTCGTAGTTAATGGTTTACTGTTAACTCATTACTTTCGGCATTGTTTTTCATTGTGAATGATGAGTTTTCAAATAAACCAGCAAGTTGAGCAGTTAAAGGAGTCAAAGCATTTGAAAAACCTGAAAAGTTGGAAGAATTGGATAAGTCGGAGTAGTTGAATGTCGGGAGAGTCAAATGACTGGGAAAAGTCCGCAGAAGTAGAGGAGTAGTGTCATACAAAATTGTCGGATCTAGTCCGAGTGGTACGAGCCTGAATAAAAAGGTTCTGATACACCTGTTAGAAATTTGAGAATAAGCTCCTGACTCGCCTGAGTAAACGAATAAGGTCCTCAATGGCCAAGATAACACCTGCATATTTAAAAAAGACAAAAAGAACAAAATTGTTTATAAATTGAGATGAAAAAGGCAAAAGCTTACAACATCCAGGATTCCCAGGCCGTCTCCGATCCAAGTACTAACTGGACTCAACGTTGCGGAACTTGCCAGGTCTAATTTTGGAAAGTCTCCTTTAGGGGAGACAAAATAAATAACGCTCAATGAAATTCGATGCGTATTGATGCAGTCATGCTCTGCGCAAGATATGTGTGATGACAATTCAGCAGTGTGCTGGTTGTCATCATTTCGTTGTATCTTAGTCAAAACAGCCTCTATTAGACCCTAATATTTTGGCGGCGATTTATTGTCCTAGGTCTTTGTCGACGAGATTCTCGCCGTCCACGTTTTCCGGTTAGTTTTACTTGAACGTGCTCCGGTTACATTAGAATACGATGATTCTCCGCCAATTTCCCGACAAAAAAATCCGCTTAAACGGACTTTCGCCTAAACTGTTGAAAAAACGTGCGGAAAATTACATATCGGCTTCAACAAATGTTCTATTTTTGACTCGCAAATAATTTTTTTTAGGCTGAGCGTATGCCGGCTAAGCCATTGGTTACATCATTTCGCAAAAAGATTCAGCCGACGCGCCATCTTCGACGGCCACTCCGAACGGGTTAGTTTCAGAAGAAAACACAAATCTCCAGGCTGTAAAAACTCGGTTTTCACGTGATAAATAGAGATTCTAGAGAACTTTCGCTAGTAGTTGTCACCTCCATCACCGTCGCCACCCGCAAACCGACAGAACAGTGTATCGCTGCCCGTGTCGCTCCGAATCCCCTAAATGCTTCAAACTCCGTCGTTGATTGCGATGAATGGTGCTCTTCAGAAACCAGGTAGTGCATGGAGTCGATTACAACAAGTATCGGTCTATCTGTAAGAATTTTACACCGGAAACGCTTTCTTTTCCAGTATTCTACTGATGGTTTTTGCGTCAGTTTGCATTATTGTATGCATGAAGTTACTTGCTAAATAATTTCATCTCAGAAACAATGTTCGGACGACGTGCGCGACGCTGTGAAAGCACACATCGGCGAGTTGGCAAAAGCGGGGAGAGTGATTCCAGAGAGACGAAGAGGAAGAAATCTGGTTATGGAAATCACGAGGTCCTTCCTCCCACGCTCGCGATTGTCCAAAATGGACGGATGTTGTCCGCAGCGTGTGAAACCATCAGGACTCCAAGTATCTAAGAAACGATGCTCAACACGGAAGACAAAAAGCTACGTGTTCGATACATGCGAACGATTCACGACGAAAATAGGGGAGAAGTAAACGAATGATTCAGTTGCAGAACGCCTCAAACTTGGGTAATTAAACCATTTATGTAAAAAGATAAATTATATAAGAATAACGTGAGATTAACAATAAACGGAGGCGACCGGCAGTGCCGGCCGCAAAACGGGAGAAGGGGAGAAACGAAGTGGACGAGAAGCGAGGGAGCGGGCCTCTTATATATAGGCGCCGCCCCCTCCTACTATTAAACTAACCACTTATGATTATTGTATTAAACCGCAAGGGGATTAAACAAAACTAATATTAATATTAAAAAGTGCTCGAGCACAAGAAGAGATGCATCCCACTGAAAGTTATGATCAAAGAGGAAAACCATGTACATACGATGGGTATTGCAACGACGTTCTGGACTCCCTCTCCCGCTTCCATTCGTCCCGTCTTTTATATTATTCTCTCCCTCATGAAACCTTTCTTGTATGTTCTATTATAATGTGAGACCCCCCCCCCTTTCAGTCTCTACTCTGGAAATCACTTTCAGGGCCATATTCTCAAGAAAATACCCATTTTCAAAGACAACGTATTCTTTGTTCGATGATACAAATCAACAACATTATACAAAAGTAGAGGAATAATTACTTTTTGACCAAGTCCGACTGGGGACCTTTGTTTTCTTGAGGGGACACTTCTTTTTTGTAAGGGTATCTTGGGTTCTATGATCAAAATACCAAAGAAAAACATGTTTTTTCACCCATGTTTCGGACTCACACAATAGTTCTACGAATTTGAAGGAATGGCCTTCAAAACCGAATGACATTGCGTTTTCTTTCTTCCTCGATTCCTCCAACCCTTCACAAACGACCTCAACCAAAAGAATCGTTTTCGCAACCTTATTCAAAGGGTGGTCTTTTGTCGGACGCTCCTCTTATCTTTCAAACATCTGTGTATCCAGAATTGCAACGTTATTTTCCTCACTCCATTTTATTGGGTTTTGACTCTCTCAATTTTCAATAGTATTTACAAGTTTACACAAAACGCGTACTCGCCGCGAGTAATCCTCGCAACGTCTGTCATTCTGTTTACCTCTGGCTGGCATTGCAAGCCCACCCCGTCTCCCCCCTATTTTCTTTAATTTTTTCAACTATTTTAATGGATTTTTCGGAGTTTTTTTGACGTTAAATGGTGAGTGTGAAATAAGATTAATTAAATGTGAAAAGTTTATGTTTCAGCTGTAAAGTGCGAGCAAAATAATGAGGAAAGATAGGAACGACCTTCGAAAAGGATTGCTGTTTCCCTTTAAAGGTTTACAGTAAGTTCATGAACCGTTTATTGAAATAATTATTTGTTTTTAGGGTTTTTAGTTACAAGGAAAAATTTAATTAAGCAATTTAATTCTCACCTTCAAAGGTTTACAGTAAGTTCGTGAACAGTCTGTCAAAGTGAAATAATTTGTTTTTAGGGTCTTTAGTTACAAGGAAAAATTTTATGCAGCAATTTAGTTCTCACCTTCAAAGGTTTACAGTAAGTTTGTGAATAGTCTGTCAAAGTGAAATAATTTGTTTTTAGGGTTTTTAGTTACAAGGAAAAAGTTAATTTGATTATTGAAGTGAGTTTATTTTCATTTTCATAATATTTCAAATAACGTTCATTTATATTTTCAGAGTCAATATCGAATGGAAGGATAAATTGAAAAATTAATAATTTGCATGTGTTTAGAAATGTATTTTGTGGATGAATAAATAATGAATGAAGAAAGTTTGAAAAATAATGAATTGAGAAGAATACTTTTGTAGTTGCGGTCGGATTTCTTGGACAGCGTGGGTGGGCTGGGCAAATTTCGGCCCAGGATTTTCGAAGGCTTTTTAACCAACTTGCCATTATCAGATCGGACCCAAACTTTGCAGGCTTCTTGGCCTTGGATTGAAGTATATTGGGACCAAGTTTCAGACGGAGACACTTCAATCCAAGTCCAAAACGCCTGCAAAATTAGGACCCGATCGAATCATTTCAAGTGGTTCAAAGGTACATGCCTCAAAAAGCTTTTGAAGAGCTGCCCAGCTCTGACAGACTGGGTGGGGTGAGTATATTGAAAGTTTCTGAGCATTGTGGACATTGAAATGAAAAACCGATTGAAACGAGGAAAGAAGGGCGGGGGCGGAAAGAAATTGAATGATAAGAATTGCACACAAGAATTAGAGTTGCTCAAGTTGACGGGCGCGGAGGACAAGTAGGTCCCAAATGTTGTAGTTCAAGTTCAAATTCTTCCGGTACTTGGTTCGCGACTTGAGTTTGCGGAGTTTGTAGACGTCCTCGCCGCAGAAATTGTGCTCGCGGAGGGTATGCATAGCCTCAACGGCTCCGTTCCCAACGAAGAACGTCGCCGCCCACTGGATGGTGTGCTCGACCTACAAACTGTCCGATTGAAGTCATATTAAGTTTAGTGACTTACGGTCCACTTGCGACAATCCTTAGAGGCACCTTTCGGAATCAAGACAGCCACGTCCGGAGGGAGCTGAAAACAAACATTGTGCTTGCTGTGCTAGATATAAATATACTTACCGAAGGCCCATTCACCTGTCTTGGCTTGCTCACGTAGTATCGGATATAGGTCTTAGCAGCGAATGGAAGCATCAAAGCAAACTTCGGATGTACTGGATCGGTACAGAACTGAACCAACTCCGGACGTGCGCTCCCTTGACAATAATCCTCCGATGCGGTGTTCAAGAATCCCGCCGGTCGAAACACTGGCGTGAAAAATGGTGGCGCCGTTAGCACACATGGCACTCCAGGATTTTTCGACGGCTCCTGACGACGGGTGCTGATCGGCTTAGTATCTGGAGCGCCGTAAAGATGCTCGTCCGCGTCGATTGGTTCGGTCTTCACTTCTTCAGTCTTGATAAGTTTCGCCAGTCTTCCTCTACCACGACGAACGTTTACACCAGAACCAGGCGATGGAGCGGGTGTTTCACTTGGCGACATTGGCTCCGTCTTTATCTCCAATTCTTCCGAGTTCATAATCTTTTTTGCATTATTACGCTTGCGCGACTGCCGCTTCACAAAGATCGGAGCATGGAGAAAAATATCCTCTTCGGTATCAACACATTCAGCGTTTTGTTGCGGCGCGGCATCCACATGTTGAATTTTAGCCAAGTCGGTAGTGCCAATTACACTCGGAACTGCAGGTTGAATTTCCTCGGCTGGATTTGCTTGAATTTCTTCAAGTTGTGGAGGAAGCTCGTCGTCCGAGTTTGTCTCTTGAACAGCTGGTTGAATGTTTCCGTGTTGGAAGTACGGGCCAGTATCATCAACGTCGATGAACTCGTCTTCATCGTCAACCTTCTGTTGAACTTGCTGTGTTTCCTCAGTGTGATTGCGCGCTCTGCCTTGATCAACACAGTCTTGTTGGAGCGGAGCTGTTGGAGCCTGCTCGGATGTTGAAACTTCAGGAAACAAAGTCGGTGGCCGATCATCATCAGTTGACTCGGAACTCTTACTTCGCGCCAACTGAAGAAAACGCGTTTGTATCAAGACAATTAAAGGAAAGCGTACCTCGGCGCGACGCTCTTGCTCTCTTGTGTGTGCTTCTTGTTCTCTGCGCGAGTGCATGACATACGTAGAAAAGTTCGGACGATCGAATTTGCGTTGAACTGTCCTCATCATGATGATGAAAGCCTTGATCTGAAAAAAAGAATAGTTTTAACCGTAATTTCCTTATTTCGTTAATTCAAACTCACTGTTCCGAATAAAATGTCGTGTTCGTCGGAAAATGCTTCTATCTCTGCATCTGTCGGATTGTCTTTATTCGCGTAAAACTCTTTTATCTTGTTCTTCTTTTCTGCGGTGATAGGATCATCTTCTTCACGAATCAAACGTCGAGCTTCTAATTCGGTAATGATGCGATAGGCAACTTCTCGCGTGTTCATTTTTACCTGGAAAAAAGGGACATTTCGATTGAGAAGAGACTAAACGAGCGGAAGACAGTAATTGGTGCAACGGAAGAACAATAGTTCACACGATTTTCTGTAGTTCAGCAGTTCATGTAGCATAGCAGCATGTATGACGACCTCTTTTCCAATTAAATTATTTCTAACGTGTTCAGAATTCTGCGGTGCATCTTCAGAGCTATCAACCGCTTTAAAATATCGAAAGCAGAGTGAGATTAACGTACTGAAAATGCATTCGAATCTAGGGCACTGAAAAAAAGCAAGGTAGACGAGAAAAGCGTCAGCACTTGTCGGAGGTGCGCCTTCCTTCCCACTCATCTGATGACGCGTTGGTGAGAACAAGTGAGAAGAAGAGAAACGCAGACGCGTCAGTCGTTGAGTGTGGTGAGCGGCCTCGTGAGCGTGTCCCCAACGGTTATTCTCTGCGTCTCATACGCTCTATCTGTCAGGAAAATTGAGGAAGAGCGAGCGACGGGCAACGGAGAAGAAGAGAGCGGCGGGCAACAGGCGCACGGAGAGGAGAAATTGTGATGTAACAGCAACGGGGGAAGCAGTCGCGATGTGTAAACCTGCGGAGGAGAAGAGGAAAGAGCGACGGGCAACCGAGACGGAGAGAGTGGCGCGTCAGTCGTTGTGTGCGCGTGAGTGTGGTGAGCGGCCTCGTGAGCGTTGATTGATTGTGAGTGTGTCCCCAGCAGTTATTCTCTGCGTTTCATACTCTCTAACTGTCAGGGCAACGGAGAAGAAGAGAGCGGCGGGCAACGGGCGCACGGAGAGGAGAAATTGTGATGAAACAGAAACGAGGGAAGCAGTCGCGATGTGCAAATGCCATCAATAAGACGGGTTATCGATGGAAAAAGCGATGGATCGAAGATTTGGAATTTTTGCTTAACAATACCAAAAACTAAGTGTTTACGGAGATAAACTCATTCGGCACTTAAAAGAGCTAGCTTGTCGACTTAGAAACCCTACAAAGAGAGCAACCAAAAGACTCAGAAACTTGCCGTTTGAAATAAATGTAATTTTGTCACTGATAAGGGTTTCATACGAGATGAATTTGATTTCCTTTCGTTGCTGAAAGTTGTAGTGGCAACATTCTGTCCCAAATCAAATTCTCAATTAATCCCTGAACGGTACCGGTGATAACGATAATAGTGGGTAATGACGATTTCGCCCCAGTTTTTCCCTACGCCGTTTTTGTTCCACCCTAACCTTGATCTTAGGGACCACATCCGACCACATTCAGCACGATCACAACAACAAGGAGCAGGACCACAACCAGCAAAGGCCACAATCAACAAGGATCGCTCTGCACCCCCAGGGTTCGAGAGGGCCTACTCAAACTTTGTCTGTTTCAGACTCAAAGTGTCTAGCTCTTTCCAAAAGCCTCCAAAGAATCATCGTCACAGCCGAACTGGAATACGTTTATAGGCTCTAGAGGGGCACACTATGTTTCCGGTTGCCGAATATTGCAGTAGTGGCACAGCACCCACTAATAACGATAAAAGCGGTGATTTCTCATCTTGGCGCTTTAAGCTTCTGCGTCTCCTACACTTAAAAGTGTAGACTCCTTATCAACTGAAAAGTCACCATACGCCGCAGCACGCGATTTCCTTTTCGTCGCTACGAATCCAATTTCCGAAGCAGATTATACGCTGAGTAGGCACCCAGAATTCCTGAAAAGCCTGTCGAGCAAGAAAAGAAAAATATCACAAAACATCAAATTCTCTCCAAAACAAAACTTCATTCACGGAATAGACAAAAAATACATTTAAAAAAAAAGCGAAACTCATAAGAAGCAAGAGGATTGTAGGGAACAGGGAAGAATGGGACAGTGTTTAGAGATTGTGATGTGTGGTGGCAAAGAATGAGCGAAAAACCACAAGGGGAAAAGAAAAAACCAGTGTTAAAAAACACAGAAGAAACGAGATGTGATTTCACAATTTGGGTTTAATTCAAAAGGGAAGAAGTGTGAAAAAGTGGAAAGACAATCGAAGAATGCTAAAGAGGAGATGTGAACTAGTAGATAATTGTCATACTAGCAGCGATGATTGGGACCGCAACGACAAGTTTTGTGGAGCGACCCAGAAACCCCTGCAAGCAAGACAAAGGTGTAGACCATCAACTGTATACGTTGAAACGATGAAAAGGGGAAAAACATGGTAAAAAGGGGAAATATCATCAGTTTTTTTGATCTCCAGTCCCTCGCCGATTGCAAACAATATATTTAACCGCCGTTTCTTGTAGGTCTAAAAGGTGTACACAAACGGAGAGAGGTCGGAGGGATGAAATTATGCTGTTTTTAAGAAACGTGAAGTAAAAACTGGGAAAACAGTAGCTGAAAACATTTTAGATCATTTGATTTTCATCAGCTTCCTGTAAACGGTTCTCAAGAATCCGGTTTCTTTCCTCTCGCACTTCTTCAAAGGCTTCTGCGATGCGCTGACGGTCTTCAACGGGAACGGACGGGTCGAAATTTTCCCAGTCGTTCTGCATGATCAGTTGGACAAAATCCTTTCCTTCTACACTGGCTTCCATGAAAGTCGCCAGTATCTCATGGTCTCTGCCGAAGATGGTACGCAGCCATTCAAGCACGTGTGCCGTCTGCAAATTCATTTTGTCATCGGAGACTGGGTACCAAACTAACCTTCCATCTGCGCCAGTGTAACTCCTGTCGGAAAGAGACATTGATCGGACCCTTAAAGTGATAGAACAACTACGTAATGTTTTTCTTATGTCTGAACACTCACTCGGAGGATTCCCGGTTCTGGTGGCCCATTAAGAATGGGCATTTGCTCTCTGAAACGATCGTATTCCTGCCTCAGGAACGCCTCCTCAAGTAAGTCCATTTCTCCTCCAGCTAGTCTTCTGACGTTCCATGGCAACGTCATCTGAAAACAAAAGTGTTTGGCGACCGAATTTGATAGTTTTCTAAAATACAAATCTGTTTTTTAGTTGCTAGAACCTACATCATTATCCTCGTCCACAATTTCAGCAGGATTGATCAACGGAATTTCATAATTTGCTCCACCGTCTCTACCAATCTTGAGGAGCTCCGCTGCCAAAACTAACGGCGTCACTGTTGTGTCCACACCTTGACCGATTAGATTTTCGGTGATTTGCCTGGCAGCAATAGAATACTTGTACGGAGGAAATTTGCGGAAGAAATCGCGACGGCTATTCCAGTTCACTGTTGCGTTGAACTGCAGCATTTGCAAAATTTGACCGTGATAAGCCATATCGATATCGAGATTGTGCTGTTCATGTCGCATCTCGAAGTCTATTGCTCGACTCGACGATCTGCTGTCTTGCTCCATACTTTCATAACTGTCGATACTGGCATTACTGTCATCACTGAAGATTCCGTCAAAATCGTCATGCTCAGCATTCTGGACATTCTCGTTATTCGCGTTATTTCTTTCATCTATATGATTGTTGGCATCGATGTTATTAGGCTGATTAGTTTCGACAAGACCAATTCCTACGAAATTGCGATAGGCCTCTCTTGTTCTGTTCTGCGGTGCGATTTCGTCATCTTCAGCGGAATCCGTTTCGAACATTCCACCGCTTTGGCTCAGTGAATCTTCATCACTTTTCGCGCGGTCCTGAAACAAAAACTGAAATCTACTTAAATCTACTGAAAGCTGCTGGATTGTAGAAATTCACCGTCTGGCTACGGAAAGCACTGACCTGTCCGATGTGGTAAAGATCTCGTAGTTCGCGCGCTTCTGTTTCAAGAGTTTCTTCTTGGCGAGCAAGTGTTTCATCGATTCCGGATTCCGACGCTCCCCCATTACTTAGGATTCTGTCCAAGCCGGCCAAATCTCTTGTCACTGTCTCATATAATTGCACCATTTCTTCCAGACTCTCCGGATCTACGGTAGAATGTTCGAGCTCAGAATCCGTGTCCACTATCTCATCCATGTAGCCAGGGAGGACAATTCCGATCAATTCCTGTGGAGCACGGAGGCCTGACTCTCGCCAAATGCTGAGTTTTTTCGAGTGTTCGTCATTAAAATTCTCCAGATTTTTGTTCATCTCATCGATAAATTGCTGCGTCGTAACTGTCTGAAAAATTAACAAAATGCAGAAAGAAAAGCACTGGGATGAAAAGCTCACCTCTCTGTTCGCTCTCATATCGGGTGTTCTTCTTCTAGCTGGCGTCGTTACGATCCTTCTTTGAGGGCAAGCATGTTGCCGCGGGTCACCACGGCGCAACATTGCCACCTAAAAAGAATTGATTGGAAAATTAGACGTTTCAAGGAAAAACGACAAAAGGACGGAATTTTCGGAGAAAATGCCACAGAAATTGTGAAAAACTGTCTTAACCTGAACTGAAAATCCATGTAACCCAATAATCTGGTTGCTCTTACAACGGAAAACGGAGAAATTCAGAAAACGGTGTCCCGATTGGAAGACGAGAGTGAGGTCATGCGCGAGAACGAGAGAAAGAAATTGTGAGCGAGGCACAACGACAGAGAAGGGAGACGCAGAGACAACATTCGCGGTTCCCCGTGGCGTCACCGAAGAAAATGCGCTGAATCGGTTAAAAACGGAGATAACGAAGAAAAACTGCGTAGAAGGGAAGTTTTTTCGTTACAAAACCAGATTTTCGGAGAAAAATCGGTTAAGTAGGAGGAATTGAGGACGGAAACTGATGAAAAATCCTTTTTCGCTGTTCGTGGCCTAAATTAGCAGTAGAGCGCACTTGCATCGTTCCGTTCTTATTTATGATGACGTGGACTTTGACGTAGTGAAAGAACATAAGAAGAACTCAGAAAAAACAGAAATGTACGAAATTGACGATAAGAGAACAAGGCTTGACTATCTCGAAGGCAGACTACATAAAATTGAGAAGCTCAGCAGATTGTCACATGTTAACCATACCAAGACACGGCTCAAAAATGTTTTCTTCTCCTCCCACGTTGTTCGTCGAAACACGTAATTCGTTTTTTGGAATACGACACTGCTTCATGACATGTCGTATTCTCCAACGGCCACCCTGATCATAATTCGTAGTCTTCATGCCCATTTCTGTTCGAGCCTAAACCCATAAAATGCTGTCCGCCGCAACATAACAGGACATTCTCACCGCATTCCGTCACATTTGGCAGGCCATTCTCGATCATGGCCAAACTTCTGCAAGATCTTATTTTTCTGACTCTTTTCGCTTCCATAGCCATTGCTTTCACCAACTGCAAAGGGAGTCAATGTGATATTGAAGACTACCGCTGTCACGAGACTCCTTGCATCAGCGAGGATCCGGTCACCGTGTGTGGGCCTCGCGCCCAGATTACGAAAGTTGAGGATGTCTACTGTTTCATGTCATCTGTCTACAAATGCTGTTACTACTAACATTTCCGAGATGATGTAATAAACGTTAAGCATGCCTTTGTTATGCATATTTTGTAAGACGTGTGAGATAATCCTAATGTCTTTCTCGCTATTCTCACGTTTGTACTTTACTGTCAAGTTTTTGGATACATCGGCCGGCGCAGGTTTTCCGAACGGCCCGAGCGCTCGTTTTCTGATCGCCTGCGATTCAAACGTGCATTTCTGTCCGTTCTCCAGAAAATACATAAAAATGGGAGAGGGGTGTTCCGTTTTTCTTCCATTTTTTATCGCTGATCGGAATAATAAAAAGATCAGCACCAAAAATTCGGATATAAAAGCGCTCTGCTCGGCCAGGAAATTCATTCGCATCCAGCCAGTCTTCCGGATTCGACTCTCTTCTCTCCAGGACAAAACAATCCGAAACATGATGATGTAAGTTATGTTCAAGCGTTCAGCATTTGAGAAAATGCAAAAAGTTCCATCACGAGAAAACCATTCAGCCCTCATATTAAAATTCTGAAATGTTGCTCTTGCAGGTTCGCTCCTCGCCTCATCTCGTCCGCCGGGACTTCATCTCCGATGCCAACGTCAGCTCAATCCGAGCCAAAACAGCCAGACACACCCAGACCTAAGTAAGGTTGGGTCTGTCTGGGGAGACAATTGATATAATCGCTCAATTTTTCCCCAGCAATAAATCATTTTAAAATCAAACCTGTTTTAATGTTTATTTGAAAAAACGCTTCTACATAAAAGTTCGCAGACATACGCACACGCGGATCTTCCTCTCTGTTTTCTTCAGTTTCTGAAAGAAATGAGTGAAATTATGCGGAAGGCAACAAAGATTGTTACCGTCCAACTTGTACTCGAGCAATGCGTTCATTCCCAGCATTTCAGGAGTCCTTGTTGAACCGCTTCAAACAGCAACGCACAATCAAACTGAACAGAACCTTCGATCAGGAGACGCGCGAGAGACATTCGTTCTATTCGCAAATGTCGGAGTACCAATTGGAGCGTGAATAGCGCCGTGAGCCTCTTGAGGAGAAGCAGGATGTCAAGACTGGATGTATTAGGTTGTTCGGAAAGTTCCAGTCATTTTTGGGTTCAGAAAAATTTATTGTGAAACAAGTCAAAGAGTTATCCGATTAATTAGACATATTGCCCATGTTTTTCGATGAGTGTCTGCCAACGTGTCACCAACTTGTGGATACCTTCCTTCCAGAACTCCTGCTGCTGGGAGTCGAAAAATGAAGCCAACTCGATTTTGATATCTTGTCTTGAGTTGAATTTTTTTCCACTGAGATGGCGTTGGAGGTGACTGAAGAGATGATATTCAGAGGATCCCTCTCAATCTCGCTTTTCAATGCTTCCAAGTCTAAAGATATCGGTCTTCCTGAACGTGGATGAACATCCATCGAAAATTCCCCTTTTTCGAATCGATGAAACCAGATGCTAATGGTAGTTCGAGTGGGTGCATCTTTGTTGTAAACCTCCGTGAAACGGCGATCAATGTCGGCAATTTTCAGGTCAGATAGAAATAGAAATAAGATTACATTTGGGAAATGTAAGTTGTTAGGGACGAAAACGTTCGGCATATCTCACTACTCGGGAACAGGAAAATGATATCCGTTGCTGTGTTGACACTTCAATACCCTACCAACATACTGAAAAAACGACAACTAACGTGCTTGCTTCCCGATAGAAAAAACAATCTTCAAAAACATAGTATGAAAAATGACTGGAACTTCCCGAACAACCTAATAGCAAGACAGTTGCGCAAGGCCAACTCTGAGATTCAGCATACACACAGATTTCAGCATGTTACCATACTTTTCCCCTGTATATTGGGTAAAAGTTACAGACAAATCGGACTATCGACTCTGTGTTGAATGCTTGCATTCGAAATCGAAAATCAAGACCGCAGGAATTTCAGCTTCAAGCGGACTTGCGGCATATTTCAAAGCAATCGACTCAATTACCGTTGGAGATTAGTGATAAGGACTCCGACAAAGGGCTCTGATGGGAAAGAACGATTGGGATTTCAAAACGTCGTGACACCGTGCCTAGAGGATTCAGAAAAAGAGTGATAAGGAATTGAAGGATTTTCGATTTCGAATGCAATCATTCAGCACAGAGTCGATAGTCCGATCGGTCTGTAACTTGGACCCAATATACAGGGGAAAAGTATGGTAACATGCTGAAATCTGTGTGTATGCTGAATCTCCGAGTTGAGCACGTCTATGTTATGCATGTTTTGTAAGACGTGCGAGATAATCCTACTATCTTTCTCGCTATTCTCGCGTTTGTACTTTACTGTTAGGTTTTTGGATACTGCGGCCGACACAGGTATTCCGAACGGCCCCCGCACTCGTTTTCTGATCGCCTGCGATGCAAACGTGCATTTCTGTCCGTTCTCCAGAAAATACATAAAAATGGGAGAGGGGTGTTCCGTTTTTTTCCATTTTTTATCGCTGATCGAAATAATAAAAAGATCAGCACCAAAAATTCGGATATAAAAGCGCTCCGCTCGGCCAGGAAATTCATTCGCATCCAACCAGTCTTCCGGATTCGACTCTCTTCTCTCCAGGACAAATCCGAAACATCATGTTGTAAGTTATTTTCCAGCTTTCAGCATTAGAGAAAATGAAAAGAGTTCCATCACGAGAAAACCATTCAGCCCTCATATTAAAATTCTGAAATGTTGCTATTGCAGGTTCGCTCCTCGCCTCATCTCGTCCGCCGGGACTTATTCTCCGATGCCAACCTCAGCGCAATCCGAGCCAAAGCAGCCAGACACACCCAGACCTAAGTAATGTTGGGTCTGTCTGGGGAGACAATTGATAGAATCGCTCAATTATTTCCCCTGCAATAAATCATTTAAAAATCAAACCTGTTTTAGTGTTCATTTGAACAAAAACGTCTAAAAGTTCGCAGACATATGAATCGGGTCTATTACGTCGGCCGCCACCTCTGAAAACCTGGCAGTGTGCACAAAGAAGTGACCGTCCGTCAGGCTTTTGCGATTTCAGAGGATCCCATCGCTTCCGTATGGGATCCAAGTATGTTCGCTGCTTGAGTATTATCTTTAGACGCGGGGTTTTTATTTTTCCGGTTCGCTTTCTGGAATTATATTTGTTTTATAGTTTAGTTTAGGTAGTAATGATTTTCTGATACCTCTGTAATCGCTTCGCAAATATCTATCATCATTTTCAGGAAAACCTTGCACACATCCTCCATGCTGCTCGACGAGACCACATTTGCCGGAGTCATTGCGTCGGGAATGCATTTTTCGGCAGTCAACTTTTCTTCGAATTCGTTATCCTATTTGAACCTCTTGCTGTCGGCTACATTGTTGACAACATCATTTTCCAGTGTCTCTTAATGACTTCCCACGATTCTGGACAGTGTTCCAGATATCGTTTGCTGGCGTCGAAGAACTGAAATTGTATTTTTGTTAAAATCAGGACTTCATAAAGCATTTACGTTGTACGGAGATTCTGTTGGCTTTCTGGTTCCAGTTCGGCTGATCTTGCCATGTCTGCGCTTTCGGTACATAAGGATGTACGGTACTTTTTTGGCTACTCGCGTAACATCATGTCGAGAAACATTCAGATCGTCGAACTTATACCTGGAAAATGATAATAAAAATGTGCTTTGTCTTAGCGCTACTAGACGTTTTGCCACCGCAACAAAGCCTGTCAAATGATCTCGCTCAACCCATTTTGGTTGTAAATTGTCCTTCTAATAATGAATAGGCACAGATCACTTGTAGGAGGTACTGTGCAAAGAACTGGACATTGAACGGCAGAAGCACGTCGAACGTCTCGATATCCTTTCCGATGCGGTTCAAAATCCGTCCGAGTGGTGTCGTGCCGAAAAAAACCATTGAAACACGGAATAGATTGCGCATCAGTGGGGCGTGCAGGTTTCTCGAAGCCGACTGTAGAGCAGGGACAGCATTCCGATGAAGAGAAGGATAACTGAAAAAAAAGAATAACGTTCTGAGGACGCACGTGGCGGGAAAACTCACTTTCAGAGAATCCGAGGCCAGCGTACACTCTTAGACGGACTCCAATACTGTTTCCAGTGGCGTTGGTTCCAGCGCGAGAGGATCCAGAAAGTCGTTTGATCAATCCGTCAGCCAGAAGCTCCTTACCATCATTCCAAACACAAAAATGACGGCGATAGACATTCCCATGGCTCCAAAGTACTTCTGGTAGGTATCCATCTTGACGCGTCCAGTCTCGATACGCTCGGTTCCTGTGACTTGGCGAGACGTTGTGTAAACCGACACAATCAATGAGGCGGTGGATTTAGTGGTTGAGAGACAGTGGCGCTGCACTCCGTAGTTGTCCGTGTTCTGATCGTGGAGCAACAGACTACTGTCGTTTGACGAGCTGCGGCGGCTGGACGTGTTTGAGACATTGGAATCAGCGCGACGACGGTTGTGGTTTTCCTTGAACTCTGAAACAATCAAAGTGTGCTTAAAAATTGCAGAATTTTAATGTAAACATCGAAAAAATGAGTAAGATCAATGTGGCCCGTTTGAAATTGGCGGGGGAGTCACGGTTACTGACGCACTTATGGATCGGCTGACACATTCTGCGCACAGCTGTTTGAACCACCCCTCGCAAGATTACGACGAGAACTCAGAATTCTAAATGAGAACAATAAAAACTCTGATGGAAGAGTGACTCGAGAAAAAAAACAATGTAGAACTCGAAACTATAGCTTCTGCCTGAAACTTTTCTTGAATGCATGCAGATGCAGGCTCTGCCGTGGCGGTTGGCGATCTGCTCCATTCTGAAACCATTACTTTCTGGTTATTTCGTGAAAGATCTCAACTGACGCGGCTTAGGAGATTGAGGCGATTTTTCTGTTGAAGGCAAACGCGATTCTTATGAATTTGAGGAACTCCTTGCAGGTCATCTCCTCCTCCATGTTTGTCACGCCGTAGAACCCTTGGAAAATACTGAATTCCGCAATCCGCAAGCTGAAATTTCGTCAAATTTGACAGCGTCTCGGTGCCGTCGCCCTTCAGAATGTTCAGATAGTACATGATAAGCAGTTCGAGGTTGCGGAATCTCGAGATGCACGTGACGTCGGAGACCCACGTGCTCGAAATGTCCAGGAATCTGAGTTGGGAGAGACTGGCGACGATCTGAGGCAGCGGGACGTGTGGTAGAGCGCGGTGTCCAGCACTTCGGCTATTTGAATTTTGTATCTGAAAATTTCGTGTTGAATAGTGCTAGGACAAGATGTCTCGAGGTCCGAGAGAACTCACTTGTCGATGTGCTTCTGCGGTTTTCTCGGCACACGCGGATCTTCGTCTCTGTTTTCTTCAGTTTCTGAAAGAAATGAGTGAAATAATGCGGAAAGCAACAAAGATTGTTACCGTCCAACTTGTACTCGAGCAATGCGTTCATTCCCAGCGTTTCAAGAGTCGAGTGCAGCTCAAAATAGGCTAGCTGATGGCACACAATATCACTTCTGAGCTGAGCCTGCTGAATGCTTTCCCGAAGCAGTTGACGGGCAGTCTTGCTATAAATAACATGGTTCGAAGGTGCTACGCTCACACAAAAACTCACTAATCACAAAATTTTTTGCTGACTCTGGAGAATCGGAGAATTGGGTACCGCCAGGCGAAATGAGTGGGCGACCTGCACCCCATTTTCGTTGAGCTTCTGGTTGCCCTGATCTTACCGCTGGAAATGCTTCGCAATAGAAGAAGCAAATCTGCGAATAGAACGGAAAGCGAAAGGGGGTGGAAGGGCGAAAAAGAAATGTCTGCAATCGATATCGATCAGCGACGGGTCTGGAAAGTCCGTCTGCCCAAAAAACCAGCAGAATGAGACTATCCGACCGTCCACTGGGTCGGTTGGCCTGGAAGAATGACGATATCTGCCCAGCACCCTTTTTATAACCCCCCTATCTCTACTGTCTGAAACCCGAAGGTGGAAATATGAAGCTGGTGGGCACTGAATGCATTGACTCTGCATGGCAAAAAGATGTGTCGGACTCGGTATTGATTCGATTCATATGTCTGCGAACTTTTAGACGTTTTTCTTCAAATAAACACTAAAACAGGTTTGATTTTTAAATGATTTATTGTTGGGGAAAAATTGAGCGATTCTATCAATTGTCTCCCCAGACAGACCCAACATTACTTAGGTCTGGGTGTGTCTGGCTGTTTTGGCTCGGATTGCGCTGAGGTTGGCATCGGGGAAGAAGTCCCGGCGGACGAGATGAGGCGAGGAGCGAACCTGCAATAGCAACATTTTAGAATTTTGATATTAGGGCTGAATGGTTTTCTCGTGATGGAACTCTTTGCATTTTCTCTAATGCTGAAAACTTGAAAATAACTTACATCATGACGTTTCGGATTTGTCCTGGAGAGAAGAGAGTCGAATCCGGAAGACTGGTTGGATGCGAATGAATTTCCTGGCCGAGCGGAGCGCTTTTATATCCGAATTTTTGGTGCTGATCTTTTTATTATTTCGATCAGCGATAAAAAATGGAGGAAAAACGGAACACCCCTCTCCCATTTTTATGTATTTTCTGGAGAACGGATAGAAATGCACGTTTGCATCGCAGGTGATCAGAAAACAAGCGCGGGGGCCGTTCGGAATACCTGCGTCAGCCGCCGTATCCAAAAACCTGACAGTAAAGTACAAACGTGAGAATAGCGAGAAAGAGATTAGGATTATCTCGCACGTCTTACAAAACATGCATAACATAGACATGCTCAACTCAGAGATTCAGCATTTACACAGATTTCAGCATTTCAACTTCAAGCGGATTTGCGGCAAATTTCAAAGCAATCGACTCAATTACCGGGGGAGATTAGTGATAAGGACTCCGACAAAGGACTCTGATGGGAAAGTACGATTTGTATTTCGAAACGTCATGGCACGGTGCCAAGAGGATTCGAAAAAAGAGTTATAAGGAATTGAAGGATTTGCGATTTCAAATAGAAGCATTTAACACAGAGTCGATAGTTCGATCGACCTGTAACTTGGACCCAATATACAGGGGAAAAGTATGCAAACATCGTGTAAATGCTGAATCTCCGAGTTGAGCATGTCTATGTTATGCATTTTTGTAAGACGTGCGAGATAATTCTAATCTCTTTCTTGCTATTCTCACGTTTGTATTTTACTGTCAGGTTTTTGTATACGGCGGCCGACGCAGGTATTCCGAACGGCCCAAGCGATCGTTTTCTGATCACCTGCGATGCAAACGTGCATTTCTGTCCGTTCTCCAGAAAATACATAAAAACGGGAGAGGGGTGTTCCGTTTTTTTTCCATTTTTTATCACTGATCGGAATAATAAAAAGATCAGCACCAAAAATTCGGACATAAAAGCGCTCCGCTCGGCCAGGAAATTCATTCGCATCCAGCCAGTCTTCCGGATTCGACTCTCTTCTCTCCAGGACAAAACTAACCGAAACATCATGTTGTAAGTTATTTTCAAGCGTTCAGCATTAGAGAAAATGCAAAAAGTTCCATCACGAGAAAACCATTCAGCCCTAATATTTAAATTCTGAAATGTTTCTCTTGCAGGTTCGCTCCTCGCCTCATCTCGTCTGCCGGGACTTCATCTCCGATGCCAACCTCAGCTCAATCCGAGCCGAAACAGCCAGACACACCGAGACCTAAGTAAGGTTGGGTGTCTGGGGAGACAATTGGTAGAATGGCTCAATTTTTCCCCAGCAATAAATCATTTAAAAATCAAACCTGTTTTAGTGTTCATTTGAACAAAAACGTCTAAAAGTTCGCAGACATATGAATCGGGTCTATTACGTCGGCCGCCACCTCTGAAAACCTGGCAGTGTGCACAAAGAAGTGACCGTCCGTCAGGCTTTTGCGATTTCTGAGGATCCCATCGCTTCCGTATGGGATCCAAGTATGTTCGCTGCTTGAGTATTATCTTTAGACGCGGGGTTTTTATTTTTCCGGTTCGCTTTCTGGAATTATATTTCTTTTATAGTTTAGTTTAGGTAGTAATGATTTTCTGATACCTCTGCAATCGCTTAGCAAATATCTATCATCATTTTCAGGAAAACCTTGTACACATCCTCCATGCTGCTCGACGAGACCACATTTGCCGGAGTCATTGCGTCGGGAATGCAATTTTCGGCAGTCAACATTTTTTCGAATTCGTTATCCTATTTGAACCTCTTGATGTCGGCTACATTGTTGGCAACATCATTTTCCAGTGTCTCTTAAATGACTTTCCACGCTTCTGGACAGCGTTCCAGATATCGTTTGCTGGCGTCGAAGAACTGAAATTGTATTTTTGTTAAAATCGGGATTTCATAAAGCATTTACGTTGTACGGAGATTCTGTTGGCTTTCTGGTTCCAGTTCGGCTGATCTTGCCATGTCTGCGCTTTCGGTACATAAGGATGAAAAAAAATGATAATAAAAATGTGCTTTGTCTTAGCGCTACTCGACGTTTTGCAACCGCAACAAAACCTGTCAAATGATCTCGCTCAACCCATTGTGGTTGTAAATTGTCCTTATAAAAATGAATGGGCACTGATCACTTGTAGGATGTACTGTGCAAAGAACTGGACATTGCACGGCAGAGGCACGTCGAACGTCTCGATATCCTTTCTGATGCGCTTCAAAATCCGTCCGAGTGGTGTCGTGCCGAAAAGAACCATTGAAACACGAAATAGATTGCGCATCAGCGGGGCGTGCAGGTTTCTCGAAGCCGACTGTAGAGCAGGGACAGCATTCCAATGAAGAGAAGGATAACTGAAAAAGAAAGAATGAAGTTCTGAGGACGCACGTGGTGGGAAAACTTACTTTCCGAAAATCCGAGGCCAGCGTACACTCCCAGACGGACTCCAATACTGTTTTCCGACGCCATCACTTCATCATCGTACTCAAAGTCCGAATCTCCTTCAATCATGATGCCTCCTGGCTCCGAGGTGTCATCGTCGTCGTCAGCTGAAAGGGCGGCTTTCACGTCGCTTCTGGACTCAATCAGCAATTGCTCGAAAGTATCTTGCTGCATTAGCTCTTCGTACTTTCCCTCAAACTCAATCCGTCCATCCTTCATCACCATGATCAGATCCGCCTTTTCCAAGAACAACAGCTCAGTCGTCACCAGGATGCGGGTCTTGTTGTGGAGCAATCCTTCGGGTCCAATCACAGAGTTGAGCAGCTGGATTCCGACGTGAGCATCCACGGCACTGTCGAAGTAGGTAGATGTCATGGTTCTGGTAGACGGCACGCGAGAGTGATATGCGGGCCTTCTGACCACCGGACATGTTTATTCCCTTCTCTTCAATCTCCGTCGTATCTCCGAGTGGAAGAATTTGGTGGTCACGGTAGAGAACACAGGCGTCGAGGACACGAGAATAGAAGTACTCATCGAATTGCTTTCCGAATGTTATGCTCTCGCGAAGCGCATTGTCTTGCATCCACGGTTGTTGGGGCACATATCAGAGACGTCCGTGCATAAAGATACTTCCAGATTTCTTCTCCAGTTCTCCCATCAACTCTTCGAGCATCGATGTCTCGCTCCGACGCGTCCGACAATGATGACAAATTGTCCGCGGATGACTGAGATAGAGATGTTGTGGAGACATGACATCGGCCTGCTCTTGATAGACTCCTTGGACAACGTGGAGTCGTTAACGGCAGTGATGTCGTTATCTGCAAAAAACCAATAATCAGTCTGTCGTCAGCCGTCATTTGACTCACTATCACGGCCTTTGCGATCGATGGCGTCCTCGTTGAGCTTTCAGACTTGAGGCGGTGTTGAGCATGTCCGAGAAAGTGCGAAGGAATGCGGCCTTCTTGATCAGCCCCAGTTCCTTCTCTCTCAAATCCTCAATGACGTTCTTTAATAGGCGGCCCCCACGCGTACATTTTGATGTCTTTGATTCCTTCGAGCACCTAGTTCATCATCTTTGTCCTTTCATCCTTGTAATACATCTGCGAGATCTGCCACTTGCGAATGATCATCGTGATCACAAAGTTGATTGGGAACAAAAAAACCATCACGGCAACTCCACTGAAGACTGAGACTCCCAGTTACTGGAAGAGCAGGAACAAAACAAATCCAATTTGGAATGGGTTTGACCAGTGCATCGTTTGAGGAGTGATCTGTTGGAAGCGGTCAATGTCTATGGAAATAGAGATAACATTTTAGATTTGCCGAGTGGAAGAGAGGGTACCTTGCGATAAACAGCGGATGTGAGACACGTCATCACACGTATTCCGACTCGATGCATCAGGCAGAGGAAGTGGGAGAGCCTCTGAGAAAAAAAAAACCTCTGAGACAGTCTACATTTCATTTCTTTCCCAATGTCTGAGCAAGTTGACGGTTTCCCTCTCCCATCATCTGAATCTGAAATGGAGAATTCGCAACAGACTTTTGTGCCTTCTCAAAAGACTCAGGATAACGGAATTTCAAATTCTCTTCCCCAAATGCTTCCACTGTACGACGATTCTTTCAAAAACTTTACACTTGTCGGAACAATCAAAATCTATAAAGATGTGTACTCCAATCTGCACATGACATCCGCATAATTGATGTACACAAAAACTCAAGCTACGATGTGCAAATGTGCTACAGTACGATTTTGTGGGAACCTTCTGCATTCGCTTGCATTCTCTAAAATGAATTCTGTTCCACTCACCACCGTAAGTCTTGTTTTTTCTAGAGGTTTTTCCAATTTGTAATTCTTAGAAAAAAATCAAAAAGGAAGACATTTGGGATGTCGAGGAGACCGTGTCAAGCGCATGGCCCCCGCGGAAGGGCGACTATCTCCAGGGCGCCAGCTTCGACCCGAAAGTAAGACTATCCCTTCTTACTATTTTGCAATTTCTTTTTTCAGAATCGGAAAGGACAAGAAGAGAAAGAAAACATCCCGCCCACTCCGATTAAATGTGTTAAAAATTAATTTCTTTTTTGGTTGAATAAAAGACTTTTCAACTATGTATTGTTGTGAGTCTGCACACTTAAGCCAAGTGGTGCGGCTCCATCAAAGGTGGAAAAGTCGGACATTCAAATTATTTCTGCTTACATAACCCAACAGATAGAACAAACACGCACACATGACTGGAAAATTTGTTCTGCGCAAGGTCAACCTTGACCAACCCACCGAGCGCTTTTCGAATCATTCCACCACCCGACTCTCACTGAGGAGTCCTTTTCTCCAGGGCTTCCACCCGGAAGCCCCACCTTTCCTCCCCTATTTTCTTTACTTTCTCCACCCCGATTCCACTCAATATGGAATTTTTTGATTCTGAATCACATCAGTGGAAAGCTGGAGGGTTGCACGGTTAGTTATTTATTTACTTTTTTTTTATTCCACGTACATTTACTTTCTAATAATTTGTGATTTTCAGAAAGAACCATTCTTCTTCTTTATCAATGGCATGGCAGGGACCGGCAAATCCGTGCTCCTCAAAGCGTTGAGATCGGAGATCAACAAAACGTTCGAGGACCATGGAGCTTGTCAAGTCTTCGCCCCAACCGGCGCTTCTGCACTGTTGGTGGGAGGGAGGACAATTCACTCTGGCTTCTTCATATCAGTGAGTTTTTATTATTTTTATGAAGTTAAATTCATGCTTTTCAGACCAAAGAAGGATCTGAGTTTGAGCCCCTCGAGAAGGGTACTCTCGGTCGAATCAGAAAGGATCTGAAAGGGCTGAAAGTTGTCATTATTGACGAGCTCAGCTTGGTGAATCAGGTTCTTTTTGCTGAAGTCTCCGCAAGACTACAACAGATTAGAAGCAGCAATCGTCCCTTCGGCGGAGTCTCCGTCTGCTGCTTTTGAGATCTCCTCCAACTCCCCCCTGTCTGCCACGGAAGTGTTTTTGACGGTAATTTTTATTTAACAAGCTCTAATGTCACCAAAAACATTACTTTCAGAAATCCCGATTGCCTTCCAGCCAGCATGGTCCACAAGAGCACCACAAGGAGTCGACAATCTGTGGACGCTCTTCCGCATGCTCACGCTCAGCGTAAACATGCGGACATCCGATCCCGAAGAAGCTCGAGCCCTGGCCGAGATCAGAAAGGGAGAGATCGAGAAGGAGACGGAACTCTTCCTCCAGCGGAAGATGTGGTTCCCGTCCGCACACACAATCGAAGGCATTGCGGATGAGGTAGATTACCTCAGGACGCAAAACCCTGGGAAGAGCATCATGCTGCTCGCTGGAAAGAACAGAACAGTGGACGAGCTGAATGCCTTTGTGAGTTCTTGCACGTTAGACCAATGTTTACCCCTAGAAAGGGACATTTGTTTGCCAATCACTAACCATGGGAAAATTTCAGCTTCTTCGGAGAAAGGGAGAGCCGGAGGTCTTCGATGTCGTCCGAGGGAATACGGTCGTTAGACCGGGTGCCCCGACTCCGATGTGCTCGAGCACTTTTTAATATTAATATTAGTTTTGTTTAATCCCCTTTCGGTTTAATACAATAATCATAAGTGGTCAGTTTAATAGTAGGAGGGGGCGGCGCCTATATATAAGAGGCCCGCTCCCTCGCTTCTCGTCCACTTCGTTTCTCCCCTTCTCCCGTTTTGCGGCCGGCACTGCCGGTCGCCTCCGTTTATTGTTAATCTCACGTTATTCTTATATAATTTATCTTTTTACATAAATGGTTTAATTAGCCAAGTTTGAGTTACAAAGGCGTTCTGCAACTGAATCATTCGTTTATCCGAGGCCGAACGACGAGAAGCGTGTGGAGACAGCCCACTTCGCGAAGCGGCTCGAGCTGCTCCTGAGCTGCAAGGTGGTGCTGACCACCACCATCAAGAAGGCCCAGGGGCTGGTGAATGGAGCGATTGGAGAGGTGAAGGCGTTCAACTCGGACAGCGTCACCGTACAGTACGTGAACCTTGACTTTTCTAAGTTTTCTCATTTTCATTTTCAGATTCCCCACCCACCCCCATGTTCGGATCGAGCGGGTGGAGTTTTGCAACGGGAAGGACTCGTGGAGTCAGTTCCCTCTGAGAGTGGCGGAGGCTATGACCATCCACAGCTCTCAGGGCAAAACATTTGACGGAGTGGTCATCGTCGTGCGAGAGAGCACGCAGACGCAGCAGCAGAAAGAAAAAATAGTCGCAAAGTGTCCCCCACAGTTCTCTGGCATGGTGCCATGACGCTTTGAAATCCCAATCGTTCTTTCCCATTAGAGCCCTTTGTCGGCGTCCTTATCGTTAATCTCCGTATGTAATTAAGTCGATTGCTTTGGAATTCGCCACAAATCGGCTTGAAGCTGTTATTCCTGCGTTCTTGATTACCGGGGAAGATTAGTGATAAGGACGCCGACAAAGAGATCTGATGGGAAAGTACGATTGGGATTGCTTCTTCCCAATCATACTTTCATAAGTTTAAACCATCCATCCATAGAGGCGACTAGTTTGTTCAGCGCCGCTTGAGTATTATCTTCAGACGCGGGGTTTTCATTTTTCCGGTTCGCTTTCTGGAATTATATTTGTTTTATAGTTTAGTTTAGGTAGTAATGATTTTCTGATACCTCTGCAATCGCTTCGCGAATATCTATCATCATTCTCAAGAAGACTTTGTACACATGCTCCATGCTACTCGACGAGACCACATTTTCCGGAGTCATTGCGTCGGGAATGCAATTTTCGGCAGTCAACTTACCTTCGAATTCGTTATCCTCTTTGAACCTCTTGATGTCGGCTACGTTGTTGGCAACATAATTTTCCAGTGTCTCGTTAATGACGCGCGGCGTTCGAAAAACGGAGCGTCTGGAAAATAGAGGTAACATTTATATTCGCCGAGTGGAAGAGAGGGTACTTTGCGATAAACAGCGGATGTGAGACACGTCTGTACATGAGTTCCGACTCGATACATCAGGAAGAGGAAGTGGGAGAGCAGGATGGACGAAAGCTCAGCCGATCCGAAAATGGTGAACGCGAGTACGACTCCTTGCCACATCAGTCTTTCCAATTGTTCCGTGAACTGAATAAGCGATTTCAGCAGCATCGGGTTGCAGAAGAAAAGGATATCCGAGAGCAGCTTGACAAACATCGCAGTGATAACGTCCCACTTGAATATGAGGAAGAGGGTCCAGATGATGGAGGGCATGTGTTGGCTGGGATAACTGGTGGGCACCACTCCGTAGTTGTCCGTGTTCTGATCGTGGAGCAACAGAGTACTGTCGTTTGACGAGTTGCGGCGGCTGGACGTGTTTGAGACATCGGACTCAGTGCGACGACGGTTGTGGTTCTCATCGATTTCTGAAACAACCAAAGTGTGCCTAAAAATTGCAGAATTTTAGTGTCAACATCGAAAAAATGAATAAGATCAATGTGGCCCGTTTGAAATTGGCGGGGGAGTCACGGTTACTGACGCACTTAAGGATCGGCTGACACATTCTGCGCACAGCTGTTTGAAACACCCCTCTCAAGATTATGACGAGAACTCAGAATTCTAAATGAGAACAATAAAAACTCTGGTTATTCCGTGAAAGGTCTCAACTGACGCGGCTGAGGAGATTAAGGTGATTTTTCTGTTGAAGGCAAACGCGATTCTCATGAATTTGCGGAACTCCTTGCAGGTCATCTCCTCCTCCATGTTTGTCACGCCGTAGAACCCTTGGAAAATACTGAATTCCGCAATCCGCAAGCTGAAATTTCGTCAAATTTGACAGCGTCTCGGTGACGTCGCCCTTCAGAATGTTCAGAATGTTCAGATAGTACATGATAAGCAGTTCGAGGTTGCGGAATCTCGAGATGCACGTGACGTCGGAGACCCACGTGCTCGAAATGTCCAGGAATCTGAATTGAGAGAGGCTGGCGACGATCTGAGCCAGAGGGACGTGTGGTAAACATTTGAATCTTGTATTTGAAAATTTCGTGTTGAATAGTGCTAGGACAAGATGTCTCGAGGTCCGAGAGAACTCACTTGTCGATGTGCTTCTGCGGTTTTCTCGGCACACGCGGATCTTCCTCTCTGTTTTCTTCAGTTTCTGAAAAAATGAGTGAAATTATGAGAAAGGCAACAAAGATTGTTACCGTCCAACTTGTACTCGATCAATGCGTTCATTCCCAGCGTTTCAAGAGTCGAGTGCAGCTCAAAATAGGCTAGCTGATGGCACACAATATCACTTCTGAGCTGAGCCTGCTGAATACTCTCCCGAAGCAGTTGACGGGCAGTCTTGCTAAAAATAACATGGTTCGAAGGTGCTACGCTCACACAAAACTAATCACCAAAATTTTTTGCTGACTCTGGAGAATCGGAAAAATGGGTACCGCCAGGCGAAATCAGCGGGCGACCTGCACCCCATTTTCGTTGAGCTTCTGGTTGCCCTGATCTTACCGCTGGAAATGCTTCGCAATAGAAGAAGCGTCCACTATTTTGGTTGGCCTGGAAGAATGACGATATCTGCCCAGCACCCTTTTTATAACCCCCCCCCCTCTCCCGCGCTCGAGAACCAGCAGATCAAAACGGTGCTCGTCACTCCAACGTGCTTTGTTATTGTATGTCTACGGGGCGATGATTTTTTGTTCATGTTCTCCTCATAATCAATTACTTTTCAGATTCAAAGGGCACAGTTATGTCCTGTCCGCAACAAATACGTCACTGTTCATCTACTGTCTGAAACCCGAAGGTGGAAATATGAAGCTGGTGGGCACTCAATGCATTGACTCTGCATGGCGAAAAGATGAGGGACTTGTTGGTCATGATTAGGTGAGTCTTACTTGAAGATATGCGATTGAGCGTAATTTTACTTTTCAGACAACACAACTCGGCAAATTATCCCTTCCTGGAGCTATCAAACACTCTAGCACAAAGCATCATTATGTCTCTTGAGGAGAAGCAGCATGTCAAGACTGGATGTAACAAGACAGTTGCGCAAGGTCAACTCGGAGATTCAGCATACACACAGATTTCAGCATGTTACCATACTTTTCCCCTGTATATCGGGTCCAAGTTACAGACCGATCGGACTATCGACTCTGTGTTGATTCGATTGATATGTCTGCTAACTTTTAGACGTTTTTCTTTAAATAAACACTAAAACAAGTTTGATTTTTAAATGATTTATTGCAGGGGAAACAATTGAGCGATTACACCAATTGTCTCCCCAGACACCCAACCTTACTTAGGTCTCGGTGTGTCTGGCTGTTTTGGCTCGGATTGAGCTGAGGTTGGCATCGGGGAAGAAGTCCCGGCAGACGAGATGAGGCGAGGAGCGAACCTGCAAGAGCAACATTTCAGAATTTTAATATTAGGGCTGAATGGTTTTCTTGTGTTGGAACTTTTTGCATTTTCTCTAATGCTGAACGCTTGAAAATAACTTACAACATGATGTTTCGGTTAGTTTTGTCCTGGAGAGAAGAGAGTCGAATCCGGAAGACTGCCTGGATGCGAATGAATTTCCTGGCCGAGCGGAGCGCTTTTATGTCCGAATTTTTGGTGCTGATCTTTTTATTATTCCGATCAGTGATAAAAAATGGAAAAAAAACGGAACACCCCTCTCCCATTTTTATGTATTTTCTGGAGAACGGGCAGAAATGCACGTTTGCATTGCAGGTGATCAGAAAACGCGCGCGGGAGCCGTTCGGATTACCTGCGTCGGCCGCCGTATCCAAAAACCTGACAGTAAAGTACAAACGTGAGAATAGCGAGAAAGAGATTAGGATTATATCGCACGTCTTACAAAATATGCATAACATAGACATGCTCAACTCGGAGATTCAGCATTTACACAGATTTCAGCATGTTACCATACTTTAAGTCGATTGCTTTGAAATTTGCCGCAAATCGGCTTGAAACTGAAATTCCTGCGGTCTTGATTACCAGGGGAGATTAGTGATAAGGACGCCGACAAAGGACTCTGATGGGAAAGTACGATTTGGATTCCGAAACGTCATGGCACGGTGCCAAGAGGATTCGAAAAAAGAGTTATAAGGAATTGAAGGATTTGCGATTTCAAATAGAAGCATTTAACACAGAGTCGATAGTTCGATCGATCTGTAACTTGGACCCAATATACAGGGGAAAAGTATGCAAACATCGTGTAAATGCTGAATCTCCGAGTTGAGCATGTCTATGTTATGCATTTTTGTAAGACGTGCGAGATAATTCTAATCTCTTTCTTGCTATTCTCACGTTTGTATTTCACTGTCAGGTTTTTGTATACGGCGGCCGACGCAGGTATTCCGAACGGCCCAAGCGATCGTTTTCCGATCACCTGCTATGCAAACGTGCATTTCTGTCCGTTCTCCAGAAAATACATAAAAATGGGAGAGGGGTGTTCCGTTTTTTTTCCATTTTTTATTACTGATCGGAATAATAAAAAGATCAGCACCAAAAATTCGGACATAAAAGCGCTCCGCTCGGCCAGGAAATTCATTCGCATCCAACCAGTCTTCCGGATTCGACTGTCTTCTCTCCAGGACAAAACAATCCGAAACATGATGATGTAAGTTATTTTGAAGCGTTCAGCATTAGAGAAAATGCAAAAAGTTCCATCACGAGAAAACCATTCAGCCCTAATATTAAAATTCTGAAATGTTGCTCTTGCAGGTTCGCTCCTCGCCTCATCTCGTCCGCCGGGACTTCATCTCCGATGCCAACCTCAGCTCAATCCGAGCCGAAACAGCCAGACACACCCAGACCTAAGTAAGGTTGGGTGTCTGGGGAGACAATTGGTCGAATTGCTCAATTGTTTCCCCTGCAATAAATCATTTAAAAATCAAACCTGTTTTAGTGTTTATTTGGAGAAAAACGTCTAAAAGTTCGCAGACAGATGAATCGGGTCTATTACATAAGGATGTACGGTGCTTCTTTGGCTACTCGCGTACCATCATGTCGAGAAACATTCAGATCGTCGAATTTATACCTGGAAAATGATAATGAAAATGTGCTTTGTCTTAGCGCTCCTAGACGTTTTGCAACCGCAACAAAGCATGTCAAATGATCTCGCTCAACCCATTTTGGTTGTAAATTGTCCTTGTAATAATGAATGGGCACTGACTGCGCAACAAAAGGAGAGATTACTTGTAGGATGTACTGTGCAAAGAACTGGACATTGCACGGCAGAAGCACGTCAAATGTCTCGATATCTTGTTCCATGCGGTTCAAAATCCGTCCGAGTGGTTTCGTGCCGAAAAAAACCATTGAAACACGGAATAGATTGCGCATCAGCGGGGCGTGCAGGTTTCTCGAAGCCGACTGTAGAGCAGGGACAGCATTCCAATGAAGAGAAGGATAACTGAAAAGAAAGAATGGCGTTCCGAGAATCCGAGGCCAGCGTACACTCCCAGACGGTCTCCAATACTGTTTCCAGTGGCGTTGGTTCCAGCGCGGGCAGCATTGTCGTGTGACCAATCCGTCAGCCACAAGTTCCTTCCCATCGATACAACCGTACTTGTGGTCATTCCAAACACGCGATAGACATTCCCATGGCTCCAGAGTACTTCTGGTAGGTATCCATCTTAACGCGTCCAGTCTCGACACGCTCGGTTCCTGTGACTTGGCGAGACGTCGAGTAAACCGACACAATCGATGGGGCGGTGGATGTGGTGGTGGAGAGACGGTGGCGCTGCTTCTGTGGGACGTGCTGATGCGGCGGCGGTTGATGATTCCCGAGACGGTGGACATGTGACTGGTTCCGAGCACGTGGTCAATGATCGGCGACGCCATCACTTCATCATCGTACTCAAAGTCCGAATCTCCTTCAATCATGATGCCTCCTGGCTCCGAGGTGTCATCGTCGTCGTCAGCTGAAAGGGCGGCTTTCACGTCGCTTCTGGACTCAATCAGCAATTGCTCGAAAGCATCTTATTGCATTAGCTCTTCTTACTTTCCCTCAAACTCAATCCGCCCATCCTTCATCACCATGATCAGATCCGCCTTTTCCAAGAACGACAGACCATTCGTCACCAGTATGCGGATCTTGTTGTGGAGCATTCCTTCGGGTCCAATCACAGAGTTAAGCAGCTGGCTTCCGACGTGAGCACCCACAGGACTGTCGAAGTAGATAGATGTCATGGTTCTGGTAGACGGCACGCGCGAGTGATATGCGGGCCTTCTAACCACCGGACATGTTGATTCCCTTCTCTTCAATCTCCGTCCTATCTCCAAGTGGAAGAATTTGGAGGTCACGGTAGAGAACACAGGCGTCGAGGACACGAGAGTAGAAGTACTCATCGAATTGCTTTCCGAATGTGATGCTCTCGCGAAGCGCATTGTCTTGCATCCACGGTTGTTGGGGCACATAGCAGAGACGTCCGTGCATAGAGATACTTCCAGAATTATTCTCCAGTTCTCCCATCAACGCTTGGAGCATCGATGTCTCGCTCCGACGCGTCCGACAAATTGTCCGCGGTTGACTGAGAAGGAGATGTTGTGGAAGCATGGCACCGGCTTGCAATGATGTCGTTATCTGCTAAAAATCAATAATCAGTCTGTCGTCGGCCGTCATTGGACTCACTATTACGGCCTTTGAGCAGCAGCACGACTCCTTGCCACATCGGTCTTTCCAATTGTTCCGTGAACTGAATGAGCGATTTCAACAGCATCGGGTTGCAGAAGAGAAGGATATCCGAGAGCAGGTTGACAAACATCGCAGTGATAACGTCAAACTTGAACATGAGGAAGAGGGTCCAGATGATGGAGGGCATCTGTTGGCTGGGATAGCTGGTGGGCACCACTCCATAGTTGTCCGTGTTCTGGTCGTGGAGCAACAGAGTACTGTCGTTTGACGAGCTGCGGCGGCTGGACGTGTTTAAGACATTGGAATCAGCGCGACGACGGTTGTGGTTCTCCTCGAACTCTGAAACAATCAAAGTATGCTTAAAAATTGCAGAATTTTAGTGTAAACATCGAAAAAATAAATAAGATCAATGTGGCAAGTTTGAAATTGAGGGGGGGGGGGAGTCACGGTTACTGACGCACTTATGGATCGGCTGACACATTCTGCGCACAGCTGTTTGAATCACCCCTCGCAAGATTACGACGAAAACTCAGAATTCTAAATAAGAACAATAAAAACTCTGATGGAAGAGTGACTCGGGAAGAAAAACAAGGTAGAACTCGAAACTATAGCTTTTGCCTGAAACTTTTCTTGAGTGCATGCAGATGCAGGCTCTGCCGTGGCGGTTGGTGGAGAACTCGTCTTCCATCGCGAGGTTGATGTTGTTGTATCCTATTCTGCTTCTCGAACTCACTGGAATGACCACCTCACTAAAAATATGTCTAGCGATTGCAATCAATTTCAAATCGGAATGAAACATGGACACGACAGCTATCAAGAACGAAAAAGAAGACGACGACAATCCGAGTGAGCCGGAAGAAAATAAGTTAATCGATTCTCAGGAACACGTGGAAGAATGTTCCGTCTTCTGTGATTTAACAACAAGAAAAAGATGGCGAAGGTCAGTTCTCGAATGGGAGTGACAATGTGTTCTTTTTGTGTTTCAGAAGTGCATTTTTGGAATGATTTATTCAGCGGCCGACCCAATTACTTAGGAATTGGTGTCGGAACGTACGGCTCAGGATCTGGATCCCCTCCGTGATGAGCGGTCGATTGGTCGATCATTGTAGGCAGGAAGCTGAAAATATAACTTTTTCCCTTGCGAGAAGACCAAGGTAACTTACTTTCTCAGTTGCTTTGCTGCTGTAACTTCCGAGCAGCCAGCGCTCCTTTTATACAAGAAAAATGGTCGAGATGTTTGGGCTACGTGACCGGAATGCATAAACACTCTGATAAACCGAAAATTTATGTGCGATTCTTATGGCGCTTTTGCGGAAAGCGAAAGAGTGTTCAAGTGTTCAAAGTGTTCAAATTCAAAACCCTGAAACTCTTAAGGCTGGACGATCAGAATGTGCCGTGTTTCTTTAAATTACAAACGATGCGGTCCCAGGCCGGTGGCCGGAGGACTTGAAATTACGCCTTGCACAATAGCCTTTTTTGAAAGTTCTTTTACAGTATTCCGCAGGCAGTACCATGAAAGAAAAACCGGTTGCCCCGAAGGGGAACGTGTTACGTCTCGGTGACGTCGCCCTTCAGAATGTTCAGATAGTACATGATGAGCACTTCGAGGTTGCGGAATCTCGAGATGCACGTGATGTCGGAGACGCACGTGCTCGAAATGTCCATGAATCTGAGTTGGGAGAGACTGGCGACGATCTGAGCCAGCGGGACGTGTGGTAGAGTGTGGCGCCCAGCACTTCGGCCATTTGAATCTTGTATTTGAAAATTTCGTGTTGAATAGTGCTAGGACAAGATGTCTCGAGGTCCGAGAGAACTCACTTGTCGATGTGCTTCAGCGTTCTTCTCGGCACACGCGGATCTTCCTCTCTGTTTTCTTCAGTTTCTGAAAAAATGAGTGAAATTATGAGGAAGGCAACAAAGATTGTTACCGTCCAACTTGTACTCGAGCAATGCGTTAATTCCCAGCGCTTCAAGAGTCGAGTGCAGCTTGAAATTAGCCAGCTGATGGCCCACAATATCACTTTTGAGCTGAGCTTGTTGGATACTATCCCAAAGCAGTAGACGGGCAGTCTTGCTATAAATAACATGGTTCGAAGGTGCTACGCTCACACAAAACTCACTAATCACCGAATTTTTTGCTGACTCTGGAGAATCGGAGAATTGGGTACCGTCAGGCGAAATGAGCGGGCGACCTGCACCACATTTTCGTTGAGCTTCTGATTGCCCTGATCTTACCGCTGGAAATGCTTCGCAACAGAAGAAGCAAATCTGCGAATAGAACGGAAAGCGAAAGGGAGTGGAAGGGCGAAAAAGAAATGTCTGCAATCGATATCGATCAGCGACGGGTCTGGAAAGTCCGTCTGCCCAAAAAACCAGAATAGCGCCGTGAGTCTCTTGAGGAGAAGCAGCACGTCAAGACTGGATGTAGCATGACAGTTGCGCAAAGCCAACTCGGAGATTCAGCATACACGCAGATTTCAGCATGTTACTATACTTTTCCCCTGTATATTGGGTCCAAGTTACATACCGATCGGACTATCGACTCGTTGTTGATTCGATTCATATGTCTGCGAACTTTTAGACGTTTTTCTTCAAATAAACACTAAAACAGGTTTGATTTTTAAATGATTTATTGCAGGGGAAAATTGAGCGATTCTATCAATTGTCTCCCCAGACAGACCCAACATTACTTAGGTCTGGGTGTGTCTGGCTGTTTTGGCTCGGATTGAGCTGAGGTTGGCATCGGAGAAGAAGTCCCGGCGGACGAGATGAGGCGAGGAGCGAACCTGCAAGAGCAACATTTCAGAATTTTTATATTAGGGCTGAATGGTTTTCTCGTGATGGAACTTTTTGCATTTTCTCTAATGCAGAACGCTTGAAAATCATTTACATCATGATGTTTCGGATTTGTCCTGGAGAGAAGAGAGTCGAATCCGGAAGACTGGCTGGATGCGAATGAATTTCCTGGCCGAGCGGAGCGCTTTTATGTAAGAATTTTTGGTGCTGATCTTTTTATTATTCCGATCAGCAATAAAAAATGGAAGAAAAACGGAACACCCCTCTCCCATTTTTATGTATTTTCTGGAGAACGGACAGAAATGCACGTTTGCATCGGAGGTGATCAGAAAACGAGCGCTTGGGCCGTTCGGAATACCTGCGTCAGCCGTCGTATCCAAAAACCTGACAGTAAAGTACAAACGTGAGAATAGCGAGAAAGAGATTAGGATTATCTCGCACGTCTTACAAAACATGCATAACATAGACATGCTCAACTCGGAGATTCAGCATTTACACAGATTTCAGCATTTCAACTTCAAGCGGATTTGCGGCAAATTTCAAAGCAATCGACTCAATTACCGGGGGAGATTAGTGATAAGGACGCCGACAAAGGGCTCTGATAGGAAAGAACGATTGGGATTTCGAAACGTCATGACACCGTGCCAAGATTATTCAAAAAAAGAGTGATAAGGAACTGAAGGATTTCCGATTTCGAATGCAAGCATTCAACACCGAGTCGATAGTCCGATCGGTCTGTAACTTGGACCCAATATACAGGGGGAAAGTATGGTAACATGCTGAAATCTGTGTAAATGCTGAATCTCCGAGTTGAGCAGGTCTATGTTATGCATTTTTTGTAAGACGTGCGAGATAATCCTACTCTCTTTCTCGCTATTCTCACGTTTGTACTTTACTGTTAGGTTTTTAGATACGGCGGCCGACGCAGGTATTCCGAACGGCCCCCGCGCTTGTTTTCTGATCACCTGCCATGCAAACGTGCATTTCTGTCCGTTCTCCAGAAAATACATAAAAATGGGAGAGGGGTGTTTCGTTTTTCTTCCATTTTTTTATCGCTGATCGGAATAATAAAAAGATCAGCACCAAAAATTCTTACATAAAAGCGCTCCGCTCTTCCAGGAAATTCATTCGCATCCAGCCAGTCTTCCGGATTCGACTCTCTTCTCTCCAGGACAAATCCGAAACATCATGATGTAAATGATTTTCAAGCGTTCAGCATTAGAGAAAATGAAAAGAGTTCCATCACGAGAAAACCATTCAGCCCTCATATTAAAATTCTGAAATGTTGCTCTTGCAGGTTCGCTCCTCGCCTCATCTCGTCCGCCGGGACTTCTTCTCCGATGCCCACCTCAGCTCAATCCGAGCCAAAACAGCCAGACACACCCAGACCTAAGTAAGGTTGGGTGTTTCTGGGGAGACAATTGGTAGAATGGCTCAATTTTTCCCCAGCTATAAATCATTTAAAAATCAAACCTGTCTTAGTGTTTATTTAAAGAAAAACGTCTAAAAGTTCGCAGATATATGAATCGGGTCTATAACGTCGGCCGCCACCTCTGAAAACCTGACAGTGTGCACAAAGAAGTGACCGTCCGTCAGTTGTTGGCAACATCATTTTCCAGTGTCTCTTTAATGACTTCCCACGCTTCTGGACAGTGTTCCAGATATCGTTTGCTGGCGTCGAAGAACTGAAATTGTTTTTGTTAAAATCGGGACTTTATAAAGCATTTACGTTGTACGGAGATTCTGCTGGCTTTCTGGTTCCAGTTCGGCTGATCTTTCCATGCCTGCGCTTTCGGTACATAAGGATGTACGGTGCTTCTTTGGCTACTCGCGTAGCATCATGTCGAGAAACATTCAGATCGACGAATTTATACCTGGAAACTGATAATCTCGCGAAGCGCATTGTTTGCATCCACGGTTGTTGGGGCACATAGCAGAGACGTCCGTGCATAGAGATACTTCCAGAATTATTCTCCATTCTCCCATCAACGCTTGGAGCATCGATGTCTCGCTCCGACGCGTCCGACAATGGTGACAAATTGTCCGCGGTTGACTGAGAAGGAGATAATGTGGAAGCATGGCACCAGCTTGCAATGATGTCGTTATCTGCAAAAAATCAATAATCAGTCTGTCGTCAGCCGTCATTGGACTCACTATTACGGCCTTTGCAATCGATGGCGTCCTCGTTGAGCTTTTCAGACTTGAGGAACTCCTTCACACGTCTGTTGGAAACCGACACTTGCACGGTTTGAGTGATGAACTCCGCGACTTGAGACATTTGCAAACTCAACTGATTGAAGAGCGTCAAAGATGCAAACGCAATCTCCGGTGTCAGCACATTCTTCGGATCGATACAGATAAAGGTCGTGAAGGTGGAAAGGGGGACGAGGAAAGGCGAGGCGGTGTTGAGCATATCCGAGAAAGTGCGAAGGAATGCTGCCTTCTTGATCAGCCCCAGTTCCTTCTCTCTCAAATCTTCAATGACGTTCTCCATAGGCGGCCCCCACACGTACAGTTTGATGTCCTTGGTTCCTTCGAGCACCTAGTTCATTATCTTTGTCCTTTCATCCTTGTAGTACATCTGCGAGATCTGCCACTTGCGAATGATCATCGTGATCACAAAGTTGATCGGAAACAAAAGCACCATCACGGCAACTCCACTGAAGACTGAGACTCCCAGTTGCTGGAAGAGCAGGAACAAAACAAATTCGATTTGGAATGGGTTTGACCATCGTTTGAGGGGTGATCTGTTGGAAGCGGTCAATGTCTATGGCCATAAGGTTGACAATCTCGCCGACAGTCTTCTCGCGACGAGCGGCGTTCGACAAGCGGAGCGTCTGGGAAATAGAGGTAACATTTATATTCGCCGAGTGGAAGAGAGGGTACTTTGCGATAAACAGCGGATGTGAGACACGTCTGTACATGAGTTCCGACTCGATACATCAGGAAGAGGAAGTGGGAGAGCAGGATGGACGAAAGCTCAGCCGATCCGAAAATGGTGAACGCGAGCACGAATCCTTGCCACATCGGTCTTTCCAATTGTTCTGTGAACTGAATGAGCGATTTCAGCAGCATCGGCTTGCAGAAGAGAAGGATATCCGAGAGCAGCTTGACAAACATCGCAGTGATAACGTCCCACTTGAATATGAGGAAGAGAGGGTCCAGATGATGGAGGGCATCTGTTGGCTGGGATAGCTGGTGGGCACCACTCCGACCGAAACAGCTTTAAAACGTCTTTTTAGATATGTACAACTTATTTTGCGCTCATAGGGGTTGACCAGATTAGCGAAAACCCCTGTCCCCTGGGGTGGCCTTATAAACTTGCAACGGTTGCAAAAAGCCGATTTTTAGTTTTATCGAGGTAGTTCGGACAGTTTTCCAGGTATCATCACGAAAATCACCAAACATACGTAACTTTGTGCCCTGAATCCGATTTTGAAGTCGCCGGGTCGTAAAAATTTTCGAGCGCCACGTGGCAGTGCCAAACGGGGGTGGCCTTATAAACTTGCACCGCACTGTATCTGAACATTCTGAAGGGCGAAGTCACCGAGACGCAATACGTGCCCCTTCGGGGAAACCGGTTTTTCTTTCATGGTATTGCCTGCGGAATACTGTAAAAGAACTTTCAAAAAATACTATTGTGCAAGGCGTAATTTCCAGTCCTTCGGCCACCGGTCTGGGACCGCATCGTTTGTAATTTAAAGAAACACGGCACATTCTGATCGTCCAGCCTTAGGAGTTTCAGGGTTTCGAATTTGAACACTTTGAACACTTGAACACTCTTTCGCTTTCCGCAAAATCGTCATAAGAATCGCACATAAATTTTCGGTTTATCACAGTGTTTATGCATTCTGGTCACGTAGCCCAAACATCTCGACCATTTTTCTTGTATAAAAGGAGCGCTGGCTGCTCGGAAGTTACAGCAGCAAAGCAACTGAGAAAGTAAGTTACCTTGGTCTTCTCGCAAGGGAAAAAGTTATATTTTCAGCTTCCTGCCTACAATGATCAACCAATCGACCGCTCATCACGGAGGGGATCCAGATCCTGAGCCGTACGTTCCGACACCAATTCCCAAGTAATTGGATCGGCCGCTGAATAAATCATTCCAAAAATGCACTTCTGAAACACAAAAAGAACACATTGTCACTCCCATTCGAGAACTGACCTTCGCCATCTTTTTCTTGTTGTTGAATCACAGAAGACGTAACATTCTTCCACGTGTTCCTGAGAATCGATTAACTTATTTTCTTCCGGCTCACTCGGATTGTCGTCGTCTTCTTTTTCGTTCTTGATAGCTGTCGTGTCCATGTTTCATTCCGATTTGAAAGTGATTGCAATCGCTAGACATATTTTTAGTGAGGTGGTCATTCCAGTGAGTTCGAGAAGCAGAATAGGATACAACAACATCAACCTCGCGATGGAAGACGAGTTCTGCACCAACCGCCACGGCAGAGCCTGCATCTGCATGCACTCAAGAAATGTTTCAGGCAAAAGCTATAGTTTCGAGTTCTACCTTGTTTTTTTCTCGAGTCACTCTTCCATCAGAGTTTTTATTGTTCTCATTTAGAATTCTGAGTTCTCGTCGTAATCTTGCGAGGGGTGGTTCAAACAGCTGTGCGCAGAATGTGTCAGCCGATCCATAAGTGCGTCAGTAACCGTGACTCCCCCCCCCCCGCCAATTTCAAACGGGCCACATTGATCTTACTCATTTTTTCGATGTTTACATTCAAATTCTGCAATTTTTAAGCACACTTTGGTTGTTTCAGAGTTCGAGGAGAACCACAACCGTCGTCGCGCTGATTCCAATGTCTCCAACACGTCCAGCCGCCGCAGCTCGTCAAACAACAGTACTCTGTTGCTCCACGATCAGAACACGTACAACTACGGAGTGGTGCCCACCAGCCATCCCAGCCAACACATGCCTTCCATCATCTGGACCCTCTTCCTCATGTTCAAGTTTGACGTTATCACTGCGATGTTTGTCAAGCTGCTCTCGGATATCCTTCTCTTCTGCAACCCGATGCTGCTGAAATTGCTTCTTGAGTTCACGGAACAATTGGAAAGACCGATGTGGCAAGGAGTCGTGCTCGCGTTCACCATGTTCGGATCGGCTGAGCTTTCGTCCATCCTGATCTCCCACTTCCTCTGCCTGATGTATCGAGTCGGAACTCGTTTGTAGACGTGTCTCACATCCGCTGTTTATCCCAAGGTTCCCTCTCTTCCACTCGGCGAATATAAATGTGACCTCTATTTTCCAGACGCTCCGTTTGTCGAACGCCGCTCGTCGCGAGAAGACTGTCGGCGAGATTGTCAACCTTATGGCCATAGACATTGACCGCTTCCAACAGATCACCCCTCAAACAATGCAGCACTGGTCAAACCCATTCCAATTCGGATTTGTTTTGTTCCTGCTCTTCCAGCAACTGGTAGTCTCAGTCTTCAGTGGAGTTGCCGTGATGGTGCTTTTGTTCCCGATCAACTTTGTGATCACGATGATCATTCGCAAGTGGCAGATCTCGCAGATGTACTACAAGGATGAAAGGACAAAGATGATGAACTAGGTGCTCGAAGGAACCAAGGACATCAAACTGTACGCGTGGGGGCCGCCTATGGAGAACGTCATTGAAGATTTGAGAGAGAAGGAACTGGGCTGATCAAGAAGGCCGCATTCCTTCGCACTTTCTCGGACATGCTCAGCACCGCATCGTCTTTTTTTGTCGTCCTTTCCACCTTCATGACCTTTATCTGTATCGATCCGAAGAATATGCTGACACCGGAGATTGTGTTTGCATTTTTGACGCTCTTCAATTAGTTGAGCTCGCAAATGTCTCAAGTCGCGGAGTTCATTACTCAAACCGTGCAAGTGTTGGTTTCCAACAGACGTGTGAAGGAGTTCCTCAAGTCTGAAAAGCTCAACGAGGACGCCATCGATCGCAAAGGCCGTGATAGTGAGTCTAATGCCGGCTGACGACAGACTGATTTTTGTTTTTCGCAGATAACGACATCATTGCCGTGAACGACTCGACGCTGTCCTAGGAGTCTATCGAGAGCAAGCCGGTGCCATGCCTCCACAACATCTCTCTCTCAGTCAACCGCGGACAATTTTTCATCATTGTCGGATGCGTCGGAGCGAGACATCGTTGATGGGAGAACTGGAGAAGAATTCTGGAAGTATCTCTATGCACGGACGTCTCTGCTATGTGCCCCAGCAACCGTGGATGCACAACAATGCGCTTCGCCAGAGCATCACATTCGGAAAGCAATTCTTCCACTCCCTTTCAGCTGACGACGAAGATGACACCTCGGTGCCAGGAGGCATCATGATTGAAGGAGATTCGGGCTTTGAGTACGATGATGATGTGATGACGTCGCCGATCATTGACCACGTGCTCGGAACCAGTCACATGTCCACCGTCTCGGGAATCATCAACCGCCGCCGCAGCAGCACGTCCACCCAGAAGCATCGCCACCGTCTCTCCACCAATAAATCCACCGCCCCATCGATTGTGTCGGTTGACACGACGTCTCGCCAAGTCACAGGAACCGAGCGTATCGAGACTGGACGCGTCAAGATGGATACCTACCAGAAGTACTTTGGAGCCATAGGAATGTCTATCGCCGTCATTTTTGTGTTTGGAATGATGGTAAGGAGCTTGTGGCTGACGGATTGGTCAAACGATAATGCTGCCCGCGCTGATTCTCTCGGATTCTCTCAAAGTGAGTTTTCCCGCCACGTGCGTCCTCAGAACGTCATTCTTTCTTTTCAATTATCCTTCTCTCAATCGGAATGCTGTCCCTGCTCTACGGAGGAGCATCGGCTTTGAGAAACCTGCACGCCCCGCTGATGCGCAATCTGTTCCGTGTTCCAATGGTTTTTTTTCGACACGACACCACTCGGACAGATTTTGAAGCGCATCGGAAAGGATATCGAGACGTTTGACGTGCTTCTGCCGTTTAATGTCCAGTTCTTTGCACAGTACCTCCTACAAGTGATCAGTGCCCATTCATTATTATAAGGACAATTTACAACCACAATGGGTTGAGCGAGATCATTTGACAGGTTTTGTTGCGGTTGCAAAACGTCTAGTATCGCTAAGACAAAGCACATTTTCATTATCATTTTCCAGGTATAAATTCGACGATCTGAATGTTTCCCGACATGATGCTACGCGAGTAGCCAAAGAAGCACCGCACATCCTTATGTACCAAAAGAGCAGACATGGCAAGATCAGCCGAACTGGAACCAGAAAGCCAACAGAATCTCCGTACAACGTAAATGCCTTATGAAGTCCCGATTTTAACAAAAATACAATTTCAGTTCTTCGACGCCAGCAAACGATATCTGGAACGCTGTCCAGAAGCGTGGAAAGTCATTTAAGAGACACTGGAAAATGATGTTGCCAACAATGTAGCCGACATCAAGAGGTTCAAAGAGGATAACGAATTCGAAAAAATGTTGACTGCCGAAAATTGCATTCCCGACGCAATGACTCCGGCAAATGTGGTCTCGTCGAGCAGCATGGAGGACTCTATGGATGGAGGACTCTATGGATGCCTCTATGGATGGATGGTTTAGACTTATGAAAGTACGATTGGGAAGAAGCAATCCCAATCATACTTTCCCATCAGATCTCTTTGTCGGCGTCCTTATCCCCCCGGTAATCAAGAACGCAGGAATTTCAGCTTCAAGCGGATTTGCGGCAAATTTCAAAGCAATCGACTTAATTACCGTTGGAGATTAGTGATAAGGACGCCGACAAAGGGCTCTGATGGGAAAAAAACTATTGGGATTTCGAAACGTCATGGCACCGTGCCACAGTATGCACCATAACTAGGAGAGTGTTTTAACATCATTGGATCTTATACAGAAGCAGGATCCTCAGAAATCGCAAAAGCCTGACGGACGGCCACTTCTTTGTGCACACTGCCAGGTTTTCAGAGGTGGCGGCCGACGTTATAGACCCGATTCATATGTCTGCGAACTTTTAGACGTTTTTCTTCAAATAAACACTAAGACAGGTTTGATTTTTAAATGATTTATTGCTGGGGAAAAAATTGAGCCATTCTACCAATTGTCTCCCCAGAAACACCCAACCTTACTTAGGTCTGGGTGTGTCTGGCTGTTTTGGCTCGGATTGAGCTGAGGTGGGCATCGGAGATGAAGTCCCGGCGGACGAGATGAGGCGAGGAGCGAACCTGCAAGAGCAACATTTCAGAATTTTAATATTAGGGTTGAATTGTTTTCTCGTGATGGAACTTTTTGCATTTTCTCTAATGCTGAACGCTTGAAAATCATTTACATCATGATGTTTCGGGTTTGTCCTGGAGAGAAGAGAGTCGAATCCGGAAGACTGGCTGGATGCGAATGAATTTCCTGGCCGAGCGGAGCGCTTTTATGTAAGAATTTTTGGTGCTGATCTTTTTATTATTCCGATCAGCGATAAAAAAATGGAAGAAAAACGGAACACCCCTCTCCCATTTTTATGTATTTTCTGGAGAACGGACAGAAATGCACGTTTGCTTCGCAGGTGATCAGAAAACAAGCGCTTGGGCCGTTCGGAACACCTGCGTCGGCCGCCGTATCTAAAAACCTAACAGTAAAGTACAAACGTGAGAAAAGCGAGAAGAGATTAGGATTATCTTGCACGTCTTACAAAATATGCATAACACAGACATGCTCAACTCGGAGATTCTGCATTTACACAGATTTCAGCATTTCATCTTCAAACGGATTTGCGGCAAATTTCATAGCAATCGACTCAATTACCGTTGGAGATTAGTGATAAGGATGCCGACAAAGGGCTCTGTTGGGAAAGAACGATTGGGATTTCGAAACGTCATGTGCCAAGAGGATTCGAAAAAAGAGTGATAAGGAACTGAAGGATTTCCTTGCTGAATCTCCGAGTTGAGCACGTCTATGTTATGCATGTTTTGTAAGATGTGAGAGATAATCCTACTCTCTTTCTCCCTATTCTCACGTTTGTACTTTACTGTCAGGTTTTTGGATACGGCGGCCGACGCAGGTATTCCGAACGGCCCAAGCGCTTGTTTTCTGATCACCTGCGATGCAAACGTGCATTTCTGTCCGTTCTCCAGAAAATACATAAAAATGGGAGAGGGGTGTTCCGTTTTTCTTCCATTTTTTTATTGCTGATCGGAATAATAAAAAGATCAGCACCAAAAATTCTTAAATAAAAGCGCTCCGCTCGGCCAGGAAATTCATTCGCATCCAGCCAGTCTTCCGGATTCGACTCTCTTCTCTCCAGGACAAATCCGAAACATCATGTTGTAAGTTATTTTCAAGCGTTCAGCATTAGAGAAAATGCAAAGAGTTCCATCACGAGAAAACCATTCAGCCCTCATATTAAAATTCTGAAATGTTGCTCTTGCAGGTTCGCTCCTCGCCTCATCTCGTCCGCCGGGACTTCATCTCCGATGCCCACCTCAGCTCAATCCGAGCCAAAACAGCCAGACACACCCAGACCTAAGTAAGGTTGGGTGTTTCTGGGGAAACATTTGGTAGAATTTCTCAATTGTTTCCCCTGCAATAAATCATTTAAAAATCAAACCTGTTTTAGTGTTTATTTGAAGAAAAACGTCTAAAAGTTCGCAGACATATGAATCGGGTCTATAACGTCGGCCGCCACCTCTGAAAACCTGGCAGTGTGCACAAAGAAGTGGCCGTCCGTCAGGCTTTTTCGATTTCTGAGGATCCCATCGCTTCTGTATAAGATCCAATGATGTTAAAACACTCTCCTAGTTATGGTGCATACTGTGGCACGGTGCCATGACGTTTCGAAATCCCAATCGTTTTTTCCCATCGGAGTCCTTTGTCGGCGTCCTTATCACTAATCTCCAACGGTAATTAAGTCAATTGCTTTGAAATTTGCCGCAAATCTGCTTGAAGCTGTTTTTCCGGCGGTCTTGATTACCGGGGGAGATTAGTGATAAGGACGTGGACAAAGAGATCTGATGGGAAAAAACGATTGGGATTGCTTCTTCCCAATCATACTTTCATAAGTCTAAACCATCCATCCATAGAGGCGACTAGTTTGTTCAGCGCCGCTTGAGTATTATCTTCAGACGCGGGGTTTTTATTTATCCGGCTCGCTTTCTGGAATTATATTTGTTTTATGGTTAAGTTTAGGTAGTAATGATTTTCTGCTACCTTTGATACTCTTCCGTAGAGCAGGGACAGCATTCCGATGAAGAGAAGGATAACTGAAAAGAAAGAATGACGTTCTGAGGACGCACGTGGCGGGAAAACTTACTTTCCGATAATCCGAGGCCAGCGTACACTCCCAGACGGACTCCAATACTGTTTCCAGTGGCGTTGGTTCCAGCGCGAGAGGATCCAGAAAGTCGTTTGACCAATCCGTCAGCCACGAGCTCCTTACCATCATTCCAAACACAAAAATGACGGCGATAGACATTCCTATGGCTCCAAAGTACTTCTGGTAGGTATCCATCTTGACGCGTCCAGTCTCGATACGCTCGGTTCCTGTGACTTGGTGAGACGTCGTGTAAACCGACACAATCGATGGGGCGGTGGATGTGGTGGTGGAGAGACGGTGGCGCTACTTCTGGGTGGACGTGCTGATGCGGCGGCGGTTGATGATTCCCGAGACGGTGGACATGTGACTGGTTCCAAGCACGTGGTCAATGATCGGCGACGTCATCACATCATCATCGTACTCAAAGCCCGAATCTCCTTCAATCATGATGCCTCCTGGCTCCGAGGTGTCATCGTCATCGTCAGTTGAAAAGCCGACTTTCACGCCGCTTCTGGTCGCATCATCGTTTGAGCGGTGATCTGTTGGAAGCGGTCAATGTCTATGGCTATGAGGTTGACAATCTCGCCGACAGTCTTCTCGCGACGAGCGGCCTTCGACAAACGGAGCGTCTGGAAAATAGAGGTAACATTTATATTCGCCGAGTGGAAGAGAGGGAACCTTGCGATAAACAGCGGCTGTGAGACACGTCTACACACAAGTTCCGACTCGATACATAAGGCAGAGGAAGTGGGCTGCAATTATTAAGCACACTTTGATTGTTTCAGAGTTCGAGGAGAACCACAACCGTCGTCGCGCTGATTCCAATGTCTCAAACACGTCCAGCCGCCGCAGCTCGTCAAACGACAGTACTCTGTTGCTCCACGATCAGAACACGGACAACTACAGAGCGGTGCCCACCAGCTATCCCAGCCAACACATGCCCTCCATCATCCGGCTGAGCTTTTGTCCATCCTGCTCTACGTCAACCTCGCGATGGAAAACGAGTTCTCCACCAACCGCCACGGCAGAGCCTGCATCTGCATGCACTCAAGAAAAGTTTCAGGCAAAAGCTATAGTTTCGAGTTCTACATTGTTTTTCTTCTCGAGTCACTCTTCCATCAGAGTTTTTATTGTTCTCATTTAGAATTCTGAGTTCTCGTCGTAATCTTGCGAAAGGTGGTTCAAACAGCTGTGCGCAGAATGTGTCAGCCGATCCATAAGTGCGTCAGTAACCGTGACCCCCCCCCTTAATAAAAAAACGGTCTTTATTGATCTTACTTTTTTTATGTTTACACTAAAATTCTGCAATTTTTAAGCACACTTTGATTGTTTCAGAGTTTGAGGAGAACCACAACCGTCGTCGCGCTGATTCTGATGTCTCAAACACGTCCAGCCGCCGCAGCTCGTCAAACAACAGTACTCTGTTGCTCCACGACCAAAACACGTACAACTACGGAGTGGTGCCCACCAGCCATCCCAGCCAACACATGCCCTCCATCATCTGGATCCTCTTCCTCATGTTCAAGTGGGACGTTATCACTGCGATGTTTGTCAAGCTGCTCTCGGATATCCTTCTCTTCTGCAACCCGATGCTGCTGAAATTGCTTCTTGAGTTCACGGAACAATTGGAAAGACCGATGTGGCAAGGAGTCGTGCTCGCGTTCACCATGTTCGGATCGGCTGAGCTTTCGTCCATCCTGCTCTCCCACTTCCTCTGCCTGATGTATCGAGTCGGAACTCATGTTCAGACGTGTCTCACATCCGCTGTTTATCGCAAGGTACCCTCTCTTCCACTCGGCGAATATAAATGTTACCTCTATTTTCCAGACGCTCCGTTTGTCGAACGCCGCTCGTCGCGAGAAGACTGTCGGCGTAATTGTCAACCTCATGACCATAGACATTCACCGCTTTCAACAGATCACCCTTCAAACGATGCAGTTCTGCTCAAACCCATTCCAAATCGGATTTGTTTTGTTCCTGCTCTTCCAGTAACTGGTAGTCTCAGTCTTCAGTGGAGTTGCCGTGATGGTGCTTTTGTTTCCGATCAGCTTTGTGATCACGATGATCATTCGCAAGTGGCAGATCTCGCAGATGTACTACAAGGATGAAAGGACAAAGATAATGAACTAGGTGCTCGAAGGAACCAAGGACATCAAACTGTATGCGTGGGGGCCGCCTATGGAGAACGTCATTGAAGATTTGAGAGAGAAGGAACTGGGGCTGATCAAGAAGGCCGCATTCCTTCGCACTTTCTCGGACATGCTCAGCACCGCCTCGTCTTTTTTTGTCGTCCTTTCCACCTTCATGACCTTTATCTGTATCGATCCGAAGAATATGCTGACACCGGAGATTGCGTTTGCATCTTTGACGCTCTTCAATCAGTTGAGTTCACGATTGTCTCAAGTCGCGGATTTGATCACTCAATCCGTGCAAGTGGTGGTTTCCAACAGACGTCTGAAGGAGTTCCTCAAGTCTGAAAAGCTCAACGAGGACGCCATCGATCGCAAAGGCCGTGATAGTGAGTCTAATGACGGCTGCCGACAGACTGATTATTGGTTTTTTGCAGATAACGACATCATTGCCGTGAACGACTCGACGCTGTCCTAGGAGTCTATCGAGAGCAAGCCGGTGCCATGCTTCCACAACATCTCCTTCTCAGTGCAAACTTTTAGACATTTTTCTTCAAATAAACACTGAAACAGGTTTGATTTTTAAATGATTTATTGCTGAGGAAAAATTGAGCGATTCTATCAATTGTCTCCCCAGATACGCCCAACCTTACTTAGGTCTGGGTGTGTCTGGCTGTTTTGGCTCGGATTGAGCAGAGGTTGGCATCGGAGAAGAAGTCCCGGCAGACGAGATGAGGCGAGGAGCGAACCTGCAAGAGCCACATTTCAGAATTTGAATATCAGGCTGAATGGTTTTCTCGTGATGGAACTCTTAGCATTTTCTCTAATGCTGAACGCTTGAAAATAACTTACATCATGATGTTTCGGATTTGTCCTGGAGAGAAGAGAGTCGAATCCGGAAGACTGGCTGGATGCGAATGAATTTCCTGGCCGAGTGGAGCGCTTTTATGTCCGAATTTTTGGTGCTGATCTTTTTATCATTCCGATCAGCGATAAAAAATGGAAAAATAACGGAACACCCCTCTCCCATTTTTATGTATTTTCCGGAGAACGGGCAGAAATGCACGTTTGCATCGCAGGTGATCAGAAAACGCGCGCGGGAGCCGTTCGGATTACCTGCGTCGGCCGCCGTATCCAAAAACTTGAGTCTAATGACGGCTGACGACAGACTGATTATTGTTTTTTTGCAGATAACGACATCATTGCCTTTAACGACTCCACGCTGTCCTGGGAGTCTATCGAGAACAAGCCGGTGCCATGTCTCCACAGCATCTCCTTCTCAGTCAACCGCGGACAATTTGTCACCATTGTCGGACGCGTCGGAGCCGGAAAGACATCGATGACATCTACCTACTTCGACAGTGCCGTGGATGCTCACGTCGGAATCCAGCTGCTCAACTCTGTGATTGGACCCGAAGGAATGCTCCACAACAAGACCCGCATCCTGGTGAAAAATGAGCTGTCGTTCTTAGAAAAGGCGGATCTGATCATGGTGATGAAGGATGGACGGATTGAGTTTGAGGGAAAGTACGAAGAGCTAATGCAGCGTGTCGAGACTGGACGCGTCAAGATGGATACCTGCCAGAAGTACTTTGGAGCCATAGGAATGTCTATCGCCGTCATTTTTGTGTTTGGAATGACCACGAGTACGGTTGTGTCGATGGGAAGGAACTTGTGGCTGACGGATTGGTCAAACGACAATGCTGCCCGCGCTGGAACCAACGCCACTGGAAGCAGTATTGGAGTCCGTCTGGGAGTGTACGCTGGCCTCGGATTCTCGGAAAGTGAGTTTTCACGCCACGTGCGTCCTCTGAACTCCATTCTTTCTTTTTCAGTTATCCTTCTCTTTATCGGAATGCTGTCCCTGCTCTACGGAAGAGTATCGGCTTCGAGGAACCTGCACGCCCCGCTGATGCGCAATCTGTTCCGTTTTCCAATGGTTTTTTTCGACACGACACCACTCGGACGGATTTGCATCGGAAAGGATATCGAGACGTTCGACGTGCTTCTGCCGTTCAATGTCCAGTTCTTTGCACAGTACCTCCTACAAGTGATCTCCACCCTCGTCATCATCATGATTTCCACACAGGTGTTTGGAGTTGTGATCATCTGTGATGTACCTCTTAGTCATGTGATACTTCATTGCCACCTCTCCACAGCTGAAACGATTATAGTCAATTATGTGAACAGAAATTTGTGTTGCGCAGTCAGTGCCTATTCATTATTAGAAGGACAATTTACAACCACAATGGGTTGAGCGAGATCATTTGACAGGTTTTGTTGCGGTTGCAAAACGTCTAGTAGCGCTAAGACAAAGCACATTTTCATTATCATTTTCCAGGTATAAATTCGACGATCTGAATGTTTCCCGACATGATGCTACGCGAGTAGCCAAAGAAACACCGTACATCCCTATGTACTGAAAGCGCAGATATGGCAAGATCAGCCGAAGTGGAACCAGAAAGCCAACAGAATCTCCGTACAACGTAAATGCTTTATGAAGTCCCGATTTTAACAAAAATACAATTTCAGTTCTTCGACGCCAGTAAACGATATCTGGAACACTGTCCAGAAGCGTCGCAAGTCATTTAAGAGACACTGGAAAATGATGTTGCCAACAACGTAGCCGACATCAAGAGGTTCAAAGAGAGGATAACGAATTCGAAAAAATGTTGATTGACGAAAATTGATAGATATTCGCGAAGCGATTGCAGAGGTATCAGAAAGTCATTACTACCTAAACTTAACTATAAAAAAGATATAATTCCAGAAAGCGAACCGGAAAAATGAAAACCCCGCGTCTGAAGATAATACTCAAGCGGCGCTGAACAAACTAGTCGCCTCTATGGATGGATGGTTTAGACTTATGAAAGTACGATTGGGAAGAAGCAATCCCAATCATACTTTTCCATCAGATCTCTTTGTCGACGTCCTTATCACTAATCTCCCCCGGTAATCAAGAACACCGGAAAAACAGCTTCAAGCAGATTTGCGGCAAATTTCAAAGCAATTGACTTAATCACCGTTGGAGATTAGTGATAAGGACGCCGACAAAGGACTCCGATGGGAAAAAACGATTGGGATTTCGAAACGTCATGGCACCGTGCCACAGTATGCACCATAACTAGGAGAGTGTTTTAACATCATTGGATCTTATACAGAAGCGATGGGATCCTCAGAAATCGAAAAAGCCTGACGGACGGCCACTTCTTTGTGCACACTGCCAGGTTTTCAGAGGTGGCGGCCGACGTTATAGACCCGATTCATATGTCTGCGAACTTTTAGATGTTTTCCAAATAAACACTAAAACAGGTTTGATTTTTAAATGATTTATTGTAGGGGAAAGAAGTGAGCGATTATACCAATTGTCTCCCCAGACACACCCAACCTTACTTAGGTCTGGGTGTGTCTGGCTGTTTTGGCTCGGATTGAGCTGAGGTTGGCATCGGAGAAGAAGTCCCGGCAGACGAGATGAGGCGAGGAGCGAACCTGCAAGAGCAACATTTCAGAATTTGAATATCAGGCTGAATGGTTTTCTCGTGATGGAACTTTCAGCATTTTCTTTAATGCTGAACGCTTGAAAATAACTTACATCATGATGTTTCAGACAGTTTTGTCCTGGAGAGAAGATAGTCGAATCCGGAAGACTGGTTGGATGCGAATGAATTTCCTGGCCGAGCGGAGCGCTTTTATTTCCGAATTTTTGGTGCTGATCTTTTTATTATTCCGATCAGCGATAAAAAAATGGAAGAAAAACGGAACACCCCTCTCCCATTTTTATGTATTTTCTGGAGAACGGACAGAAATGCACGTTTGCATCGCAGGCGATCAGAAAACGAGCGCTTGGGCCGTTCGGAATACCTGCGTCGGCGGCCGTATCCAAAAACTTGAGTCTAATGACGGCTGACGGCAGACTGATTATTGTTTTTTTGCAGATAACGACATCATTGCCTTTAACGACTCCACGCTGTCCTGGGAGTCTATCGAGAACAAGCCGGTGCCATGTCTCCACAGCATCTCCTTCTCAGTCAACCGCGGACAATTTGTCACCATTGTCGGACGCGTCGGAACCGGAAAGACATCGATGACATCTACCTACTTCGACAGTGCCGTGGATGCTCAAGTCGGAATCCAGCTGCTCAGTTCTGTGACTGGATCCGAAGGAATGCTCCACAACAAGACCCGCATCCTGGTGACGAATGAGCTGTCGTTATTGCAAAAGGCGGATCTGATCATGGTGATGAAGGATGGACGGATTGAGTTTGAGGGAAAGTACGAAGAGCTAATGCATCAAGATGCTTTCGAGCAATTGCTGATCGAGTGCGAGCAAGTGGACCAGAAGCGACGTGAAAGTCGGCTTTTCAACTGACGATGACGATGACACCTCGGAGCCAGGAGGCATCATGATTGAAGGAGATTCGGACTTTGAGTACGGTGATGATGTGATGGCGTCGCCGATCACTGACCTCGTGCTCGGAACCAGTCACATGTCCACCGTCTCGGGAATCATCAACCGCCGCCGCATCAACACGTCCACCCAGAAGCATCGCCACCGTCTCTCCACCAATAAATCCACCGCCCCATCGATTGTGTCGGTTTACACGACGTCTCGCCAAGTCACAGGAACCGAGCGTGTCGAGACTGGACGCGTCAAGATGGATGCCTACCAGAAGTACTTTGGAGCCATTAGAATGTCTATCGCTGTCATTTTTGTGTTTGGAATGACCACGAGTACGGTTGTGTCGATGGGAAGGAACTTGTGGCTGACGGATTGGTCAAACGACAATGCTGCCCGCGCTGGAACCAACGCCACTGGAAACAGTATTGGAGTCCGTCTGGGAGTGCACGCTGGCCTCGGATTCTCTCAAAGTGAGTCTTCCCGCTACGTGCGTCCTCAGAAATTCATTCTGTATTTTCAGTTATTTTTCTCTTCATCGGAATGCTGTTCCTGCACTACGGAGGAGTATCGGCTTCAAGAAACCTGCACGCCCCGCTGATGCGCAATCTGTTCCGTGTTCCAATGGCTTTTTCGGCACGAAACCGCTCGGACGGATTTTGAAGCGCATCGGAAAGGATATCGAGGCTTGATTTTCAAATGATTTATTGCAGGGGAAAAAATTGAGCGATTCTATCAATTGTCTCCCCAGATACGCCCAACCTTACTTAGGTCTGGGTGTGTCTGGCTGTTTTGGCTCGGATTGAGCTGAGGTGGGCATCGGAGAAGAAGTCTTGGCAGACGAGATGAGGCGAGGAGCGAACCTGCAAGAGCAACATTTCAGAATTTGAATATTAGGGATGAATGGTTTTCTCGTGATGGAACTCTTTGCATTTTCTCTAATGCTGAACGCTTGGAAATAACTTACATCTTGTGGTCTCGGATAGTTTTGTCCTGGAGAGAAGAGAGTCGAATCAGGAAGACTGAATGGATGTGAGTGAGTTTCCTGGAGCTTTTATATCAGAATTTTTGGTGCTGATCTTTTTATTATTCCGATCAGCGATAAAAAATAGAAAAAAACGGAACACCCCTCTCCCATTTTTATGTATTTTCTGGAGAACGGACAGAAATGCACGTTTGCATCGCAGGTGATCAGAAAACGAGCGTTTGGGCCGTTCGGAATACCTGCGTCGGCCGCCGTATCCAAAAACCTGACAGTAAAGTACAAACGTGAGAATAGCGAAAAAGAGATTAGGATTATCTCACACGTTTTACAAAACATGCATAACATAGACATGCTCAACTCGGAGATTCAGCATTTACACAGATTTCAGCATTTTTCCATACTTTTCCCCTGTATATTGGGTCCAAATTACAGATCGATCGAACTATCGACTCGGTGTTGAATGCTTGCATTCGAAATCGGAAATCCTTCAGTTCTTTATCACTCTTTTTTCCCTCTTGGTAAGGTGCCATGACGTTTCGAAATCCCAATCGTTCGTTCCCATCAGAGCCCTTCGTTCTTATCACTAATCTCCAACGGTAATTAAGTCGATTGCTTTGAAATTTGCTGCAATTCCGCTTGAAGCTGAAATTCCTGCGGTCTTGATTACCGGGGGAGATTAGTGATAAGGACGCCAACAAAGGACTCTGATTGGAATGTACGATTGGGATTTCGAAATGTCATGGCACCGTGCCAAGAGGATTCGAAAAAAGAGTGTTGAAAGATTTTCGACACAGGATTTTCTACAATAATCCTAAACCTTTTAAAATTACAGTACTACAGTAACATAAGAGTTGAAAAGGATACAGTAGCTTCTTTTTGGTAGTGTTACAGTTACCATAAGACTGGAATACCTCAAATAAGGGTGAAGCTTCTAGAAAAACAATACTTTTTCCTTTCGGTGACATTGAAAAGTGCATCGAATTCACCGTCTACCCGGGCAACTCCAACCGTAACTCTCTGCTCAACGACATCTACTGCAACTTCGTCCAGGCGCCCAACGACACGGACTATTTGCTTTGGCGGAACTTTGGCGCTCTTTGCGTAGTCGCTCCCCAATAGATTCGTTAATAAATGAGATTATTCAGAATCACTTGGGGGCTATTCAGAACAAACAAATGTACAAGTCGAGTACACTGGAGAATGGGGACCGAGAACAACAAAAAAGCGAGAAATATAGATTATTTGTTCGGATTGTATATCCTTTTCTTGACACGAGTGATGCGCCACGCGTTCGGATCCGCGTACTTGTCGAAGAGAGGATCGATCTTCTGGTTCCGCTTCAAATTCGACAATTTCGTCGAGTCGCCGATTTTGAAGAAGGAACTCGACGAGCCATTGCGACCTGAAGTTCGAAGCTACAATATCTGAAAGAGACCATGATAAGGATTACCGTAGTAATACTAAGTTCCTAGATACAGAAACCGTCAATGAATTGTATGCCAACTCTACCGTACCTTAATAAATCCCACACTAACGCAGTTATCCTACCAAGTTTTACTGCGCCTTCAGTTACAGTAGTGCAGAATGTTTATAATAAAGTTGCAGTTTAGATCTACCACATTCTAAGACCATAACTAGCAAATCAATGATGGTTCTACAGTAATCCGTACTTTTAGCTAGGGTGGCGGAGGATCGCCCGCGCCCGCCTCGGGTCGCGTCGAAATAGAGACGTGGGCGACCCTCGCCTCTGAAGGACCCGTCGCCCTCGGCGTAAAACGCCCTAACATATCCTATACGGAAGCGAAGGGATCCTCAGAAATCGCAAAAACCTGACGGACGGCCACTCTTTGTGCACACTTCCAGGTTTTCAGAGGTGGCGGCCGACGTAATAGACCCGATTCATATGTCTGCGAACTTTTAGACGTTTTTCTCCAAATAAACACTAAAACAGGTTTGATTTTTAAATGATTTATTGCTGGGGAAACAATTGAGCGGTTATACCAATTTTCTCCCCAGAGACACCCAACATTACTTAGGTCTGGGTGTGTCTGGCTGCTTTGGCTCGGATTGAGCTGAGGTTGGCATCGGAGAAGAAGTCCCGGCAGACGAGATGAGGCGAGGAGCGAACCTGCAAGAGCAACATTTCAGAATTGGAATATTAAGCTGAATGGTTTTCTCGTGGTGGAACTTTTTGCATTTTCTCTAATGCTGAACGCTTGAAAATAACTTACATCATGAGGTTTCGTTTTTCCTGGAGAGAAGAGAGTCGAATCCGGAAGACTGCTTGGATGCGAATGAATTTCCTGGGCGAGCGGAGCGCTTTTATTTCCGAATTTTTGGTGCTGATCTTTTTATTATTCCGATCAGCGATAAAAAATGGAAGAAAAACAGAACACCCCTCTCCCATTTTTATGTATTTTCTGGAGAGCGGACAGAAATGCACGTTTGCATGGTGATCAGAAAACGAGTGATACTGTAGATTGGTCAAATGCACTGTCCAATTCAGTGATAATCATTCGAGCCTGGACTAAAGATTTACTTTTACGTGAAAGCAAAATAACTATACATAGGACAAAGGTTCTGGGAATGAGAAAACCATGTGACTAGCGCATACTCCGCTCGCACCATGACGAAAAAGTTTCATTAGGTTTCATTCAATTGGGCCGTTCGGAATACCGCCGTCTCCAAAAAGAGCAAAGTGAATCGAGAAAGATCAATTGAAAATGCATTTATTCAAATTACCACGTGGTTTTTATGAGACAGGGAAATTGAATTAGCCGCACAGAATACCGAGTACAGATTAAGTAGAAGTAGAGGTAGCAATCGAGGTTGAGAAATGTATAGAGGTTCATAAAGAAATTTGATAGAGTAAATTTTGAGGAAAATGTTTCATGATTAGGGATAGCGTGTGATCCATTCGTTGATCTACTTCTTCACGCCAGATTCCTTTTTCAGATGTTTCGGAGTGAGCCTTTGTGTGTATCTTGAAACGTTCCAGTACTTGCGGACCTGAAACAGAACACATAGTACTCGATGCGTTTGTGTATGAACAACTCTCGTACCTCTTGGCATGTTAGACCGATCTGTTTGGCGAGAAACTCGAAGAACTGAGGAGTTTGACGTTCCCCATTCAGCACTTTGAAGAATGTTTTGAGAAGTTGTCTCTGTTCCATGGTTTTACGGCGATACCGTCTCGTGCTCGTGTTGTTCGGCTGAAATGCCGGTCTGAAAGTTCTTAAGTTACTGAAAGCACAGAAATATTATTAGGAGCTTACTGAGAAAGTGCCATCTCCGGGTCGTTTTTCTGAGCTGGAACAGTAGCTGTGGCTGTCCGTTTGAAGGACTCCTCCATTTCATTGAGAAAAACGTTTAGGTTGCTGGAATTGTCACTTTTTGAAGTTAAAATTAGGTCTAACAAACTCACTATAAACTATCGACCTGTTGCATTGCCTGTCCTTTATTCAGGCTGGAGATTTGCGCGATTGAGCTCGAATCGTCAAATACGTTTGGATCCATTACGATTCTGCCGGATGCTTTCAATGAGGATAGAAGTGAGAGTGAATCAAACTGTGAGCCGTGCCAGATGTTGAAATGTTTGATGGCATATCGACAGGTGCTGGTACGTACATTGGCACCGAATTGAGTCGTGCGGGTGGTGTCCTGCTGAACGCCATCTGCAAATCCTGTAAAAAGTTAAAAAATATATTCAAAAACAAGGGGACTTGAACCTGCAAGCGATTGCTCGACAGACGAACTCGCTAGCCACTACACCACGGCGGCCGGATTGTGGTTGAATTAGTATCAGGCTCGTGCGAAACGATTGCGAAGGTATGCAAATGCGCTCCACCGAACTCCGTTCCGCGGCGTAAAATTTGTCCTATCGCTTACTGAAAAATTGATATTTTATCGCCATTTCTCGTTAGAAAGATTGGCAAACTTGTGATGTTATCTTTCTAAATGTTTTGTGTCATTTCAATACGTTTTTTGTTCAGCGAAATTTCGTTTAAAAAATGAGACAAGCCATAACATGAACTCATCAGAAATCAGAAATTTTTCCAGCGCAAATAGACTCGAAATTTCGAAGTTTTCTTGGTATAAAATTGGCACATAATGACGTCTTCGAAATCCACGTTGCCGTACACCATCGAATACTCAACGACAACGCAGTCAAGGTGCAAGTGGTGCAACAAATATTTCCGTGTGGTAAAAAATAATATATACATGTTCAAAATCTAAAAACGCTTCTGTTGCTTTGAAAGTTTTAAATTTGTAGGATATTCTCCGGATGGCAGTGTGTGATGTGTCCAACTATTTCAACGGGAACGACGACAATTGGTTTCATTTCAACTGTTTCTGGAGGCATCTCGATCCAAAAGAAGACAAAATAAACTTGAAGTTGATTCAAAATGTCGATCGTCTTCGTTGGGAAGATCAGGTAACTAGGAGCATGATAAAAAATTTGTCTGGGTCATACGCACAACTTGAAGTGACTCGAAATCCACATTTTCTGTTGATAATCACATTACATATTTTTATAAATTCTCAGGAACGGAACGTCTTTATCTGAAGACGCTGGTTCGCTTCCAACTCGGTGCAAACCGATTTTCGGCAACCTCTCTGTTGTAACTTATAACGAGCCATCCATCAGAAAAGGTCCCCGAATTAACTCGAGCTCTATACCTTCGAAAATACTGACAATGCACGAAAAAGCATCACGTTCAACCCTTTTTATTTCAGGAAACGCTCCGCGACAAGATCGCTCATTTCCAAGTGTCTCGTGAGAACTACGCGCGCGACGATTCGTTTTCTGGTCGAGTTTGTCTTCTGGGGCAGCTGAAGACGGAGAAATCGAAGACAAACCGCGGAAAGTGCTATGAATGTGGATCAAATTTCTATGCAGGGGAAACGAAAATGAACAGTGAAGGAGCGTGGGTTCACGCCGCCTGTCTGTTCGCGTCATTCGACAAACTCCATGGCCAGGTGCAGCACATTCCCGGATGGGACGGAATCGACGCGGAGGAGCAAAACAAGATTTTCAATGAATATGCAAAGATTCCCGAAGAGAAGCGATCGAGAATTCCAGAAAAAATGGAGAAAGAGTCGAGTGTCCATGGAAATCCGGAGAGTAGTGTGGAGCACGCGAGGAAGAGGCCAATCGATGAGGAATTGGACGAGGAGAAAGAGGAGGAGAAACGACGCAAAATTAGCAGGGAGGCAAAGTTGGCGGCGTTGCGACAGAGAAGAATGAAGGTACGCCATGTTTTCAAGTTTTTAGAAATGTTCGAAATTGCAGAGGCAAGTGGACAGATCGTTGGAATACCGTAAACTGTTCAGAAAAATGTCGATCAAAGACAGAGAGATAATCTTGGAGGCGAACGATCAGGATATCCCAGTAGGAGAAGACATGGTGAGCGGAAACTTCATTTCTTTTGCATATTCGTACCGATTGAGTTTACACTCCCGAACAACCCCCACTCGCTTTCGTCCGATCCGTCTTTCTTTCTACTGCACTCAGCGGCCATACAAAAAGACAGACAGACAAACGGCTCTTACGTTTTATATACAAGAAAGATCTCATTAATTGCAGGTGATTGACCGTCTCGCGGACAACGCGTTGTTTGGCTGTCCGATTGAGTGCGCCGAGTGTCCAGACGGCAAGATCGTCTACAACTCGGCGAAGCAAACGTACGTGTGCACAGGATACGCGACCGAGTACACGAAGTGCCCGTTCGAGCAGCAGAATCCAGTAAGGACGCCGTTCCAACTGCCCGTCAAGATCCGAAAACAGTACAAACTGTCCGAGTGGACGTTCAACGAGATGACTGAACGGCTGTATCTGAAAGACAAGCAGATCGGCGAGCTGGACGTCGTGCAGCCGAAGGACGAATCGGAAGGGAGCAGCAGTGCGTCGCGGCCCGCAGACGCAGACTTTGTCCACGCAGCGGAGGTGTTCGACTCGAGCTTCCGAATTCCCCACAAAAGCAATGGCGCGCTGCCCGGAACCAGCACGCACATCATCAAAAAGGGAACGGTGGTCGACGCGAAGTTTCCGCACGCGGATCGATGCCACATTTTGAAGGACGACGCGGACGGACAGCTCTACCAAGTGACGCTCAGCTTCACCGATCTGACGACCAACAAAAACTCCTTCTACAAGATACAGCTGTTGAAGGAGGACATCAGAGAGTTGGTTTTTTAAAACATTTTTTGGAGAAACAGTTGGTGATTTCTGAACAAATTCCTAAACAATTGCGATAAAGGGACTATGATTCAGGACCCAATTACGAAAATACTTTCTAAATTTTCTCTTTGCAGTGTGTACTACGTGTTCTGTTCGTGGGGCCGTGTGGGAACAGAAATGGGCGACACGAGCACGAAGACGTTCAACCGCGAGCAGGCGATCGAACACTTCAGAAAAGTATTTTTCGAACAAACGAAAAACGACTGGAAGTACCGGAAACACTTTCGCAAATGGCCCGGAAAGTTCAACTTTGTGGAGACCGACTTTTCCGAATTTGTACGTTCCAAAAAAGTATCTTTCCGAGTTTCATTCTTTCTCACCAAAAGAACTTTTAGAAAAGAATATATTTGCAATTTGCAGGAGGGGATCGCAGTCGCTGATGTCATTCCCGGATCGCAAACGCTCCTTCCACCATCGGTCAAAGACATTGTCATGTCGATTTTCGACTTGGAGAAGATGAAGTCGGCGCTGAAATCGTTCGAAATGGACGTGAACAAGATGCCGTTAGGCCGTATGAGTCAAAATCAGATCACGTCGGCGTTTAGTGTGCTCACAGAGCTCGGAGAGTTGCTCGCCGGGATTCCTGTCAACACAGCCAAGATTGTGGACGCCAGCAACAAGTTTTACACAATTATCCCGCACAATTTTGGAATGAAAGTGCCCGAGCCGATTGATAGCTTACACAAGATCAAGGTGAGCGTTTGCGGTGCGGATCACAGCACACCATGATGCTCCGGATGGAGATTTCCTTTTTGAGCGAGTCATTCCATCTCGTCGGCTCTTTTAAATCTTCTAAAAATGTTGTGAAATTAATTACAGGAAAAGAACAACATGCTGAACGCGCTTTTAGAGATCAAATACGCGTACGATCAAGTTTGCGGGGGCGAAAGACCAAAAGACGGTATGTTGGACCGAGATCCGATCGACACAAACTACGAGAAGCTCAATTGCGGATTAACAGTTTGTTTTGGAATTTCGAAAAAAAACCCGAAAGTTCTCATTTGCAGCCACTGGAGCGAACGTCGTCGGATTGGAAGCACATCGAGGAGTACATGCAAAATACAAAAGGATCGACGCACGATGTAAACGTCGAACTGATCGACGTATGTTCTTTTCAAGAAAATTGTCTATGAAACTGGAAAATTGCAGAAAAATTAGTCCTGTTCTTTAATTCAATTCTTGCAGATTCTGTGTGTGCATCGTGCAGACGAATCAACGAAATTCAAACGCGACCTCGGAAATCGCGTTCTTCTGTGGCATGGATCCGGAAAAATGAATTTTGCCGGAATTCTCGGACAAGGCCTTCGCATTGCGCCACCCGAAGCGCCTGTCAGCGGATACATGTTCGGAAAAGGCGTCTATTTTGCAGACATGTTCAGCAAGAGCGTCTTCTATTGTCGGGTACAGTTTTTTAATTGCATTCATAAATCTTGGATCAATTCGAAACAGTTTGGCAGGTTGGCCAATTGATATTAACACATTTTAAAAAGCTTTTCAAAAATTATAATTCCCAATCAAAAATTGCTTTTAAAACACAATTTTTTCAAATTTATACAGGCTTCGCAACAAGACGAGGCGTATCTTCTGCTCTGCGATGTAGCGCTTGGCAAAGAGGTCCGTTTGATGGCCTCCGCAAGAATGTCAGCGGCAACGTTGCCGGAAGGAACCGCATCTGTCAAAGGTTTGTGCGGATAAACAATTTTTTAATGTTTTTTGGCTCTGCCTGAGCAATCAGGTTATAAAGGTAGGATCCAGGTTCCATACGAAATAAGCAGGTTCCAAAGAATGCCCAGGCTTTGAAGTTTTTTAAATGAAGGGATAACATGCGAAATTTCCAATTGCAGGTCTCGGTCGTGAAAGCCCCGACCCGGCGGGAAATTTTTCGCATCCAGACGGATACATGATTCCGAAAGGACAGCGGATCATCAATTTCGAGGGAAAACGGGGCACGGATTATCACCTATTGTATAACGAGTACGTTTTTTAATGTTAAACACATTTTAAAGAATCCCCATTTCTTCTCTATAATTTTTTTGGGTTGGGACTAGTCTTGACATGAATTTTGAGCACTTTGGATAACAACTGAACACTCTGTTCGATCATCCAGCCGTTTTGAAGGGCTAGGTTCCGACTTTTTTTTTTGCAAACAGCCAATTTTTAGTTTTATCAGGGTAGTTCAGCCAGTTTTCGAGGTATCATCACGAAAGTATCTGAGTATACGTAACTGTATGTCTTGAATCCGAAGAGTTACTTTTGAAAAGGAAAAAAAGCTGATTTTACTTATTTTGAGTGATAAATCAATTTTGCAGATTCATTGTTTACAATGTGGACCAGGTCCTTCTCAAGTACTTGGTGCGAGTGAAGCTTCTGAAAAAGGCCCGTCATATTTAGAACAATCTCTGGTTTTCTTCCAAAAATTCGATTGTCTGCTTTCTCCTCTGAAATTGTCAGAATTTTATTTTTACTTTTTTATCGTAAATTTCCTCCGCCGCTAGTTTTGTTGATGAATTTATGACGGATGAAAAACTGATCTTATCATTTTATCGTTCAGCTTTACCGAAAAAAAGTAATAAATTCGTTTATTTACAGGTTTTTCTCTGAAGAAAAACAATTAGAAGAGTGGAGTTAAATGAAAACTAGTGATTGTTCCATCATTTGTTGTTCTCTTCCGAATGAAACAAAAAAATTAACCGAACGAGACAGTTATAACTAGATCTGGATTGCGGAGACAACAGTTCGTTCAGCAGTCACAAAACTAGACATAAATGTCAAGCGGAAGGTCGTTCTTTATAAACTTGGAACGCAGAACATTAATTTGAACACTGGCAAGAATGACGAGGTGGCTCTGACCCATCATTGCAGAGTTTATTGGTCAATCATTAGTGGTCATTGGCCAATCGTCGCAGTTGAAGTAGTTTTTCTCTTGCAACGCCGTCCCGCTCGTCGTCGATCAATATTAGTTGCCGAAGAATTTGATGCTAAACCCTCTTTTGCTAAAAAATCAACTTTAATTGTTTCTATTCTGCCAAAACCCGAAGAAAATTACCTGAAAATGTGTTTAAAAATGAGCCGAATCGATTTCGTTGCGAGACCCGCCGGTCGAGCGAATGGTTGCGCCTTTGAAGGCTCGAATGTGCCGTGACAGTGTTTGCGGAGTGGGCACCGAATTTGACACGTTTTCAAAACGACAAACTAAAAATTATCACTATTTTATTGAAATTTTCAAACATTTTTAATAGGAATAATATGAGATCCAGAAGTAGTGTAATCCTCCTGAATCGGTCCATGAGTCGGCGTGAGAAATGTCCGCCGGATGTCGAGAACGTCGGCGCAATGGAGCGTTTCCTCGCATTGAAGCGGAAGTATCGGTGTTTGTTGTTTGCTGAGCGTCATCTCCAGAAGTGTTCGATTCTTCGGCGTGTTGACTGGCGTTTTTGGAAGTGTCCGATCGCTGTTAACCTTTTGTGGCTGGACATCCGAGGTTGGTTGGGTTGACTCGTGAAGCTCCGTGTCCGTGGTGGCTGTCCTGGCGTCTGGTCTGCTGCAGGCCGATGGGGCCAACTTCCGGTGTCTGATGGCTGCCGAAGACCGCTGATCTGCTGGCCCGCCGTGTCTGCTGCTGATTCCGTTTGCTTAGCGGATCCCTTGATTCCGCTCGAGGCTGTGCTGAGTGTCCGGGTACTGCTTGCACGCGCTTGTATTGTGATACGCTGCTGAAAATTGACGATGAAGCGGGAACAATCATTTTGGCGGGCTTTTGGGGTGCATTGAGGAATGGAAACCAAAAGGGAAAGCGAGTGACTGAATGAGACCCCGGTCGGTGGGCTTCATCGGCCCGGCCCCACGACAAGTTTGGAAATGAATGAGAACTGGAATAACCAACTCACTTTCTGCTTGAAGTGTTCAAAGTGCAAGTAGACGAGTTCAAGACCGTTGTCAATGCCGGTAGATGACGTTGGAACAACAGCGCGTTAAATTCGAGCGTCTTCTAGTATATCTCCATCGCGCCGATCCAAACATTAGCAAGAATGACGAGGTGGCTATGACCCATCATTGCGGAGAACACGCACCACTCCATCGTTTTGCACTTGTAAGTTAGGTAAAAACTTTTCATTTTCATAGCGTACTTCTCTAGAATCGAGCGACCCATAGCGAAAAAAGACGCAGTTCCTCGATTGAGTTCGGCCGGATCCTTCTTGCTGTGAACGTCGAACGCAACACAGAAAGTGATCGGTCTGAAAGCATCGGCGTTGAAAAGGTTTGTGAGTTGGGACCACTTACTCTCCACGGTATCTGAGATTGTGTAGCTCGGATAATGTCAATGCCGGTTGATCTTGCCATTTCCTGTAGAAACTAGGCTGAAATATGGGAAATGTACGTTGGCAGCTGAATGCTGCTTGCTTACCTCTTTTTTCAGCTGGGGTTGGATCATCCAACCGAGGTTTATTAATATTATACCGTTTTTGCACACTGTCCTGCAAGAACGTGAAGTTTTTGATGAAATCTTGAGAAGGAGAACCATGGACAAAAGCAATCAGAAAGAGAGGGTCGTTCCCTAAGAGCAGAAAGAAAAGAGAAAAAGGCAAGAGACACAAACCAACGACAGTTCTATTCAAATTACAGGTAACTAAACATCAAACACTCCGTAAGAAGTGGAGTGTCGTAGGACACCACGTTCGTTCTCCTTGTGCACAGTCGCAGCGCAGACACTGTGTCGAGCGAGGAGACGCAGATGGTGAGAGGAGATAGGCCAGCCCGGCGGAGGGCCTGAAGGTGCGCGGCAACGAAGGTTGACAACAACGGTTGGGGCGGCTGAGGTGGACGATTCGAAGGTACAGGGGAGATGATAGAAATGTGAACGGCAGGAGAAGAGGTGGATTGTGAGGAATGTGATCAAGAATGAGGAGATTGTCACAAGCATCTTGGCCTAGAGCGTAGAAGCTTCGGAAGCCCGCAACAGTCAAAGAACACTGTAGATTGATTCGACGATAGGTAGCGTTTGCATTTGTTCAGCTAACCCACTTCCAAACACATGTGTGGTCTTGCGCGGAATAGGAGGATTATTTGTCGATCGCTTCTTAACGTTCCCGTTGGAGCACCGTCCTGAATTCGTTCCTTTGGTTTTCAAGAATATTAACATTTGCTTGGAGGTTCTGTTTTTCGGCGCATAGTTCCTCATAATGTTCTTGCTGTTTTGATATTTGGTTGCGATGAGACAACGATGATATTCGATGAATCGACACTGGAAAAAATTGATTCCGAGCCATGGCGTTTGAGAATAGATCTGAAAGAAAACTAGTGATTGTTCCATCATTTGTTGTTCTCTTTCGAATGAAACAAAAAGTTATCCAACGAGACAGTTACAACTAGATCTGGATTGCGGAGACAACAGGTCGTTCAGCAATCACAAAACTAGACATAAATGTCAAGCGGAAGGTCGTTCTTTATAAACTTGAAACTCAGAACATGAATTTGTCTGTTTATGGTCAATCCTCAGATAGAACTCGTTCACAGAAGCCTGTAATTGTGTTCGGAACGTTGATTTGGCGGTTGAGTTGCAGTTTACAGTGGCATGGACCAAGTGAACGCTGATACGTCGTCGAAATGTCTATTTTCATCAAAGTTTGATCGGAATTTGGGAAAACCTTATGTCAGATTGGTTCTTCTCGGTGTTCTTCCACTTTTTCCAACGTTTTTTCCCTGTTCATTGGCGTTGAAGTAGTTTTTCTTTTGCAGCGCCGTCCCGCTCGTCGCCGATCGATATTAGTTGCCGAAGGACCTGAAATAAATAAGAAATATGATAATCAACTTGCTTTTTGCTGAAAAACCAACTTCAATTGTTTCTATTCTGCCAAAACCCAAAGAAAATAATCTGAAAATATATTTAAAAACGAGGCGAATCGATTTCGTTGCGAGACCCGCCGGTCGAGCGAATGGTTGCGCCTTTGAAGGCTCGAATGTGCCGTGACGGTGTTTGCGGAGTGGGCACCGAATTTGACAAGTTTTCAAAACGACAAACTAAACATTATCACTATTTTATTGAAATTTTTAAACATTTTTAATAGGAAAAATATGAGATCCAGAAGTTCTTCTTCTCGTGAAGAAATTGGACTCCCATTAGGACACATGCAGCATAAAATCGTGCCAAATCTGTCCGGAGTTGGCCATTTTTAAGTTGTTGCCACAGAGAATCAATGCAGTGCGCACAATGGACGACACAAAATCACAATGATGAGACGACGGAGGTCCGGCGAATTTCTTGTTGAGCCACTGAAAACACAGGATATTCGTCTAGATTTGGTTGACTTCAGACATGTACTCACTCGGAACGGCTTTGTTATCTCATTACCAACGGCATCTGAGCATGGGTGATTGATTCGGATTGTTTGCGGTAGACATCTGAAAAATTGAATCTGAATTGAAGTTACGAAACAGAAGAAAATCAAGGAAAATTGCTTTGGACAATATCCAATCAAGCAAACTCATTGAAAATAGAACAATTTCCTTACCTCAAACAGTAAAATTCCTTTATCTACTTGCGATGGACGTAGCACTTGGACGAAGTGTGCTGTGACAGAAGGACTTTTCCGAAACCACCATTTCCGAGCACACTGATTGAATGTCGGACCGTTCTGAACAGACTAAATAAAGAACGAAATGCTGCAAAGTATTTGTAACTCACTTTTTTTCAAAAATTTCAGAAAAATTCATTGAGATCATAGAAAATATTTAAAAAATGAAAGAAAATAGGGAGAGCATCGTGTGGGCGACAGGGTGCGGCCCGGCGGGAACTGAATGATTTGTCAGCTATCGGAACGCGGGGAGAAGAAATAGAAAGAGACGCAGAAAAGTGCGTTACGAAAAAGTGACTCATTCGATTGATTGAAAAAGAAGCAACAAGGTGCTGCCTAGGAAGTGTTCTGCAAGAGAAAGACACAAAACATAACTAATTTTAACTGTATTCAGATAATAGGCTGGGAGAATGAAAGAAAACTTTGAGTTAAAAAACTCCATATTTTTCGGTGATACATCGTCGGTATTGTTATATATTTACGTCCGGAAGCAACTCTTTACTTATGTATTTTTTGATAGAGAGATAGGATTTATTTGGTATTGTTCAGAGTGTTATCTGTTGTTTGCAGATAGTCGCCCCTCCTTAAGAATTTAAGAACTCAGCAAATTCTATTTATTCTTTCATACAACAGTATATCCGTTCCCTATCCAATATCTTGTTCTGCTCATCATTTCTCTTTTGCACATTCTTATTGCGCAACAGCTCATTCGATACCCTGTTGCGCAATCGAATAGTCTCGTAGTTGGTGCTCTGAGGCGGGGGTTGCGTCATCACAGAAAGGTGTCGTCAGCGAGCATGAAAGAAGGTGGCTACATTGATACTTTTCTTTAAATAAACAGTAACTTACAAAAAACGAAACAAAACAGAGAAAAAAAAGAAAAACAGGAGGGAAAAGTTGGGATGTGTTGTAAAAAAAAACTTTAAAACAATGAAAGCCAAGAGCTGATAGAGGAATCACGCCAAATTGTTTTCACCATGGGCGCCAGGTTGTGTTGAGAACATTGGTATTTGATGAGGTACTGGAGGAACTGCTTGAAGTGTCAGGCGAATTGAGCAAGTGGGGGAGGAAGTGTGGGCTGGGAGTCGAAATGGAGGATTCGCCGGATAGAGAGGGAGTAAGATTGACAGGAAATGGGTTTGTAGTAGGAAAAGTTTGATATTTGAGGAGAAGAGAGTTATCAAGTGATGGCGACAGGACATTACAATTGCTTGGGACAGAAGGGGCTGAGAACAAAGACGGAGCCTGATAAACTGGGAGAGGAGGGACTTGGACTGGTGGAATTTTATACTTCGAAGCGATGAGACTTGTGAGAAGATTCGAGGCCACATGAATATGATCACCCACGTAGCGATTGACGCTGTCCTGATGCGCTACAAGAAGACGTTCCCTCTGAAAAACAGTAGTTTTTCTCAATTCCCCGTTGCTACTTTCAACTCACCGAAAACACTGAATTAACCATCATAAGCGCAACCTTCCGTCCCTCTTCCAAGAACGATCGTTCCACGTCCAATATTTGGTTGGTCGTCGTGCTGAGATTTCGTTTCAGTCGAATATATTTGATCACTTTATTCAAAATGTTGTTTCTCTGGACAAATTTTCTGAAAAATGATAGTAAATACGATGGAAATGTTACAGAACGCAACTTACACATCCTTTGTTGGAGGAGAAACGTTATCTTGGATAAAGTGCATCAATTTTGCAAGATCATTGTCTCGATTATTTGTGTAGTGAGCTCGGCGAGTGAAGTTACGGAGAGCCTGGATCGTTTTTTTGGATTCCTTCCGGAGTTTCTTGACAAGAAGCGCTCGCTGGTCTACCGGAAACACGCGTGCCACGTAATCGTGTGCGAAAATCTCGATGCAACTGTACTGTGTGTAGAAAATTATTTTCAAATTGTTTGCGGACAATGGTCTATAGTTTTTCATCGCTTCCAATTGAGTAAGAGTGTTGCGGAGCAAGTGCGGCAGTCTGAAAACACAAAATGAAATCTTTTCAGATACCATATCAACTTACGAGATGTGTGTACTCGAATCAACAATAAGCATTTTCAGTTGCTCGATTTGTTTTTGATACTGGATGTCCTTGTTTGGACGGCAAACAATGCATTTGTCAATTTGACACTTTTCTTGCACGTTCATCGTTAAGAAACTTGTAAATTCGAAAAAGAACGGGGGAAAGAACGGGAATAACAGACAAAACCGTTCTCCGCGGCAAGACGGAATGTGAATGACATACGCAAGGTATCATATGAGGGCAATAGTAAGGGGCGGGGCAAACGGAGCATCGCGAGAAACCTACTGTGCGGAGAGAGGCCCCGATAGGTACCCTGATTGGTCGGTCAGAATAAGAGATGAACACGTGTATAACGATCGCAAGGAATGTGTTGAAACTTTGAACTGGTTTTGAACAGCAGAAAGCGTATTTAAACTCAAAAAAATGTTTCACCGATTGGTTATTTGCCTCCATGTTCTTGAAAGTTGTATCCAGTGAAGTTTTCGTTCAACTTCTCACAACTCATCACTACTTTTCAAATCCACGTTGAACATACCACACTTCTCACCAGTGTCTGTCAATTAGGAGAAAACAAAGAGCCATAAGGAATGGCAGTGATCTCGTGAGTACCTGAATGATTTCATTGATTACGGCTGGACACTCGGGAACTGCTCATGTTCGCTTACATCAAATGGCGGGATGCTCCGGCCGAGCACTACGTCGTTTTCGTCTTCCACTCCCTGATTCTTCTTATTCCATCCTACGCCAGAAAAGAGATAAAAGTGAGTGTCCGAACGAGTGGGAACGGATGAGAAATGTCCGGTTTTGCAGATGAAATGTACGAGTTGCCGCGACATACTCGACACATTACTGAAAAGGTTTATAATAAATCTTTGAAAAATTCGAGGAAAAACTCACAGTGATCATCTGGATCGTTGTTGTTTGCTGGTTCTAGAGGCGCGTTCTCTGTCGACTAGTTCTGCTACTCTGCTGACATCGACGGCTGACCTGCTGCATGTTCTCTTTCTCATCGGTCTCTCGCCCTCACACACTCTCTCGCTCTCTGCAACGCAAAACGTCAATAGAGCGGCGCAATGTCACCGTCTTGAGATAGAATGCCGCCGTGCTGCAACGAGCACTCATTCCAGTCTTTTTTTCCGTTGCGGACGGTCGATCTTTCTCTTGCTCTCTTCGTTTCTGTTTTTGTGAGAGAGTGTCTTCCATGCTTGTTGTAATGTGTTCTCTCTTTGAAACTTGTCAATTTTAATTTCATTTCAGAAAAACTATATTCTTGTAACTAACAATGATGCTTAAAGCAGCAAGTGAGCCGGTTCGTGTCAAGTGGATCCACATCTGCCTCGCTTTTCTGACCTTGATCACCATCGGATATTTACTTCACAAACCACTTCCGGCGGGAATCACTGTTTCCCGATGGGATCGATTTGTGATGCACATTGTCGAGCCTGCCCTCCGCATTGCCTACTATTACCCGGTACGATCAGCTTTTGCACTTTTCGTCAATTTTATTCAGAATTGTCTTGCATCTTATTTTTCATTTGCAACCCTCTAACTTTCAGAGTCGTTTGTTCTCAAAACCAAGCAGCATGTTGTACTGGACTCGCGGAGTCTTCAACATTCTGACAAAGGGAATGGGACTCCTTGTAGACACGCAGGGACAAATCGACATGAAATGGCATAATTGGAACGGAACTCCTGTCAAGGTATACCGCCCCACCAACAACAAGACATCCACGGACGGAGCCGTCATTTTTATCCACGGAGGAGGATTTGCACTTGGAAATGTCGACATGTACGATTCGCTGATGAATAGAATGGCTTACGAGATGAAAACATTGTTCATCTCGATCGAGTATCGTCTGTCGCCTGAAACGGTCTTCCCCGGAGGAATTCTGGACTGTGAAGAAGCCATTGACCACTTCCTCCGATACGGTAATGCTCAATTCGGTGTGAATACGTCAAAAGTTGTGGTGATGGGAGATTCTGCCGGTGGAAACTTTGCCACCGTCATTGCCCAACGCCGTGCCGTCCGCAACACTCTGCCCAAACTGGCCGGACAAGTGCTCATCTATCCGCTGCTCCAGATGGCCGATATGCAGACTATCTCCTATCGATATTTTCATTCGCGTCTTACCGGATACTCTTTCGTTGACCCGGAATCTGTCGCCTACTACTACATGTTCTATGCGGGTATCGACATGGACGAAAAGGCATATCTGGTACCAAGTGTTATTTCGAACGGACATGTTGCTGATCACTTGCGAGCGGAAGTCGACAAGGTAACCAATTCAATTTTTGTGGTCCTTGAATACCGTTACTTCCCAGATGCTGTCCCACAAGAACATAATCGAATCCACCCGCAAATACAAAAACGAGACGGTCGGGCGGAGATGGCCGGTGCAGCCAAGTTCCGAGGCTCAACAACTGATGGAACCGTTCCTCACTAATCCGGACTTTTCTCCTCTTATGCGGGACGATTTGTCCAACCTGCCACCAACGATGGTGATCACGTGCGAATTCGATATTCTCCGAGATGAAGGACTCATCTACGCGCACAGACTGAAGGTTACCTTCATTTATTTCTCCCCCTAACCTGTACGCAACTGTGCTTTTTTAGGTTGCCGGAGTGCCCACCACTTCAATCCATTACGAGCATGGTTTTCATTCGATGCTCAACTTTCACAGTGAACTTTTCGAGGCCTCCAAGTCGGTCAACGACATCGAGATGTGGACCCTCGGCGTTATCCGCGCACCGAACAACTAAATATTTATTGAGCGCTCTCCATTTTCACTGTAGTAGATTTGTATTGCTTTAAAAGCACGTATTCATGTACCTAAACACCTCTTTCCACACTAACCCGCTGTCTCTGAACCTTTTCTTGTTCATCATTCACCGCTGTACAAGTACGAGATGGTACTCAAATTTTGAATACTAACGTGATCTGTATGCTCACAAGTTGTTTACTGACGAGCGAACTCATTCATTTTTTTTTCCTGTCTTTTTAAATGACAACTCGCGCATTATCAACTCTCTCTGAAGTTTGTCCTGGGTCCCGAGGCGTCGTCAAACATTACAAAAACAACATTTCAGGAAATTAAAAAGAAACGTGGAATTCATTATTGTTGCCCTATTTGTTTTTGTTACCTCACTGTCTCTGAGGAAGTCGAAAACCTCTGCGACTTTCCTGGCCGTAACGGTGACGAGATAACGCTCCAGAGCAAGGAGTTTAAGCGGTTGAATGGTGTCTGGAGTCACATCGGACAGAACAGTCACATATTCTCTAATAGTATATTTATTCTCAGTTCTATCAAAGAGAAGCTTCAAAAACCGGCGCGTTGCTTTTTTTTTTAAACAGGATAAGGAGCGTTTAGCCAATTTTAAAGTGTATCTTTTTTGCGTTCAACAAAGTTCATATGACCCTTCAATGAGGTCTGGAGAGTCTCAACATATTACATATATAAAAAACAGTTTTTACTTCAAAAGCTCAACAAGATAACAACAGAGTTTTTTGAAATAAAACAAGACGGTAGTACATAGTGTAAAACAAAGATTCATTCACACTTTTAGGGATAACAACCTCGCTCAAGTTCAGAATCAATTTGGTCAACTCCTCCTTCAACTCAACAGAACGACAACGCATATGAAATATCTAAAATTAAAGGACCACAAATTAAAAATGTTGAATTTTTTGCCCAATTTTGCGATTAGTTGTTTTTCTAAGAGGACCTTCCTTTTTTAGGGACGCATGTTATACACTAGTACCCAAAATTTGTACAATCATTTAGAAAACCTTCTCGAAACGCAAAGTGAGTTGGGTTTGGGACTCCTCCGTGTGAACGAGTTTGATGCGAAGCTCGTCTCCGAGTCCAATGATCTGCGGAACCATATTTTCGACATTGCTGTCTCCTTCTGGAAAAATCATTTCATTTAATGATATTAGCGACTCACAACTTACTGTTGATGATCACGGAGATGTAACGAGATCTTTTCGCGCATGTTGCGGAAAAACAGCGGATGACCAAGTCCGGGTTCAGTCTGTCCTGGCGAAGCGTGAAAATGTTTTCAGCTCTGTCGCTCACATTGATGCCTGTTGTCCAAATCGACATTCCGCAGAAAAAAGATCTAAATTGAATCTGATCGAAGACAGATAAAACAATTTCGGGAATATTCGTGTTGAGCAACCATTTGAACTCTGTCATGTTTTCTGAAAAGTCATTAAATTTTGTTTTTGGTACCCATACTAGTTTTTAGCCGACTTACTGTCTTTGAGGAAGTCAACAACTTCTGGGATTTTGCGGGAAATGACCGGTGTCAAGTGGCGATTCAGAGCAATCGCTTTGAGCGGTTGAACGGAGTTAGGAGTGACAGCGGACAAAACAGATACATAATCCGATATCGTGAGCTCGTTCTTGGAGTTTTCAAAAAGCAGTTTCAAAAACTGGCAAGATGCTCCGTTGTTTATCACAGGATAAGGAGTGTTGGCTAAATGATCCATTAGGAAGGACAAACTGGTGAGCCTCTGCCGATTGGAACTGGCAGCAAGCGGCGAGTGAGCGAGTGGTTGCCCATTCCCCGCCTATTTTCCGTGCTCACCGAGTGCCGCGCGTTTTAACTGCTACAGTTTCACTGGGAACACGATTTGCACACGTAGCTACCACCAACTCTTTGAGACTGACAAAGCTAAAGGGGAATGATTTAAGAAGTACTAACAAATGCAGACGGATAATAAATTCTGCTAAATACATGCTATGAGCACTTGCTTTCTATACATTACTTCTCGTTTAGAATGTGTTCAGTTCATTATTTTTGTATCACACGTTTGCTCTCCCCTCTACATACTCCCAATATTCTTCTAATTGCAAAGTCGTCAGCAGAAAAGCAACTTTCGGGTGTTCTTTTTCTCTCCGCAAAAGCTGTAGAAGTGCGCGTGTTCGCCACCATCTGTCGTCGGGAGATGAAAGCGCATCACAGAATGTCCGTAAATCATCAGTTCTCTTGATATCACATTACTTTGTGATTTGTTTTTCAGAAGCACTTTTTATGATTGGCACTGCACTGGAGTGATCAGAGAATGACCTCATGATACAAGCAAAAATGTGACCTAAGGTTGCGAGCCGACAGAAGGCTGGTATTCGCCTACATTGGAGACAAGCTTGTTCAACTCTTTTTTTGGCGCGGTGTTGCGTCGTCAAAAGAGATTGCGCACCTTATTATTGGGCTGGGAACCTGTGCGGCTGGCCGACTGAATTAGTTTTCAAATGCGTTTTTCGACTTTCCCTTCCTACGCAGCACTTTCAACTCACCCGCTGCTCCCCCTCTGGCGAAAAGAACCATGTTGAGGGACTGCTGGGTTACTGTCGATTCTTGAATATTTCCGGTCACTTGACGCCACCCGAGGAAACTTGGTGAAATGCTCATTCTCATTTGCTGACAGCCGTTTGAATGGCTGGAGGAAAGTGGACCATCCGAGGACAGTTGAGATGTTTGCGATTTCTGATGATGCTAACATACTCTTCTACTTGTCTCGGTTGAGAGTTTGACTTCTTGCATAGCAATAATGTCGGAGAGAGGAAGAGAGAGACACTCAAGCGAAAAAAGTTACGAGATAGACAATATTTGTACTCGGTTTATATAGTGACCCTGACGGAAAGCCACGCCCACGAAGGTATATAAGGTCGTCGAAACATAACATTTGGACCGTCTCGTACGGTCTTGAGAAAGCCCTAAAAAAAGCTCAGAAGGTTATCCTGAAAAGGATTAGCTTATCTGATAAGGTCTGAGAGAGCCCTGAAAAAGGCTCGAAAGGTTGTACTGAAAAAGATTAGCTTATCTGTAAGGTCTGAGAGAGCCCTGAAAAAGGCTCGGCAGGTTGTCCTGAAAAGAATTAGCTTATCTGGTAAGGGTTAAGAGAGCCCTGAAAAAGGCTCGGAAGGTTGTCCTGAAAAGGATTAGCTTATCTAGTAAGGTCTGCGAGAGCCCTGAAAAAGGCTCGGAAGGTTGTCCTGTAAAGGATTATCTTAGGAGACCGTCTGGTATGGTCTGTATACACTCCACATGGAAGTGGAAACATTTTTCGACTCTTGGTATAAGGTGTACACTTCAGTCAAGTCGTACAACTTTTTCAAAGAAAGAAAGATATTCCCTCCACATTTTTTCTGGATTTCACGCTAATGCTGTTGCTGCCAAGTGTAAGTTTTTCTTTGTTAAATAAAAAAATGACCTTCATGGACCTTTCAATCCACGTTAGTCCCGAGTCAAACCTCGCTCGGCAAATCGGGTACTTTCCTTGTAAGGGCTATGTTCTTCTAGTTTTCACCTCACACACTTTCTCGTCCCCGGTCGACGACTTGGTCAAATTTTCTGTTTTTCCTTTCATCTATTCATAATTTTTCATATTCTTTTGAGTTGTTTCACTTTCTTTATTTCAGGCTCGAAAAAAATGATGCCCCACGCAGAAAGTGGTCTCGAACGCGTCAAGTGGATTCTCGTCGGAGGAACTAGCCTGGCCCTTTTCAGAGCAGTATGTTCCTTTTATCATCCGCAGTCAGTCGGATTCACTGTCACAGAATGGAACCGAACTCTGAGGAGGGTTCTCAAACCCGCCCTCACTGCTGCCAACCTCTTCCCGGTACGCTGACAATTTTCTAATTGTTTTTAATGTCCATAGTAAAATTCTCAATTTAAATTTTCAGAATCGTCTTGTCTCGATTGCTAGCAGACTGATGCACTGGACTTGCGAAGCCTTGAACAACCTCTCAACGAGTCTGGAATACTTCATCAGCACAGAAAACGGCGGGATCCACGTGGAATGTCATAACTGGAATGGTACTCCCGTCAAGGTTTACATGCCAACCAACAGCGAGACATTCACGGACGGAGCCGTCATTTTCATCCACGGAGGAGGATTTGCACATGGAAATGTCGACATGGACGATTCACTGATAAAGAGGATGGCCTACGAGATGAGGACACTCTTCATTTCAATCGATTACACTCTCCGGAAACTATCTTTCCTCATGGTATCCTGGAGTGCGAGGCCGTCATCAATCACTTCTTGCAGCACGGAAATGATCAGTATGGAATTGAGCCGTCAAAAGTTGTGGTGATGGGAGATTCTGGCGGAGGAAACTTTGCCACCGTCATTGCCCAACCCAAGCAGACTATCTCTTTGCGATATTTTCATTTGCGTCTCGACGAATATGCACTTGTAACCCGGCGTCTGTTGCCTATTACTATATGTTTTACGCGGGCATCGACATGAACAAAAAAGGGTGCATGGTGCCTAGTGTCATCTCCAACGAACACGTTGCCGATCACTTGCGAGCGGAAGTGGACAAGGTGACCAATTCAATATTTTGTGGTCCTTTTCAGATGCCGTCCCACAAGAACATAATCGAATCCACCCGCAAATACAAAAACGACACGGTCGGGCGGAGATGGCCGGTGCAATCAAATTCCGAGGCTCAGCAACTGATGGAACCGTTCCTCAATCTATGTTTTTGGAAATCCTGCATTTTCTCTCTAACACCTCTGTGTTCATTAACTGACCAGCACGTCTGTGGGCGCAATGTATCTGTCCGTTTTCTCCGTACATCTTTCTTTCATTTCCTTGTTTTCCAAATCTTCGTTCTCGAAAAAACGAAAAACCAAACGGTGTTGCGAGATGACCAGAGTGTGACAAATTGACGACGTTCTCAATGTTTGCGCGCAACCGAATGTGCGTGTGTGTGTGTGTGTGTGATAAGGAAAAAGGTAAAAGAGACGCATCACCAGGAAAAGGCCGGGGAAGCAACTGTTGACGCAATACAACCAAATTGTGACAAAACGGACCGCGCGATTCTGTCAAATCTACATGCACACATAGATACAGAGCTCATAGGGTCGTTATGACGCATTCATTACTAAAATAGAAGTTTTGTGCATATCCAAATAGAGGTGAGATGAGTTGTTTTTAGAGAAAATATGTTTCTCTTCTGTTTTCGATTTTTTTAAGAGGGGGGAACCCAAATTCTTAATTCTTTTTTCTTTTTTTCTGCTTTCTCTTCCTCTTTTCCGCTTCTGAGTCACTTTGTTCACGACGTCTCTGCGAGCATACAACCCGAGAAAGACAGATGTACAACAGTTCTTCTCACGGTCTTTCTTGTTCAGACCTTCTTCAGATTCATCACTTTCGTTTTCAGCTTCAACTTATTCTGCTCACAGTGAAATGGATGGAAAAGAGATCATCGTGTCGGATGATGACAGCTCTGACGATGAACAAGAACTGGCCAAACAGTCGTGCATTAAACCGATAAAGAAAAACGATTTTCGCTGACAATCTTTCACAGGTCCGTTGTAAGGTGTGAATGGCGTTTTCGAATGCTTCTACAAAACCTGTTATCACTGATCGTGTTGGTTTCTGGTCACATGTTCCACTACACAGTCTGTTTAGGATAATCCGTGGAAAACTCATACTAAAACGGCTTATATCAAACAAATGGTCAAAAATTGTGTAAAACGCCCAGTGCTTTTCTTCTTCCGACGTTAGAAACGAAAGATGTGGTACGCCTACACAAGGAATGTCTGTTGATATGAAACTTCTTGTCTGCGTATCGCGTATCATTCCCACTCATTCATCATTTTTATGGGTTCACCAGTCTCATAAACCTTCCGAATGCTGGCGACGAAGACGAAATCGCAGAATAGCAGCGAAATCGATGAACTGAAGGATCTTATGCGCGTCACTTTCAATGTGAATAAATCGGATGTTCTTGCGTAAGACTTTACTATCCATTCCTGATAATTGTGTAATAATTATTCATAGTTTAGGAACTATAGAGCTTTCGATCTTGCCGTTCATTACCTGCGAATATTGGAATGCAGAAAACCCACAACCTTGCATATCATGAAGCATGCTTTTCTTCATGGTGTCACTCAAATTGAGAATCGGACCATTGACTACATCAGGAACAACAAATTGTCTATGAGTATTAGCGAAGCTCTTCAAAAGTTTGCAAACTTTAAAAAAACAATCTCCGATGGTACTGCGCCATCTCCAAAAGTTGCCAAGTACTGCCATTTCGGAAAATCGTATGAAGAAATGAAAAAGTTCTTGAGTATTCATGTCTTTGTTACGCGTATTGATGAGTGAGTAAAACAACAAACGGGCCTGATTCAAGGTGGAATGTTTCAGCTGTGTAATTTCTGATCAAGAAGTTTTTGTGACGGTTCTCAACTATATTCGGTTCAAGAAAGATGAGCAGAAGATCAACTTTGATGTTCGGGATGCGGAACTGGTAAAGTCCAGTATCAAAAAAGGACAAGCTGCTGGAATGAGAGTCGCCGTGTTTCTATTCGATAATCTTGAGGTGAGAAGTAGAATTTCTGAAAAATTGAGTGAAATATTGTTTATTATGCATTTCAGGACCGCCGGGTGACTCTTCAAGCCCATAAAGCTGGAGTCTTCAGCCCAGTGCTCGATTCGTCCACAGCCGACAGCAACTTCTCGATTCCTTCCATTTCAATTCGCCCGACTAAACGGCCTCGTAACTCTTTCTATATTTCCAACCTTCTCAAATCTCCACCTCCCTCAAGACCCTCTCCTCAGCTCCCTTTTCAAGCTCCCCCGCCTTCGCTGCCTTCTCCGATCACGTTCAATCCAATTTATTTCTCCGCTGTTCATAATGTAACAATTCCAAGTTATTCGGTTCCCTCTCCTTTTGCTCCATCAATTCCCTCTTCCCAGCATTCTCGTCCAAATTCTAAGGCTAAAAAGTTTTTCAGACCTTGGGAGTGAGGAGATCTTGAGTTCTTTGTTAAACGAAGTCATTTCTTATGATGAATGTTTAATAATGAACATATTTTCGCAAAATTATGAGAAAAAGTGAACTGGATAACATAGCATTGACAATCTAGGCGGAACAGGAACAGGTCGGGCGCGGTTTTTCATCGGTGACAAAAACTTATCGGAAGATCACCGAATGGCAATGCGATTGCCATACATTACAATTTGTGCACAAATCAGTGTTTCATGATTATCCTATTGCTGGTACTGGTCCACTTGCACACGTCATGTGATTGGATGGTCATACTGTATCGGAACAGAAAGTAATGGGGTCACACGCGGGAAAAAACTGGTTTTCGTGTAGGTTAGGTAAACTATTGATGGCGTGCAAATCTCACCGTACGAACTAGCAAATGAAACAATAACATAAAGTGCCGGTAATGTTCAGATCTGCCTTAAGATCGATCAGATGCAGATAGTTACATCGATGTATTGAACTAGCAGGTTTCAAAAGATCACCATGTTTCCCCTGTCCTTTCTCAATGAATAAACAAAGTGTTTGTGCGGAATTAAAATTTTTTCAATGCTGTTTTCAAAACCCAACCGACCTAAATTATTGTGGATGTGGGGTCGGCACGTAAGGCTCCCGTTCGGGGTCCGGTCCTGCAGCCATAACGAAGAAGTTGAGCTTGGACACGGTTCACTTGGTTGAGTGCGGAAGATCTGAAATTATGTTTGATCAAGGCTGGGCAAATGGCCGGCCCAGAATATTTGAAGGCCTGCCGAGGCCTGGAATTTTGATCCACTTGGACCCAAACTTTGTACGCTTTTTGGACCTGGATCAAAGTGAATTAGTTTGGGACCGATTGCAATTGGATCACAAATCCCGGGCCTCCGCAGGTTTTGAAAAAACCTGGGCCGGTATTTTGACCGGCTCTGCTGGAAAACAAAGCTCGGGAGCGGCTTTGGGGTTGTGACTTTCCAAGAACAAAGCGCTCCCTTTACTTGAGATCAATGGGAGCACTACTTCAGCGACGGGGAGTTAGTCTGTATCAGTCAAACCCATTTGTTGTTCTTCGTGACTAGGCCTCCTCGTGGCAAAAAACGGAAACGGAGGCATTTTTTAACAATGCTCTCCCTATTTTCTTTCATTTTTTAAATATTTTCTATGATCTCAATGAATTTTTCTGAAATTTTTGAAAAAAAGTGAGTTACAAATTCTTTGCAGCATTTCGTTCTTTATTTAGTCTGTTCAGAACGGTCCGACATTCAATCAGTGTGCTCGGAAATAGTGGTTTCGGAAAAGTCCTTCTCTCATAGCACACTTCGTCCAAGTGCTACGTCGCTCTTAAGTAGATAAAGGAATTTTACTGTTTGAGGTAAGGAAATTGTTCTATTTTCAATGAGTTTTCTTGATTGGCCTTTGTTCGAAGCATTTTTCCTTGATTTTCTTCTGTTTCGTATCTTCAATTCAGATTCAATTTTTCAGATGAATACCACAAACAATCCGAATCAATCACCCATGCTCAGATGCCGTTGGTAATGAGATAACAAAGCCGTTCCGAGTGAGTACATGTCTGAAGTCAACCAAATCTAGACGAATATCCTATGTTTTCAATGGCTCAACAAGAAATTCGCCGGAGCTCCGTCGTCTCATCATTGTGATTTTGTATCGTCCATGGTGCGCACTGCATTGATTCTCTGTGGCAACAACTTAAAAATGGCCAACTCCGGACAGATTTGGCACGATTTTATGCTCCATGTGTCCTAATGGGAGTCCAATTTCTTCACGAGAAGAAGAACTTCTGGATCTCATATTATTCCTATTAAACATTGTTAAAATTTTAATAAAATAGTGATAATGTTTAGTTTGTCGTTTTGAAAACTTGTCAAATTCGGTGCCCACTCCGCAAACACCGTCACGGCACATTCGAGCCTTCAAAGGCGCATCCCTTCACTCCATCGGCGGGTCTCGCAGCGAAAACGATTCGCTTCGTTTTTAGATATATTTTCAGATTATTTTCTTCGGGTTTTGGCAGAATAGAAACAATTGAAGTTGGCTTTTCAGCAAAAAGCAAGTTGATTATCACATTTCTCATTTATTTCAGGTCCTTCGGCAACTAATATCGATCGGCGACGCCAATGAACAGGGAAAAAACGTTGACGAAAGTGGAAGAACACCGAGAAGAACCAATCTGACATAAGGTTTTCTCAAATTCCGATCAAAGTTTGATGAAAATAGACATTTCGTCGACGTATCAGCGTTTACTTGGTTCCTGCCACTGTAAACTGCAACTCAACCGCCAAATCAACGTTCCGAACACAATTCCAGGCTTCTGTGAACGGATTCCATCGGAGGATTGACCATAAAAAGACAAATTCATGTGCTGAGTTCCAAGTTTATAGAGAACGACCTTCCGCTTGACATTTATGTCTAGTTTTGTGATTGCTGAACGACTTGTTGTCTCCGCAATCCAGATCTAGTTGTAACTGTCTCTTTGGATAACTTTTTGTTTCATTCGGAAGAGAGCAACAATTGATGCGACAATCACTAATTTTCTTTCAGATCTACTCTCAAACGACATGGCTCGGAATCAATTTTTGCCAGTGTCTATTCATCGAATATTGTGCGCACACTGGACATGACCTCTTCCTCCCGCCCTCCCCACCTGCGACCTGCACATAACGTCTTCACTTTGCCGTATGCTCTGCTAAATCATCGTTCGTCTCGTTCACTTCCAACCATACGGTGAGGAAATCAATGCAACCAGGTCCGTTTCTTTTCCCGCCAGGACTGCCTCTCCTGACGATCACTCCGATGTCATCGCCAGGGCTACTAACCGAGGATGCTCAAAGAATGTTGCTTGAAGTAGGTTTTCTATGCTTTTGAGGTCCCCGAACGTATCGTTTTCAGCAAGCACTGGGTCAACCGAAACACGAAGGTCCCTCGCAGTTGCGCAAGCTCTTCATTGGCGGCTTGAGGCATGAGACGACTGGCGAACAGGTACGGATTTTAAACACACATACAATAAACAAATGTCCTCTTTCAGCTCGCCCAGTACTTCTCAAAGTGGGGACCGGTGATCAATGCGATCGTGATGCGTGACACACAAACGAAGATTTCTCGCGGATTCGGCTTCGTCACTTTTGCCTCGGTCTACAGTGTCGAGCTGGCGATGGCGGATAGACCGCATGTGCTGAGCGGCAAGACGGTCGATTCGAAAAGAGCGATTTCACGAGAGCAAATGGCCTCAAACTCTGCAACTCTATCGGTCCCCGTCTCATTCTTCCAAGCATTTTCACCTCCGGCCCCTGGTTGCAAGGTTCTGTTGACCGGAATCATCGCCGGAATTCATTCGGTCGAAGCTCTTCGCATTTACTTTGACACCTTCGGGACTCTTGATCAAATCGAGATTCTCAACGGATCCGGACTGGCGTTCGTGGTCTACGTGGCGAAGGTGTCGGCGGACCGCTGTTTGGCGCACAACTTTGGGCGACACGTCGTCAACGGACAGATCATCCACGTTCAGGAGTTTGCAAAGTGCTTGCCAACTACTACCGAAGACGATTGCAATAGTTCCGAACTGGATTTTTCGGATGACTAGAGATCATGTCCTATATCTTCATTTTTGTGTCCCGTAACTGCTAAAAATATATTTAGTGAATAAATGTCTCCTGATTTTATATCCTCTTACTCCTTGACCAAACTAGACAATAATCAATATGTAAGCATGTGCAATGGCACCGCGGTCCCTTGTGGTTAACAATTGAACGAATGTCTTAAGGCACCGTACTCCTCAACCACATCATAATCCCATCAATTAGTTACTCGACTGTGAATCCAATAATTAAAATCTATTTCAGTGTTACTCATTCTTAAACAAATTCGCAATGGCGTCCAAGATTGCGAAAGGATTCTGCATGACTCAGTGCGTACTCTAGAAGACACCTCAAAGTAGTTTCATGGTGCTATGTCGATAATAAAAAAGGTGGCCCATTGTTGCAATTAAGTCATTTTACGATTGCCTGTTTCACGACTCATATTGATTTCATAAGTAATGAGGTTGGTCGTGTTGCTATCTACACCTTTGCACCTGTTCGAAAACCGTCTCCACGAACCCGCCGGGGTTTCGGTAGATATTGAAGATGGCACCCTTGCTCATATTCACCCATGCCTCTCCCGGTTGGCCGTCTTATTCACTCCTCAGTCAATATACCTACAATACAACTATAGCGTGTTCACCACACTCAGCTTTTTGATAACTGATCACTAGAGCTCTTCCAGAAACAGGTGAAAAGAAACTGTGACGGTGCATCTATAATACACTGAAAAAGTTTAGAAACCCACTCCCCCCACCTGAAATTCAAAAATCCAGTTTTTTTTTTTGATTGAAGGTAGTGGAAAAACACTTTAACGTTATCCGGACATCTGGAAGCTTCTGAAGACATTGTTTTGTGAACCCCATGTTCGTGCCACCTTCCTATTCATATTGATTTTACGAACCGTAAACAGTAAGATCGATCTTTGTCACTATCTTTACCTTCGCACCAAAACTGTCTCCGCGAACCCGCCGTGGTTCCGGTTCATAGTGAAGATCGTACCTTGTTTCATATTCATCTATGCCTCTTCCGGTTGGTCATCTCATTCACTCCTCAGTGCTCTCTCTATTCGCTGCTGCAATCTTCTCGCGTTGTGTTTAGAGTTTCACCAATATGCCTACACGTGTGTAATTCTAGTTGAGCAAACGTACTCTTGCCGTGAAAACCGGATGTTTTGCTTACCCATGTTTCAGCAATTCTTGTTTTGATCTTTGTCTTTATTGTAATTGATTTTGTGCCCTTTACCCCCGTGATTTCTCAGTGTTACTTTCGTACGAATTCATTTTTCAGACCCGGTTCGTCATGTTTGCCGTGCCAACCCTAAGGAACGTCAAGAAGAACATCAACAGCAACAATACCAGAAAAATCATATCGAAGCAAGAAATGGAAAAATTTGCTGGGAAGTTGAGATGCCTGCATAAACTTATTAGACATCCGGTAAGTATCAAGTATTCGAACCAAATTGCATCTCAGAAACTTGTTTTCAGAAAGCTTCTGCCCCGGAACTTCAGCCAAGCATCTTCTATCTCTTCACGTTTTTACAGTTCGTGACGCTAGCGAACGAAATACCATTCGACGAGGTTTGTCATAATGCACTTCCCAAAACATGTCCTTAATAAAATAATTTTCCAGGCGTACCGCAATTACATCGACGGAGTGATCAAACAAATCACGGACTGCGAAGATATTGTGATTCGTGTCGTGCTGCGAGGAGAGAACTTCTACGCCGTTTTCCAAGAAAAAGCTATCCAGAGTCTTTCTTAAAACCTAAAAGTAATTGATTGATACACGAGACTGTTACGAACTTTTCAATTTTAAATTTTCAAATTATCTATTTGTGTCATTTTCACCAATTTCGTTGCCCAAAAGTATCTATTGTCTTTCATTGTCAAATAATTTCGTACGGTAAAGTAAATAATTTTGTTTTTAAAGAGAGACCACAAAGCGGGCGGCACGATAGTTTCGATCCCGGAAATTTGACTATGGTTGTTCTAACAATAAGGTCTTTTACAGTGTTGAGCAGAATTCCGTCTTCCATCTTCCGTGGTTTTTTTTGTTCCGTCTTCCGTCTGCCGTCTTACGGGAAAAAGGTTTTCTTCCGTCTTCCGTAAACATTTTTTTCTTCCGTCTTCCGGGATTTTTTCTTCTTACCGTAAAATAGTGAAAGCTCTTCAGAAGCCATTTACTAGCCCCGAAGAACGCGAATTTCCACGGGCAGTGACCCAGATCCAAAATTTTTGTTGTTTAGTTATTTTTTTCAAAAAAAAAACCGGAGAAAAAGGTTCTGCGCTGACACTTTTTTTTCCGTCTTCCGTCTGCCGTCTTCCGTGAGAAAAATTTTCTTCCGTCTTCCGTAAAAAAATTTTCTACCGTCTTACGGATTTCAAAATTCCATTTCTGCTCAACTCTGGTCTTTTACTGCATTGGTTCACTTGCTTGACAATCTTGGCTTTGTCCTCGTTGACGGCTGTCTTGCATTTCTTCAGTACTACTGGCCAACAAATGTAGATTCCATGATTTCCGTCGGCAGTCGCTGTTGGTTGCGGTTGTTCAGCAGAGTTGAGCGGAAATGGAATTTTGAAATCCGGAAAACGGCAGACGGAAGACGACAGACGGAATTCCGCTCAACACTGTTGTTCAGTAAGGTCAGAGAAATAAAAGGCGGAGTCCGGGAGGCTTTGAAACTGTGAAACGTCTGAAATGTGAGATTTAGGTGTAGAAGAAGCTTTATTATTATTTTTGAATTCATAATTTATCCGACAGAACTCCATCTAGAACACCTCGCCGCCGATCCCGATTTCCGCTCGCTCGTCGTATGCGAGTGGTGCGTACCAAACTCTGATTAGTCGTTAGTCGTTTTCGTCTTTCAAGTTTTGCAGGCGGCAGGTTCAATTCTGCAGAAAGGAAAATCTTTTTCGTCGTATCTTTATTCTTACGGAAGGTGCAAAAACTAAAAAAAAATTAGCTGCAACGCTACAGCATATGAAACCAACGGGTCACTGAACCGATTCTTCTATTCAGCGACCACAATTGTCGCATCTGGTGCCCGGCGGAGCAAAATAGAGAGGTAAACGTATTCATTTGACAATTTACTGTCGTGAATCGGGGGAAATAGCACGAGAACGCGTTTTTGGAACGAAAACAAGGCAAATTCATTAACCGTCCGGACGGCGGCCGGGTCGTGTGCAATGAACCAAACATCCATCCTCCAGTTTTCTTCAACACTTTTTTAGGACCGTTGAAAATCTGCGGGAGCGCAATGGTTCCGATTTTACTTCGTGTCATTTGACATTTCCTCAGAAACTCATGAGCGCGGTGACCACAATCTGGAATAGGACTAGTTGTTGTAGTATTTATCATCGCAAACCTATTTGATGGAGAAAATTCGGGCAGGCACGGCTGTAGAAGTAGGATCGAAATTGTGAAGAACTCCTTGATCGTTTCGCTCAAATCGACCGAATGCAAGAAGGAAGACGGCCCCGAAAGATTCCTTCCAACATGAATGACGCAGTAAGACCGAGAGAGTTGAAGGCGCTTTTGCTCAAGTCGCCGATTTCTATATGACTTCTTTGCCGTGCTCACATTCTCTTGTGACATGTCTGGCATCATATCTAATGATGAATGTCTCTCCGCGACAACCTGCAAAATTACTTCTCGTGACCAGAGCCGGCAACTCCCCATGGCCCTAGATTTGACAAAGGTTCATTAGTGTACTCACCATTCCAAGAGACCCTGTCATCGGATATACAACATCGATCATATGAGGATTCTTTTGGAAAGTTGTGACGGTTGTTGCGAGAAAACGGGCACGTTCTAGACGGCAGGTTTCTGTAAGTGCTCGGTGTATGCTTTTGCTGAAAAAATAAACAAATTTCTGCTGATATTTACGGAAAAGGCAGCCAGAACCTCAAGAGAATGAAAGATATTTTTGCGTTAGCACTGTTGGCTTTGCTTACTGATCTCGTTCTCCGTCATTTTGGTTCATTCCACCAGATTGTAAAACTTCGAATAAGAACGAGCTTTTGTGCCGAATTTAATTGTAGGGTTCAATCAGCCAACTGCTAGCAGAAATGAGCACTCACCAGTGCATTCCACGTGAATTACTTATCGTTTTGTCGACCAACATCGGAGCTGAGCGTCACAAGAATAAAGTCAACTTCTTCCTAGAATTAGAGAAGATGGCAAACGCTTACAACTTGAAAAAAAACTCACATTCAAATTATCCGCGACTTGCCCAATCGCGAGCGCAGAATCTTCTATACGTTTTGATCCGTTCGCAGACAGACCGAGCCATAGTGATTTCAGTTTCCGGTCCGTTTCGACAATGCAGCTCGCACTCATCTGAACTACGCAGAGTGCATAGTTAGATCAATAGCAAGAGGCCACTAATTAAGGCAGCAACGCAGTCAGTCATGACCACACGTAACATTGCGGTCACGCTCACGACTCGCAAGTGTTGGTGTCGCGATGCGGTGCTTTTAGTGGTGTCAAGAAATCTCAGAAAGGATAACGAAAGTTAATGATCACTGATCACTCTCATACCATTCGTTGTCTTAAAATTTGAATTTGTTCAGAGATTAACGCCTCAGCGCTAACCCAACTTTCAAGCATTTATCACTCTAAGCGAACCGCTAGTTCATTATCCTCAGTATCGAATGGACCACTTGTGTACAGTGGAAGTATGAAGGTGAAAACCCGATTTTTTTATAAAAACCCTTTAAATTATGTTAAAAAACCTTTTTTTCCACACTGGTTTACCTAGCGAAGCTGTGTGAATCGTAATTCTCAGTTCTCATCATTTTTGTTCAAATTCCCGCCTTTTTCATTTATTTACTGGTATACGGTACGGGTTTTGCGTCAAATGCGTTGTTCACGTATTGCGGACATTCGCCGCTCCTCCCCTCACAATCAACGTTTATCTGATATCTTGTCTCATTCCTAGCTCAAACAATAGGTCGTTCTGCAAGTTTTCCACATTTTCTCATCTGTTAGGGACTTTTATTCAAAATTTGCCTTTTTTCAATCGCTTTCAACGTGAAAAAAAAACGTGAAAAAACGAAATATCGACTTTTCCGGAGATCACACGTTTTACTGGTTGTCAACCCTTTGCTCTGTTCTCTTATAGAATACTGTTTTCCAAATATACTATGATTTATGCTCTTAGGATGAGTGCCGATCTGAACCCGGACAGATCGGACCTCGCCGCAAGGGAGGCCATCAATGCTAATAAAGAGAAGGAGTGTGCGGTATGCAAAGACCTCCGTGTGCTGGAGACGACTCTTCAATGTGGGCACAAGTTCTGCCATCTTTGCATCAAGGGTGTGTTCCTGACGAACCGACCCTGCCCTCTCTGCAGAACTCCGATCGTTGGTGACGACCTCGATCGTTCAGAGCAACTGGATCCGAAGATGCGCTTCAAGAGAGCCGACGGATCGGAATACGGTTGGTACACACTCTTTGAGAACCTGATTCGACAATAAAACTTTTGGTTTTCAGATGAGCTGCCGCCCCTGATGGTTTTCAAAGAGGAAGAGCCTGATGACGACGTGCAGTTCATCAAATGTACATTTGCCATTGATTGTTTAGTTTCAACATTCTTCGCTTTTAGGCGTGAGGGGAAGATTCTATTGGCTCTACAAGTCCAACACAGAAGACAGCTGGTGGCGCTACGAAGGACGCGTTGAAGCCCTGCTCGAATCCGAGTTCCAGAAAGACTCAAAAAAGACCGTGGAGACTTTCATCTGCGGTGTTAAGTACTACTGCAACTTCACCGAGATGTCCCAAGAAAGTGAAGCTGGGAACAGACGCACGATCAAGAGAGTTGGTGAAGCCGAATTCGATTCTCTGCTACAGGAACAAAAAATATCTGGCGTGGCTGGCGTGTTGATCCCCAAGTAAACAGTGTTAAGATAACTTGTGATTCTACCTCTTCGTCTGTCCTGTTTTAAAATACTTTCTCCCTCCCAGTATCTTTCCCTTAATTTGCTAATATTTCACTCGAGCTTTAAACACCTTCTGTGCAATTGGTCCATGTCCACCCAGTTTCGCCATCTTGTCCGAAATTATCGTCCAACAGCCAACCCATCTTGCTCTACTTTCGGGAAATTTATGCATTTTATTGGAGCCTTCTTCTTCCCGTCATTCCTGTTCTGTCCTGTTACAATTCCTGTTAAATTTATTAATAAAAATGTTATAACGCATTAGGTGTAATCTGAATTTGAATCTACTATATCGTTGTCAACTGCTATTTTTCCATATGTCTTGTTTCTTTTTCCATTCACCTGTCTTCAGGACGTCTTCAGGACCCTCTGATGAGCTGACAACGAGAGAGATGGAGACACGCACGACGATGAGAGTGATGCGCAGCGGTTGCGTGGCGGTTTTGCACAGCCCGGCAATGGCTATCACTACCATGTGATTCGAGATAGAGGATCCCATCGAAGTTAGGGCTGTCTGGCGCAGAGGGACCTACTAAAATAGGAAATCGTGTTACAGAAGGGGACCGATACGGGGAAAAATGAAAGATGTACAACAGAGTTGAGCGGAAATGGAATTTTGAAATCCGGAAGACGGCAGACGGCAGACGGAAGAACATTTTTTTACGGAACACGGAAAACGGAAGACGGAAGACAATTTTTCTCCCGGAAGACGGCAGACGGAAGACGGAACAAAAAATCGTCAATGCAGAACCTTTTTCTCCGGTTTTTTTTGTTAAAAAAAACAACTAAACAACAAAAATTTTGGATCTGGGTCACTGCCCGTGGAAATTCGCGCTCTTCGGGGCTAGTAAATGGCTTCAGAAAAGCTATTACTCTTTTACGGTAAGAAGAAAAAATCCCGGAAGACGGCAGACGGCAGACCGAAGACGGAACAAAAAAACCCACGGAAGACGGAAGACGGAAGACGGAATTCCGCTCAACACTGATGTACAAGTTTGAGGCAGGCTATTCTAGATTTGATCCGTGCTAAGGCTATTCGTGGATTTTTACGGCTAATCTAAGATGATGATCGAATCTGAATGTACCGCTGTGGTAAATTTTTAGACTTTCTAGACTATTTTCCTCCTGCATGTACGGTCTTATCGATCGCATCTTCTGGAAAAAGAGTGTGGAGATGAAAACACACAGGACGTCGAGAGTGTGCACAGACTCATTCCTGTCAGAGGCAAGCGGTTCGAGCAGATGAGCAGATGTACGGGCGGAAGGGGCAGGCGATCAGGAGTAAAACAGCACCAAAATCACGGACTGTCTGTTATGGCGGAGCAACACGGGGAATTAGAAGAGATTAACAAGTTTTTTACAGGACTGGGCAGGCTTAAAATCATCGTCAGATAGATACGGACGCCGGGGATTTTCTATAATTAAGGAATCTGTAAAGTCAATAAGATAACAACATCTGAACTGTCATTCTAGGCTTTTTTTTTACACTGTGAGTTTTCGTCGCCCAGTTTCCCACCATCATTTCATTTTTGATCGGTTTTACATCCAAAAATTGCGGGATCGACGGAAAAATGATAAGGGGACTGAATAATGGGAAAAATCAGTTTATTACACAATTGGATATCTCGAGAAATAATAAAGAACATTGAGAACAGAAAAAATGCTCGAATTACATGTAAAATGTTAATAAGATCGTGATTTTGGAGAAATTCGGATCGATTTGATTGCACACAAAGATAATATTGCAATAATATTGTAATAATATTATAGAGCGGTTGTGTTCTGTAAAATGAGATTGCACGAAAAAAGGAAACAGATAAGGAGAATTGTACACAATTGAACAAAAATCGGTAATGCAACATGGTTATTCAGTCGTCGTAAACGCGCTGACGACGCCCACGTCCTCTTCCACGAATCGACGAACTCGAGCTTCGGATGGTGACGTTTGTGCGCTCGCTGCGCACCGATTGAGCATCATCATCGTCGACGGTGGAGCGATCAGTCAGGGAGACCGAGTAGAGACGGAACGGCTCCCATTCGTTGCTTCCTCCCTTCTCCACGTATTTCTTGAGCAGATACCGATGACTGAAAAGAAATGAGATTGAAATTTGGGCTTAGGCTAACATTCTTTAAAGATACTCACATCGCTACTTTGTCTTGATTCAGAAGCAACGCGCTGAACTCCATGGCGACTTCCAAAAAGTAAATGTTCTTTGGCTCTGAATCGGTTTCCTTGCTGAAATCCTGGAAGGCGTAGTCGATGGCTTTCTTGTGAAGTGCTGCGACCGCAAAACGATTCTTGGCGTAATCGTGTCCGAAAACGTGGGACAATCTCTTCGCCAAGTCTCTGATCTGATTGAATTCGTCGGAGTTTGGGTCCTTTTGGCTGGTGCGCTCGATTTCAAAGAAGAGCGACTCGAGTGTCTCCACAGTCATGAGTCCAGTTGCGATGAAGTCCATCTCTCTGCATTTCGCCAGGAGAGTCTTGAAGAGGTCGCCAAACTGCTGATAGTGAGTTTGGTAGTATCTCATAAGCTCAGCTGCGTGAGAAAGTCCGAGGCAGCCGTGAACAATAAGCTTGACAAACTGAGCAACAAGATGACGCATTTTGTACATCATCTCAATTCTCTTAGTCTGATCCTTCTCCTCCGTTTCGTTGTTCTCAAAGACATTGATTCGCAGGAACATTTTCAGATTGGCAATGACTATGTCATCCAGTTCTAAGCGCAAGGGATCCAGGGCCTTGACATCGTCAAGGTGATTGAAGAAGACCATTAGATCACAGATGCACAGGTACGCCTGCTCCACGCCATAGGCACTTTCATCAATCGTTTCGGCAAGAATATCGATGAGTTGATCGCGACGGTTCCGAAGTTTCAACACTTGATCCCGCTTCACGGCTTCTCCTTCGGTTTTCAGCTCAATGAAGTCGTACACAACCTGTACATGCATCATTCCGACCGCATACTCGCGAACATCTCTCTTGGTCTCCTCGCGATCGTAGTTTGACACAACCTTCACGAACATCTCCCACAGATCCCAGTGGCGGAGGTTTATGAATCCCGAGAACGCAGACATTCTTCTCATGTAGGCCACGAACTGAGCCTCTTCCTCCTCGCCCATCGCCTCATCTTCAAACTGCTGGAACGAGTTGCGGAGGAAGGCGGCGATTCCGTCGAGCATCTTCATTTTGTGCGCTTCGACCATTGGTCCTGTGGTTCTGTGGTTTGAGAGGGCGTTGTAGACTCCAGCCAACTCCTGCAGGACATCTTCGTCGACGTGTCTCTCGATCAGTGTGTCGATTGTCTCGATGAGCTCGGTGAAATGCTGAAAACATAACTTTGAATCCAATTTTCAAGCAGAGAGTACTGTACCGCCTGATTCCTAGCGGTGGCATAGACGCTGAGATTGAAGTGCTTTGGGAGCGATGCCAGCCATTGAGCCTTGTCATTGTCGGATCCGAATTTGTTGAGCAGACGAGGGAGAATTGGAATGAGAATGTCAGTGAGACGCGCTTTCTCTTCCTCAATCTCCCTCTGCTCTCTGTGCGACACCATTCCTCTCTTGGTAGTGGCACGTCCAACTGGTTGCTCTCCTGTCGCTGCCTGCTCAACTGAGCATGCGAGGATGTCGATGAGCTTTGTCTCGTGAAGTGGGTTCACTGAAAGTTTATTATTGGCAGTGACAGGTCAGTTGGTCAAGACACGTCAGCAAACTTACATGGAGACTTATCATTGAGCAACAACTCAACCATTGTAGCCCAGTCCTTTGCTATTTTACTGACATCGATCAGTGCGTCGACCAGATAAGCGGCGTGATCGTGGCACTCTCCTTCAATGAAAAACGTGACCAAATCTATAATCGGCTGCACGTTGCGCGGAATCGCCTGCTTCGTTGGATGCTCTGCGTTCATGAAGATTTTATTGTTGATGAACGATCCGGCAGCCATGGCCAGTTGGCGGTTAGTCGAGTAGATGAGTTCATAGATAGGAACGCAATCCTCTTGGTTAAGCAGTAGCGGGAAGACGTTGTACATGACACGCAAGAGATGGCATGTCTCAACACTTGTGTCGACATCCTTGTCGAGAACCATCGACACCAAACGGTCCTTAAATTTGTTAACGAACAACTCCATTTTCTCCGGCATACTTCTTTTCTCGAAAATTGGAATCAGGGCCCGAACACAACGGAGTCGGACCTCTCCGGCCTTGTCGAACAGGTTCCAACCCAGATATTTGAGATAGGAGTCTTCGATGAAGTGCTCCGGGTAGATATCGAGCCAGTGGCCGAGCTCCGTTATACAAATGCAGCGAATGTCTGGCACAGTGTCACGGTAGCGATGAACGAAGACACTTCTGAAGAAGTATCCGAGAATCTCACGGACCTCCTCAATGCGCTCCTCGGTCTGACTCTTCTGCGCGACCAGAGCCTCGTACTTCTCATTACCAGTCGCATTGTTCTTGATCTTCTGTTTTTCCGCCTCGATTTGTTTGATAGTCTTCACTCTCGATTCGGTCAGTTCAATGGTAACGTCGACGAGAGCCGACGAGAGTTTAACGGCGCAGAACGTGGCGGTGTGTCTGAACGCACGAACCTGGCTGTCGGCCATTCCAGTAAGAAGCTGAACAAAGCTATCCATGAGAACGTGGTCAAAAATCAGCGTGGACTTGACGTGGTTGACGAGAGTGTGCAGGAAAGTGTGAAGATTGGTGCGGAATTTCTTCATGGGTCCTCCTTGGATCATGGGATAGTCTGCCGAATCGTCCTCGAATTCTTCAGTCATACGGGACACGATTTCCCTGAAAGTCGCTCGTTTAATGTTGGTCTGTCACAATACTCGAACAAGTTACTTACTTGTAAGAGAGTCCCATAGACATTTGCGGGGTCACGTGTCCCTTACATCCGGAAATCGTGAAGAAGAACTGCTGGATCTCGGCAAGTGCTCCGGTCGACAACTCGTTGTACCGTTCGATCCACGCGTCCACAGTCTCTGGAATCCGTTTTCCCGTCTTGACGGCAATCACCAGATGGTTCTCCGAGTCCAGCGAGTCCTCGGTGGTAGCGCGACGGGTGGTTGGCCCTCTTCCCCGCACACTTCCCACGAATCCGGCTCCACGTGGACGTCCTCGCTTTGGCGGAGTGTTGTACATGGCACCGAAGCTGGAGGAGAGATCCGACATGACTTCAATCGGCACTGGACGCTTCTTTCGACCGCGAGTGCTGGCTGTTGGCGAGCGGAAGATTCCATCGCTGAAAATCGCGATTCTAAGAGTTGTTTCGCCTGAAAATGTGGGAAATACCTCAATGAGTTTTGCGGAGAGATCAATTCGTTGTAGTTGACTCGTGGCTGGGTCCTAGTGGACATACGCTGAGGCGTTTGTTCATTCGGCTGCGTTTCCGACATTTGCAGCTGGAAATCACTGAATAGATGTAAGAACTGATGAACAACTATTTGAATAGAGAAGTAATAACGATAATTTAACGTAGGTCTACGGAAAACTCTGAGAAACTGAAGAAAACCAGCGAAAATCGGAAGAAACAGGTATATTGATTTTTTAGAGTTTCTGTCGTCTTTCAATGCTAAAAAGAGAAATAACATCTGCTGAACTTCAGAGAAAATGAATTTAGATCACATTTTCGGGCGAAAATTGAAAGAAAACCCGACTAATACCACGTTTTTCACACAGAAAACGTTTGAAAATTGGGAGTAAACTACATTGATTCCGTAATGTGTGCAGTCTGCCGTGGTGGTGTTTGCACACATTGCATACCGTACACCTTGATTCTAATAACCCTTTTTCCTCGGGAATCATTTTGAGTCCGTATTTTTGCTGTACAGTCTATTTCAGCAAAGTTTAACTGAGAAGTGCAAGGATCGATTGGATAAAACGAGAAATATCAGAAAAGGTGGTTCAGAAGTTGGCTGGTCCCATGAAACTGCACTAAACGCCGGTCGGGCCCTTCTTGTCGGTTGGCCTTCAAGACCTAGCCAATCATCAACAGTCTCCGGACCAGCAGAGACCCAATAGACGCCAAACAATGCTTGCAACAGACCTTTTTGAGCTCTGATTGCTTGAACTTGGTCAAATAAACCACGAAAACATAACTAATCCTGGAATTTGCTCTGGAATTCAAAGACCTTATTCTGAGCTATCCGAAGTATTTTCTTGTTAGTTCTGCCTGAGTTCGACTCAAGCAAAAACTGATAAGATCCGACTGCGTCACACTATTTACTCCCTTTGCTATTCCACAATATTACTTACACGTCTATTCTGCGTCTCATTCTCTTCTGATGTAGCGCGGGTTACTGGTTTCCCGCTCATTTCTTCTTTTCCTTGGCGTCCACTAGGATGCCCCCTCTTCCCCCTATTTTTTTTCAATTCTTCTCCACTATTCCACTCAATACTGATTCGCAAACAAGAAAATCCCGAATTTTTGGAAATTATTCACAAAATTAAGGTAAGTGTCTAATAAGTCTTGAGAATCTAAAAATACTATTTCAGGACTTCAATCTGAAAAATTAAATTTAAAAAAAAACTGATAACAAATATGGCAAAGCTGTTGAACGGGTAAGTTTTTGAATACAATACGCGAATTTTTTGAAAGGAATTTATTTCAGAGATCTTCAAATCAAGGAAATAGTGTTCAATTCGGTAGAGACGTCAATGGTTAGATCATAAAACCTACGGTGATTAGCGAAAAAAAGTTTGTGAGTGCTTGAGATCACTTTGCGTTTGAATAATACACAGTAACAGGAAGATAAAACATCAAGCCGTGTGCTTAGCGTTCGTGAAATTAAATTTTCATGCTAACGACAAAATGTAGGTTTATCAGACGGTACTTTTCATTTCTTAATGTAATTTTTTCAGTAACTATGATTCAAAACAACTCACAATGTTGGATATATCCTCCCACCGATATCTTTAAGAAATTGTATCAGTCCAATGTTTCTTAAATTGTCCTATTTCTAACTTGTTCGAACGGTTTTAAACGTTCGAATAATGCCTTCGGATAATGCCGGTGAGACATGATTAACACGAAAGTTAACATTTTTTTGCAAAATTACAGGCTCATATCACTGCGCATCAACAATTGCCGGTTATGTATGATAACAGTGAGCGACGTGCCAAGTGGGTTGACAAAGACGCTCCAGCTGACGGACCAAAACGTGAAATACACGAAAAAGATGTGATGTTATCAATATGATGGTCTGTCCGTGCAGTTGAATATTGGGAGCTGCTTGATGACGGCGTCACTATTACGGTCGATGTCTACACTGGTCAGCTGAGAAAACTCAGACTCCATGTGGATCTCCATTGGGGGAAAAATGCGAAAGTTTACTTTCAGCATGATAACGCTCATCCCCATGTCGCCAGAAAGACTAAAGCTGAACTCGCTGGATACGGCTAGACAATCTTGTCTCACCCACCGCACAGTCTAGGCCTGGCCCCCTCTGACTACCATCTCTTCAGTCACCTCCAACGCCATCTCAGTGGAAAAAAGTTCAACTCAAGACAAGATGTCAAAATCGAGTTGGCTTCATTTTTCGACTCCCAGCCGCAGGAGTTCTTGAAGGAAGATATCCACAAGTTGGTGACACGTTGGCACACAGTCATCGAAAAACATGGGCAATATGTCTAATTAATCGGATAACTCTTTGACCTGTTTCACAATGAATTTTTCTGAATCCAAAAATAACTGGAACTTTCCGAACAACCTAATAGTTCCACGTCACATTCCAAAGAGGAAGGCGTTTGCGATTTCTGCGCTGCAAGTTTATAAGGCCACCCCCGTTACTGCCACGTGGCACTCAGAAATTTTTCCGACTCGACGACTTCAAAATTGAAATGAATTTCAAGCATTTTAGATTACCACTGACCACTCGGACCAACCATCCCGCCTTGGGGCCTCCTTGACGACAGTAATTCTTGGTTTTTTCTTCGATTTGTATTGTTTTTAAGTCGGAAATGGCCTACACGTGTTATTTCTACATCAGGTGCTAGCGATGCGAGTGTGTGTTGTTTAAAGCCGTGACACTGGCTCCGATGTCAAGATGCTGAGCGTCAGCGACTGGGAGAAGATCGGGAAGCCACGACTGAAAGGGTTTTGAGTGCAACTTCAAATGGAGAGGCTACGTGAATCGTGGAAAAGCGTATGTCGGCGCCACAACTTCTAGTCTGGAAATCGATTGGATTAACATAAATGGTTGCAAGCACTCATGGAAGAAATCCAGGAGGATCCAGAGCCGAGGATTGGTACTCGTGCAAAGAAGAAGTCTCTAAAGCAGAAAAAGCCCCCGACAGGTCTGGTTTTGTCTTTTATTGTCTAAGATAATGCTCTTCCGTTCTCTTCCCTTATTCGTTATTTGTATTCGTACGAAGTCTTCAGAGGAAGATGATCAAAAGTTGTGTAGGGTAAAGCCATTTCAACTTTTTATTGCGCCTTTCTCGGAGCAAAAAATGCGGTCAGACACAGTGTCTCCTGCTTTCATCCACTCTCTCCGCCACTTGCGTCACGGCCAATCAAACGAGTGAGCTGGCCGCCCATCGAGAGCGCGTCTTTTCCTGTCTGCCCACACTGTTTCTCACTATGCCTGTTCTGCGTCCTATTCTCTCTTGATGTAGCGCTGGTCGCTGATTTCGCGTTCAGTCCTTACTTTGGGCGTTCACCTGGACACCCCCCTCTTCCGCTCTATTTTTTTTGAATTCTTCTCCACTACTCCTCTCGATACTGATCCGCATCCGTAGATCAACCTCGTCTTCGTATTTTCACTAATCTAAACAAACACCTATTCTACTGGATTTTTCTGAATTTTCGGAAGATGTAAAGAAACTCACATTCCCGAGTTTGTTCACTTAATTGCGGTAAGCTTCTAATAAATCTTGAGATTCTAAAACTAATGTTTCAGGACGTCAGCTTGAAAAATTTAAAAAAAAATGCAGAAGTCTGAAAAGGAAATTCCTCAAAGGCCTAAATGTCAATGAAAGTAAGTGCCATATAGTTTTAGGAACATCTCTCTTTTACAAAATACATTTCAGAAAGAGAAAGAATGATGATGTGGTAAACAGTGAGAAACAATGTCTCCAGACGTGGGACTGCACCACGTTCCCGCTCAAACAAAAGTTTTTTTGGAAAGAAGAAGGAAATTCCTCAAAGGGCTAAATGTCGAAGGTAAGTTCCATATCATTTTAGAAACATGCTTTAAAAAATAAATTTCAGAAGAATGTTGCTGTACTAACCTCAACCAACACACATCGATGGAACAAAAGTTATTTTAAATGTTAATTGCACAAGTAAAAAATAATTGAAAGAATAAACCGTTTTTGTTGAACAGAAACTTGTGTTTTTTGTGATGAATATTGAAACGGATCATTCCTTCATTAATATTTGTTTTTCTATCTTTTCAGATGTTCTTCACTTATTAATGCACTTCGGCAATCCTCCATCAGAGAGATAGAAAGAGAGAAAAGAATAAGAGACGCTGCCGCGTGGCCGCGTGGCGGCTGCGTCACGGCTGCGTCGCGGCTGCGTCGCGGCTACCCTCTTTTTGTGCCATGTCATGTTTATTGACTTTTTGTGTTTGCGAGTAGGAAAATAAACAATGAAACAGTGGACATTTGTGGCTAACTGATGATAAAGGGAAGAGAGATGAATTTGGCGATTGTGATAGTCTTATCAAGATCTGTCCGCAAAATGCTGTATGACGTGACGGAAAACGGGTAAAAATTCGTGGATATGCAAGCAAAAACCGGAATCATTGTGCCGGGCAGGAGAAGAGCAGGGAAGCTCGTAGCAAAGACGATTTGATCAACTGCCGCAAGAAAAGACCGACCACAATAGAGAGAATTTGGTCGCAGCGGTCTGTTTTTCAAATTCACAATAATCACTCATTAGGATCTTCTTCGTGACTCTTCAAGTTCTTCCCGCTGAAAGCATTTCACTCACACGTATTTTCAAGAAAGCTATCAATAAATTGACTGTGCTTTCCAATGTCACTTGAAGTTTTGAATTCCCCGTCGTAGAAAAAAGGAAGAGTGCAAAGTGATCTGATCAGCAAGCAAGACAAGAGTAACCCGATATTTATCACAAGAAATGGAGAGGGAGTAGATCTCCTGCACGATGACCTTCCGAAACGATTAGGCCTTCGACTTGTCCGCTCTTTTAAGTCGGAGGCTCGGAGCCTCATGAATTAGAACACGGGGTGTGAAAAAACAGCGCATCCCTCGGGATTGGATTGACTTCTAAATTTCTCTTTCGGAAATTCTAGGTCTCTTTTTAAGTATAATAATACATTCTCAAATATTATGCGCAAAAAGAGTATAACAATCACAAGTAAAATATAAATCAGGTCAGTTTGGACTGCCGGTTGACTTCTTTGCCTGAGAACCTTCTAGGTAGCGGACGAATGCGAGCAACAATGGATCTCCCTGAAAATGAGTCCTCTAATACTATTGTTTCCGAGAACAGATACTATACAAACCTCGCTGACGGTAATTTGTTGTTTCTTAAAAATGTGCTCCACGATTTGCGTTGAGCCAAGAGGTTTCAAAAAGTCAGCAGCGACATTGAGCGTTTCTGCCCACAACAGGAGCGCGTTGTTGCTCTTAAATGGAGATTCGGGGTGACTCTGCAAAATCGTTATTTTTGAATGATTTAAATAGTTGGAATACTTACTTTGATCAGTGCCGCAAGTGCAGGAATATTCACATTCCCTCTATTCACTACTTCGTTCTCGGCTGTTCCTTGGACCAATGAAGCTTCGCCACTGCTCATATTTTGCAGTTTGTTTGCATTAGGCCTCTTATTTATGTTTCCAGCATTTTGCCGTTCAGTCGAGATTTGCTTCCGAACCCTCTTTCTGGGTGGAATTAGTTCCCTCTCTTCTTGCTTCTGCATCTCCGCCATCTTAGCGCGTTCTTCTTTCTCCTCCTCACTTTTCCTCATGATTCTGGCCGACTTTCTGACTGGCGCCAGTGCTGCGGATGGACCAGACGAGGTTGCTGGAACAAGATGCGGACAATCCGCCTCTTCCTGCGGGGTCTCCACTTGAATTGGCAAAATCTGCTCTTCGTTCATCGACTTTCTGTTGGATCCTAGTGTAGCATTTCCAGCTGGACCAGACGAGGTAGATGGCATACATTGCAAAGGGTCCGTGTCTTCCACAGGGTTCTCTGGCTGAATTGGCAAAATCTGCTTTCCGTTCATCGATTCGTCAACGGGTCCTCGTGCAGCGCTTCCGTACGAGTCGGATGAAGTCGACGGAAGAACTTGCAGAAGGTTCGCCTCCTCCCTTGAGTTCTCCATTTGAATTGGTAAAATCTGCTCCTCATTCATCCATTTCTCGTAGACATCGGGAGCCAAGAGTTGTTGATTCATCGCATTTGAGTTTGGGAACAATGTATCCGCGAACTTCCGCAGGACTTCGTGCGATGGAACAAACACTGCTTCCACGAAGAGATTTCCGTCCTCAGCAAACTCTCCGATTCTCTCTTCAAGTCCCGGCTCTTGTCCGTTCTCCAGTCTTACAGAGAGTTTCATCCACTTCCAGATATCCTCGTTCTTGCACATTCGCGCCTCTGTCCAGAGAACAAGTGCTCGGAACGTCATCTTTTCATTCAATCCCACACGATTCGTCCTGTCCGTGGAGTCGAGGCGGTGTCGGATATGAACTTTGACAAGTTTTCTGAAAAACGCGAAGGTTTATTTTATAGATTTTGGACAATCTGCAGCTGAACACCTTTATTTTCACCAAAATGGGGGACTTTTTGAAATCATTTTTCTAAAATTCGTCATACCCGGGCCACGCGGGAGGTTCCGAACATCCCTGCGCCCTGTTTGAGATTTTCATACGCTGATTCTTTAAAAGTTTTGCGAAATGCAGCCGTTTCTAAAAATAAAAACTCACATCTCGTCACGTTCCTCCGAGTTGGTGTCGGTTGCGTGTCCCTGATCGTTTGGAGACGACATTAACTGAAAGATGAGCTGAAACAATTACTGAATATTTGAACGACACGTAAAAGTGAGAGAGCGGAGAGTCTACGGAGAGAAAAAAAGCGACCAGACACAAAGAGGCCACGCAGCAAGAAGGAGACACTGGCAAAAGAGGGAGAGTGCAGAAGGGGCCAAACACTTTGCGGGCGGTCTTGTTGGTTGCGTGCTGTGCTGTGCTGACGAGAAGAGGACGAGGCAAGAACGAGTGGCAGGAGGGCGAAAAGACCATGAAGGTCAATGCAATATGATGGATAAATATGTTGACCGTTCGGTGATGATGAAAAAGAGAGAAATCCTCAAAATCCAATTGTGCCGACTGTCAAGGCAGAAATTATCACATTGCTCCCGGAACAGCTTAGATTGGTGATAAGTGTAACCAACATTCACTCGTGCACATTTACGATCGTGAAGTTTCCCAAGTAAGTTTTTTCAAATATCTAAAAGGCAATGTCTGAGAACTTCGCAATTCGTTAAAAAAATTTTTTTAAATGAAATTAAAAAAATGAAATTAAAAAAACGAAACAAAAAAACCATGAAATAAAAAAATGAAATAAAATTGAAATTTAAAAAAATTTAAAAAAATTAAATAAAAAAACATGAAAAAATTTAAAAGAAATTAAATTTAAAAAAAGGAAAAATAAAAATAAACAATAATTTAAAAAAATTAAATAAAAAAAGTTAATAAAAAAACATGATAAAAAAATTTAAATAAAAAAATTAAATAAAAAAACAAAATTTAAAAATTAAATTTAAAAAAATTAAATTTAAAAAAACTAAATTTAAAAAAATTAAAGTTAAAAATGAAACAAAAAAACATGAAATAAAAAAACAAATTAAATAAAAAAATTTTTAAAAAAATTAAATAAAAAAACATGAAAAAAAACATGAAATAAAAATGAAATAAAAATGGTGTAAAAAAAATGGTTTTTAAAAAAATGGTTAGAAATGAAAAAAACATGAAAAATTTTAAAAAAATTTGATTAAAAAAATTTAATTTAAAAAAAATTTAATTTAAAAAAATTTAATTAAAAAAATTTAATAAAAAAACATGATAAAAAAATTTAAAAAAATTAAATTTAAAAAAATGAAAATAAAAAAATTAAATTTAAAAAAATTAAATTTAAAAAAATTAAATTAAAAAAATGAAACAAAAAAACATGAAATTAAAAAAATTTAATAAAAAAATTTAATAAAAAAATTTAATTAAAAAAATTTAATAAAAAAACATTTAAAAAAATGAAAAAAACATTAAAAAGAAAAATGATTAAATTAAAAAAACATAAAAAAAAATTTTTTTAAATTAAATTAAAGAAAAATTAAATTAAAAAAATTAAATAAAAAAACATGAAATAAAAAAACATGAAATAAAAAAAATAAATAAATAAAAAAATTAAAAATTTAAAAAGAAAAATTTAAAAATTAAATAAAAAAACATGAAAAAAATTTAAAAAAATGAAATTAAAAAAATGAAACAAAAATCATGAAATAAAAAAACAAATTAAATAAAAAAATTTAAATAAAATTAATTAAAAAAACATGAAAAATTTAAAAAATGAAATGAAAAAAATAGAAAAAAATGAAAAAAATGAAAAAAATGAAAAAAATGAAAAAAATGGGTAGAAATGAAAAAAATGGGTAGAAATGAAAAAAATGGGTAGAAATGAAAAAAATGGGTAGAAATGAAAAAAATGGGTAGAAATGAAAAAAATGGGTAGAAATGAAAAAAATGGGTAGAAATTACGAGACGGTAACTGATAAAATGACAATTTCTGCCTTTATATACCCCTATGGGCGTGGCCATTCTAATTAGTGGGCGTGGCTACTTAGTGTAGTTAGTGGGCGTGGCCACTGCACCTGGCTTTTCCTTCTTCCTGTTGTGGGCCTGACATGCTTTCCCATCAGACTCCTTTGTCAGCATCTTATAAAACGCATTATCTGTAAGACACGAGCATGGTCACAGTGAGTGTGGACATAGGGCCCGTAAAGAAGGCAGAGCTTAGAAATTTTATGGGCATGTATATGGGGACAAGTGTGACAAGTGTGATGTGCACAATATTGGGTCCCGGCTACGGTAGTACGGTAGGTGCTTAAAGGTGGAAAAATGAATTTTTTTGAAAAAAATCGTAGAAAGCTGAAATTTTTTTTGTGACTTGTAGATGTGTAGTGCATACTTTGTGCAAAATGCGAACACTTTAAAAAAAATTTTCTCCGAGATACGATGAAAAAATATCATTTTTTTGTGAATTTTTTGAAAAAATTCAATTTTAAGGGTCTTAGTAGAAGTTTCCCGCGGACATGACATACTAGAAAAAGGTGTATTTTCATCTTAGCTTTCGACAAAAAAAAAGTTCGAGTGATTTGAACTTGCAGCAGATGTCGAAACGTTCAAATTTGTGAGTCCGACTCAATTAATTTGATTAGTAAGCCTCTGGATTCCGAATAAAACTTTATAATAACGAATAGAAATTGGTTAGAATTGATTAAAAATGTAATCATTCGTTATTTGAAATAAGAATAACACCTCAAAAGTCGAAATTTAAAGTCGGGAAGCAAAAAATACAAGTTCACTTTGTAATGCAACTATTACCTTTCACCACAAAGGTTGCGTCTTTGGAATCATTTAATTTTATTTGTATTCACATTTTCCATGTTCTTTATACCCAGTGCAAGTTTTTTTTGGTTGCAAGTCGTTTTCTTTTTTATGCTTTCACGAAGGAAACTGTCTTTCATGCCGTCCAGGCCATCATTCTCAATTAAAATGTATTTATTAGTACTCACAACTACAAAGTTGGAGAAATATTTTCGGTCACCAAGATTGCAGTTGATCGTTTTTTGATATCTCTGTCCGTTCACGAGTTATGGTCGTTTCCGAGTGATCACTCCTAAACTGATATTATCGCATTCAAGGAGGGGTCCTAACATTTTGGTCTCAACATAAAATATGTTCAAAAAGATGCTAAATATCAAACGCCGTTGAGTCTATGTTGATCCGATTTTTCTCAAATTTCTTACGTTCTGTTCGGCAAAAGTTTGTTTTCTGACTAACTTTCCCTTTAGTGAAAAGTGGATCCAAAACAACCATGGAACGTAAAAAAAATTGAGAAAAATCGGATCTACACAGACTCAACGGCGTTCAATATTTAGCATATTTTTGAACATTTTTCATGTTGAGACCAAAATGTTAGGACCCCTCCTTGAATGCGATAATATCAGTTTAGGAGTGATCACTCGGAAACGACCATAACTCGTGAACGGATAGAGATATCAAAAAACGCTCAACTGCAATCTTGGTGACCGAAAGTATGTCTCCAACTTTGTCGTGAGGGCTAATAAATAAATTTCAATTGAGAATGATGGCCTGGACGGCATGAAAGACAGTTAAGTTCGTGAAAGCATAAAAAAGAAAACGACTTGCAACCAAAAAAAAACTTGCACTGGGTATAAAGAACATGGAAAATGTGAATACAAATAAAATTAAATGATTCCAAAGACGCAACCTTTGTGGTGAAAGGTAATAGTTGCATTACAAAGTGAACTTGTATTTTTTGCTTCCCGACTTTAAATTTCGACTTTTGAGGTGTTATTCTTATTTCAAATAACGAATGATTACATTTTTAATCAATTCTAACCAATTTCTATTCGTTATTATAAAGTTTTATTCGGAATCCAGAGGCTTACTAATCAAATTAATTGAGTCGGACTCACAAATTTGAACGTTTCGACATCTGCTGCAAGTTCAAATCACTCGAACTTTTTTTTTGTCGAAAGCTAAGATGAAAATACACCTTTTTCTAGTATGTCATGTCCGCGGGAAACTTCTACTAAGACCCTTAAAATTGAATTTTTTCAAAAAATTCACAAAAAAATGATATTTTTTCATCGTAACTCGGAGAAAAATTTTTTTAAAGTGTTCGAATTTTGCACAAAGTATGCACTACACATCTACAAGTCACAAAAAAAATTTCAGCTTTCTACGATTTTTTTCAAAAAAATTCATTTTTCCACCTTTAAGCACCTACCGTACTACCGTAGCCCGGAGCTGGGACCCAATATTGTGCACAGGGGTCACACGTGTCCCCATATACATGTTCACACAAAAATCTTTCCCTATGTCCCTCATTGCTCGAGTCTTACAGAGAATGCGTTATAACTAATCTCCGCCTTTAATTAACACCACAGGTGTGAGAATTTGAGCTTTAAGCGGATTTGCGGCAAGGTTCAAAGAAGCTGACTTAATTACCGTTGGTGATTAGTGATAAGGACGCCGACAAGGGACTCCGATGAGAACGAACGATTGGGTTTTTGAAACGTCATGGCACCATGCCAAGAGGATTGGGAAAAGGAGTGATAAGGAATTGAAAGATTTCCGATTTCGGATGCAAACACTCAACACAGAGTCGATAGTCCGATCTGTCTGTAATCTGAACCCAACATAAGTATGGTAACACATTAATAACCTTATCTACCTTTTCTCAGTCTTGTAAACATTTAAAAAAAATCGGAGCATTTGCACAAAAGTTCAAGAGATTCAAAGGATAACGAGGGATCGGAAATCAATTGGATGGGTATTCAGAAGTACTTCAGTAGCCGACGATCACTTTTTCGCCGCCTTCCGGATGTCTGCAGCGTCCACGCATCATCTCGTACACTTGCTGTTTGATCCACGCACGAGTACGTCCAATGTACTGGCCGGTCTCCTAAGCAATTGAAAATTATAGAATGTTAACATCAAAATCACAAACCCGATTGAAAATCATGAGCGAGATATCGGACATCTTGTCAAGAAACTCGTACACTTGCGACACGTCATAGGTCACCGGTCCGCTCGTCTTTTTCGCCAAAAACTCTTCGAACATTTTGCAGAGCGCTGAAAATTGTTGTTTCGTCAATGTTTTGTAAAATTTCGCGTAGAACAAACGACTTTCTCGTCTTTCCAATCAGACTCAGACTTTGCAGGCTTCTTGAATATTAATTGAAGTATCTTGTAGCAGATCTAGCAGATCTCGACCATTGTGCGTCAACAAGATCATCGCTTTACTGGCTTATGGAAGAGACTGTGATGAGGATTTACACGTACACCTTCTCTGAGTACTAGAACGGAAAAGGTTCCTCTGATCGAGATGCGAACTGAGTGAAACGGAACGCTACGTTACTAAGGGCAATGACATCACCACCTCTGATTAGTTTTTCAAGGCTTTGAAAGAAGGAGAGCTTCTCAACGGTCTCTATCATGGATCAGTCATCATTGAAAAGCAAGGGAAAGCGAAATGGCCTGGACATTCACGTTTGAATCACTTTACTGTTGTTCCGAGCAGGATCGTTTGACGAAGACATGGCATAAATCCAGAAAGGTAGGGATAGGCAAAAATTCGCTTCGTGAAAAATGTTACCTACAAGTGGTCAGCGTTTGTTCGAAACAACCATGCCTTGTTTTTTGCAAATTGTATAGTCACTTCAGACTCTCCAACGTGGATACCAGCTTCAGAAACATAAATGCTCCCCGTCCGTACACTCATTCATTCTCTCGGTAGCTCTCCATTGTTCGAACTGACTAACTTTTGCTCGTTATGCCAGACCGTGAAGTTCGTGATATGCAAACATTGTCCGCTACTCGTACTACTCCCAAAGCGTAGTCGCGCGAAGGTCATCTGCCGGTCCTGTGTGCCAGACGACCAGCTTCTCGCCTCTTGGCCTGTCGTCTCTCCTGATTGTGAACTCTTTGCTTTCTCTAGGTACTTCTCGGCGTCTCTGCAGGACCATACAGTGTTTTGAAACTGTTAGTCCCGCGCCGTCTGGTGCCATTTACCATTTTCTGTCGCGTCCTGCATCGAATATCCGTAATTTCTCCAACTTTCGACTTAGCTCGCTAACTCTACCTCTAACTGAACGAATGATGGATCAAGATATTCTAGTGACAGGATTTGTTGTACAAGTCGGAGAAACCTCCTTCAAAGCAAGTTGAATTTATTCCCTACTTTATAGCAGGTTTTTTGGTATCAGATGTACGACCAGAAGCGGCAATTCTTGACAATTCCAATGCCTGAAGACAGGAAAGTTCAAGTGGGCCAATGGGTTATAGGATTCAATAATGGATCGGTGAGTTTCATTTTAAAAGTGTGGGCTAGAAATTACTTCCTTCACTGTTGAAAAGTGGAATTTTTTTTTACAAATAACGATTTTCCTAATTAGATTTTAAGAGGCGATTCCTGAGAAACTCGAAAAGCGGATGACACAAAAAATTCAGATTGATCCTATTTGTCCCATATTAAACCCATGAGGTTCTCCCATGACACTGACACTCAAGAATAATATTTGGTCCGGCTCCGCGAGCCCTGGTCGGAGCACTGGCTCCAAGCACCTCTAAACTGTAACTTTTTTCAAAAAAATCCTGTCGACTCAGGCTCAACGCCATTCGATTTCTCGCATCTTTTTGAGCATATTTCATGTTGAGACCAAAAATTTATCACCTCTCATTCATAGAGAAAAAAATTGGTTTGTGGTCGTTTTCAAAATTTTGTCGAGCTTTTGACCCCGATTTTTTTCGATTTTTTTTTTAATTTTCCAAACTGTCCCAAAAAATCTTTATTAATCAGAAATGCATGAAAACAACAGTTAGATGTCTCAAAACGGTCTTATAAGCAAGAAAGCCCAGATTTTTCAGAATTTGGAAAAAAAGACTATGCAAAAGTACTCCGATTTTCACGTATTTTGGGCTGAAACACCCCGGAGTCAACCCTATTTTTGTTTGGAAACTAGTCATGCTGGCACGACCACAAATCGGCATTTTTCTAATCATTTTGCTCCCTATCGAAACCTTTTCTCAATCGAGGTAAAATTGAAATCCTAGAATCTCGGAACTCCTTCATTTCTTATTCAGGACCCCGTCGTTTTGCAACTAACGTGAGTATCCAGACGTCGCGGTTTCATAGCGTCACCCTCATTCTGTTTATTTTCAGCACATTGATACATACACCGGTCAAAAGTTTGCCAATATCCAAGTGGTCGGTGAAGAAGTGATTGTGAGAACCTATGCGGTTGGACTGCATTCGCCGAGAACCTCGCCGAATCTGCGCAGATACTACGGGTACACCATCTGGACAGGAGTCGGAGTTGTTGAAGATCCTGACGCAAATTTTGCCAGACGAAGCCCGTCCTTGAAGCCAGTCAACGTGCGCAATTCTGCATTTGTATTGTTCGTTGTAATTTTACTATGTTCAGGTGGTGCTCAAATACAATTCTAATTCGGTTTGGCTCGACAGTCAGTTTGAAATTGTTCATATTGGTTACGAAACTCGGGAACACGCCAAACTTCCGAGAATTGAGATGGCGGTACGCGATGCAGAACGTTTTTCTTCCAATAACTTTGTATTGTTTCAGCCATGGACGAAAGACGTTTTTGAAGTGACCCCAGAGCAGGTATGCAGTCATAGTACTTTTACGGGGGCGAAGAAGGGGAAAGCGTCAGTTTGGCCGGCCAAAAATTGAATAAATCTGCTGTTAACACTTTGCCAATGTTAATTTTGCAGCAAGCCGAACGGAAACTTCTGGGTCAACAAAAATACCTTGGCGTTATCGTGGCGAACAGATTCCCCGATGCGGCGAGCGTCAACGCGCAAACACACAACACGCCGAAATGCAGTTATGTTTGGACCGCGTCGATCGGCCTTGTTCGCGTGATTCCCGGCTTGAACGTGCTGAATCTTGGAGTAAGTTTTGTAAAAAATAATTCACATTTTTGTAATTTTTTTAAATGAATTTCAGATTGGAAAGTGGACCACGTTTACAATTTGCTATGAGCCATCGTCACTGATCGAGTCCGAGAAAGACTATCTGCACTGCCTGCGAGTCGACAACACTACCTGTGTCGACAATGTGCTACCGACAACGGCTTCGTCGTTTCTTGAAGTATGTGTTCTGAAAAACGTGACATGCATGACTTATCGTAATGTTATAAAACAGCACAGCCATACATTCAAAAATAAACGACACGTGGCACAATTATATAAATCATTTGTATTCTTACAGCTGGAGTGCGAGTTTGTTTTCCGAATCACACCGGAGAAAATGACGGATCTTAATTCGGAAACGTTATTCCATCCTCTGCTTGGGACTGTTGAAATCTCAAGAGAAAAGGCACTAGAGGCGGCAACGGTAAGACTCATAAACGCTAGTCACCCCAACACCAATTGTTTCAGGCTGTTCATTCGCACTGGATGTTCCTTCTCAAGAACGAGCCGTACGGTAACTGCGAACTCGGCAAAGTCACACTCATCGCCAAGGTCCGTCTTTATAAAGACTGGTTCAAATTGTACTTGCACAATCGCAATCGCCCTATCTTCTACGTTGAATCGAACGTGGAAATTCTCTACAAAAGACAACCAATCTCACGTGCCTAAAACATTCCGTTTTCTCGTTCACTGTCGAATTTCTGTTGAATTTAAATTTTCTGTATTGTTTTAACACATTCTCAAATCAATGCTCTGTTGTTTTCATGGAAACTATTCTTGTGGCACTTCCCGTGTGAAATTTCTGAAAATCTCATTCTAGTTACATGCCAAACTGTTACTTTGTGGCCTTTGTTTCAAATAGCCATACACTTTGGGCTCAGTGTTTTTCAACAATTCTTGATGTTCTGCACTCAGCAGCAGCACATATTGTTGACCAAGTTCATAATGATAAAATTGAGTACGAGTACGATGAATAAACACAAAAATCAAAATCACTAGAGCACAATAGGATAAATTAGATTAAACCGTAAGAAGAGCGAGATGAGTGATACATGACAGAGGCACGCACAAAAATTCAGAAAGCCGTCTCCTCCTCTTCATGCTGCTCTTGTTCGATGTTGTTGAAATCCTCGGGATTGAACTGAAACAGAATAGGGTTCATGACAATTACATGAGTTTCCCCTTCAACTTTGATTAATTGAAGACATTGAAGAAATAAGTACAAACTCACATGAGAATTATGGAAAGCCACGAAGTTCTGTGTCCTCAGGTTCAGCATCTGAATCTGATCGAGATCCGCTCCTCGGGCTCTTGCTTTCTTCTGGCATCGAGAAGCGATAAACCGGCCGGCAGCTAACAAAATCAAGACGACTATCAAAAAGACAAGCACGGGCTTCCAGTAGGCGGCCAAAAGAGACTGTTCCATTTGGCACATTTCTGGCAGAACGATTTCTGCGCTGCGAACATGGAAATCATCCCCCATGGCACGAATGAAATCCTTTCTGATTCCTGTCTGATCGTTCGCTCCCACCAGGATTGTTTTGGTTAGATTGTCGATTCCATTCACATCACACTCACAATAAATGGGGCACAGACTCAAGATCGTGAACTCAACAATCGTCCTCTTTTTCTGATTTCCTTCTTCAATGGTGTACAACCGAATCTGATCAACGGGAGCTCCTAGCGCTGTAGAGATTGTCGTGATGAAATTCACGCGGATTTCCGGTTTCCGCACAAATTCGTTGATTGAAGGAGAATGAAGTTCAAGCTTGACCAAATAGTTCGCGGGAGCTGGCTTGAGCACAAGGACATTGAACGGGATTCTAGTTGTTTGAGTGGAATTGTAAAGGGTGAAGTAGTAAGTAGATGGTCCGACGTTCATTGGGACTCCGATTATCTTCAATTCTTTCATCTCCAGCTTCCAGCCATCGTGATTGTCTTCGCGAACGGTGAGATTCTCGTAGTTCAGAGAACTGTTCAGTTTAAGCGTTTCGAATCCAATCTCACAAATTGTTCCCCTGAAAAATGCATTATACGAACTGTCTTCCGGGCGGTCAGAAAAAGTGTTTCAATTTTCATGTCGCACCTTCACAATCGCTTTTTACTTTTTAACACAGATTTTTTGTCTGATAACCATACATTTCCTGGTTATTCTTGTTCTGTGATTAACTGTTGCAATAAAAAGCGCGTGCCAAAAAAACGGATTTTTAGAAGGAGCAAATACCTGACGCATTCAATTGGCGGTACACTGAAATCGGGAACAGTGTCGAGTGAGGCAATTTCAGGAGCAATGACTTCGTGTTGTGTCTTGGAGATTTCAGTAGTCATAGGAGGCTCGATTATCACCGTTTCGTTATCACTTTCAGTTGGTAGCATCGCATCGTCTGCTTGAGGAGGTGCACCGAAAAATTCCGGGATGTCCTCCGGTAGGACAGAAGCGCGTTCGGTAAGTTCAGGAAGCAGCGCCGTTCTATGATGGATGAATTCTCCATACTTGATTTTGTAGTCGAAAAACGGCGGTTCCTTCAGAAGTCCCAGATTCCGATGGATGTCACGTACCCATTTGAACCGGGCACAGTCGACAAACCATACAACGACGTATTCACAGCCGGGCGTCAGCAAATCCTCAATTTTTTCATTCGGGTGCTCATAAAAATTGACGACCGCGTACTCCATGTTGAACACCCGTAACTCTTCGATAGGGATGCCGAACTCTGCCAACTGAACCAGACTGCGGACTTTCGAATCGACCTGAAATTTAGTAAAAAATTGGTAAAAATGAGTTACAGTTACAAACGTTTCTTGATTCATCGAAGAGGAAAAATATCCAATAAGGAATAAACGGGTAGCAGGTGTTCTTTTCCTCTTCGACCGTTAGATTGAATGTGGAGAAGTCAGTATCGCTCATGTAAGGAAGTTTGTAGGGGACGACCTTAAAAGTGCTTTTCAACAATGATCTCGTTTTTTCCTTTTCTAACAGCTTCTAACAGCACGTATCTCTTTGGTCAATAGTCGACTAAAAAAAAGAGTCGTGATGAATTGGAAATAAAATTGCAAACTCACTGAAAACGGGTTTACTCCTACGTTGTTTATTCTCGGGATTCCATAAAATCTCTGACCGTTGAACCTGATCCAATCCGGGAGCTCCATTTTTTTTTCATTCATTGCCATCAGAATGACTTCACGTTTGAAATCAAACTCAAAATACTGCCCCGGACGAACGATTCCGAATTGGGGGACCGGAAAGTTGTTTCCGTCCGATTCTGCCACATGCGTTCCGAAAACGAGCAGAACAAAGAGAACAAGTTCAATCATGATCTGAAAACAAGATGTTTCTTAAAAGGACAAAGCATTACAACATCGGAAAACAAAACAGTATAGCAGCAAAACTTGATTAACAAATACATTCGATATTTTTCTACCCTAATGCAATGTTAGATAAATAAGATAAAAGCAACAAAAAAAGTAAGTAAGCTCACAGAACCGGGCAGATTTCAGCTGTAAGAAAATGGGTGACTCATCTCATTGCGAGAGATAGAATCATTGATCAAAACATTCAATGAATCATCACTTGTGAAATTTACAAGCCTGCCGCCGGCTACGCCGGGTTTCAGGCTTAGAAGAGCAGCGTGGCGCAGTGGAAGAGTGTTGGGCCTATAACCCAGAGGTCTGTGGATCGAAACCGCTCACTGCTAGAATCTTTTTGCATTTTTGATAGAGTTCAAGCTGAATTTTTTTTGCAATGAATAGAATGTTCCGTCGAAAATTGTTGATAATCGGTCACTTTTCATGTACAAATTACAATATCTTTCAACACTTCTTCAGGGAATAATACATCACGAAATATCCTAAAGACCGAATTTTGAGTTATTTAAATCAAAAAAAGTCAACGCTTGTCAATTATAACCGTCTCTCGAGTTGGCCAGTTCACTTCGCCAAACGTCGTCGTCAGAATATAGTTATCAGTAATGTTTTTGTGCGGCCAGGTAAAAAAACAGTATTTGCGTTCTGGAAACTTTTGTGTGAACAGAAAATCCACGAGGACCTGAAGACTGTCGCTCTTTCGAAATCTTCTCTCCACCTGAAAATGTTTCATTTGCTTATTCTTAATTGAAATGATTAACTCACTTCTTTCTTTGCTTTTGGAAATCGAAATTTGACAGTTACAATGTTCTCTTCCTTTTCAGATGGTTCAGCCGGCAGATTGATTTCAACTTGCTTCCTTAGAGCTTCCTCGTTTTGTTTCAAACGTTTCAATTCCTCCGCTTCTTGGGCCTTCAATTGTTCTTTCATCTGCTGCTGTGCCTCTGCTTTCAGAATTGCTTCCCGTCTGGTAACGTCATCAGCAACCACCTTCGAGTAAGCGGCATTCTGTTCTTCCACAATCTTATTCCGTTCTTCACGCTTCTTCTTCAAGCCTTCCTCCTTCTGACGTCGCTTCCGGAATTCGCTGTTAGCCAGGATCAGTTTGTCCATCAATTCGTCCACCGTTGTCTTATTGTTACTATTTCCGATGCACTGATAGCCTGACGGACCTCCGTAAATAATGGACATAATGGGAAATAACTGCTCATGATCCAGCATGTTGCTCCGAATTAAATTATTTAGAGATTTCAGGTTCTTCTGAAGCAAGTACGCTTCCAGACGATCGTAGTTGTCACTAAAAAAATTTCCAAATTAGAACAACGGAAAACCTGCGTCTTGAGCTTACTTAACAGTGAGATCCCATGGAAACAAGATGAAATATTTCTTGATAAGATCTTGAATGACCTCATTGCAAAAAACCTCTAAAGTAAACTCGTCGGTTCTTAAACTCTTATCGTTGTTAATGTATAGGAGTATTGGGCGGCAATTCTTGCTATCCTCCTGCTCAAACGCCTCTTTTACGGCTTCTGGAAACGTTTTTGTGAAGAATGGAGGTGTTCGAGAGAAGCGGCTGATGAAATTCCAAGCGAACGCATCCACAGCGACCTGTTCTGATTCCATTGTGACTGGAAACAAGGATATCTGAAAAAACAAAAAATTAAAACGAGAAACAAGCACGGACAATTAAGTTCTCAACCGGGTCGTTTCATCAAAACTATTATAGAATCTTGAGTCCTGGACGAGGCGATCATTGGTCATCCGAACAAACAAAACAATACATGTTATAGTTCAGAATGAGCCATAAAAAATTCCCATAAATTATTATTCTAGTTTGATTCAAAAACTGATTTGAATGCTCAAAAATAGAATGATGAACGATAGCTCACCTTGTTTTCAACACTTTCAACAGGTGAACTTGTGTCTTCTTGGTGCCAATTCTGTGAATATGTTCCATCATTCGGTTCATTGTTTGCAGCCCCCAAATCCACCCCTTGATAATTGGTGAAAGTGTTGGACACCGGCGAGTGGACAGGATCCAAAGGCTGTCCATCCATCGGAAAGTCCCGGAGAGCACTCTGGACATCCCATTCCACAGACGCCAGAATGGCAACGGCCATTTCTGTGTCTTCTGTGCAAGTTATTGTCTGAAAGTTCAGAAATTTCAGAGTACTCGTAATAATAGTATAAATCTTACCTTGAAACTCTCAACTAACTCCTTTTCCTGCTTCGATAAGTTGTAATCCGTGAACTCCATACTTTCTATGAAGATTCTGAAACGGGAAATCTAACGTTGATTGGAAAAATCAGTATGACTGTCACTAAAGAAGAATCGAGAAAGAAAAATTAGAATTATGAAATAGTCATGGTATCATTTGTACACAGTGGAAATGAAGTAACTGATAAGAGTCAATAGAAATGATTCGCAAGATGGAGTCAATTTGAAGTAAACAGAAAACGTGAAAGAGCACAACCATGCAGAATCAACTAAAATTAGTTGGAACTAAAGAGATATGAGGTGGCCACTTTTTGTGAAGCCGTGAAGCTGTGAAGTCACATCTGACCAGTGAAAGAAACTTGTCACACTTGTTCTACATGTCAGAACAATTAATTACTGAGATATTTATAATAAACGTCGAGTAAAAATCGTCAAGAAAGATTTCTTATAACGCAATTCCAATTAACACGGAAAGCAGTGTTAGCAAAACGAAGAAGTCTTATCAGTGAATGAATGCACAAACTTTACAGAATACTATCTGTTCTACTAGAGGCGCAGAGAATGAGTAATTTATCATTTTCGCGGCGTTGAAAGTTGACATCAAGCACCATGATTTGTATTTTTTGAACTGATCAACGGAGTGAGAGAAGGGAAGGAAGAATCATGAGAGAAAAGGTGAAAAAGTGATCGAAAACCAAAAACAAACTATCAGTTTTTCAACTCATTTCAGTTGACTCCAATTTGGGCTCGCGTTTGGGTCAATTCTGAGAGAAATGACGGCGAGGGTGGATGGGCAGGCGCGATGATGATGAGACCTTAAGACCAGAGAACGACACAAAATATCTTCTTTTCTGCGCCGACTTCGGCGGAAAAGTGGAGAGTAGAAAATAAGAGCAGCGTGGCGCAGTGGAAGCGTGCTGGGCCCATAACCCAGAGGTCGGTGGATCGAAACCACTCGCTGCTAGATTCTTTTTGAATTCAATACGTACGACAAACTGTTTGTTTTCCCATTTTTGAAAAATACGAATTTCAAATTTTCTAGTTGAAACCAGATTCTGTCTAAACTAGTCCATCCTACGTATCAGTGCCGCATTTCATATCATCAAAAGAAAAGTAAGAGTAGCACAAGGTGTGTCCTTTCATATCACGAAACTTCATTCCAAGACGTTTCAAAATTGCCGCATCCATGTCTCATCACTCAAAAAAGGTGTGAACCAATACGACAATGATACAACCAGAAATTCATGTTACTTTACAGTATCTAATTAAAATCAACATGTGAACTACTTTTGGAAATTATCAAAAATTGGATTAGAAATCATCTTCAGGTTGTGGCGGGAATCTGTTGTGCCAAACGAGAAAATGGAATTTGTCTTGATCCAACAAAACCGTGGCCAACATTCCATCAAATCGCTCGATTTCATATCCATTTGAGGCATCTATGAATTCGATAAAGTCTCCGGTTGCATCACTGAAAAAAGCTAGTGGTCGTTTACAAAATTGAAAGCCTACCAATAATACGGCGCTCTTTTTGTTTCGTCCCACCATTCGACGTAAATCTGATTGAAAATGTCGTCTTCCTCGAAATGATAGCCTCGGTTCAGTTGCAAAACGAGCATTTCCAACTTCAAATTGCGTGATCTCAACCATTTTTTGATGAAATAGTTGAGATCACGGGTGGTGTAGGACGTCATTCCCAGTCGGACGACACGGGAGTCAAAGGACACGAGTTTTTTTCTGGACATCAATTCTGCCGAGCCAAGACACGAAAAGTATTCACAATTGAACAGCTGAAAGAGGAAAATAGCTTATTCAATCTTAATCTCATGCGGTTGTGACTAATAACTTTGAAAAATTGAAGCCTTATCGGTTCGGTTACGTTCTAGTTATTGTGAATGTAAGAAGGATCGGATCTATCTGAGTAATTAGGTTCCAAAAGCAGGATCCAGGTTCCATAATAATAATCAGGACTCAAGGTCGACTTACAGGTTCCATAATAATAAACAGGTTCCAAAGAATATACAGGTAGACGAGGTTTTTTTTGAAAATTGGCATGGACCTTTGACGATCACGGGTTCATGCCAATTTTCAGAAAATGCGTCGACCTTGAGTATTGATTATTATTACGGAACCTGGATTCTGTCTTTGGAACCTGATCACTGAGAAAAGGCTAAACAATCTATACCTTTTTCCTTGTGAATTCAACCTTGTTTTTTAGTTTGATCTCGAATCGTTCGGTCGCATTAACATTATCCATTAGCAATTGCATATTCATCTGTCCTATATTATGTGCATGTAAAGTCACGCTCGGACAGTTTTGAAAGCTTTTCCAAAGGAACAGAATAGGCCAGTGAAGATCAGCCCAATGTGAAACGATGCGAGTGACTTTTGCGTCAAAAATGTCCAACATGTATTCGGTGAGAAAGTAAAGGAGCCATTCGACGCTGATTGTGTAAGATAGGTACGAATTCGGCTTTTCTAGAAGGTTTGCTCTGGAATTATGTATGTTATGAAGTCTCTGTCTGGCTGTTCTTCCAAGAAAACCTTGTAGAAATTTAGTTTTTTTTATTGAAAGATTTGAATTGCTTTATATACATACTCTGTCGCCTTTTTCTTTTCCCATCACTATCCGATTCACTGACCTTGTCTCAATCCCAATTATCTTTCCGCAAATCACTCGATCCGTCAAATACCTCCCAGATGGCGGCGTCGTTCTCCGTTTCACTTCCCAATAGATTGACTCCAATTGCTTTCCGAAATTAAGGTCAATGTGCCCCTCTCCGAAATCAATCTCAAGTTTCGATGGCTTCAGTTTCAGTTTTTTCACGATTATTTTGGATTCAGTAGAACACAGAGAGAGTTCAAATCTGCAATACTCTGTGTTAAAAGTGTTGTGCGTTTTTAGGGCTCACAGCGTTGTTGCGTTCATTTGACACAGCACTTTTCGAATAAGAAGATCCGGGAATTTGTAAAGCCGGAGCGACATGCTTGAAGGAAAACGATTGATGACGTCGCCGCGTGCGGAGAAGAGCGGGTGCAAGGGGAGTAGAGAGAAGAGACGCAGAGAAAGATGTAGAAGAGCGAGAGGAGAGAGAAAAACCGATTATGGAAAGCGAGAGCGGAAGAAAGAGCGGAGGAGGCCTCCTTTCCGCAGAGGAATTAGGTCGTGCAGCTGCCCCAAATTAATCAGCACGTCCCAAAGTAATTAGATGAAATAATGAGCATGAATCTCTTGTGATCCGTTTTTTTTATCAGTCAGCGACTCCTGTAAAGGTAGCGCTCTCATTGAAATCCTAGAAGTTCAAAAGACCGATTCAAAAATTAACGTGTTGCGTTAAGATTTCTGTGTTTCTCCCTTGTTTTTGCTGAAGAAACGGGTCACCATATCTGAGCCAGGTTTTTGTCTGCTGATGCGAAGTTTCATCCAGAATATTTATAACTCGAGGCTTTGTCAGTCTCCGGGATATATGCGAAGAACGCATCACATTTCTCTAGAGCCAAGACACCTCTCATTCTCTCCCAATTTTGCATTCGAAATAAACACGACTCTTAATCAGTGGTTTCAGTCAAAAAGTTCGCCAATATGTCAGTTGGTCACTGATTGCACCTCGACAGCTACGGTAATCATTAGCCGTCAGAGATGTACTCAGGGTCCATCCAACCCGGCTGGGCAGGAATATATTGAAGGAAGAGTAGACAGTAGAGGAAGTGAGTGGATGAATGAATGAATGGAAGGATTCATTTGAAATGGTCAGGGAGAACAGATTTTTATGTCAAGGAGGGCGGAGTCACGACCTGCTTTCTTTGTTTCTGTGAATGGCGCCGGCGCCGCAAGCTGATATGACCTTGCAGAGAGCGGAAGAACAGCGGCGCCAGAGAGACGCCGAACAATCGCCGAACGCCAGATGTTGTTAGAGAGAGGAGAACATGCATAGCAAGTGGAACTGACGGAAACCAGCACCTGGCCTTCTTTCCAACAAAAATCACGTTTTAGCGAAAAACCGCGTCAAGAAACATCGATATAGGAGACTAAAGGGTCCAAGTGAGTGGAAACGAAATGAATATGACCCGAGGAAGTGATTCAGACACTCATAACGACCTGATAACTAGCATAAAACATATAAAGCTATAATCATTGTTGGGTGGATTGATAACTATTAATGGTCAAGTACAGAAACAGAATGGTTGTCAGATAAATACATTTTAGAAAACAAAAATGGATGGGGGAATTCGATCGTGTTCTCATAATTCCTCATAGCTTTCGGCGGTTATTCCGTTGATTCCAGCCACGTGTTGGATGCCTTCGGGCTTCTAAAATTTAGTTTGGTCAGTCTTTCAAGGTTCTTGTGATCTTACCAAGAACGACATTCTCTGGGAATCAGCACGGCCATGCGTCGTAACGAGTGGTACCTTTTTGTCGGCCAACGTTCCAGTCGAAGCAGTGCACGAGCGTGGAGGTGGCATTCCTGAAACACCGAACGAGCGAGACGTTGTTGTTGAGCCCAGACTGAACTCCGACTGGCAGAACCCAGACGAGAGAAGGGAATAGGCGTTTTCTTTTCCTTTAAAAACTCGTAGAGATCCATAAACTTGCATATTCTCCTGGAATAGGTGATTATTGATTGATGATTTGAAAAAATGCGAACCTACCGTGAGAATATTCGACGACACGATTGGAAAACGAACTGGCACCGGTGAATAGACGGCTCCGCGGAGTTTTCTGACCTGCAAAGACAGTTTTGAAATTATTTCAAAGCAGCAACGACGAGAAAAAAATACGAAAGATCACGAATGCCGAAAAATCGATTGATCGGCTCGACAACGGCTATCATGCAGCATGTCTTCAAAACGGTGAGAGCGGCGGCGAACTGTTTGGCAAAAAAAGGTGTTCTCGTGTATCCAATTAAGACAAAACTAGAAGAAAATAGCACATAGAAGTAAAGGATAGCATTAATTTCCGAACAAAATCATATTTAGGGCCCGATCTGGTGCCTCAAAGTATTTTTCTTCGCCCTACTCTAAGATCTTCGAATTGTTCATCACTTTTATCTTAAAAATCATTTAATATTTCTAAACTAGTGAATAGAACACTTTGTGAGCTCAATAACTCTGTATTTGATCATTTTGCACTTTTTTATTAATAAGTCTTCTTTATAAATAATACATTCAAAAAAGTGGAATAAAGAGTTTTTGATGACAGATTCAGACAAAATACAACTTTTTATGTAAGCGTTTCTCATTTCTCTTCCGACGCTTTGAAATCAACAGTGGTTTTTCCGCATTGAAACTCCGGGAAGTCCACAAAAACTTCACACAACGATTTTTGATTTTCTGAAGCTCGCTTTTTTAACTGAAAATGAGCACTCAACGACTGACCTTCAAACACGAACTCCTGATTCTCCTGAATTGCTCGACAGAATGTCTCGATCACGGTTTTATTTGCGACAAGTTTGGAATTTTTGAAGCGGAGCATCTCTGCCAGATTCTTTTTTTGAATCAAAATATCTTCTCTTCTATCGTTAAGAAAAAATTCTTTCTCTTGTAAAATTTCAATTTGAGCACTCTTCAGTGAACGTAGCATTTCCAAAGCCTCTTCCTCTCGCTCATCGACCAATCTTCTCATTTTATCAAAGTGCAAGTTTATCTGACAAGTAAACTATTTTTTTTTCTTCAAATATGTTTTTCTGATGACCACACCTCCATAACCTTCTGTTTGTAATCATCACTTTCAGTGCTGAAGGATAATTGAGCTCTGTAAAGTGAACACGCGTTTTCTGTAAGATTCGGCCAAAACTGACTACCAGAACGCATGAATATTTCAGTGATCCGATTGGCAAATTTTTGATCCCCATATGAAAAATGCTTAAAAAGAAGCGAGGAATCGAATGGCGTTGAGCCTGAGTCGCTAGGATTTTTTTGAACAAAGTTACAGTGGTTGACCGATCAAGGGACCGCGATCTGAACAGGGACCATGGATGGAGCCGGACCTAATATCCTTTTTTGGTATCAGTGCCATGGGGGTAACAATTCGTTATAATATGGGACCAATCAGATCACTCTGAAATTTTCATGCGTCACGGTGGTTGAGTCTTATGGACGACGCTGACGCGTCTTAATATCCGTTCCCGAACAAAATTCTTTCTCATACTTTACAGACGCTGAAATCAATTCGTCAGTGTTTGACGTCATTGATTCCAGCTTCTCCTCAGCATTCCGCAGCATCTGTCTGATTCGTTCACTTTCATCCTGAAGTAGACCTCTTTCGTGCCCTTTGTGAACTCCGAACTCTTCGCAAGTTCGGCACATCAGTTTGTCAGACGACTCACACGTTTTAGTCTAGAAAGATGAACTGATGGCATTGAGAACTTTCGGGACAACTCTTACTACACACACAAATTCAGCCAAATTATACGTGTGGACAGTGCAACGGGGAGGAGAGGTAATTTTCAACTCCTCAAGAAAAGGTATTATTCTTTTACAAACGTTCAGTTTAAAACTCACTCTTGCCATTTGATTCAAGGCAAATTTTGCATCATAAATTGCTTGTAGGAGGCCGAAATTCTTACGCAACACTTTTACATCGTTGTTCTCCACGTTGGTTGTGTTTCGGCACCAAGGACAGACAATTTGTCCGTTTGCTACCAGTTGCTCAGCGCAATCTAGACACATTGAGTGGTCACATGCTGAAAATCGGAAGTAACAATAAAAAATCTAAATTTTCATAAGAGACTGACCCAAGTTCTTTGGAATTCGGTCCCCATTTTCGTCAGTGTAGTCTTCCTTGCAAATGCAGCACTTGGGGATAGTCATTCTTGGGTAGAATTGAGTGAAAAATGAAGTGAACGTTCACAAAAAGTCAAAATGAGAAACTTTCTCTTGCTTCTTCTTATATTGATCCAAAACGACACTTTTCGAAATTCGAAACAGAGTCTTATCAGTTCTTATCAACTATAAGTATTGTTTATTAGACGTAGCCAGGTTGGAGCTCGCTGAGGCAGAGAATAATGGTTGTCGGCCCGGCCTGGCTAGTTTCAAGTCTCTTAAAAATAAAGTTTATTGAACAGAAAAAGAACAAGTACAAAAACAATGGAATATTAGAATAATAGTTAACAGAAAAACACGTTCTTGAGTTTGTAAAACAGATTAATGGATCTTGATGACACAATCAAAGAAAGAGAGAGAGAGAGAGAGAGAGAGAGAGAGAGAGAGAGAAAGAGAGGAAGAGAGAGAAGAATGAAGTTTATAATATCATCAATAGAACAAAGTTGTACTGCTAAATTCACAAAATGAAGTGGTCCAAACACAAGATCAGACAATCTTGAAAGGAATGGGAATCATAGAAATTCATAGTTATACACTAAAATTTAGGGTAGTAGTCCGAATTCGGATTATAATAATATTGATGATGTTCATAGTTGAAATCTGCGTTTTTCATATTGGGCCAGGTATTCCAGTGAGGTTGAGAATGCTCTGGTACATAACATGAGCCAAGCGGAATAGATGTCCACGGGTCCGGGTTAAGAAGAGGCATGGAAACATTCACATGCTGCATTGACGGCACGTAACTGTTCTGGTGGCCGTTGATTGGAAGTAAAATTGGGGACGTAGACTGTGAAGATGGGCGCGAATCGTATTGGCTTGGTGAGATTTGAACTGAGCTTATAACACGAACACCCTCATGACACCGTCGCTTGGCCGGAACTTCAAGACCGTGCTCTCTCATCGCTTGTCTTCTCTTCTTAGCTGGTATTCCCGAGAACTTGTTAAGAGCGGTCTTCAGACTAGACACTGTCTTGTTCTAAACATTGCAAAATTAACAAGCTAACTTGGCATTTTGAACTTACTCTGTACTTGGATACAGTGAGAAACTCTTGACTTTTAAATTCGAAACTTTGTGAATCCAAGATTTCAAAGCCATTCTCAGTTTTTCTCAGTTTTGAAACGATAACAGTTGGCACGTACTTGCAAAGGCTTGGAACGAACACCTGAAAAGTATGGTTTTCATTAAGAAGAGTTACTGTCAAAACCATACCGTTGTTTCGGAGACAGACTCTGGGTCGGTGGTCACTTTTAAATTGAACGTCACTGCTTCGTGTTTCATCCATTCGTGTCCGAAAAGTGGACCACAATGATGCTCGATCGTTCTTGGCTGATAAGCTAGTGCAACATTTTTTGACACAATCCATTCATCATTCAAGTACGAAAACCTGGAAAAAATAAGGACATTTGATTTAACTTGGTCTTCAAACTCACTTTTTATTGACTGGTCGGTCGAGTCGCAATGAAAATTGATACACGGATGTGGCATCAAGCTTGGAGACAGTGTAGGTTAAACAGGGAAATAACATTTTACCTTTACCAGTGACAATCTGCTCAAGAGTGTGCCCTTCGTACAAGGAGAGCTCATGCACATTTGCAACCGAAACATCGATTCCAAGAGACATGTCGGCAAAGAAATTGAGAAGAGCTACTCAAGACTCGAAAACGGATATGAATGAATATTCTGAGATCCAAACAATCTGATGTTCTGTGGGCGTGGCCAATTTGACCTATTTTCGAAGAGCAGACAGATTATCAATCGGAAAGTATACCACCATGGTTGATCATCAGACGTATACTTCTTGGCATATAGTATATTTTTTTGCAAATGGTGATGATACGTCGAGTTTTCATTGCGCAAAGTATACTTTTCTTCAATATCCATGAGCATCTCTGATATACTTTTCTCAGACTTGACGTTTCCTGTTCAAATTGTTGGTTTTTAATTGCTTCGAAATGTCTGCTTTTGGGTCGAAAAGATCAGAAGTTCTATTAATCACATATAGTGCCCGACTTCTTGCATAGCAATAATGTCGGAGAGAGGAAGAGCGAGAGCCCGACTTCTTGCATAGCAATAATGTCGGAGAGAGGAAGAGCGAGAGCCCGACTTCTTGCATAGCAATAATGTCGGAGAGAGGAAGAGCGAGAGCCCGACTTTTTGCATAGCAATAATGTCGGAGAGAGGAAGAGCGAGTGCCCGACTTTTTGCATAGGAATAATGTCGGAGAGAGGAAGAGCGAGAGCCCGACTTCTTGCATAGCAATAATGTCGGAGAGAGGAAGAGCGAGAGCCCGACTTCTTGCATAGCAATAATGTCGGAGAGAGGAAGAGCGAGAGCCCGACTTCTTGCATAGCAATAATGTCGGAGAGAGGAAGAGCGAGAGCCCGACTTTTTGCATAGCAATAATGTCGGAGAGAGGAAGAGCGAGTGCCCGACTTTTTGCATAGCAATAATGTCGGAGAGAGGAAGAGCGAGTGCCCGACTTCTTGCATAGCAATAATGTCGGAGAGAGGAAGAGCGAGTGCCCGACTTCTTGCATAGGAATAATGTCGGAGAGAGGAAGAGCGAGAGCCCGACTTCTTGCATAGCAATAATGTCGGAGAGAGGAAGAGCGAGAGCCCGACTTTTTGCATAGCAATAATGTCGGAGAGAGGAAGAGCGAGTGCCCGACTTCTTGCATAGCAATAATGTCGGAGAGAGGAAGAGCGAGTGCCCGACTTCTTGCATAGCAATAATGTCGGAGAGAGGAAGAGCGAGAGCCCGACTTTTTGCATAGCAATAATGTCGGAGAGAGGAAGAGCGAGTGCCCGACTTTTTGCATAGCAATAATGTCGGAGAGAGGAAGAGCGAGTGCCCGACTTTTTGCATAGCAATAATGTCGGAGAGAGGAAGAGCGAGAGCCCGACTTCTTGCATAGCAATAATGTCGGAGAGAGGAAGAGCGAGTGCCCGACTTTTTGCATAGCAATAATGTCGGAGAGAGGAAGAGCGAGAGCCCGACTTCTTGCATAGCAATAATGTCGGAGAGAGGAAGAGCGAGAGCCCGACTTCTTGCATAGCAATAATGTTGGAGAGAAGAAAAGCGAGAGCCCGACTTCTTGCATAGCAATAATGTCGGAGAGAGGAAGAGCGAGAGCCCGACTTCTTGCATAGCAATAATGTCGGAGAGAGGAAGAGCGAGAGCCCGACTTCTTGCATAGCAATAATGTCGGAGAGAGGAAGAGCGAGAGCCCGACTTTTTGCATAGCAATAATGTCGGAGAGAGGAAGAGCGAGTGCCCGACTTTTTGCATAGCAATAATGTCGGAGAGAGGAAGAGCGAGTGCCCGACTTTTTGCATAGCAATAATGTCGGAGAGAGGAAGAGCGAGTGCCCGACTTCTTGCATAGGAATAATGTCGGAGAGAGGAAGAGCGAGAGCCCGACTTCTTGCATAGCAATAATGTCGGAGAGAGGAAGAGCGAGAGCCCGACTTTTTGCATAGCAATAATGTCGGAGAGAGGAAGAGCGAGAGCCCTACTTCTTGGCTTTTTCTTCTTCCTGTTGTGGGTCTGGTATACTTTCCCATCACAGTCCTTTGTCGGCATTTCTTATCACTAATCTCCGGCGGTAATTAAGACCGCAGGTGTGGGAATGTGAGCTTCAACCGGATTTGCAGAAAAATTGAAAGCATTCGATTTAATTACAGACGGAGATTAGTGATAAGGACCCCGACAAAGGGCTCTGATGGGAAAAAACGAACGGGATTTCGACGTCATGGTACCGTGCCAAAAGGATTCAGGAAAAGAGTGATAAGGAATTGAAGGCTGCGATTTCGAATGCGAGCCTTCAACACAGAGTCGATAGTCCGATCGGTCTGTAACCTGGACCCAATATACCAGACTTGCCCGCCCCGGCCAGCAAATCGTCGGCCCGGCCCGGCCCGGTCGGCCCGGCTCCGCCCACTCTTGAGAAAATTTTCGTAATTTTTGTGAAAATTTTGCGACTTTAAACAGCAATTTCTATTTTTTAACAGGTTTTTATGCTATAACATTGCCTTTTTAAGTCTATAAAATTTTAAGTCTATAAAATTATGTTCGTTTCGAAGTTCTAGTTCGCTTTGAATTTTTAGGTGCATCCTCCCGGGCCGACCGGGCCGGGCCGGGCCGGAAAATTTCCAATTTTGGCCCGGCCCGGCCCGGCCCGTTGCAAGTCTGCAATATACAGGGTGCGCCAAAAGTATGGTACCACATTCAAAGTGATGTAATCTTTGCAAAAATACTCGAACCAACATGAAAATTCAACTATAATGTATAGAAACCACTATAAACGTGAAAATATTAAAATTGTTCTATGTGGTTGAATTTGTTCTTGACAACATCCTTGAGTCTCTTCGGGCTTGAACTTCACTCAGTTCTCGTACAATGGGATCTTCGCACGGTACTTCACTGGGTTCTCGCTCGACTGGGTCGAGCTTCTTCTCTCTCTCTCTCTCTCTCTCTCTCTCTCTCTCTCTGTCTCTCTCACTCTCTCTGTCTCTCTCTCTCTTGTGGAACCCTGCGGACAGTGAGTGCAGCGATCAGCAGAACTCGCCAATGGTGCTTCGTGATGGGTCATGAGGAGCCGTGGCGTACTATTAATGACAAGTGCATATAGGTACGTTTGTTAGCAATTCTCTTTCAAATTCTCAATGACCCGGATTCCAGCCATCCCGTTATCGGTAGCTGAACACGACTTGGGTCCCAGGAGGTGGACAACAGGAGGAATTGACGTACAAATTGTTCCAAATGTCATTTTCAACGTTTCCTCTGCACATTTTCCGTGTTTGACCGCTACGAAACTATCAATGAGCACCTTGGTATATCTGAAATGTAAGTGTTTGAAAACCAAATTATCTCGGAAATAACATACCTTTAGATGTGGGCACAACTTGCTGTAGCAGTTCCGAATGTCACCGTAATGATTGGGTGGAGGTCGACGAATAACAAAAGTTCATCCGCTTTCACTACCGCTCTGACTTCAGACGTCGCGTGCTGTTTTTTCCCTCAGACCGTCGAGAACCTTACGAACAGTTTGCTAAAGCAATTCGAATGGAGAGCGCGTTGAACTTGTCCGCAGCGGTCACATTCAATGATTCGACACTCTCCGCATGGTGAATAGATCTATTCACATCTTTGCAATACATACGTACGGTGGTTTTTCCATCTGTTCCTGAAACATAGCCAGAATTGCCGCAATTCTGGATAAGTGATCATATGTACCACACTCCGATCATTCGTTGAGCAGAACCAATGAATTGTTCGTCGCCTGCATCAGATTGTCGACATCGGCGTAGCTTCGCGGTCTTCCGGATCTTCTTTCAGATTTTTGTCTTCTTTGGTATACTTTCCTCAGACGACAATTACATATATCTGCAATTTAAGAACATTGTTCAAAATAACCTAGCGAAACTTGCTGTAGCCGTAGTGAAACTTCATTGAACCCGAGTGATTCAAATTGAATAATATAGTCTGGGTAGGTTGTTCATGAACAACGTTTCCTTCACACTCTTATCGACCCGAAGACAGAGCAAGAGAGTGAGAAACAGACAGCCTCGGGACCATTGACGACCCTGTTCACGTGTGCGTGCGTGACCGTGCACGGGAGTGGGTTGTGAGGTCCTACGCTGCCTTCCAGGCTTTCCAGGCGTGCATGCAATTTATTTCTAACCAATGCACCATGTAGATTCACATTCCGCCACAGTTCACTTGTTTTATTAAAAGAAAAGTTGTAAAACACAAAGAACACTAATTTTGGGTAATGTTAAGGACAGAAAACGTGAAATATCATAAACATTAAGAAGAATATTGATTGAATAGAACTGGGTTGGCTGAAAACCGTTTCTGATACCTGCTGGAGCGAATTGATTAGTGTCCGTACTTTTGGAACTCCCACTCGCGGTTGTCCAGTGGACAAACCTGTACAAAAAATGGACAATATTTCCACTGCAAACAAACAAAAAGCGACTACCTGACGAGTTTTGAGCCAACGAGAGATGCAGTGGAAGTGGTAAGCGTGGTTGCAGGTGCCCCACGCGACGGTACAGTCTTCCTTGACTCCTTCGGCCTGAGCCGCTTGGCACTCGATGCACAGCTCCATAATGTGGTTGCGACAAATGGCGCAGTTGTCTACCTGAATGTCCCAGCACCACAGAGAGACGGCAGACCATTTTTTGACCTATAAATGAAAATGTTTCTAGAACAAATGGGAATCGGACGGGAAAACTCACTTCAAAGCGCTTCTTCTCCGCATGTGTTGCAGACTCGGGTGGCGTCGACGGATTGTCGCTTGACGAGGCCATATCACCTGAAAACAAGAATGTGAAATGAGGCATGTATTGGTAAAAATAAAACGGCTTGAAAAAGTGCACGGCGAGCTCCGATTTTTTGGATATTGACACCGAAATAAGTATAAAAATGATTTATCAAAACAGCCAATGATAAACAGGACAGCGCAATTCACGCGCAACTGCAGACATTCGAACCTAGTTCACCTCCGCTTACCGGCCCGCTCAATAACACTCGTGGCCGCTCACGGACGCAGCAGTCTAAACGTCTCTGCCCCGTGTGTCGTCACACTCTCTCCTCTCAATCAATACGATTTGACATCGTCTTCGAAATAACAAGATGGTCCATTTGTTCTCTCTCACTAATTCTATAACATTGTGTGCTTTTCCTGCAAGTTCAGAGGTAATTTTCAGGAAATACTGGTTTAATAAAAATATTTTGAATTTCAGGTACACATGTGTCGTTGGCCGGCGTCATAGGAATGTTGTTTCGGGCGTCAAAAGCAAATTGCTTGGAGGATTCTGAAGGTTCTACACGATTTGCACAAAACACCAAAGAATGTAATAGAAAATTGTGAGTTATTTAAAGAAATGGGACAAATTATCGCTCGAAGTTTCAATTCCATTCTATTAGAATTCAAAATGGCTTATACATACTAGGACCTCCGGAATGGCATTAATCGCCTCCACAATCCACGCGAATGTGGCCTAGGCAGTCTCAAGCTAAGCTATACTCAGATTTCAGACGCGCTGTTCAATGCTGTCCTCCCAGATGGGAAAGCTGCATCATCCGACGTTACGGGCGCGGATGAGACGACGTTACTGTTGCAGGAGGAGCCAGCACCGACGTCACAGTTATTGAACACAGACGAACCGCCATCACCACTTAATTAATGACCAGCGCCGACGACAAATGTACCGGACACGGATGAGCCAACTTTTGAGTCAACGGAGCTGCCTCTGCCAACGTCACCCTCATTGGACACATTTGAAACGATGCCACAGCTGGAGAAGTCGCCAGCGCCTACGACGAAGTCGATGGACACAGCTTGACACACGACTTCCCAGTTTATGGAGCATCCTCCGCCGCCACGACCACTAAAGCTGACAGAAAAGCTGCCTTCCCAGCTGAACGAGTTGCGGTTAGTTGTGCAAGAACAGGATGCGCTTCTCTGACAGTGTGTTTGCAGATTTCACTCACTCTTATATGAATGCAGCAATTTCGTTGATTTGATGTTTGAAGAGGATTGTGTTATCGAAATGTGCTACCGTAGGTCATTACTTTGACAAGATGCTGTGACACAGAGGGCACAGCCTCCCAGTTTATGGAGCAGCGTTCGCCGCCACTACGACCAACGCTCATAGAGGAGCTGTCTTCCCAGCTAAAGAAGTTGAGGTTAGTCGTTCGAGAACAGTATCTGCTTCTTTGACAGTTGTTGTTTGCAGAATCCACTCGCATCGAATGACAATTTCGCATGCCGAAAGCAACAATTCAGTTAAAGTCAGTCATCAGAAGAGATGTCAGCGCCAACAAGTGCCGGACACGGATGAGTCAATTTCCGAGTCAATTACGCCGTCTCTGCCGACTTCACTCTCACCAGACACGGATGAGACGTCTTCAAAGCGGAAGAAATTATCAGCGCCGACGTCGCAGTCATTGGACACAGTTGACACGACTTTCCAGCTAATCTCCGATGTCACGGGTGCCGGACACGAATTATTTTTTCTATTTCAGTAAAGAAACGAAGGCTTAGATTGATAGAACCGTGTAGATCGGAGTTTTTTAGAGGAAACAGTTTATCGGTAACATGGTGCTTGGATAGTGGATAATTAATTCTATTGGAAAGAATGTGAACAGGTAATGCACAGAAAAATTGTACAGCTACCGTACACAGTAACTATGTGAATGTAAAAGATGAGAGTGATGAGGTCAGAGAATGGAGCAGTTTTTTATTTTTCTCTGATTTGAGCAGCGCCCCTCCGTCGAATCATGAGCCGATGTGCTCAGAGAACGTCCACTTCTGAAAATGAAATATTACGTGAAAATTACTAACAAAGAAACGACACTTTCAAGGAAACTGACTTGTTTCGGGAGATCGGATCGTTCATTCCGTCGAACGAAAAACAATCAAAATAGTCATCGTCCTCTTCAATCTCTGGTGGGTTTGTTTTGTTCGCATCCTCCTGTTGATCCGTAATCTCGGCCAGTTGATAGAAGTCCTCTTCTCCGCTCAAGTCTAATTTGAATGGAGATTCCAGCATTCCGGAAGCAACCTGTGCCCAGTTCACTGTTCTGAAGAACTTGTGAGCTTTTACTTGAACTGCTCCGAGACGATCCTTGGGTTCTTTTGTCAGCAAATCAAGAAGAAGTTCAGGAAGGAACTGGAATTTGTTCTTGGGTTTCGCGGTTTCGTTCATGATCAGCTGCTTTGTTTCTTGCCATGTTTCACCATTAAACGGAAATATTCCTTCAGCGATCTCGTAGGCGACCACTCCGAAACTCCACCAATCGACTTCTTTTCCATAAAGCTCACGCCGCAGGATCTCCGGTGCCATATATTGAATGGTTCCGCAGAATTTGATCATCGTTTTTTCTTCGAAAATACCGTCTTGAGCCAGTCCGAAATCTCCGAGTTTCATGTGCCCTTTGTTGTCCATGAAGATGTTCTCGGACTTGATATCTCGATGAACCACTCCCATGTGATGGATGTATTCGATAGCAATTGTGAGCTCGGCAAGGACGAAACGGGTCTCATGCTCTGTGAAAACTGGGTGCTTCTCAAAAAATGACCACAAATCTTTTCCAGAACATAGTTCCATAATCAAGAACAGGTGCAGCACAGATTGACATGACTGGAAGAGCTTACAACAGTAAATGTTGTCAATGCTCTCCAGAATCTTCTGCTCTCGCTGCATATGTTCTTGGTCAGTTCTTGTCTCGAGACTTGACTTTTGAATTGCTTTCATCGCGAACACCCGTCCTCTTCCCGGATCACTAGTCTTCACGACTTTGAATACCTGGAAACATAGTATACTTTTTAAGTTCTTTGTCACTTACCTTTCCGAAAGATCCACTTCCTATCACACTGAGAATTTTGAAACCTTCTGGGCTCACGGGCACTTCCATTTTTGTATGACATCTGTAATAATCATCAGAAACTAAAAGATACTTGAGTATTCCCTGTCATACAACCTTTCAGACCGGTCTAGCAGATGAGGATGATAGGAACATGTTAACCTTCTAGAGAGCGCCATCTACTTCTCCGCTAGCTCATGGTACTTATAAAAATAAGCCAACTTACATGGTATTTTACAAAGTAAAAAGTGTGATCATCTTCTCATCGATGCTCATCGCAGGAGATTTACCTGGAAAAAAGTATCTATGTATGAGAAGAAACGACACGATTCATAGGCTTTTATTCTATTTCTACGACATTCGAATGGGAAGCATGCAGAAATTTAGGAAATTTCACACAAAATAATGGAGAAACTAAAACTGTTTTCATGTTAAATTCGTTTGAAAACGGAAAGTCGTGAGGGACCGTGGAACACATGTCCGCACAGGAGAGCGTACACAAAAGTGCAGTGACCTTTTTCTGTTTTTCCACTCTTGCGCATTCGTTTCTAAGCGATTTCGTTTCGGGAAATACGGAACTCATTCCGATCGGCTGAAATACTCGAAAAGGTTCATTGCGACTGCAATCCATGCAGGAAATAACACACTGAGAGCAGCATTCTCAAAACCGACATGTCCACGACGCACTCAAGTAGTTTTTTAAATCCCAAGATCTGTATTCCTGGTTCTTGTTCTGAAAATCTCAAAGATACTATGTTCTCTCTCAATATACTGAGATTGAGACAACAAAATATTAGTTCCATGGACTTCCTCTGCCCAATAAACTTTATTATTTTTCACTGGAGCCCTATAATAGACAAATAAATGAATACCATAAAACTTTTCCTGACAGAATTTAGAAAGACCAAAATTGCATTAAAACCAACTATCCAAGACGTGGTACCCATTTACGCAGAAGGAGAAGATGGAGAAGAAGAAGAAGAAGAAGAAGAAGAAGAAGGCACAGAAGTATCATCAGAACTAGTAGTTATCAAAACTTTAGTACGGCCTTCACATCCCATCGTGGCTCTCAGAAGTAGAATACTTTCGCCGTTGTCGTCGTCTCGGTTGTAGTCCTGATCGATAATGCCCCATTCGTTCGGACAGTGAATGATCCACCGGGTGATGTTGCGTTTTCCTTGTTGCCACTCGGCGATGAGACCAGTAAACAGCTTCCGGCTCGCTTCGTCGTTTTTCAGTTGGACGATGAGGTTGCTAAGATTCGGGGCGGTTTTGATGCACTCCAAACGCTCTACAGTGTGTTCACCATTGACGACGAGGGTAGTAATCTGAATTGCAAATGAAATGTCAGTTATAGACCAGAGTATAGTTGAATAGACATGATACTTTCAAACTAATCAACCAGAAGTTATTAACCCATCAACTTACCGTTCCTAAACTTTTGATCCCCGGCGCGATCGCATTTGATGGGACGTGCACAATAACTCCCTCGATAGCAAAGTGATCCACGATTTTCATGACAGTGGGAGTCAAAGCGGTGTCGTACAGAGTGAGACCGAACACCACCGAATTCTTTCCAACAGTACGTATCACTTCAGCGACGACGGCGTCACTCAACGGCGAGCCCTTCACGCTGACCTCGAACAGAATTACTCGGTTTTTGACAGTGAACCTCAATGGCTCGGTGACAGTCCACGCTTGCGGACACGATCTAGAAAGTCCCATCGGATACATGGACATCTGAAAATGAAGCTGAGACTACTGTAACCACCACTACTTTTCTATCACCCTTTTGAGTTCGTCTTTCTCGAACTCCATGAGAACGGTGATCGGTTTCCGTGGCAGATATGTTCCACCTTTCTCAGACTTTTGTGTCTCGGAATAAAAGCGAGCTTCATATTCTTTCAATTGCATCCCGAAAACTTCAGTGCGAAGAGACTTTTGATGCTGGACGGCATCGATGTAGATGTCAGGATTGCGAAATTCCATTACCAAAACGAAGAGGGCTGTAAACCGAATAATTGTGTCGAAATGTACATAAAATTCCATCTGGCTGATCGTTTCTTAAAGTTGATTGCATATTCATAAGCTCCAACGCGACAATACACTCGATTTTAATAAACAGGCATGGGAAATCAAATCAATAGAAACGTTTCACTAGAAAAAAAATTGTTCGAGCAGGGACAGAATTTCAAAATGTGAAAAGATGAAGAAAGTCGAAAGGGAAAGGAAAATTCTCCGAAACGTTTTATTGCTTGGGGGGGGGGGGGACAACAAAAATCGTTCGTTGCCCGATCGAAGAGTTCTCCACAAAAACCATAACATTTTTAACGACCCGTTTTCCGCACGATCTGAAACCATCTGAAACAAACAATAACGTTCTAGAAACGGGGACCAAACTCCAAATTTGATGGATCTCCGCCGAATTAAGCATGTACCTGACAAGAAAATCCTGGAAAGAAACAATGCTCCAGAAAAAAGAGCTCAATGTAACTCCTGCTTTCCAAACCCACATTTATTAGGACCCTTGCTGTTGTGGACGGCGTCATGAAGCGCCTCAAACTGCCCCACACAAGTGGGTAGATACCATGATATCGTTGACTTGAGAGAAGCAGTTTTGAACAAGGTCATGTACGTCTGACGTTCAAAAAAAGAAAGAAAGATAGCGGCAAAAGTATGTCTCCTCGCGTCGTTTTAATGATTGTTTAGAGAGAGGTCAATTAAGACAAAAGTATGCGTGGCGCAGAGAAAGAACCCTAAGTTCGAGTGATTTATATAATCAGACGTTGAGAGAAAAGAGTGAGAGAAGGAATAAAAGAACAAAATCTGTGTGATATTCAAACTTGAAGTTTATTTTGCCAGTTCATTTTGAAATTCCAAAAGTTGTTCAAGAGTTGCTCAGTTGACAAGTGATTAGTATCTGTATTTGTCTCATGCGCTCAAACAAACCCCGATTTACACCGTTTGCTTTATATGAACACCGTTCGCTTTAAAAAAATCCATATTTTTGAGCGGACGCCTTAGACAAAAATCCTGATTCTACCCTCTATCACAAAAAGACGTTTTCTTATCTGATTCGTAAACGATTTCTCAATTACATTTTGTTAATTTATGGCATATTATAGTTTCTATTTGATCCTCCCGCAAATTGTATCATAACAAAAAACATTTTGATAACATCTAGATCCTCTCGAGTGACTGTCTTCCCTTTTGTAGCTTCATTTTCCGTCCTATCACTGCTTGCCGACCTCATCACACTCGTGTCCTCCGTAGTTCATATGTATCTTCATAATGTTATACTGAAAATATGGCATGTACATATTTGCAGTCGTATAATTGTATGTTTTTGCCCAGAAAGACAGAAAATGAAGTTAGTCATTGCTAAATCACGTGAGAAAACCTTTCAATCTCTTGGGTTTTTCGAGTCTCCATAGCAACTGGAATCCAGTTTCTCAGCTCACAACTCATAAGGCTGCATTCTCGTTTCGTTTCCTTTTTGTTTTCTTTCTCCAGACACCTAAAATGATGTGCGAATTTTCAGTTGAGTTGCGAGAGTGTAAGGGAAAAAACGTTTTTTTAAATTGAAAACTCGTCTTGTTTTTGTAAGAAATTGGAGGTCATCTTGATGTTTTTGCACATAGATGCATTTTTTTTTAACTGTCGCGGAAAGAACAATTTGAATATCAATGGGGCGCGTATGCATTATCATCCTCTGATTGTCGATTGACCACACGCGCACACGCTTCAGTTCTTTTTCACTTTTCTCGTTTCTCATCCAAACATTGTCCTTTGGACTCCAATTTCTTGGCATTTTCAGGTTGAAACATGGATAACAAGCTGCATTTCGAAGTCTGTCGCAAAAAATCGCACTACTTTCTCGAAGTGAGTCCAACCGACGACATCGAAGAGCTGAAACGCCAACTCGAAGGTATCACAGCGGTAAGAATGAAGTTGTTTGGCAAAGCAGCATGAGAAATGTTAAAGATTCCGGTGAAAAACATGTGGCTCTGGAAACTGGACAAAGATGGCAACAAATTGGAAGCCCTGAGCAACCATGTCACGTTCCAAGAGTACGGATACAATCAACGAAACGCTATGGTGAGAAGAAAATAATGAAATTTGAGCGGAAGATATTTTTGTAAACAAATAGATGAAATTTTGAATAATTTTCCGATAAACATGCAACTTGAGCAGTTTTCACGTTTATAACTAAAATGTACAGGCTCAGCGACCTGCTCTCATCGGTCTCCGCGTGATTAATGAGGAGAGTGAGCTGAAGATCGACCATTTGCCAAAATTCGAAGGAATCGCACGTAACGGAGACTCGAATGCTTCTACCCCCTCGTCCACTTGAATTCTGCTAATATTTTAACAAATACCATCAACTCTTTCTTGAACGAACTTTTTGGGGGATTTTCATGGTCTTTTTTCCGATGGTGTCGAAGTTTCCCAATAAATACAAATACTGGAGTGTGATTACTGTTAAACAAAATACCCTTGAACTTCTCTTAAACAAATTTGAATCCTGTTTTCATTTCTGATCGTTAGTTTCAGTCTTGTGCACGTTCCTATCAGAACAGTTTCTCTGTGACATGTCACTAACGAGAACTTTCTTATCATTACGTTTCTTATCAACTGCCAAGAGTTTTCCATATTTATCAGCCATTGCATCATATTTCATTCACAACGGAGCAAACAATAGGATCTGATCTTTAGAAATAAGAAATGTGTTGTCACAAACGTTTTATTCGAGTAATTGAGTCTGCACACATAGGTACGGATACATAGTTAAAAGAAAATCGGGAAGTGATGCTCTGGGCGTTTCATTTCTATGTTTGAAACTTGCTTGATGTATTGAATATTACCATAGAAACGAAAGGCCAATCTGAAAATTGTCAGTGTGACGTTTCCGATTGTTCTATTAATTTACCTGTTAGACTGAAATACGAGTGATAATCCTCTTCACAACGTGTAAGCGAAGCTGGTCATTGCAATGGAAAATGCCTGAATTGGAGAAAGAGGCCATCTAAAGTTCAGAGAGTACGAGTTATCAAAGTTTCGACCGAGATGCAAAATGATACGTTCCTGATTGTCTTTGTCGACGAGTTGGAACAATCCCGAACTTTTAGTTTTGTAAATAGTCAGCATATAGTAATTTTCATCAAGGTATCTGTAGTACATGGAGTCAACTTTGTTTAGCGGACGATTTCGTAAGTTGTGATATGACTTGTCAGGCGAATCCTCAAAAACTTCTGGGATGATAACTGTCATATCACGAATCTTTTTCTGGAGACTGTCATGCTGAAATTAGGAGAAATAGTGGAAACCAGGAGAAAATGGAAACTTGCATAGATGACAACTGCAAGTTCCTCTCGAGCGTGTTTCTTTGCTCTAGGTCGACCGCAATGTGGATTTTCTCCATCGTTATAAACAATAAACGAGGGTCCAAAACTAGTTGACCTGAGTTTGGCACAAAAACTCTCGTGTCTTCTTCTCAGTAATTGTGGATCGGTGCTGATCAGAAAGTAACAACTAACAGTCTTTATGCGTTTTCTAGCCGCCAACAAGAAGATCTTTCCATTCTCTTTTTTTTCTTTCTCCAAATTGAGGTAATAAGTGGGGAAATGTTTTTTCCCCAGTCCTATCATTTCACGAGTTATTGTGCAGTTGTAGAAGGTGTTCTTCGCCACCGGATTTTTTATAAATCTAAAAAAGAGCCAAACTTTGAGAATCACAAAATAATTCTAACTCTTCTGTGTTGTTTTGAATGTAGTTGTAATCAATTGGCACGTCTGTAGAAAGCGGATTTGTTGTGGGTTTGCCAATTTTTTCAAAATATTCCAGTAAACTTTGTCTGGACTCATCTTGTTGTGAGCTGTCATTGCTGAAATGTTTTCCCTGATTTTCGGAATTTCTAAGGGATTTTCGTACGGCTAATCAAAAAAAAAATGCACGTTTTGTGTGTGTGTGCTATAATCATTGTGGACTACCGACTCTCACGTGCCCCCTCTCCTCATTAGCTTACATTTGCCGCTGAGTCACTGGCGGTGGCAGAGATTGAGGTCTTGATGAAAAGAATGGCAATCGAAATCGAGACGGACTGAAAATTTGGTCCTCCGGCCTGACGTCAGGAAGACTTTCGATGTCAATGAGCAAATTTCTGAAGAAATATTTGGGAAACATTGTAGTTACGAACAAAACGCATGTTTAACCTGTTTCTGTTTGAGACTTCTCTCACGCTCTCCATACTTTTTCGGAACGTTTCCTTCTTCTTGTCATCAACAAACTTGATCTGTAATTCAAAATATGCAGACTTGTTACATCCAAGTCCGACTGTGAGAGACTTCCCGAGAGGCCCAGCTGATTAGAAAACATTGAGCATTTTTGATATTTTTCGGTTGTTCGATACTTGCACAAATTTCTGTGTGCATCATGTTTCAAGGCCGCCTAGGCCAAGCACTGCCAAGCAGGGCCAGCAAACATTTGTTTATCGGCACGTCCCGACCCGTGACAAGTCTGATGTTTCGACGAGGTATTTGTCGTGAGAACCGCCGCGTATAAGAGCATGTTTGAATAACGAGAAAGTTCAGATGACAAATGGAATACTGAAATGTTACCAGTTGATCGAAGTCCAGCTCCAAATTCGCATCCATCGTGGTAGTGCAACGCAAAAAAGCACGTAGAATAGCTGAGCAAAACAGAGTCAAGTGACTATTAACGTCGGTTAATCAACGGAGGAGCCGGAGACGAGCATGCGTGGACGTTTCCATAACAGCAAGCTGACAAACCTGTTATCAGCAAAGCTTTCTTTCTTCATTTTCGTTTCCAGCGAAGCTCGTGAGCGCGAAGATGATAATTACGGCGGTTATTATGAAGCTAGCATCTTTCGAGTCACGAGGATTGATGCTGATGTGTGGGTCATTGTTCGAAGTGGAGTTGTCAATGACGTCGAGTGGTATACATAGTCTCATTGACTGATCCATCGGTGGGAATGACTCTAAATTATGACGATGTTGTATATAGCTTATCGTTCTCGGTAAATGTGAGTCACATTTCAGAGATTTATCAGTCAGTCCTTATTTTCCAATTGGAAATCCGGCACTGAAACAAACCTAATCCGATCTAACTGATTTGATAGCTTACGGCGCCCCTTTTTTCCTCACAATCTGTCATTTTTTCCATCATCTTCTCTCTCAAAAAGGTCACGAAAAAAGTGCTTTAATTGACTCTCATTTGAGAAACTGCACCATTTGAAGCGTCATCCTTTTTAACAATTAGCTGGCATTTCGTTCAGCCCTTTCGTTCAGACCTTTTTCGTCACAACAACCACTTTCCCTTTTTATTTCAAGGAAAATGGCTACTCGAAAGGAGAGAGCTGTGAGCATTTTCCAAGTCATTCTAAACGAGTTCTACCGTTGGGCCAGTCTGAAGGCGGAATCATCTGAGAGAAGACGTTACTTCTGCCGGATCTACGACTACATCGAGTATCGGGTGAGCTGCTACACGGAACAACTGCCTGTTACCGTACCACTGCCGATGGACCCCGCCAGATTTCATCTCCGGACTATTGTACTCATGAGAGCACACGTCAACAAACGGTCATCACAGCCAAATTTTGCGGACCAGAGGGACGATCATATGAATTGCGAATGGATTCTGCGTGGAGTGTGGCATGAGATTTTCGATGAGTACATGGAGACACAGAAAGATACATCGTAGTGAATTTATATTTATTTAATTTGATGTCAATTCTGTAAAACATAATGTAAAATACATGTAATCAGCTCCGAATAAATTTTTATTTCAAAACACGCACTTATTTGTACATCTGTTAAAGGAAATCTCATCTTTCTGTCATCTGCATGCATTCAAGAAACGTTTCAGGCAAAAGCTATAGTTTCGAGTTCTACATTGTTTGTCTTCTTAGACTTCTGAGTTCTCGTCGTAATCTTGCGACGGGTGGTTTAAACAGCTGTGTGCAGAATGTGTCAGCCGATCCATAAGAGCGTCAGTAACCGTTCAGAGCAACCGTCATGACAACATCAGGTACAAGAACTAACAGTCAGGGCTGGGCAATTGGCCGGCACGCGATTTTCGTTGGCCGGGCCTTGACCTGGACTTTTGAACCACTTGCAGTATTCCGATCGGACCCAAACTTTGCAGGCTTCTTGTACATGGATTGAAGCATATTGGGACCAAGTTTCAGCCCAATCGGATTATTTGGTCCCGAGAAATGTGGATCATTGGCCGAAATTAGCCGGAAGCCCTGGCTTTTTGGAAAAAATCGTCCAATGATCCACATATCTCGGGACCCGACGATCCGATCGGGCTGAAACTTGGACACAATGGCCGTCAATCCAAATCCAACAATCCTGCAAAGTTTGGGTCCAATCGGAAAATTGCAAGTGGTTCAAAAGTCCAGGTCAAGGGCCGGCCAACGAAAAGCCCGTGCCGACCAATTGCCCAGCCCTGCTAACAGTGCTTCAAAATGTCTCATCTTTATTTCTGCAGTGTCGGACAGCGTCAACTGGTGTGTCTGGCCCGTGTTCTTCTCCGCAAGATCCGTGTGCTTGATGAAACGACGACCGCCGTCATTGTCTCCACGGACGCATTGATCCAGAAGACGATCCGCGCGGGAGTTTGCCAACTCGACAGTTCTCACCATCGCTCGCCGGCTGAATACCACCGTGGACTATGATCGATAAGATACTCAATCACGCAAATTTGTTTTAAATCTTACCACGTTCCTTGCAGAATCATCGTGCTCAAAGACGGAAAGGTTGGAGAGTTAGACAGCCCGAAGATCCGCAACTCTGAGTTCTACTCAATGGCCAAGCGCGCAGGACTCGTCTGATCATCCGATCCATCTACCACTTTCTCATGATCCACTTTTATACCTCAACCACGGTTCAGTAATTTTTAACGCGAGTTGCTTTTCTTCGAAAATATTATATGTTTTCTGGTTCTAGAGGAGCGCGCTTTCTGCTGGACTCACCATTCGTTGTGGTTGCTGACATGAACGGATGCTGGAATTAAGGAATACGAGAGGAAAAAAAGAGAAGCAAAATCATTCCACATTTGAACAAACTGCACAGCTTGACTGAAATGATCAGCTTATATCAAGCGTTGAAAAACTTGCTCCACACTTGTGGACGAACGTACCACTCATCCGAAGACTTTGGGCACTATTTGGTCAGTTCCATCTACTATAGCATCGATGAAATTGTCTTGTGCGCCTCTCAATCGCTCTTCCGCTGGCCTTTCTCAATTGCAATCACAAGTTGTTACGAATGGAATCAGACTGGAATCAGACAATATCACTTATCTTTTTTCAGCGCAAGATCTCCTCGGCCGTCTCTTCTCAAACCACTACGATCTTTTAAGAAACGTCTTTTATTACGTAGAAATCACAGGACGCACTCCGAAACTCTCCGTGAGTTAAGGAAACCGTGTCAAAAGCAAATTGGGGATCATTAATTAGACGATATACTCGTAGACGTCTTTCTGCATGTTATTCTGATCGATGTAAGCATGATCGATGAGAAATCCAATGCAGTCTTTGATCATATCAATCTTCGGTTGAAACGACTTTGACAACAGAGAGATGACTTCCATGACGAGCTGCTGATGAGAGATTTGCTTTTGTGTCTTCATGATGTGCATGATGGTAGCCTGAAAATTCAAATTGGTCTCACTAAGAAAATCAATAGATTTAAAGAAAATAAGTAAGCTATGGGATTTTGTTAGTAACTATGTATTGTACCTCACCCCCTCCCTTTTTGATTTGTACTTACATATATAAACTGAAACTTACATTAATTACTTGTTTTCTATCATCATCTATTTTCTGCACAATGGCTTCAGTGTCACGGGCTTCTTCCAATTTCATTATCACTTTCGATAGATCAACATTCGTCGTCCTGCTGGTGTAACCAAAGTTGATCATGATTTGACCACTCACAGGAAATCGTTTATCACAAAGATTCGGATTAGTGGTCAGTATCCTATTTTTCACAAAAACAGTGACAACCGCCAGAGTGGTCTCCCTGTCCATTCCGGTTGCCTCCATGATTTGGTCGACGGAGAGCGCGTCGGTATCGTTGAAAAGAAGAATGACGCACATTTGTGATGTGGTAAGGGTCATCATTACCCTTTTTGTAAACGTGTTGCAAACGACTTCTCCGCAACATTGTGAGTGATTCCACGCGAGACGTCTGCCGTTGTATTTCTGATTGTAGAAGCTTTCAAATGACTTTGCCAGTTCTGATAGCTCGACAGGTAGAATTAAATTTCTCGGCTGAATTTGAGGCGAGACACCGGCTTTCAGTACTTGTGCATTGAAATTGATTGTTTGCTGGCCGGATGACTCCATCTGCATCTTGAAATTGACATTCAGCTCTTTGCTCGTTTGGCAGTCACGAAGCACCGTCGAGAAATGATTCCAGCTTTCAAATTCCACAAAAGGTCTCAGATTTGACATCAAATTGAGTTCGGCCTGGCTATCACTAGCCAACGCGTCGTGGATCATTCGTTTGATAAACAGCATGGTGTAGATTTTGTTGAAAACAAACTTATCGTCTAGGAACCGGAAGACCGTCACCTGAAAGAATGAATATACACAAAACAGATATAGTTTTTAGGTTAACTTACAAATTTTCTCGTAAAATCGTCAAAGTTCTTGAATTCTGCTATTTTCGGGGTATTTCTCAAAAATCGGTCACAGATTAGGGCCAACAATTCAGCGGACTTGGTGCCTCTCCATTTTTGAGCCAAACTTGTAACCGCATTGGTATTGATAAAAATTGTGGCAGCTTGGACTTGTATTCTCATAAAGTCAGGATCGTTTGCCAACAATACGGAAGCCATTCTTTCATGTCTCTGATGAACACGCCAGAGTGTGAAGAAATACAATGTCGGGTCGTTGAACGCATTTTGATCGACTCGCTCCAACTTTTCGGACCAATCCTTTGCCACGTGTTTTTCAAAATAAGCCTTCATTTCCGTGATAATCGTAGAGCCCACACGGCAGCACAGCTTGTACGCTTTCGCAGCAACCTCGTCGCAATGAGAGCTCAGACTTTCTTCAAATGCAGTATTGAATAGTTCGATGTGCTGCGAAACCAGCACTTCTTCACATATCTTCTTCAACGGGACGTGCGTAGTCGGGAGCAGATACTGTTCAACGCGGATCATCTCCTGGTTGATTTGCTTCTCCACTCGATTCACATAATCAATCGCTCTTCCTCCCGATTCAATAAAGCGCATCGCTTCATCGGCATAAAATTGCCTAGTTATCTCAAGAAGTTTCGTCTCAAACAATTCTTTATAGAAATGGTCCGGCGCCATTTTCTTGTTCACGGATGCACAATATTGGAGGCTTTTGATTACACTTGAAATGTATTCAGTATTGATCTTCTCTCCTTGTCTCTCCTTGTTGATCAGGTCCATAACGGCTTCAATCAAATAATGCTGGATTGGGCGAAATAGTAGCACCATCCACGACGTCAGCGCCATCGTTGTCAAATCCATGAGGTTATGATTTTGCTTTTCTTCGATTTCGCGGTTGATCCATCCTTTCACAAGGTATCGAAACAATGAGTTCATGCCTCTGCCCATTTTACCAAATTTGAACCATTCCTTGTCGAAAAACTCCAAGAGAAGCTCTCCTTCCAATCCTCTGCTACTCGCCGCGATACTTTCGACCCACTCCAAAAAGAACATTTCCATTTTGTCGTAAAGGATTCTTGAGCGAGCGTCTCGCAGGTGTGTGCTGTCGCTTTGCACGAGATATTCGTAGATCACACTGAAAAAAACGTTAATTTCAGGGCTAGGCAATTGGCCGGCCCTTGACCTGGACTTTTGAACCACTTGCAGTATTCCGATCGGAACCAAACTTTGCAGGCTTCTTGGACATGGGTTGAAGCATACTGGGACCAAGTTTCAGCCCGATCGGATCATCTGGTCCCGAGATATGTGGATCATTGGCCGAAATTGGCCGGAAGCCCGGGCTTTTTGGAAAAAATCGGCCAATGATCCACATTTCTCGGGACCAAATAATCCGATCGGGCTGAAACATGGACACAGTGGCCCTCAATCCAAGTCCAACAATCCTGCAAAGTTTGGGTCTGATCGGAATATTGCATGTGGTTCAAAAGTCCAGGTCAAGGGCCGGCCAATTGCCCAGCCTGGTTAATTTTTTGTCGAATAGTATCCTATTCGTCATTCTTTTAAGAGTGGTTTTTAGACCAATGGAAAAGATCACAATCAACATGTTTTACTTTTCTAAGTATTGCTAACTCACGAGTTTGCTTCCATGTAGTTATTCTCTAAATTAACGTCTTTTGTGAACAGTTTCACTAGTCTATCCTTCAGGACTGTCCACATCTCGTCCACGTCGTTCCATTGTCGTCTGAACGTCATTTGAACAAGTTTCTGCAACGAGAAATGATAAAAGAATGAAAAGATAGGAAGATAAATGATATAGAACGTTTCAAAAAGAGCAAAAAGAGTAGCTCAGGGGGTGATCCTTATAAATTGAGCAACGCGGGCGAGCAATCACGGTACAAAGCTCATACAGGGGTTCCAAGGAAACACAGGGGTCCGTTGGAAATGCAAGAATCTCAAAGGTATTACAGGAGTCTCAAAAATACCTCAATACTATAAGGATCCTAAAGAAAAGTTCATTTTGTTACAGGATTCTTTAAAAAAATACCTCAGTACTACAAGGGTCCCAAAGAAACGTTCATTATGTTACAGGGGTGTCAAAGAATTAGAAATTTGGAAGAAAACGGAAAAAATGGGATTTTTATCGGGGGACTAGAAAAATCGCGGCCAGCTCTTCCATTTCGCCGTGCACTTCTTTCGGTATCAAAATCGGGGTAAGTTTTTTTGCCATTTAGGACTTTGGGAAAGTGAATGCCCCACTTCGAGTTTATTTTAAGAATATGTTGTACTTCAGGTTAGACACGACACTTGAAAAAATTGTAGAAAAATGAGCTATAGAGAGAAAAAATCGAGGGAGAGAGACGACAGTAAGAGTAAAAGGGAGAGAAGAGAGTAGCGCGCTGAGAGGGAGAGGCAGAAGACGAGAGTAATTCCGACAGAGAACTGCTGCACGCGTGGCCGAAATAACGTTATGATGAGGAGAGTGGTGAGAATAGGAGTGCAGGCGATTCGTACCCCAAGAGGCGATGTGTCGGCCGCACCGAGATGGTACAATTTCATGTCGATATCCTCTCTTTTTTTTATTGTCTCACCCAGTTTTCTTACAGTGTTTCACCAATTTGCAGCTCAAAAATGCCGAAACTGCGGAAACCGTTCACCGCCATGAGTCCGTTCGTCGCGCCGGAAAATTTCGAGTCGATTTACGCACAAAACACGCCAATGACAGCTCATGGCAACATTCTTCATTTTGACTTTGGAGAGGAAATGCCGACGCCAGAAGAGTTCAGGTAAGTAACGTAAAATTTGGTAAAATTCTACGCAGTTGCATACGATTTTTCGGTGAAACATTTTTGATATAACGAAATCGATTGTGAATGAATGGATTTCAGGGAACTCGAACCATTGTCCTCGTCTACGCCGCGCAGAAATCGTCCGAAAAGAGAGCCTCTTCGGCTGCAGAATATGGAGTATTCCGTGCTTGAGAAAACACAAGAATCTCTCTCAACGGACACTCTGGACGTTCAAATGAAGCCAGTTCCAAAAACGAACATTGTCGAGAATGAGAAGAAAAGTCCAGGGTTAGATATTTTAGACTTCGAAAAATCCATAGTTGTCACGGGCTGGGCCGTGATAGAAATTTCTAGAGCCCAGTTCAGTTGAGCGCATCCTAACCTGTACGGCCCGGTCCGTCGCCACTTGAGTAGTGTTCCTTTCCGATAAAAATTTACCGAAAGGACCCAAGGTTCCGTGAAAAAGAAGACCCCAAAGAATAACCGTTCCATTTCTTGATTCAAAATTAAAATTAAAATTGCTTACAGCAAAAAGATATCCCCCGAGTGGGCGAAGTTAGTCTTCGGACCTGATTCCGATGACGATGAGGAAGGAAACGACCAAGAATCGACAGAGAAGACAAAGAAGAAGTGAGGGTGAAGAAGTTTCCAGGACATTTGGTTTTTTTGCAGGGAGATGTCATTTTTCGAGAAGTCACTCCCACAAAAGACTCGCAAATTGAAGTTGGATTTTGTCGACGATTACTTTGCCGGATATTGTCTTCCGCAAGAAAAATCTCCCGCCAGGTAAGGAGATAAAATTAACTTGTGAAAGTGAAAGAAATGCGGTTTTTAGAAGGACTTCTGCAAAATCGAAAGGCAAAACACGTCCGTCCACTTCTATTTCCTCAACCCGTCGATCGACTCGTTCCCAGAAAAAAAATATCTGAATACGTGTACGGAATCTCAAAATTACTATTATTCTTGTTACGTTGTTTTTCTTTCTCCAATTCTGATCTCTTTTGTACACCAACAATAGGCGAACAGAAGCATTACCGGATTAATTTTCATAATTTCCAAGTCTGTTCTTTTGTAATACCGTAAAGCTTTAAGGAAAAAAGGAACCGAGTGGGCAAGTAGTTTCCCAAAATTCTTTCACCTGAGGCCGTTGTGGCGCTCATTGAAAATATCCTTCCCCCCCCCCCCTAGCCTTTTGTTTTTTTGAGTCGTCTATTTATCTAATTACATGTAATTGTCCGGAAGATTTCTCAAATTTTATTGTTAATAAGTAATCTAATTTGTTGTCGTTGTATTCCATTTGGAAACACCTTCATTCCAGGTGATGTACGGAGCCAACCGTGCGCGGCTGGATGCTGCGGTCCGAAGTTGAGAATCATGTTCTCAAGGTTCTTCTCTCTGTAATCAGACATCATTCCAGCAATTGCACGGTCATCTGAAATTCCTCTACCTCCGCTTTCCACGGTAATTATCGCTCATGACTGGATCCGAGTAGGCCAACTTCACAAGCTTGTCGAGTCCAATCTTCTCATCGAAATCCGACACGCGCTCCAACATCCACAACTTGCCGAGGGTTCCTCCGGTCTGAAGAGAAAATAGAAAATTACTTCGGGAAAAGAATTGGCTCCAGTGGTTGGAACGGTTGGCCAGTTGGTTGATGCTTGTCCGGCGCTGTTCTGTCTGTTTGATGCTTTCGGGCTGACGGCGGACTAGTGACAGTGTTTGCTTGTGGATGCCTTCTGGTGTGTGCTTTGACCTCGGTCTTAGTGTCCTGATCGCTCATCTAAACAACCGTACTGGAACCGGTACGGACTCAGGGAATCCGACTGTCTAATTAAAACAGAGGTGACAGATGGTCCTTGCGGACGTTGACTGTCACTGATTTCTGCCCAGTGCTCTGAATGTTAAATCGTAGTAATTCGAGTAAGCGCGGGTAAACGGCGGGAGTAACTATGACTCTCTTAAGGTAGCCAAATGCCTCGTCATTTAACTGGTGACGCGCATGAATGGATTAACGAGATTCCTACTGTCCCTAACTACTGTCTAGCGAAACCACAGCCAAGGGAACGGGCTTGGCAAAAATAGCGGGGAAAGAAGACCCTGTTGACTTGTTATTGCGAAAGTAATCCTGCTTAGTACGAGAGGAACAGCGGGTTCAAACATTTGGTTCATGGACTTGGTCGACAGGCCACTGGTCCGAAGCTACCATTTGAGAGATTATAACTGAACGCCTCTAAGTTAGAATCGAGCCTTGTCAAGGCGAAAATTCTTTGCTTCCCGGTGTCGGGAGGCATCTCTATCTCGTGGCAACACGAGAGCTTATGCCCTATGTATGGCCTTGGCGTCGTAGTGAACTCTGCGGCGCCTCCACGTAAAAAAATTGTGTACGTTTGCCGCTCCGACATCTCTATTTCCACGTAAAAAAATTGTGTACGTTTGCCGCGCCGACATCTCTATTTCCACGTAAAAAAAATTGTGTACGTTTGTCGCGCCGACATCTCTATTTCCACGTAAAAAAATTGTGTACGTTTGTCGCGCCGACATCTCTATTTCCACGTAAAAAAATTGTGTACGTTTGTCGCGCCGACATCTCTATTTCCACGTAAAAACAATTGTGTACGTTTGTCGCGCCGACATCTCTATTTCCACGTAAAAAAATTGTGTACGTTTGTCGCGCCGACATCTCTATTTCCACGTAAAAAAATTGTGTACGTTTGCCGCGCCGACATCTCTATTTCCACGTAAAAAAAATTGTGTACGTTTGCCGCGCCGACATCTCTACGCGGCCACCCTTTTTGTAAAACTACCATTTTATAATATTTCACGCGTTGAGAGATTGACTTCTTGCATAGCAATAACGTCGGATCAGAGGAACTGAACGAGAGAGAGAGAGAGTTGACTTCTTGCATAGCAATAACGTCGCATCAGAGGAACTGAAAGAGAGAGAGAGAGTTGACTTCTTGCATAGCAATAATGTCGGATCAGAAGAAGAGGAGGAGAGAGAGAGAGAGAGAGAGAGAGATAGTTGAGAGTTACGAGAATGACATAATACAAGGGTCCGACCAGAAAAGCAAGGGTCCCCTAGAATTAAGAAGGGTGCCCTAAAATTTTGTGGCGCCGGCGTCTTTTGAAAAAAATGTCATTTTTATCAAAAGTTGACAACAACTGAAAGTGCCGGTGAAACTAGAAAAGACAACTGATATGTTCAGTTTAATGTACTGTTATTTATCCAGTCAGTTATTGGATATCATCCTTGCAACCAACAACCAACCAACCAACCGATGCGGTGCAGGTCTTCGCTACAAAATGCAAGTCGGTGAGCGGCTGACAACCGCGCGCAAACAAAAACCACGGCCGCGTTGAAAGACACGCGAAATGAGGATACACGTGCCCTCATGTGTGCGGTGTGTTGTTAATTGGCGGGAGTAGAGGAGTGCGGCATATGTGTCGAGTGTGGTTTTGTCAGGAGGGTGGTAGTTGCGATGAGACGTGTGCGATCGGCTTGCCGCGTGTTGTGTTTCCACAGTGCGTACGGTTTGCTGTTAGCGTCGTTTTTGTCGGCTGCTTTCGGCGTGTTGTGTGTCATTTTTTTCGTGACATATTTCACAACGATGGCTGACTACATCAATCCATTCCGGGTACAATGCAATTGTTAGCGGTTGACTTGCGGTGTCGCGAGCCATATGCTTCAGTTGTCACGACTACTGTTGTTCTCGATCTGGCGCTGTTCGTTGAGGCGATCTGGTGTCCTGCTTCGAAACACAAGTCGCTTAATGTGCATCTCTACTGTTAGAGTTTCAAATGTTGTTGCGGTATCGATCGTATGCGTGGGAAGTGTTTACGAGAGTAAATCAGTGAAACATCGTGTAAAAAGCGGTTGTTTTTCTGAAACAATCTCGCTGAACATCTTTATGTTCGCGTAATACCTGATTGATTCTGTCAGCGCGATATGCTCAAGTAAAAGATTAAGCCATGCATGCTTTGATTCATCAATGAAATTGCGTACGGCTCATTAGAGCAGATATCACCTTATTCGGAATTCAGATATGGATAACTGCGGAAATACTGGAGCTAATACATGCAACTAAATCCCAACGCAAGGCGGGATGCAATTATTAGAACAGACCAAACGTTTTCGGACGTTGTTTGTTGACTCTGAATAAAGCAGTTTACTGTCAGTTTCGACTGACTCTATCCGAAAAGGGTGTCTGCCCTTTCAACTAGATGGTAGTTTATTGGACTACCATGGTTGTTACGGGTAACGGAGAATAAGGGTTCGACTCCGGAGAGGGAGCCTTAGAAACGGCTACCACGTCCAAGGAAGGCAGCAGGCGCGAAACTTATCCACTGTTAAGTATGAGATAGTGACTAAACATATAAAGACTCATCCTTTTGGATGAGTTATTTCAATGAGTTGAATACAAATGATTCTTCGAGTAGCAAGGAGAGGGCAAGTCTGGTGCCAGCAGCCGCGGTAATTCCAGCTCTCCTAGTGTATCTCGTTATTGCTGCGGTTAAAAAGCTCGTAGTTGGATCTAGGTTACGTGCTGCAGTTCGCAAATTGCGTTAACTGTGGTCGTGACTTCTAATTTGCTGGTTTGAGGTTGGGTCCGCCCTTCAACTGCCAGCAGGTTTACCTTGAATAAATCAGAGTGCTCAATACAGGCGCTTGCTTGAATAGCTCATCATGGAATAATGAAACAGGACTTCGGTTCTTTTTGTTGGTTTTAGAACTGATTTAATGGTTAAGAGGGACAAACCGGGGGCATTCGTATCATTACGCGAGAGGTGAAATTCGTGGACCGTAGTGAGACGCCCAACAGCGAAAGCATTTGCCAAGAATGTCTTCATTAATCAAGAACGAAAGTCAGAGGTTCGAAGGCGATTAGATACCGCCCTAGTTCTGACCGTAAACGATGCCATCTCGCGATTCGGAGGGTTTTTTTGCCCTGCCGAGGAGCTATCCGGAAAACGAAAGTCTTTCGGTTCCGGGGGTAGTATGGTTGCAAAAGCTGAAACTTAAAGAAATTGACGGAAGGGCACCACAAGGCGTGGAGCTTGCGGCTTAATTTGACTCAACACGGGAAAACTCACCCGGTCCGGACACCATTAGGACTGACAGATTGAAAGCTCTTTCTCGATTTGGTGGTTGGTGGTGCATGGCCGTTCTTAGTTGGTGGAGTGATTTGTCTGGTTTATTCCGATAACGAGCGAGACTCTAGCCTGCTAAATAGTTGGCGAATCTTCGGGTTCGTATAACTTCTTAGAGGGATAAGCGGTGTTTAGCCGCACGAGATTGAGCGATAACAGGTCTGTGATGCCCTTAGATGTCCGGGGCTGCACGCGTGCTACACTGGTGGAGTCAGCGGGTTTTTTTCCTATGCCGAAAGGTATCGGTAAACCGTTGAAATTCTTCCATGTCCGGGATAGGGTATTGTAATTATTGCCCTTAAACGAGGAATGCCTAGTAAGTGTGAGTCATCAGCTCACGTTGATTACGTCCCTGCCCTTTGTACACACCGCCCGTCGCTATCCGGGACTGAACTGATTCGAGAAGAGTGGGGACTGTCGCTTCGAGGTTTCACGACTTCGTTGTTGCGGAAACCATTTTTATCGCATTGGTTTGAACCGGGTAAAAGTCGTAACAAGGTAGCTGTAGGTGAACCTGCAGCTGGATCATCGCCGAGCTTCGTGCCACGTGATTTAATCCAAACCATTGACGAATGTGTTAACATTCCGGTCGAGATGCCTGCGCTATGAATGTTTCGGTCACTTTCTTACGGAATGTGGTGGTCCGATATTCTGAGGCTTAATGATCAAGTGTGTCGTGTCTTACAGGCGGATTGTCTGCGAAACGCTTCACCTGACGTCTCGACAGCGTTTTTTTGCTTCAACCCAAAAAAACGCGACGGTGTTGATGCAACACGATTCGGTGGCTATTGATGCGCTGATGACGTTTTTCGAAGCGTCGACTGCGATAGTCTTAATGATGCGTCGCCGCGTTTTTCTGCTTGAAAAATGTGGCTTCGTACGCCAATCACAACACCAAGCCAATGTTTTTATCAGTTTTTGTGCATCACTAAAGATGAACGTGTTTCGTCTGAAGTGACGTCGAATTTAACGATTCGATACATACGTACTAGCTTCAGCGATGGATCGGTTGCATCGAGTATCGATGAAGAACGCAGCTTGCTGCGTTACTTACCACGAATTGCAGACGCTTAGAGTGGTGAAATTTCGAACGCATAGCACCGTTTGGGTCTCCAGTCGGTACGTCTGGTTCAGGGTTGTTTATCTAAACTGCTGATATGCTTCGTGCATAGAAAAGCGTGTCGAACAATATGTTTGTCTCCGGACAATGATATTGTTCTAGTTTCCGAAGCATCACAAGTTGTGTGTGTGTGTGTGTACGTGTACTACACACCCGCATAATGTGACGCGCTTCTCTATTTCTTACTGTACAAACGGTCGGAATGAGCTGCCAAATGGCGTCCGTCGCGATTCTGCTCGTGTCTCTCTCTCACAAGTGATGATGTGTATGAATTGCGGTGCGAATCGTCGCTCCATTTCCATTTTGCCGATGTGCGTGTAACGAGATCTAGAGCTCAACTAGCTGTTTGGCGCGTGCCGAGACGAACATGTCGCGGTGGTGCCAACGGCGAGTCGTGTGCGTGTATTGCTTATCTCAACCTGAACTCAGTCGTGATTACCCGCTGAACTTAAGCATATCATTTAGCGGAGGAAAAGAAACTAAACAGGATTCCCCTAGTAACGGCGAGTGAA